TTGATGTTTGTGCATTTTGATTCCTACATCATTCAATTCAAATCCTATATAACACCACATCCAGTCCTCATCAGCTTTACAACAAATGCACTATGGCTTTTTATACCTTACATACAATTGGCATGAACACTCTAAACTCTCAGCTTTTATGTTGAGGGTCCCGGGATTTTTGGGCTATCCATGCCCCCGTCAAACCAGGTGTGGGTTAGTGTAGATAAATGTATCTGTGGCTTCCAGAGAGATGGTGTGGAACTTGTCATCTGGCCACCCTAGGTCCGGCCTCCTACAACATTTCAAGTGATACTTACACAGCACTTGGGGCCCGAGGCAGAAAAAGGGCTGCTTGCCCCAGCGGCCATAAGCCCACCTTTATCTCAAATGTAAGTAGGAGTGTTCAAGACTGCATTCCCATGTATCGGAGTTGCATATTTTAGGTCATAGAAGAATGATATATGCATGGATTTGGAGAAGTTGACTAATAATGTCATGGATCTCACTGAACAAATCAGGGGGGAGACCAGAGAAGGAGGCTATGCGTCAAATGATCATGCAAAATCGAGAAGCATTAGATTTTTGTTTTATCTAAAACTGTGGTGTGTGTCAGTTAATTAGGAACAATTGTTGTAACGTTTCAATCCAACATCCAACTCCAATTATTCACTAATTTTGTGATATTTTAAAGGGTCTCTTCCTTTTTCCTCTCCGATTCACATTGGGCCTCAGACTTGTTGTGGTTCAGGATTGCACCAGAGGATTGCTCATATAGCTGTATGATTGTATTGAGTTCATCGAGTTCTGACTGATACTGAATTATCACCGGGACGTCGTCTGCATACGCTAATGTTTTTATATTGTTGTGAGGAGTGAGCTCGACTCCTTTGATGATGGGACTGGATTTGATCAAAGTGAGTAATGGGTTTATTGCTAAAACATAGAGCGCAGCACTGAGCGGGCAGCCCTGCTTCACTCCGCGGTGAACGTTCAGAGGTTCAGTTAAAACCCCGTTCACATTTACTTGTACAGTGGTTTTAAAATATAGACATTTTACCATATTGATAAAATCTGTGGGAAAGCCATATTTGGACAGGACAGCCCACAAATAGTCTCGCGAAACAAAATCAAAGGCTTTTTTTTGGTCCAGACCAACAATATAAAAGTTCTGTTCATCCTTTTCTTTATACAGTAGTTCACGCAGCGCACACACATTGTCCCACAAGAGACGGCCTCTGATGGCACACGTCTGCTGTTTCTCTATGACGTCCTCTAGGACGTCATTCATGCGGTTCATTAATACTTTGGCTAAAATTTTATAATCAGTGTTCATCAGGGTGAGATGTCTATAATTATTAATGTCCTGTTTCTCACCCTTTTTATACAGGAGACACATCACTCCCTGGTAGAAGGACTCTCCCATCTTACCTTTCTTTAGACCTTCATTAAAATAAGCAGTCAATAAATCAATTACGTTGGTTAGATATAATTGATAAAACTCTGTGGGCAGTCCGTCAGGACCTGGACTTTTACCTGAGTTGAGGTCTTTAATGGCACTAAGTACCTCTTCTTTAGTGACTTCTCCGAGTACAGAGCTGACGTCACAGGAGGAGACAGCTCTAACATAGACCTCACAGACTCAGGGTCAACTCTGATGTCTCTGTAAGAGTCTGAAAGCAGATTTCTGATCAGTATTCTTTTCTCTCTTTCTTTATAAATGACATTACCAGAGAGGTCTTTAACTGCTTCAATGTATTTATTTTTAATATTTTCATTACCTGACTTTAAGGCTTGAGTGGTGTTGCACTGTCCATCGACCTGAGCACTTTTAAAAACATTAAACAAGAGCTCAGCATTAATGTCGTTAATTTGTGATTTTACATCTTTTATTCTGACCTCGTCTTCAAGGGAAGCGTCTTTACGCTGCTTTAATGTTATAAACTCTGTCACCAACTCATTGTAGATATCATTTTTACATTTATTAATTTCTTTACACTTAAATTTGAAGAATTTTGTGACTCTACTTTTTAAAAGTTCCCACAGTTCAGTGTTGGATTTAGATAATATTTTCAGCTGCGTGATGACCACTATTTCCTCTTTGAGTTCATTTATTAGCTCCGGATATTTTAAACAGCTAACATTGGGCCTCATTCACGAATAACTTCGTAAGAAACTACTCAACTTTCTTCTCAAGTTGTCCTTAAGTAGATTTCTAAGAAGTCCCCACGTGGGATTCATCAACGCACTCGTAAGCCGCTGAATTGTTCGCAGCTGTTCTCTCAGATTGATGAATCCCATTTCCTCGTAAGTACAGCGCGCGTGCCAGGTGCTTCATTAGCATAGGTACTTAGCATAAGTAACCGCCCATTAATGCCCATATAAGGGACTGCAGGGCCGTGTGCAGACGGCAGAGGGAACAGCAACAGGCCTAAAGCAGAGTTACACGGAGCAAAAGAGTCACCCTTTTTTCTTCTTTTACCAGACTGAGAATAAAGTTATAAAATGTTGACTTAAAAGTCGAAATATTATGATAATAAAGTCGAACTAGCAAAATTATGAGATTAATCTAAGAATATGATGAGATTAATCTCAAAATGTTATGAGCTTAATTTAAAAATATATTATGTATTATTTTAAAGATGAATCTCAAAATGTTTTGAGATTAATCTCAAAATATTTTGGACCCTGGAGGAGATCCAGCGCGGACCAGCGCTGAGACCAATGCAGACCCGAGGAGAGACTGGAGTGACCAGCACACAGAAACCAGCGCGGACCTATAGGAGAGACCGCATAGACTGGAGTGACCTGACTGGAGAGACCGGTGCGCAGAGACCAGCGCGGACCGAAGAGAGACCGCATAGACCAGACTTGAGAGACCAGCGCGGACCTGTATGGATCCAGGAGCATGCAGCACGGACCCGTATGGAGAGAGACCAGTGCAGACCCGTATATGGGAGAGACCAGTGCAGACCCGTCTAGATCCATAGGAGAGACCAGCGCAGACCCGTATAGATCCATAGGAGAGACCAGCGCAGAGACTCAGCGCGGACCCAGTAACCTCCTGCAGCAGCAGTATATATGCCGTTGTTCTGTGGCCCGTGGATAAAGAAATGCCCCCTATAAATAGGAAGGGGTCACTAATACACGGCAAGATTTCCAATGTATTTGATAAAGCGTTGGCACATTTCATTTCAAAATGAATTAAAAAGTAGGCCAGATCTGCAGTGAAAAAGGCGGTATATAAATAAAGATTACTAATAAAGATTACTACAAATAAATAAATACATACATCGATATGACGGACATATCACTGGAATGTTGTATTTTTATTCAACTTCACCAAAGAGGACAACCCCGGCGTGTGAACATGTCGGCACTGAATGCGTACGAGTGCTCCTGAGGACTCGTAGGATTTGTACTTGCCCAAGAGAAATTCTGGTTACGAGAAATATTCGTGAATGCCACTTTCTTCGTAAAAACCGCGTAAGTAGGATTTACGTACAAATCTGTTCCTAAGAACCGTTCGTGAATGAGGCCCATTGAGTTTCCAGAAACCTTTGTGTTCAACTGGACCAAAGCAAACATTAGAACAAACAATGAGGTGATCAGAGAGATCGGTCAGAATGGTTTTATAAGACATTATTGTTACGTTACTGGATGTGTATATTCTGTCTATTCTAGTTTTGACTTTTGAGTCAAACCTGGTGAAGCCATAGTCGTTTGGGTACAGAGTTCTAAATGCGTCTTTCAAACCATTTTCACTGCTGATTTTAAGTAAAACATTTCCTTCTTTTCTTATTTTATGAGTTGTGCTCCCGATACGGTCTTTTTCTTCGGTTATTATGTTAAAATCCCCACATATAATAGTTGTAAAATTTACATTTAAAATTTCATTCAATCTTCTCAAAAGTTTACATTTTTTGTGGAATTGTTGTGAAGTATACACATTTATGAGTCTCATTTTTTCATTATTAAACACACAGTCCTCCTTTTCCTCTCCCGCTCATTTTTACAGATCACAGAGACGTGTGAGGACGAGGTTCTGCTAAACTGTGGTTATTCAGCATCTGCGGACGTAGTTGAAGACTGTGGGGCACGTGGGGGATGGGCGTTCATCCAACTGACTAAGAAGCTGTTAGATGTTATTTATGATAACTGAGTGATCATTAACTAATAATAAATAATAATGGAAATGACCTGATGACTCATTGTTATTCACAAGCCAAAACGATTGCAACTATAAACGTAATACTTCATATTTAGATGTTTTAAATCTACATTTATCTATCAATCTATTCAAAGACATTCTATTCAAAGCAATATATACATATATGCAACAGATGCCAAATATTTGACAAACTTTAGACCTCAGCTCTTTAAAGTAGAGTCCAGACAAACAGAACTTTGAGAAATGTATTAACTTTGAATTAACAGGATAAGATTTAAGAGATGTGAATAAAACGGGGGCCAGAGTACAATTACATTCATAAAGTTATGTAGTCCTTAAATGTAGTCCCCCTTCGTTTCGACCAGGTCTAATTTTAATTTTAAACACCTTTGGGACACTGCCTCATGAAAAACCACCACCAAAAGATTTTATAACAAAAAGTTCAGTGTTGACTCCCCAGGTAAAGGCAAATCATAAAGAGCAGAAAATCAAAACAATCCAAGGCACTCGGGGTCAATAGTATTTAATAGTATATTACTGGACACAACTCATTTTGACACTGGATATTTTTGTGGTTGCTTCGATTTTGAACAGTTTGATTTGTATTAATTCGAGATGAAATTATACATACATTCCTTAGATTAACTTTTGTACATTTATACAAATTATGTCAGCTCGAAATGAAAATAAAAACTTGTAGACTCCCCCATGAAAATAATTTCAATACATTCATGAATTTATTTAAATTATTGAATTATAGTAATTTCTATAATTTGTGATGCACAAATAAGAGGATCTCTTAATCTAATCTTAATCTTAAATCCATAAATGTCGTTGAATGTCAAGAGTCCTGGATCATCACCACTGTTCTTAGATCCTCCTCCATTGGCAAGAAGGAAAACTCTCTGCAGGCGTGTCCTGGGCGTGTGTGAGGTGTGGAGCAGACTCTCCTGAGACTCAGAGGCTGCTGCAGAAGGTCCACGGCTCCACGGCACAGGTGACCGACCACACACCAGTCTGAGAGTCCCCAGTCCTGTGTGGAGTCCAGTGTAGAGTCCAGTGTAAAGTCCAGCGTAGAGTCCAGTGTAGAGTCCAGTGTAGAGTCCTGCGTAGAGTCCAATGTAGAGTCCGGCGTGGAGTCCAGCGTAGAGTCCTGCGTGGAGTCCGGCGTGGAGTCCAGCGTAGAGTCCTGCGTGGAGTCTGGCGTGGAGTCCAGAGTAGAGTCCTGCATAGAGTTCAGCGTAAAGTTCAGCGTAGAGTTCAGCGTAGAGTCCAGCGTAGAGTCCAGAGTAGAGTCCTGCATAGAGTTCAGCGTAGAGTTCAGCGTAGAGTCCAGAGTAGAGTCCTGCATAGAGTTCAGCATAGAGTCCAGAGTAGAGTCCTGCATAGAGTCCTGCATAGAGTTCAGCGTAGAGTTCAGCGTAGAGTCCAGCGTAGAGTCCAGCGTAGAGTCCAGAGTAGAGTCCTGCATAGAGTTCACCATAGAGTCCAGCGTAGAGTCCAGCGTAGAGTCCAGTGTAGAGTCCAGCGTAGAGTCCAGCGTAGAGTCCAGAGTAGAGTTCTGCATAGAGTTCAGCGTAGAGTCCAGCGTAGAGTCCAGAGTAGAGTCCTTCATAGAGTTCAGCGTAGAGTCCAGAGTAGAGTCCTGCATAGAGTTCAGCGTAGAGTTCAGCGTAGAGTTCAGCGTAGAGTCCAGCGTAGAGTCCAGAGTAGAGTCCTGCGTGGAGTCTGGCGTGGAGTCCAGAGTAGAGTCCTGCATAGAGTTCAGCGTAAAGTTCAGCGTAGAGTTCAGCGTAGAGTCCAGCGTAGAGTCCAGAGTAGAGTCCTGCATAGAGTTCAGCGTAGAGTTCAGCGTAGAGTCCAGAGTAGAGTCCTGCATAGAGTTCAGCATAGAGTCCAGAGTAGAGTCCTGCATAGAGTCCTGCATAGAGTTCAGCGTAGAGTTCAGCGTAGAGTCCAGCGTAGAGTCCAGCGTAGAGTCCAGAGTAGAGTCCTGCATAGAGTTCACCATAGAGTCCAGCGTAGAGTCCAGCGTAGAGTCCAGTGTAGAGTCCAGCGTAGAGTCCAGCGTAGAGTCCAGAGTAGAGTTCTGCATAGAGTTCAGCGTAGAGTCCAGCGTAGAGTCCAGAGTAGAGTCCTTCATAGAGTTCAGCGTAGAGTCCAGAGTAGAGTCCTGCATAGAGTTCAGCGTAGAGTTCAGCGTAGAGTTCAGCGTAGAGTCCAGAGTAGAGTCCTGCATAGAGTTCAGCGTAGAGTCCAGAGTAGAGTCCTGCATAGAGTTCAGCGTAGAGTTCAGCGTAGAGTCCAGAGTAGAGTCCTGCATAGAGTCCAGCTTAGAGTCCAGAGTAGAGTCCTGCATAGAGTTCAGCATAGAGTCCAGAGTAGAGTCCTGCATAGAGTCCTGCATAGAGTCCAGAGTAGAGTTCTGCATAGAGTTCAGCGTAGAGTTCAGCGTAGAGTCCAGCGTAGAGTCCAGAGTAGAGTCCTTCATAGAGTTCAGCGTAGAGTCCAGAGTAGAGTCCTGCATAGAGTTCAGCGTAGAGTTCAGCGTAGAGTTCAGCGTAGAGTCCAGCGTAGAGTCCAGAGTAGAGTCCTGCATAGAGTTCAGCGTAGAGTTCAGCGTAGAGTTCAGCGTAGAGTCCAGAGTAGAGTCCTGCATAGAGTTCAGCGTAGAGTCCAGAGTAGAGTCCTGCATAGAGTTCAGCGTAGAGTTCGGCGTAGAGTCCAGAGTAGAGTCCTGCATAGAGTCCAGCTTAGAGTCCAGAGTAGAGTCCTGCATAGAGTTCAGCGTAGAGTCCAGAGTAGAGTCCTGCATAGAGTTCAGCGTAGAGTTCAGCGTAGAGTCCAGCGTAGAGTCCAGAGTAGAGTCCTTCATTGAGTTCAGCGTAGAGTCCAGAGTAGAGTCCTGCATAGAGTTCAGCGTAGAGTTCAGCGTAGAGTTCAGCGTAGAGTCCAGCGTAGAGTCCAGAGTAGAGTCCTGCATAGAGTTCAGCGTAGAGTTCAACGTAGAGTCCAGCGTAGAGTCCAGCGTAGAGTCCAGTGTAGAGTCCAGCTTAGAGTCCAGAGTAGAGTCCTGCATAGAGTTTAGCGTAGAGTCCAGAGTAGAGTCATGCATAGAGTCCAGCGTAGAGTCCAGAGTAGAGTCCTGCAAAGCAGACATTTGCCCAAATTGGTCATCCATGTGTTATTTTACTGTTCCACAGTGTCTTTTGTCTTTGCTCTCGTAGCTCTCTTTGTGTTCCTGTCTCAACTGTTCATTATTTTGACATTGCATTATTATTGGCTGTTTTTTATGAATCATGCTGCAGAGCTTTGTAAACACTGTTTTTGAAAAGTGCTAATGTTACCCGTGTCACATGACCACTTCCGGTTTTAATTTGGAACAAATTCCCTTAAGTACCGCAACAACATATCCAGTTTGACAGCTGCTCCTCCAGCGTTGTCTACACTGCCGGCTTCTTGCTGAAACAACCCTTTTGGATTCTGGATTCAATCATGCAACCATCACCCTGATTCTTGCACCTAATCTTCCACTCAACGGTGAGTCAAGACACCCCTGCGTTTAAAAGTCACCGTTGTTTCTCTGGAACCACGAACTGAACCCTAGTTGAAAGCTAATTCTAACAATAGCATATAAACAAGACGGGAAGCCGTCCTACAAGCGGCTATTTAAGTTTATACGCCGCTCTCTTTTTGTTTAGCCTCCAGCCGAACTCCCTGTCATGTGCACTACTACCAAAGTAATGCGCTAGTTCATGTTTAATCGGCTGTTTGAAAGACTTTAGTTACTTTTGCACTATTAGCCCATACGGCAATAGCTAATTTAAATCCCTGAACACTACCCTGTTGCGCAACAATCCCTATTGAACACTGTATATTTTGATTAATGTCATAAAGAGCTCTGTGACGGATTGATTTATACTTTGAAGTGCACTTTACCTTGAATAATTGAGACTATTGAATTTATGTGTTTTTGCACTGTGAATATTGACATGTTTATGTTATTATCATTATGACCTAATGGTAGTATGATGAGATATGACCTAATGTTTATTTCTCATATATTAGCAGCAATGGTCTATTTCTGTGCTAATATTATTTTAATTTAATTCTAAAGCTAATGAATGGGTTTTTCCTGACCCTGTTTCAGGTCAGGTTTTTTTCCCCCACCTCCACTGACTGAACTGCACTGCTTTACTGAATGTAACCACTGGATGGCGAGCTAACGACCCCGAACCTGTCAACCACCGCATCATCGTGGTAGGAACAATTGTTTCAACTTGATTCACCACTCTGGAACTCGATAACTTGGATTACAATACGCATTCCACTTGGATTACAAATACATTGGAACAATAACACTTACCTGAACTCAACTTACCTTGACAGAACTTTGAACAATATAATTTATTCACTTTACTCTCCTTGAAAGGGACACTTTGGTTTGAATTTTGCTTTGTTTGGTACATGTGTGCGCGTGTCTGACTATATTTTCATTTATTATTATTATTATTATTATTATTATTATTATACAACCTTTTGATCACATATAACAAAATATATATATATCAACATTAATACATATTATTTTTCCCAAAAAAGCTATTAACTGTGTATGTGTTTTATTCACACTCCTGGGCTCCTTACCGTTCCTTCTTCTGATGCTTACCCTACATACGGTCAGACCCTTAGCCCCGTAGTGCGTTACACTATACAAATAAAGATGTATTATTATTATCCTGCCCCCTTTGGACCAATGGCTGTGTTTGTTATTATAGCATTTCCTGTCTTCTGTTTTAGTAAGTAAGTAAGTAAGTAAAGTTTATTTATAAAGCGCTTTTCACAGATAAAATCACAAAGTGCTGTACAGGGTAAGAGCAAAAACAATAAAAAATGTGGGGACATCTGTAAAATCAAAGTGACACTAGTGAAAACCCATCAACCAAAAGCTTTTTTGAATAGACATGTCTTCAGGTCCTTTTTAAAAGAGTCCACAGATCCGGCCAGACGCAGAGACAGGGGCAAGGCGTTCCACAGTCTGGGAGCAGCGGACTGAAAAGATAGGTCCCCTCGAGTTTTATAACGAGTCTTTGGGACAACAAGCAAGTTCTGACCAGAGGACCGAAGGGTGCGGCCAGAGGAATATGGGCACAAAAGGTCCAGGATGTACTGTGGGGCCTGACCGTTTAAGGCTCTGAAAGTCAGCACTAGTATCTTAAAATCAATCCGGAATTTTACAGGGAGCCAATGAAGAGCAAACAAGACTGGGGTGATATGAGACCTTCGAGAGAAACCGGTTAAAAGTCTAGCAGCAGAATTTTGAACAATTTGCAGTTTGTTCAAAACAGACTTATTCAGACAGGTAAAAACAGAGTTACAATAATCCAGTCTTGTTGAAATGAAAGCATGAATGATCTGTCGGTGACGACTCGACAACTTCCTCTGAGACGACGGCTGTTGTTATTTAGGGCTATACAAAAATAAAATAAATTGAATTGAATAGAGTTATTTAGTCCATTACTATAAATATTCTTCAGGGCATTTCCTCTGCTAAAGTGCGTTCACAGTGTATTGAACCTTTGATTTGATATTTATGTTTCTTATTTAAGTTTCTGTTCATGAAATGTCATAAACAAAACAAATTCAATTGTTATTTCTTTCCTCAGGCTCAGTCAGAAGCAGAAATGTGGCAGCGCAGAACCGAAGACAGCGCCACCTCTCTGCAGCAGACACAACTACAACTCCGGTGATTAATCCACTTTGTGAGATTGGGGTCGGGAGCATGTTTCTTCTGGCCTCTGCTTCTGGGGGTTCTGTAGTTTAACCGAACCGAGCAGCGCCAGTGTTCGTATAATATTTTAAAAAGGGTCTATACACTATAAACACTTTTATGATTATTTGAGTTGGAAAATAAAAGGTTTTTCGACCATTTTAAATCAAACAGCTGATGTGATTTTGAGTTTGTAATCATCCAAAGAGGGCAATGAACCCAAGATATAACTGTTTTGCCATTTATCGCTCAGCTCTCATCATCAACGTCTCTTCAAAACTTGTAACATGTTTTTCATTTGATAATTTATATTTGTATCTTGTTTTGTGCAGGTTTTGAAATGAATAAAAAAACTAAATACTAACTGACTCCGGTGTCTTTCAGGGAACTTCAGGATGAGGCAGAGACTCTGAGGACATCCAGAGGAGCTCAAATCCAGAAGCAGAGTCCAGACCATAACCCGGTCTGTTCCCACTGCCTGCACCAGCTGGCATCTCCCAGGAACCAGGTAAATCTGATTTTTAAACAATAACATTCATACTTTTCATAGGTCCAGTAGGAAAACTAACTTCCAATGTTAATATGGGACTAGGATAAACTGCTGCAGCAGAGGACGCAGGAGCTGAGGGTCCAGGAGACCAGACTCAAGACCAGTCTACAGGTATGCCACCATAGAACCATAGACCAGACTCAAGACCAGTCTACAAGTATGCCACCATAGAACCATAGACCAGACTCAAGACCAGTCTACAGGTACGCTACCATAGAACCATAGGCCAGACTTAAGACCAGTCTACAGGTATGCCACCATAGAACCATAGACCAGACTCCAGACCAGTCTACAGGTACACTACCATAGAACCATAGACCAGACTCAAGACCAGTCTACAGGTACGCCACCATAGAACCATAGACCAGACTCAAGACCAGTCTACAGGTATGCCACCATAGAACCATAGGCCAGACTCCAGACCAGTCTACAGGTACGCTACCATAGAACCATAGAACAAAAAAATCTTCTCTCAACTTTCGGAGATTGCGATTATCAACACATGCATTAAAATGGACACCAGTAATGTTGTGGTAATCGGAATGAGGTGCTACACTCACCTCCTCAGATTAAAGTGAGTCAGGAGGAGAGGCAGCATGTGTTTACACAAAATAGTAATAATCAGCAACAGCCCTTTAGGTCACAGCAGCAGAGATGGAGTAGCCTCTGGGTGGAGCAGGACGGGTCACAGAAGAGGTGGAGTAGCCTCTGGGTGGAGCAGGACGGGTCACAGAAGAAGAGGTGGAGTAGCCTCTGGGTGGAGCAGGACGGGTCACAGAAGAGGTGGAGTAGCCTCTGGGTGGAGCAGGACGGGTCACAGAAGAAGAGGTGGAGTAGCCTCTGGATGTCTCATGGGTCTTATGCAGAAGGGACTAGATTCTGTGGAGGAGTCAGGACTTTTCACTGGTAAATAATGGATCAAAAGTTCTGGACATGGACTAAGTTCTGGAGGAAGAGTGGAAAGTGGGCTTGGGCTGGGTCTGTGGGTGCGGGTTATCAGGTCAATGGGTAGTATTTTTAAACTATTATAAATCCATATGTTGCATTTTTTGTATGAAAAGCACTTAAAGGTATACATATTTTTCCAAATTTTAGGAAAGAACCGCCATGTCCACTTTTTGAACTGAACTCTCTGGTCTCATTTAACAAGCATGTATCACCTAAATGATTGAGAATTGGGAGGACCAATAGAAAATCCTATGATTGATAATGTGGTTGTGGGTTCGAGTCCTAAAGCTGAGTGCATTAGTTATGACCAGCAGGATCTGTCACTAAAGCCTCTTTGTGTGTGTGATATATTGCCGCAGAGTCATGATCTAACACTGAAACTAATTTGATTCCACGTCCAGACGGGCCTCTCTGTGTGGAGTTTGCATGTTCTCCCTATGTCTGAGTAGGTTTCCTCCTAGAGATCCGGTTCCCCTTACCACTAAAATGAGACTCTGAAATCTCAATGGGACTCTCCTGGTTAAATAAAGGGCCTTCATTCATTAGGAAACTCCAGCTTTCCGTAGCAACTCGCTGGTTTGCATCTGCTTCTCCAGTTATCTTATGTTCCAATCAGCTTCTTCCACTTTCAGCAAACACTATGGGTGACAACAGCACTCGGGTTAATCCACTCAAAATATATTTAGAGCTTATGGTTACCGTTTATGGTTACCATGGGAACAATAGGAAAATAACAAACATGATATAAGAATTCTGAAAAACATGTTTATTTACACAATTTACAAATCACTTGCACCAGTTCATCATTTTCATGTTTTCACCCATTAATGGACATGAAGATTTGTTGGAAGTTCTTAATCCAATGGTTTTCTAATTACCAACGGAGGGAAGAATAACTTTGAAGATGTACTCAAATATGTTTAAGGTGTTTAGTTACTTTGTCAATGGCTTGTTTTGCACTTACATTATTATATCATATTGTAAAAACAGTATTGAAAGACTTTTTTACATTTATCAGTAGCGAGAGAAGTGAAAACGCAGTGTGTCCTTTTGCACTTTACACAAATTGAGGAGACGTGAAGCTAACGGCACTGGTCCTTTAGATAATTCTCTGAAACGGCTGCTTTTGACATTAAGTAAACAGTCCTCCTGCACATCACCACGGTAACCATTTGGAAAGAAACAAACTGAAGGAATACAGAGTTATTGATATGTGTTTTTGTTTTGAATGTTTTCTAACTTTTAATAAACATATTTTTTCAATTATATGTGCGCATGTTTTATTGTTGAAAAATGAAATTATTGAAATTGGGATGAATTTACACAATTTCTATATTTGTGAGTTGTCCAGCTTTCTTCCACTGGACGCAGAGATTTCTCCTGTTGCTTCTGAACTGTCCGTTGTGTGGGACAAAAAGTTTTCTCTTGAAATGAGACCGAGACAGTTCCTTGCTGTTTGCGCCGCTTCAGTCCTCAGTTGTTTCTGCGTCACGTCACGGAGTGTAGAAGCTGCAGTACTTCTGGGCTGCAGTGACGGCTGTCCACCTGCAGGAGGAGACACTGAGACAAACGCTGTATTAGATCAGTGGCCTTCTGTACAGAGTTAATGTCAGTGTTGGGGAGAATACTTAGGTACAGTAGAATACTGAATACCAGTGTGGAAAGTATGTATTTGGATTCTTTAAAATAATTCCACATGAATCTAGAGAGGATATTTGAACCACTCAAAATGCATTTTTCTCTGTAAGAAACTTGGTCATGACCCAGAGCTCATGAACATGGGTGATCTAGAGCTTTGCCTTTTGATTCAATCTTCCCCACAACAGTCCAATACAGCGGCCGCATCACTGCACACGTCCTTCCCTCACTGAGAACAAGACCTGAGATACTTGAACTCCTCCACTTGAGAAAGGACCTCTATTCACAGTGCATATAATAATTTACTCCCCAACACTGTACAATACAAAGTAACAATACCTGCACTCTCTTGTCGGAGCAGGCATCCAGCAGCCGGATACTCGCTGCTGATTGGTCAAATATTTCCTGCTTCACCGACGCGTTGAGATCTAAGTCTGAAGAAACATCCACCAGCAGACGCAGCACTGCCCTGAGGATCTGCTCCCAGCTCCTCTTCTCAACCCTGGAAACACCACACGAGTCAAAACACCAGGTGGGCCGCTTCAAACCCCGGTCCACAGACAGACTCCTACCGGGGCCAGGCGGTCTGCAGGGTCCGATTCAGGGTGCGGAGGGTCTGGACTCTGCTGGTCTCGTGTGGAGGGTCACTGAGCTCCAGGTATCCCAGGATCACCCTCTGCAGCCGCTTCATGTGTCTGCAAACCGCAATCCCACATCTGGACAAGAGCGGGAAAACAATCGTCTCATTATGGACTTCTTTAAAGTGATTGTCTGGAGTTTGTCAGAGAAAAGAGAGAGAGGTCCTTTCTGATTGGTCTACGTCTACGTTTCCGTAACAATCCATCAACACATTATTAATACAGGTTTTCAGAATTATCTGTTCACGTTTTCATGACAACAATAATGTTTTAATGCGAAAAAAGGCAATCGCGGTAAACCCAGAAGTAGCTATTAAGGTTAAATAAACATTATAGGACACATCTGCAGAGGATCTGATTATGGATATAGGTTCAGTATATAAATGGTTATGGATATAGGTTCAGTATATAAATGGTTATGGATATAGGTTCGGTATATAAATGATTATGGATATACGTTCAGTATATAAATGATTATGGATATAGGTTTGGTATATAAATGATTATGGATATAGGTTCGGTATATAAATGATTATGGATATAGGTTCATGTAGTTCCAGAGCGCAGGAGGTCAATTTAATACAATTTCTATTAAAATTTGTAATTCACTTAGAGTTCCAGACAATCACTTTAAAGCAAGAGTTGAAAAGTATAGTGGGAAAGAGCGCCACCTGTCCACGAGAGGAGGAAGTGCAGCGGCGTAGATACGACGCAGCTCCAGCTTATGCTCCGCCTCCATCTGCGTCAGGACAAATCGCAGAACGTCGTCATGGCGACTGGTGACTCTTCTGTAGTGGGGGGGGCCTGCACATGAGAGGGAGGGGTCAGCGGAGGAGGGAGACTTCTCCAGGACCAGCAGCAGGTCCATCAGACAGGACAGGACACACTGAAGGAGAGACCACATTCAGAGGTTCAGCCACTGGACGATGCTAACCTCCAAGTTCAATGATGCCCAAAAGGGAGGTGCTCATAGACAAAGTTTCGCTCCAACTCGCATTTAAGTAAACTCCTCTGGCTAAATAACCGTTTATGTCACATTCTCCATTTTGGGCTTGATTGTCCATGGTTTTGCGCCCTCTATGATCCTGTGTTTGTATTGTGTTTTTGTAGATCCAGATACGAGTTATAGCAATTGACCAATCAGCAGCCTACTATCACAAAATTTGGCTTTAGCTAGCAAGTAGTGCCGGTGGGGAAAAACTAGATTCTGATTGAAGCTGATTGAACAAAATTCTCAAAGATTTGGTTCCACAATCCCGTTCACATTATCCTGACATTAAGTATACCATAAACTTATATTTACACACTCAACCTTGTTTTTAGAGAGATTGATACATTCTCCTCTGGCCGCAGCAAAAACTTCACTGTGGTTATTCGAAGGTGGTTTTACTGCAAATGGTTAAAAAAAACAGAATCTGAACTGAATCTGTTGCGCAGGCCTTTTTTGCTCAAAGGAAAAAATATTTGCTGTTCACCATCTTGATCTGATGTCCAAGCAAAGCCAGCAATTTCTTTGACTCCATTTTGTGTTTCTTTTGCTTTAGATTGCCCACTACCAAATGTGGACGGGAAGCAAATGAAATTCAGTCGTCTGTATCAGCTAAATACTTTCCTACTCAACGAATGTTCACGCAGAGGACTTGCCTTCATTGAGAATTTTAATCTGTTCTGGAATAGGCATGAGCTTTTTGAAGGGAAAGGGCCACATCTGAACACTTACGGAGTAAAAGTGTTGATGGATAACCTTTCTTTTGCCCTGAGACCTCAGCCTGCGCAGCTCGTGCAGCCATCGAAAAGGAGGAAGCCGACTCTAAAAGTCTCTGCACCTCCACCACCTCGAAGGATCTCAACACCTCCACCACATCGAAGGATCTCAACACCACCACCACCTCGAAGGATCTCAACACCACCACCACCTCGAAGGATCTCAACACCACCACCACCTCAAAGGATCTCAACACCACCACCACCTCGAAGGATCTCAACACCATCACCGCCTCAAAGGATCTCAACACCTCCACTGTCATCAGAAGCAGCTGCATCATCACCAGTAGCAGCACCAGCAGCACGACCACCACCACCACCAACATCCTCATCCCTAGCCTGCTCCAAAGCAGCCACGCCTTCTTCTTCTACAGCGCCTCTGAAGCCCCCATCCTCACCCCAGGCTACAGCAGACAGGCCTGTGCTGGGGTTTCCTCAACCACCTGCCCCTCCATCAAAGACTCCCTCGCCACCTCCCATGGACCTGTCTTGGGTCCCCCCTGCCACGTCCACTCCATCAAGAGAGAATGGGGACACGTCCCTTTGTTTTTCATCCCCGCCTTCACTGTTAGACCTACCTGAACACTCTGCAGGGCTAATAAAATCGGCGATGAAGACTATTCCTCTCACACCCATATTAGCTAGATCTAGAGTCCTGTCCAACATGCTAAACCACTCCCCATATGTACCTCCAAAACCACCTAGGGTTTCCAATTCACCTACAAAAACCACCTCAGCCAGTCCCTCCCCTAACCTCATGACCATTCCACCCCCACTTCCCCCTCGTTCAGCACCCAAAACCTCTGCCTCAGCCCACCCCGGCCCTAACCCATCACCAAAAACCCCTCCACCTCCCTGCCCCCCTCGTTCAACACCCAAAAGCCACCCACCTCTCCATCCTCCTCCCCCGCCTTCCCCTTCCCCTCTTTTCTCTAAACACTAGGATGCACAGGGTCTCTGCTTCGCAGCCACTGGCAGTCTAGTTAGAGGAGAGACCCGGCTGGGGCCCTGTCATGAAGCCACCTGTGCCATTCCCGTAGTGATAACACAAAGAATACATTACAGAAAGACATCTGGAGTTAATAAGTCTAATCTGGAAAATCTAATTCTTGTTCCGTGTAAGAATCAGCCGACCACAACCGCTGATACTGAAACTTTGAAACTTGCTACGCTTAATGTCAGATCTCTTTGTAACAAGTCTTTTTTAATCAATAATTTTATTTGTTCTCATAATCTTGATCTTATGTTCATGGCTGAAACTTGGCTTGACCAAAATTCAGGAAATGCAGTTTTAATAGAAGCATCACCACCAAATTTCAAGTTTGAATCTGAAATACGGGAAAACAAAAAAGGAGGAGGCTTAGCTGCCATTTTCAGAGACCACTTTGTCTCCCATAGAATGTCTCTTGGGAAGTTTTCGTCTTTTGAATATGTGTCTTTTAAAATACAACAAAAACAATCTCCTCCAATACTCTTCATTGTCCTATACAAGCCACCGCAGTCATGTCACAGTTTTATTGATAATTTTACCGAGTTGCTTTCAGTTGTATGCACAGATTTTGATAGTTTGGTTATTACAGGTGATTTTAATATTCATGTGGATAATGTTGATGACAGAAATGCAAATGAGCTGAGTTCTGTACTTGAATCCTTTGATCTCACTCAGCACGTAAGTGGCCCCACCCACAGCAGAGGGCACACTCTAGATCTGTTAGTTACTAAGGGGGTGAATATTTCAAATGTAAACGTGGTCGATGTTGCTCTTTCGGATCATTTCTGTGTTTTTTTTGACATGTGTTTCACTAACAAACCACCAGTGGACTCTGCAACTGTACGAAGAAGACACATAAATGAAAATACGAGTGAACTATTTATGGGAATGATAAACTTTGAGAATGCATCGTATTCTACTGTAGATGAACTGTTTAACTCTGTCACCTCTAGTGTTTTGAATGTTCTGGATACCGTTGCCCCTGTGAAGGTTAAAATAGTGAAAAATAAGCAGAAGGCGCCGTGGGCTAAAGCAGACTCGGTCAGGGCACAAAAGAGAAAGTGCCGGAGGGCCGAGCGGAAGTGGCGCAAGTCCAACCTCCAGGTTGATTACGAGATCTTCAAAGATAAGTTGTGCGAGTTTAACCGGGTGCTACGTAGTACGAGAGAAAGGTATTTTTCTGAAATGATTGAAGGCTGCAGCAACAATCTGCGTGTTCTGTTTTCAACAGTTAATAGATTAACAAACCCCCCTGTTCAAATGCCATTAGAGCTTACTTCCAAACGTAAATGCAATGAGTTTGCAAATTTTTTCAATGACAAGGTTCAAGGCATCAAAAACGCCATTGTCTCCAATCCACAGATAACCATCCAACAGCCAGAAAGGCTCTCTGAGCTAACTCACTTTGCACCTGTAAATGATAAAACTGTCCAAGAGATAATCTCCAGTTTGAGCTCCTCCACATGCAGCTTGGATGTACTACCCACTAGATTTCTGAAGTCTGTTCTGAGCAGTCTGTTACCTTCACTCACACAGATAGTAAACATGTCCCTTCATTCTGGAATATTCCCAAAGGCCCTGAAAACTGCAGTCATCAGGCCCCTGCTAAAAAAGAGCAGTCTCGATGCTACGGTACTTAACAACTATCGTCCCATCTCAAATCTGCCATTTATGGGGAAAGTCCTTGAAAAAGTTGTCTACCTACAGCTTACTAGATTTCTTATAATCAACAACTCATTTGATATGTTTCAGTCCGGCTTTAGACCCCACCACAGCACTGAGACTGCTCTCGTCAAGGTTACAAACGATATCCGGCTGAACACTGACGCAGGCAAAGTCTCAATCTTAATCTTGTTAGATCTAAGTGCTGCCTTTGACACCGTCGACCATGAGATCCTCTTACAGAGACTAGAGGACTGGGTTGGAGTCGCTGGCACCGCCCTAAGTTGGTTTAGGTCTTACCTTGAGGACAGGAAGTACTTTGTGGAGATTGGAAACTGTGTCTCAGATCATATGGCCCTGACCTGTGGAGTACCACAGGGGTCGATCCTGGGACCTCTTCTGTTCAATCTCTACATGCTGCCGTTAGGTCAGTTAATACGCAGAAACGAAGTTTCCTATCATAACTATGCAGACGACACTCAGATCTATGTCTCACTGACTGCAGGAGAACATGGACCAGTGGACTCACTCCTTCACTGTATCCAACAGATCAGTGAGTGGATGCAAAACAACTTCCTTCAGCTAAACACAGACAAAACTGAAATGATTGTCTTTGGTCCCCAGAAACAAAGAGAGAGCGTCATCTGTCACCTACAGTCTCTCTCCCTAAAACCTTCAAACAAGGTCAGAAATCTAGGGGTAATACTGGACTCAGACTTAAATTTTAATAGCCACATCAAATCAGTAACATCAGCAGCTTTTTACCATCTAAAAAACATTGCCAGGATCAAAAACATAGTGTCTAAAGCAGACTTGGAGATTCTTATCCATGCATTTGTCTCCAGTAGGTTAGACTACTGCAATGGCCTGCTCACAGGTCTGTCCAAACAGGCTGTAAAACAGCTGCAGTACATTCAAAATGCAGCAGCTCGAGTCCTGACAAGAACCAGGAAGTACGACCACATTAGTCCAGTCCTCAGGTCTCTGCACTGGCTTCCTGTGGCTCAGAGAATAGACTTTAAAACAGCTCTGCTTGTGTACAAGTCTCTCCATGGCCTCGCACCAAAATATATTAGTGACATGTTAGTCCCATATGAACCAGCCCGGACTCTGAGGAGCACAGGGACTGGACTCCTGTTAGTGCCCAGAGTCAGAACTAAACATGGGGAGGCTGCTTTTCAGATTCATGCTGCTAAAATCTGGAACAGTCTTCCTGGAGATGTGAGACAGGCCTCCTCTCTGACAATGTTTAAAGCCAGGTTAAAGACAGTTCTGTTTAGCTGTGCATACAACTGAGGGATTTTATATTTGTATCTTTCTTTTTAATGTTCTGTGATTATTTATGATTTTAATGCTTTCTTGTTTTGTTCAGCACTTTGAATTGCCTTGTGTATGAATTGTGCTATATAAATAAACTTGCCTTGCCTTGCCTTGCCTTAGATTAAACTTCACATTTCAAATACACTAAAGATTGTGTAATTATCCACGGGTGTCTCACTAAACAGCAGACAGACAGATTTTATATCGTCTTAAATCACAGAGGACCAAAAACAGAATCAATCAATCAATTAATTTGTATTTATAGAGCCCTTTACAACACTAAAGATGACCAACAAACCATAAAATCTAGACGTGGTGAACAAAGCAGCTGGCTTCAGATTCACTTTAATTGACATTTGCAGTAAAACCACATTGGAATACACGTGCAAAAGTCCCCCAGTGTGCACCAGTATGTAAGTAAGTAATCTTTGTTTATATAGAACATTTTACAGACCGAGTTCACCCAAAGTGCTTCAACCCAGACGTAACACAAATGCTTTTCTCATATCCATCTGTATAAGTTACATGTTTGACTTGACAGAAAGTATTGTTGTTATTCTTAAAGACTTAGTGGTATACGTTTCCAGTGAAGGTCTGACCTGCGTGATCTGGGGCTGGTTGTTGTAGAGGAGTCTGAACACGGCCTGATACACCACCTCCGCGCGGTTCAACTGTCGCAGATCTGCAGCCGCCTGGAACCACAACACTCTGATTACTACACAACAGACACACAACTGAATTCAGGGATTGTGGTTCTTCCTTTCAGCACAAGTAGCTACTTGGTTTACTTCTTCCAACGTGTTTCTGACAGCTCTACATGCGACTGACCGTGTGGAGGACGATGTGGTGCAAGCAGCGCACTCCCAGAATGCAGTTCTCTGGTCTGTAGTGATCTGTGAGCAGCAGTGACGGAGGCAGGAGGCGAGGCAGGTGCGGCTGAAGGGCGGGCCGCGTCACCTGAGCAACGGAAAACATGAAATACAGTTCTCATCGGTAAATGATGTTGTGACCAGTTAAAACAGTCGTCTATCTGCGACATTACAGAACGAAAACCTGCGGCTTATATTCAAGTGCGGCCTGTATGTGGACAATATTCATTTTCTTTAAAAAATGTAGGTGGTGCGGCTTATATACAGGAGCGCCTTTTAGTCCAGAAAGTACAGTAATAACATAGGAGTATAAGAACACACACAACAATAGATTTCTCAGCAAGAAGGTCCTGGATTCGAATCCCGGTCGGAACAGGGCCTTTCTGAGTGGAGTTTGCATGTTCTCCCCCGTGTCTGCGTAGGTTTCCTCCGGGTGCTCCGGTTTCCCCTACCACTAAAAACATGCACAATAGGTCTGAATGTAAATGAGAGAGTGAATGGTGTTGGAGCTGATGGTCCAGTGTGTTCTGGACTCGCTTCTGTCATCACCGTGTGTGGAAGGATTGGAACAATATCTGACTCTGAACTTTGTAAAGCGTTTTGGGTCTGTACCTTGGTCTGTACAATGCGCTAAATTACTTACTGTGTTATAACATGGATAAAAGCTTTTCAAATTGTGTAATTGACATTGATAAAGTATGAATAGGACCCTCCCACCACAATTTTTTCAATTTAAATTATTCAATTCACGTGTTTATTTGATCTAAAAGACACAAAATCAATAATACAAAAGAAAAGCACAGAAAAGACAATAGCTCAAAGGGGAGTTGGCAGAAGATGGAACAGCTTATCTGGGCCCACCCCCTAGGACCCTCTAAACCACCAGAACAGAACTGACCTGCAGCAGAACCCAGGAGAACACCAGCTTCAGCGCTTCACTGCGGAACATTAACTCTCTGTAACAAACATGTTCAGTTAATGTGCAGTAAAACCACATTGGAATAACTGTAGCACGGGTTAAACCACATGATGCTGTTTTATGCAGATTTCTTTCTCGTCTCACTTGTTCAGCTGAGGTTGAATCAGGTCCAGGATCTCTCCCAGAATGCCCCTGGCTCTGCTCTCCCCCACGAGCAGGTGGGCGGAGTCTGTCCATGGCCCCGCCTCCAGCAGAGCTCGCATCAGCTCCTGTGCGGCGGCTCGGGAAGAGGAGCTGCTCCACGGTGCTTCCTGAGAGAGAGCAGGGGTTGTCAAACTGTGGTGCACATTGTCCGTCTATGTACAGTCTATGGATTTATAAAGAAATTATTCAAATTCAAACACTAGGATCAGTATCTTTTTGTTTTAAGCCCAAAATTGCTTAAACAATTTGACACGGTTACGACATGTACGTTTCAGCCCAAAGTAGTTCTATCAATAGTTGGTTTCTTACCTGGAAGTGAGTAACGGCGAACACACAAATATCCGGAGCCACAGCGAACAGAATCCTCTCCGAAACCCTGCCTCCTCCTCCTTCAGCCCCGCCTCCTTCTCCCTCTGCCCCGCCCCCTCCCCTCTCATGGCCCAGACCCCTCAGCAGTGGGATGAGGGCACGGCTCACAGCGATGACTCGGGGTCTGATCACGGCGTACTCTGACTCTTCCACCGCACTGACGTCATCACAGGCGAGAGGCAGAGAGCAGCAGCCAATCAGAGCGCGCGATAATGAACGGCACTCCTGCTCCGTGCTCTGATTGGCCGAGGAGAGCCGCCAGTCGCAGTCGGTGAGAATCTTTTCGACCTTTGACAAGGCAGGGAGGAGGGCGTCATCGGGACAGGAGCCAATCAGGGCACTCAGATAGGAAAGCTGAGCCGTGATTGGCTGAGCTGGACGCGGGGGGAGGGATGAAAGAAGCGAGGACACGTCCATCAGGAAACACCTGGGGAAAAAATCATGAATCTATTGCAATCTATTGCTACAACAACAATAATTGTTGTTGTGAATCAAGTTTAGTTTAGTTTGGAACGACACCCGTTTTAAAATAAAGAACACTGATGCTGCAGGGGGGAGAACTGAGGACATTGCGGTTCTTCTTCATAAAGGGGTGGCTTAATAATTTTGGACATGAAGGAGTTTTGGTTCAGACAAAATGGGATAAAATTTCTATTGTGATTATTAATTAGTTTAATGCCTTGCGTGATTGCTTGCATTGTGTATAAACTGTGAGTAACAAATAAACTTGCCTACTCATAATGGTCCTCAATCCAGTCTGAGCCGTGCTGCAGGTTTTCGTCCCAACCAAGCAGGAGCACAGCAGACTGAAGTGAGTCCAGTCATAGCCACACACCTTATTTAGGACTGGGGTGAACGACTGAGCAACAGTCGGACTTCCTTTTAAACAACGCTGTATGAGAAGATTAGCTACATGCTATAGAAAGAGTAGCGATACATTTGGAGAAATCTCGGTCATAAACGTGTTTTTATTCTGAGCTGATGTCTTACCTTCAGTTTCCTCTTTCTTCACTTATAATTCATTATCATCCCTTTATATGAATATATTAATGTATTATAATCATAGACTGTAAATATTAGAATGGTCCATCCCATGCACACTGTACTGTAAACAGTGCGCTCAGCTATCGTCCGCGTGAAACAAGGGTCCTTCTCCACAGTTCCGGGGACGTGTTTTTTTTTCACGAAATGTAATTTAACAATTAGCTGTTAGTTATAATAAACTATTTAATTTATTTCCAATGTCCATTGATCTGACATTTGTAGTATTGAAAAAAACATGTAGAATATCTACCACTATAAAAACTATTGTCTTTAAATATAATGATGAATACAATTGTACACAATACTAACCAATATTTTAATAGATCCATGCCTGAAACCCTCTAATGCTAAATAGCATAGTGTAAATATGTTTAAAGGTACTTGTATGTAGATATTAAGTGTAATTAGTTTCATAATTACAAGTAGGACTGGGCAATATGGCAAAACAGCTAAATCTTGGTTTTTAATGCCCTTTCTAAACTCCTGTACAATGTTACTCTTCTAAACCATGTGTGGTTTTTGGAACCACAAGAATCTCATTATCCTGGTCACCATTTTGCCTCTGGAGTGTTCTTTTGATCTTACCGTTCTATAATGTGTACCAAAACTCGCCGTGGGACATATGAACGTTGTCTAAAAAGGTAATATTCCCATTATCCCTTTTAAAAAAATACTGATTTAAAAAGACAAGACCATAAAGTGTAAAATGTATTCAGTTCCAATATAAATACAACCAATTCCCATCATTCACAGCACCAGTCAGAGTGGGACATTCTAAATAATATATGCAGTGGTGAAGCATGTCATCTGATCTATGAAGAAGTGAGGCTCAAGAGGTCTGCCGCTTTGAACAGGAAATACACCATGGACTGCTTTTTAAAAATACATGTACATCTTAAGCAAGATTACTACCAAATACCCTCCAAAAGTCAAATTCAGCTTGTGTGAGTTTGCTACCAAAATACTGAATGTAGATTATTGAATGTTGCATAGATAACCACGATACAGCATTTGGACACAAAGTGCACATGAGACAGCGAGTATTTTGTCAATAGGACATTTTTATTCATATTTCTGTCTTTAGTCAAATACAGTAATAGTTGTGGCCAGCTAAAATTTATGTCTGATTCTAACGCCAAGCATTTTCACTTCGAGACGTTTCTCCAGCAACAGAAAAAGCAATGAGAGATGAGCGAGTGGAAGAGGGGTGAGCGGGTGAAAAAACAAAAAAAGGACATGAAAAAGGAGAGTTATGGCACATTTGGTCCACGTTTTTTATTTTTTTTTAATCGACTTTCAACAAAAATATAGAAACAGAATTCTTCCAGAAGCGTAAATGACAGCGTAGGAGACACAGGGGGCGCTCTTTCAAGGTTTTGGATAATAAAAACCAATTGTGTTTTATTATAAATCGTTACTCCCTGGTGCATTCGTTCGTTCGTTCTTGTCGTCCAATAGGAGGGGGGGAAGGCGGGGCTCGGGGGTGATTCTTTTGGGTGGAGGGAGGGGTTTACAGGAAGTAGTCGGGAGTGCGTCTGGTCACATGGGGCTCACCGCGACGTGGCGCTGGGTCGAACTGAAGGCTGCGGAGAGAGAGAGAAGAGTAAAGTTAAATCAACAACAAAGAAGAATACTGGATTTTTCTGACAAAACATTGCAATTTCCCCACTTTGGGATGAATAAAGTCTTATAAGCACTGCACCTGAGTCTGAAATGCACTATATAAATAATTTGCCTATTTATAAGCTGCTACTTAAGAATTCTGTGGCCTATACCTTTTTATTTCTTTTTAGCACCCCCTGGAGTGCAGGAACAGGCACAACTATGAGCTGTTGATCTCCAGAGGTAATGACAGCACACATTCCTGCTACCTGGTTTGTTTATGTGAACAGTAGAGACAAGGAAGTGCACAGGGACTTCTACCTATGACGGTGAAGAACCAGGAACTTGCATTGAACCTTTGCAAACTTTAAAAACGTTGTAAAATGAGTAGTCTAACCCAAAACAGGGGGTTGTACAGAAACGCTTTAAGAGATCAATGTTACTGAAAACATTGCGTCAAATGGAATAACCACCAAAGTAAATGACAAATGCCACTCAATGCACGAGTTACTTGCCATTTTCAGATTCTTTGTTGATCAGTACTCTACAGACTCTGAACAATCAGACAATACAGTAATGACCCATTTTGTTTCGAGCGGCAGCAATCACCCAAACTGCTGAGATTTCCCCTCATACAAATGTTGTACTTACAAAGAGTATTTGAGGGTGTCGTCCAGTTCCATGATGGCCGCCTGGTTGCCACAGCGATAGCAGTAGTTGGGAGCACTGAAGATGGTCACCACGTTCTTATCATGGCCCCAGTTGTAGCCCTGAAAAACACAGAATTTACTACTGCACATTCATCACATCGAACTTTCATACAAATTATGTTTTCAACGAAATATTTACAAACAAAACATCTCCCCTCACTCGTTCATACTGTGCGTCTTGCCCAAGAGCACAATGACAGGATGCTGATGGGACACATGAGACCTAAACTGGGGTCTAAAATAAGCCTAACCAGATTCCAGTTTGTCCACTTTATACCAACTCGGAGCTGATCCTTCCATTGCTGAAGACACGAGGCACAGTTAAACAGTACCTCCATGACGAGCTGGTGAGCCCGGGACACCAGGGTGAGGCCGTTGGCGTGGTTGAACGTCTCGGAGATGTCCTGTCCAAACGTGTATCCGGCGCCACGAGGAGAGATGCCCCAGCCGCCGCGGTCGTCAGGGTCAGACCAGAGCAGGTCACACATCGGCCCCTGCGGACACAGGCAGCGAGGTCAGACACTACACTCAACGACTTTTTACTATACCGCAATCCCAACACAAAACGTCTACGTATCCAAAAAGAACTGGACATTTCTCGATACATTGCCCACCTCCACATGAGAGCCTTCCCCTTTGACCCAGAGCACAGTCTTAGCATTCGTAATAGACAAGAAATGAATACAATTTGTGGGAAAAATATAATTGCTAAAATAGTATTCTATATATTTAAGTGAAAACATTGCTTTTACTGCACAATGTGTTCCGTGACAAAAACCGACCTCGTGTGGGACTTCCTGCAGACGGTCCAGGGCTCGTATGTGATCCAGAGTATCTATGGATGGAGACAGGCCGCCGTGGAGACAGAAGATCTGGGGATCACGTTACAAAGAAGAAGCTTCAAAAATCTAACAATCAAAACCATGTGCTCCAAAAGAAGACTCCACAATCATAAAAACGTGTGTATTTATAAAATTGCATTCAGTTTTCAGATGCAGAGTAGAGGAGCAGAGCCAGGGCAGAGGACCTCAAGCAGACCAGGAAGTAGTGAGAGCGTGTACGGTGAGGCCCTGACGCCGCTGTCTGATTGGGTTGAGTCCAAAGACCCGTTTCCACCAGCCCTACTCTACCCAGACTGGGAGAGTTTCCACTGGCTCTGAATAAACAGCATCAGGTTCTTTTTTTAGTATCTGCTCGGCCCTGGTTCTATCCAAGTCGAGCTGGTTCTAAAGTGTTCTAACTGAGAGATTGGACCAGAGTGCTGCTGAAAGCCATGGTTACCACATGCACAGTTATACAATTTGTTGTCAGGTAGGTTGCTAGGATACGGTACCACTTAGTGTGTACAGATATAGTAATGGAAACACAACCAGGTTGAGTAGGGCCAAGTCGAATAGTAGGGGCAAGTCGAATAGTAGGGCCAAGTCAAATAGTAGAGTAGGGCCAATTGAATCAGAACCAATGCACAGGAGGTCTTTAATCCTGCATTTAAAACCAAGTACTTTTAGAATTGAATTTTTTTGGTTCCTTTTTTAAAGCATTAAAGGACACATGCTGTAAAACCTCCACAATGAGCCTAACGCAGATAATATTTCCATGGTTACAAGTCCCTGTCCCGTCTCTGGCCCAAACCGGACCTCGTACCTGTGTGTCGACGAGGGCAGTGAGAGGCAGGTAGTCGAACAGATCTGTGAAGTACTTCCACACGTTGGCGTTTCCGTATTTACGCAGACACTCGTCGTAGAAGCCGTAGACCTGTGTGATCTGCCGCGACTCGTGGTTCCCCCGGAGGATGGTGATCCGCTCCTGGAAGCGCACCTGAACAGACAGTTTGATACGTTTTATTACAATGGAAAAACACATGGGACATCTTTATGTTGGTCACAAGGAACGCAACCAACCACTCGGTCAGAAAAGTCACCGTCTGTCAGTAGTTAACTGTATTTGTAAGAGGATTTATTCTTGTGTATTCTGTAGCATAAAGTCCTAGAAACATTTGGGGATCGAGAATAACTTTGATTCCAGATTCACTTTGACAATTAGAGAAAAACCTTGGAAATTTGGCTTTTCATAGTTTAGAATGTTCCAGTTACAGATTAAATACATTTTAATAAAAGAATGACATGACGCTGTTATTTCACTGTTAATAACAGATGCTCAGATTGTAAAACAAACATGAATCCTGAGCTTTAATATAAAAAGGTACGACACGTCCGCACTGGGGAGAGTAGGACAGAGCGGCTGTAATACCCAATGATTATTTTAAATCTAGAAAGCTGAAATTTTTCCTGATCAATAACTTGCATGAACACAATCTAGTGCTTACGTCTGTAAAAATCCTTTAACTTGTTCAAAAAGGTAATGTTTCTGTGGCCGCCCTGCGTGTTCAAGAGCCTCCTTATAAAAAAAAGCCCTTGATAATGTGAACCATGACTCAGCAGTTTCTCAGGATTGCAGTGTTTTCACTGACACATTGTGTCCCGTTTGCAAACACAGGATCAAGATCAACGACAAACAGCTGAGGCCGAAGGCTGCAGCTGGTTTGGTTTGGCGTAAGCTCAGGTTTACTGGTTTTCTTCGTTTACATTTACATCCTCAGACACTGAAACATTGGGTAGCAATTCTTCCTGGGGCTTAAACTCTTCAGTGACAGGAAAACTGATTTCAGTCAAAGAGTTAGGGTCAAGTTTCCAATCAGTCGCCACGGTAACGTGCTCCATGCAACAACTCTGGTCCTCAAAACACCAGTTTTTAGATGCGAGACTCAGATTTAGAGAGCAATGAACTAAAACAAGATCTATGGATAACAGTGGGGAGTCAGTGCTCCTCTTTTTTTACTAAAAACTATCCACTGGCAATCTTTAACAAATAATAATTAGCATACATGAAAGTATTTAACAGTCAATGCAAAGAAGGTTCAATACATTTAGAATACACCATTTGTTTAAGGAAATTATGAGTTATTGGCAGAAAAGAAAATGTTGCTGTATCGGTATCGCAGTCTTTACGAACCTCGTGCAGCTCTAATCAAGTCGCCGGACGGTGGAGTAACAAACCTTTAGCGTGACGAGCAGCGTGACTGTCTCCACGGAGTAGTACCCTCGGTCCACGTAGTCACCCATGAACAGGTAGTTGGTGTCCGGAGACTTGCCCCCGATTTTGAACAGTTCCATGAGGTCATGGAACTGTCCGTGCACGTCGCCGCACACCGTCACCGGGCAGCGGACCTTCAACACAAGGCACACGTCAACAACCACCGTCACAGAGTTGTCCAAACGCTTAAACTAATGTGGGCCTCAGCACTTTGAAGATTTTTCATAAAACATTTGCTTTGTAGTTTTTTCATATGTTTAGAAAAAGGCAAATCATATTTTGGGCTGTAATAAGTTAGACTAATCCAAACTAATCAATAAAGTGATAGAGGTTTTACTCAACAGACCTGTGAGAATAAAATGAAATCGCATCAACATTAAACAGTTTAAGGGGATGACAAAAGGCCTGTAAATACTCCACTAAAATTGAACTAATCAATTATCAAAATAATTAAAGCCCCTCGTAACCTTTACATTCATTACAGATCATTTGGAATGATTTAGATGAGGAAATGAAGACTTGTTTAAATTTGATTAAATTAAAAAAATGTTTGGACTCTCCTTCCATGTGGAGGCGATGCCCTCAGCCCAGAGCGAGGGAGGAGAGAGAGGGGAGGGGTGAGTGTGTTTTGGGTCTGGTCTGTGACCGAGCGTCAGTGTCTTTGTCTCGTCTCTTGCCATTGGTGCTAATAATATGTGTGTGTCATTGGCTGTCATGTGTTTTGTTGAAGGGTCGAGTATATTTTTGGTATTTTATTGTAGTAAGTGCCTGAATGGCTGAGGGGAGACGGGATTAGAATAACTAGTTTCTTGTTTAATCTCATATTTTTCTTTGAATAATTTCAAATAAATTATCAATAAACAGCTAAATAGACTGATCATGGAAATGCTAATTTATTCCAAAAAGGAACATTTTATGAGTTTTAGAGTGCATTCTCAGAGCTGTAGCTCCATCAAATACTGTCCATCAATCTGCTCTCTGTCATACAATCTTATATTTTGAGAATTTCACTTTGTGAAACTGCAGTATAGAGTGGAAACTCTGCACCAAAAACCATAGTTTTCTACAACTCCCACTTGCTCTCGACCGGGAACAGGCCTACGCTGCAGCACACGCACAGGACGGATTAGAACTGTGGAGTGCAGTTTTACAGAGATAGAGACGAATGATCTGGACCCATTTTACAGAGCGGTTTTAGATACTTTACAACAGCAGCAAACAATGAGAAATCGTTTTGCAGTAAGATCTACAGTTGTGGGTGAAACGGCAAATAATGTATTCTTTCCCTTATTTCACAGCCATTTACATTATTTTTCAAATGTCCAAAAAACTTTGTGATGACTGTGACAAACATTTTATTATTTATTGAATGAGCATTTTTTGTAGTTTACAGACAATGCATTTCTTTTGTATCGCAGTATCACAGGATTTAAAAGATTTTAACCGAGAGACAAAAGTAAACACGACAAATGCGGGGGAAATCCTTCATGATTATGTGCCCCGAGAGGAAGAGAAAGGGCTTACTACCTACACACAATAAAAGTTATGCTAAAGTTAATGCACATAGCATTGTCAGTTTCCTGTTGAGAAAAGTGGCTCTCCTTTGAGACAGAAGTGCTCACAACCATCTGACAATCTCTTACATGAGCTTGACCTGCTTTATTATCACCGGTCAAACGTGAAGAAGAATCGGATACAAGCTTTTAATAGAAACAAATCGGACGCAAAACAAAACAGGAAATGTCTTCCCTGTTCGAGACCATGGCATATTTTTGGATCTAGATTTCACTGTTACTCCAAAAAAAAATTGACCTTTCAAACTAAAAAAATAAGGACTGGAATAGCGATTTGTTAACATAAAAAGGATGCATAATTCTTCACTTCATGAGACTAAACTGTGATAGATGCTTTTGCCTTTTCATGTGTTTCTTTTACGTTGCTAACCCTCTGGCAATGTCGCTGCTCTGAGAGTTCGGGAATAACGTAAGTGAATTACAATCGCAGTGTTGGCCCCTGGATCCGCACATAACACCTGTAACATTCCCAACGCAAACTGGTGCTGAGCGGGGGAAATGCACGAAGAGCCGAGAAGTGTGGAGGAAAAGGCCTAGAACTGTCTGTTAAAGTGGATTAAAGGTGATATTTTTGGGGCGCCTCCTGCAGGACTTTTCCCACTCACTCTAGTCTTGTTTCAAATCGTGTCAGTCTGTATTCACACTAATGGATCGAACCACAGTAAGCAGCAAATCTTTGATCTGAAAAATCACTGTGCCTTGACTTTAAAGCTTCAGGTGTATTCTCACAGAACAGATAGATTTGGACAGTTCCTACACCCTTTGGTCACAGGATTAAAAACTTATATTTTTTTTCCAATCATAAAATTGAAATAATTGTTAAGTATCAAAGTATTGCTTTTTGTTTGAGAGACAGATTGCAGTGTTTGTGAAAAACTTAATGTGATAATAAACGTACAACACACAGAAATAGAAGCGTCAGCTGATTCTAATCAAAACAGAAGAGAAAAAGCAGAGGGCAGGCGCTTCACAGAAAAGGCATCAGCTGATCCGGCTATAAAAAAACTACACATGACGAGAACATGAGCCACAGGTACAACCAGTAACTATGCAAAACTCTTTACAGTCCAGATAAGAGTTTTACTGGAAGGAGTAAATGTGTTTTTGTAGTTTTAACAAACAGCTCTGTAGTAAGTTTTACTTTTCATCAAATTTCGGAAGTTTGTTTACAGAGTTTGGATTCAGATTCTGAGAAAACAAAAAGCCACAATATCACTTACATTCTTCTTCAAAATATCATTTTATTTTCACTGGGGATTGTAAACATATAAAATGGTATTTTCACTCTGATTGTAAAAGAGCATCCTTTTAAAAGAGGCTTAAGTTCACAAATAGACCAGGGGCCGTATTCCTAAAGATTCTTACTGCTAAAAGTTGCTCCTAGTGGCCAAATTCTAAGAATTTTTTTAGAATCTTGACCAACTCTTAGAATTTCCCCTAAAAGTGAGGAGTAGCTCCTAGTTAAGATAAAAGCTATTCCTAAAAAATCCTAGCTCTTAAGAGTGCTCTTAAGGGGAGATCACTTAAGAGTTGAGAGGAGGACTTTTAGCGACTTAAAAGTTCCCTAAGAGCACAAAATGGTGGACGGTGGAGACAGGAGAAATATTCTATACACTGGATGACAGTGAATCAGTGAAACGCTACAGATTCAAGCAGGAATCATGTTTGTGGTATATTTAAAAGTCAATCATGTGACCAGCTTCTCATTGGCTGGTCAGCAATAACACCTCATCCATTTTACCTTTGTTACACAAAAGTAAGTAGAAATGGTAAAAGTTGAAAGAGAGGAAAAAGTGGTCCTAAATTGTCACACATTCAGTACGAATGAATGAATACTTTATTTTGAGCCATGGCAAACAAGAAAAAAAAGGACAAAACAAACAAAACAACAGAATAGAAGTACAAATATACAGTTTTGTTTTATTAACAACAATCCAGCTCAAAAAGGAGTGGGAGAGGATAAGACTTTTAAGCTCCCTTGTACTTGATTTGTACAGTGTATGTATAATATGTTTATATTAATATTGTTTCCTTAATTCCTTAAGTCTATACATATCACAGCCTTTACTAATCCTAACGTTATCATTATCATCATTTATCCATATATTTATAATAATAATTTTCTTTATCATGTATATTATATATAGAGTAATATTTAAATTTATATATATATATATATATATACATATATATATATATATAAAATTATAAGTGCTCATGATATATACGTATTATGTGTGATAAATTGGTGCTGAGCAAGCTCTGATGATGGTGTATAAGTCTAACTTTACTATTCACAGTATGTATGTACCATTGATATATCTGACTTAATAGCTTTTGGTTATTATTTACAATAACACAGTGTTCCTAAGATTAGATTCCATGATTGAGTTTGTCCATTTTAGGGCCCTTATTTTGCCTATTATCATCAAAAATATGTTTGTTCTAACTTTTAGGATCAACCAATCACAGCGTCTGAAATGATGACTCATACCTAGCAACGGGGTCGGCCACGCCTCCTCACTAAGATAAAAGTTGTTGTCAATTCCTTGCTCAGAGTTCTCTAAGAGTGTTCTGGAATAACTTTTAAGCTAAGACTCCTAGCTAGGAGTTTTTAGGTTAAGATAAGAGCTCTCTGAGAGGACTCTCAGAATCTTTAGGAATACGGCCCCAAGTTTACAAATAATACGTCATGCCAAAAAGCCGGACGGTTAATACTTGGCCCACAGGAAAGCGACGGCTCCATGAGCCTTTTCTTGGTCCAGGAGTGTCTCAGTCATAAACTGTGATAAATAACCTTTGAGGCCAAAAAGCAGATTTAGAGTGCGTAATCTTGCAGTAATCTGTGCTATATTCACCCATTTCAAATAATAGCTATTCTTAATTTCAGTGCATGGCCATTTATTAAGTTTGGACACCCCTGAGATAGTCTTATTGAATCAAACTGAAACCACAACACAAATCGATGACATAAAAATACTGTTCCTGGATCAGTGACCAGGAAGTCTCTGAATGAACTTATCATGCATTTAAGTTATTTTTCCTCACCTCCTGCACGTTGGACTCATTGGTCAGAATCTCTTTAGCCTGAAAGAAAACACACAACAAAATATTGGTCAATTTCTGAAAACATATTATAGAACAGTTACATTTAAAAAATCCACCACAACCTACAATTATTGAGAATAGCTAGTTGTCTTTACCCATTAAAAATACTTTGTAATGAGTTAATCATTCAGAAGGACCAATTGTAATCGATTAGATTAATATGATTTAGTGAGCTTCTGAAAGTATAGACTTTCGTGTAATTACAAGTCTGAATCATTCCTGATTCTATAAATACAATCCAGACAGACGGTATGCTAAATAAATACATTTCGCGGCCATATGGCCGTGTCGAGGCAGCGAACACGATGTCGTAGAGGATGACTGTTGCTGAAAATATAGCACACATTAAAATGAACGAAACACTGAATAAATCGGTTATCTGGAAAAGGCGGAGATCGCCGCAGTGTTTGTGATATGACCTCAAAGAGGAATGACAGCGCTGAACCGACACGGATCGATTCAGGGCGTTTCTCCGCCAAAACCATGACTAAACACTGCACTGTGATGTAAACGGTCGATCCGCGATCATGACAAATATGAACAAATAACACCGAGGAGACAAAAAGTCCACGGCAAGAGGCGAGGCGCCATTTGGAGAAACTGTCTGCAGCTGAAAACACTACGGCTGCGTCTGAAGGCCCCAGGGAGACACGGCTCATTATATCACTGAAAAAACACAAAACACGCAATATTTTCTCAAATACTGTGAGCAGGGAGTGGCTGCCATGATACATGGGGGTAATTAGCGGTATCGTACGGAAACGACCGCAGGATGACAGGCCCCAGCCCTGCTGCGGTAATCAGAGCCTCCACCAGAGACAGGCCGCGGGAGTTAAACAGTGAAAATGTTAAATAAAGATCAAATGCCACGTACCTTCTCACAAAGCGTCCGGACCTGGTTCTCTGACAGCTGCTTACACTCATTAAGCTGTTCGATCCATTGGTCTAGTTCTTTTGTGAACGTTTTGTCGTCCATTGCGCCGAAAAAAAACCCACACTACTGGTTAGCCTGCTAGCTTTAGCCTTTAGCTCGGCGTATTGTTAGCCCGATCTAGTCCAGCCAAACCGGTCGTAAAATCACCGCAGATGTTTTACAAATACCGTGCCGTTCCTTCAGCTCGTGTCATGATAAAGTGGCCAGGCTGAAGTTCCGCCGATCGGAGTCCGGGGAAAGGGGGGAAAGGTCGAGAGAAACCGAGAGAGGAGCGGCGGAGGCGGCGGACACACAGCGTTAGCCGAGATGCTAAAAGAGTGAGCTACAATAACATCCGGGCATTTCAGCGGGAGAGAGGTGCACAGTGGCGGAGCCTGGTGGACATATGCGGTACCGCGGCTGTGCATGGAGGAGAAGACGCCATGCTGAAATTCATGAACGTGAAAAAAGAGGTCATGGAAAATAATAATCACGTTACTCCTTTTACTGAATTTATTTTTAAAATTGCAAATTCGTCCAAACTAAATTCACACGCTGTCTGTTTGATTTTAATGTGTATTTTTTTGTACATTTTAAGTTTTGAGTTACAAAATATCACATCCGTGAATCAAAATGTATGTATGTAAACATGTATTTTGTATAGACTTTAACCTCGCTGATACAAAAAAGTATTAAAAATAGAAGTATGAAATTAAGCTTAAATAAATATCACCATTATTATAAATATTCGGTTGAAATATTGAATTAGACATTGTGAATTCATATATATGTGTATGGAAGGTTATGCCCATTTCCATTATCACTGCTTTGAGTTTGATTCAAAATATATGTTCTTTCATTTGTGCATTTCGCACATGTTGTGAATCATGTTTCACCTTGCTTCATTGTGTTTTGCAATGATTGGTGTCATTGCATTAAAAAAAGAGGTCATGCATACAGGGCCTTTTACAAAACTTAGCTTGGTTTTTTTCCTAAGCGTTTGTGAGAAGAAAAAAATAGTATTTTTTCCAAATTTGTTCATGTTCAAATCAGTTTGTGCCACATCTACAACACAAAAATACTCTTAACTGAAGTTAAGTTAACGTAAATAAAGTTGGTGGTTCTCAACAAGATAGAATCAGAACCCACCGTCAATATAGAATGCCGTGACCCACAACAGAGTTTATTTATTATTTTATTTTAAACAATACATATATCAAGAATAGACAAATAACTTGTACCTCGTTCAAAAAAGGGTTGGATTATTTACATTTCATATATAATGTCAAGTATTGTATTGTTACTAATAAAAACTATCACAAAGCTCCAGCAGACTCATTGACAACATTGAATAAAGACATTTTAGTTCGACCTTGACTTAAATCCATATTTTTTAGTTAATTTAGGCGTTTTCTTCTACATTTTGAATGTCAATGTTATTTGTATAGCACATTTACAACACAAGCTGCCCAAAGTACTTCACAGCTTAAACAATTATTTTATGATGTAATACAATTATCTTTGTGAACAAACAGGATCTATCCCTCTCTCTCAAATTATGAACAACAATTCAAGAGCAAAAAATAACTTATATTTTTCCAGAGTAGATACATTTACATTTAATCAGTAATTTAACGATGTTCAGGCAGAAACCCCCTCTCACACAATCACACCACTTTCACTTTTTCCCTTTGTGCGCAAACAGCCTTCACTAAGGTCTTTCACAAAATGGAGGCGACGATATATTTGAACCCGACGTCGCTCACACTCTTGTCAATATCAATTTGCAGCAAAAAGGGTAATGTCTACTCTGCTAGAATCTGTAAAAGCCCATCAAGTGGCACAAAGAAAAAAAACTGGCCAAACACATGCAGAAAAACATTTATTTTGTATAATTTCTCTTCCATTGAATGAAACTGTTTAGATTAACCTCTTTTGTTCAAAATAAAATCTTCAAAAAATGTCTTTGTCATTGTTTTTTTGATGGTTAAGAAAGCTCCACTTAATAACTTCAAAATATAAAAGATGGCAGCTGTTGTGAGAAGGCGGGTGGGTTCATTTCTTCTTCTTCTTGCTCTTCTTGCCTCCGTCTCCAGGCTGCGAGCTGCTGTCCGCTCCACTGCTCTTCTGAGTGCGGGTCTTTAACTTTGGGATCATCTCTGCCACATAGAACATCACCTCCTTGCCTAAAACAGAAAGATGTGAAAGACAAATTTAAGATAAGAAACTTTAAAGAAATCTCCTCTTTCTCTTCTCAGTGTTGACCATAGATCGTAGACCACAGACAGCATTTGTTTTTGTCCTGGAAGAAGTCGATTGGAGATAACACAAACAGATGTGCAGGAACTTGGAGTAACCGAAGAGTCGATCAGGAGCGATACTGATCTCCACTATCATGGCTATGGTTGTATTAATTTCTAATAACTTACCAAAACACAAAAACACTTTCAAGATCACGTATAGGCAGGAACTTCTGTGAATGGACGCCAAAGAAAGTAGGAGGAAGCAACAACATTTTGGATGTGCATGTCCATCAGTGTGTGGTTCTTTTATCCACTTACATTCATAAGTGGATAACGAGCATTTGCTTTTTTTACCCAGCAATCAATGGTTATCAATGGTTTCCATAGTGATAGTCACAAATTACAAGTGGGGGCAGGTCCCTGCTCAAAAGTGGCCAAAATGATTTGCGCTGACATGCTGCAATACCACCCCGGGCCGATGGGGTCCAAAGCTCCGTTCCACATGTGTGTCAATGCTGAGGGGAGTGACATTTTTTTTGGTCCACTCTAGTTTACTTGCTGTGAATTTTTGAAGTCTCTCGTTCAAATGAATGGAGCTGCTTCGGCTGACGCATGCGCAGATGCGTTTTTTCACAATTTTCTTGTGGGCGGGACCACTCGCGGCCATTTTGGATAGCTCCAGTAGAGCATTATTTTTGGCCCATTAGTTAGAAGTGACTGTCCGTTAATTTATACAGTCTATGCAAATTACATGTAACGATAACACTATTAAAGGCCCAGGAACTCTATTCTCCAGAAGAGTGTTCTCAAGTGGACAGAAATCAACACATGTCTGACTGCAGGAGTATCAGGAGGAGAGATAGTGCGTCACAAAACTCACGTGAGTCAAACTTTTCGTTACACAGCTCTCCATCGGCTTGTTTGAGTTGTACCCGGACTCTGCCTCTAAACTGCACATCTCTGTTCCACTCACGAGGATGCATCTTATTCTGAAAAACAGAAACACAGCAAATCGTTTTTCCCATTTCTGACTCATGTACATTCTTATAGCACTTTCTAGAACAACCCCAGCTGCACAAAAGAAAAGACAAAAATAAAGCTGTAATATCATCATAATAATAATAACAACCGATACAATCAATCAATAGATCAATGGTTTTTCTCAGTTTTCATTACGTGTGTGGTCCTGGCATTATTTAGTCTCGAAACATTGCAGACGGCCACTTCAGACTGCTTATGGCGAAAAGAGAGGAGCAGAGTTTGAGGACGTGTGTATTTGTGAAACTGTGACAATTATCAAATCGGTGATAATAAATCAACACCTGTGCGAAACAAGGACAATAGAATCAAATATCAGAATGTAAAAAGCTGTGAACATCAGTCTGGATTTCACTGCCTCTGACATGATGCTGCACACACTGGTTCAGGTCAGTTCAGTTTATTTATTTGCCATTGGCAGTAAAAAACCACAGTGGAATACGTTAGCAAAAAGTCTCCAGTGTGCACAGACAAATACAGACATAAAACAACATTAAAAGACAGAAATAAAACAGTAAACAAATGTCACTGTGAAATTGATCGACTAAAACGACCAGACCTTTCAGACCTTTATTCCACAAACTATTGGAGATTATAACATCAGCATTTATTTTCCACGTATTGAAGTGACAGTTCAGGTTCCCCTCAAGGCTCAGAGGAAGGAGCTCCCGCTGATAAAATTCACTTTTTCAGTAAAGTTTCCCATATTTTTTTGTAAATGAGAGCCCAGGACTGTACAATTCAATTCAAATAACTTTAATAATCCGTGAGGAACTTCATTTACAGAAGGAGCACCGGTGGGGGGAGGGGTACTTTGGTTAAATTCATAAAAACTCAATATAATTTAAAAAGCATATCAGAATCAGAATCATTTTTATTGCCACGTAAGTAACTACCACCACCACCAAATGTGAGATTAATTTCATTACAATATTGTATTCTTAGCTATGGAGCCAGTGCTTACACGTGCGTCCTTAATAAAGTCTAAATAAAAAACAAAAATCTTCTCACCTCAACGTAAACATTGAGTCCAGCCGCCGTGAGCACATCTCTGATCTCAGAGCATGATGGATTTTCTACAGCCTGAAACATAAAACGATTACTGATAAGTAGATGAGGCATTAATAAAGAGAGCACTGCTTTAGATACATTCTTCTGGGATTTTTTATTTATAGATATTTGTAACTAACCTTCTCTGAGGGAATCCTCCGTCCCTCAGCTAAAGTCTTTTTACTGTTGATGTAAACAGGGTACAGACAGATGAACCTGGAACAGAAAGATTAAAGAATAAAAATGAACATTGTTGTTGAACAGAGAATAGTAGTAGTAGAAACATAACCTATATCACTACTACCACCAAAATGGCAAAGTACAAATGTGTTCTCTGTTGTTGTTGTTTTGTTGCTTGTATCACAGTCTGGGCTGCTCCTGGACTTTAGCATTAGCCTGATGCTAGCTGTTTTGATGGTTTCTCGGTCGTTTCCCACTCACCGTTCTTTGTCTGCGGGGCTTTGTGTGAGGTGGGCCATGGCTCTGAGGTGTTGTGGCTCCTGCCTTTGAATTATTATGGAAACATTCACGAAATGATGAAATAAAGTCACATGAATTCACACAACACGCTCTTCTCTGCAGCGGACTGAAGGATGAGCTGGACTTCCGCTTCTTCCTCGGCCTCTTCCGGTCCCTCCCCTCCTTTATAATAGTTTTGTGGGATATTTAAATAAATCAAGAAATCTACTTGAAATAGAGTATAGTATAATATTATATAAAATACTAATACATTTATAATTTTATGTCATTTTAATATGTATACCCTATCCTGTGTAAAGTGAGGGGTCACGATACGGTTGTGGCAAACTTTCTTCATGAAGCAGACTTTTTAGAAACACGGTAGAAGCTCATGGGATAATAATTTCTCTTATCAAAGCTGTTAACACAACCAATCACACAGCACGATACAACCATTCTTTTCATCAGTGTCCGCTCCATAAGCAATGTTGTCTCAAACGTACTATTTATCTATTTATTTTGTATTTGTTTGTCTTATTATGAACACGTATTTTTCACGCTTGAAATGTAATTAACTTTTATGAAAACATTTGAATTTCCAATAAAATAATTATTAAAAATAAAACAAAACCCAGTTGTAAAGAGAAAATATATACATACACGGTTTTATATTCACGTATTGTTGTATCATTTACGGTACTGAAATAGCTAAATTAAACATTTTCAAACCAGGTGGAACACAAATTATTAATATCTTGTTTCGAGGGATCTTATTTAGAAGTACACACTACAAACCCGCTGTTATCATGGATAACACCGGCGGACAGTTTTTTTAGTTTTATTCGGTGTTACTAATTGTGTTTTTATTGATGTATGCATTTAAAGATATGTCAAAAGAAATGTTCCTTTCGTGTGTGTTCTTGTGTTCTGAAGATGTACTGACGTTAATGGTGAGCGGATCTAATTTTGTGACCATAGACTGACGCACACTTTGAAGTCCAGAAAACTTGTTGAATGTTACCAACATATGCTTTTTTTATGTTAATGGCGCTCTGCTTATACATAAACATGATCCATCCATCTATAGTCTCTTGGCAGCCACGAACAGCGAAAATGAATACAGACGTAAAGAAAAACAAATGCAGAAACATAAATAATAACAAGCACATACACAAACCCTGATTGTCCAAAAGCCCAAAGTGAGAAACTCTGAGAAGGTTGTAAAGTTCCTAATATGAGCTGTGACTGTTCCAAGAGTGTGGCGTGTGAGAAGCTTATCCAAACACTTTAACATGATCAAAACCATTGATTCCCCCTTGTCCCAGACTAGTATCCTGCTTTTAGAATAATTAGATAGTCACCGATGTTAAATGCGATTCAAATACATTTCAGTTCTCTTAAAAGTGTACAACTGCAGCCCACAATACCGTTTCTCACACAATCCATTATTAAGATTTATCATCACACCACTACTAATCATATTTTTAATTACCAGGCGCCTTTGTGCAGTAATGTCCTCTGACGAAGAGCAGCCCTCCTCCTCCACCTCGCTCCCTCCAGAGTCTCACTTTATCGGGAGGAGGGAGGACATAGTCAGAGCGGGACGTGTGAGCAGGCTCCTGAACGGCTGCAGAGACGTCCTGGTTCTCCACCATCAGGGACAGCTTTATGCTATGGACCTGCGCTGCTACCGTAAGCTCTGTTCGCCTGTCTACACTTATGACTCTTAAGGTGGTTGGAAAAGGTACACTGGTCAGGAAGAGGCAGAGGGGCCCAAACTTCCTTTAGTTCACTAAACTTGTCGAGACTTGTGACAACATTGATTGGAAAACTGTTCTGATTGGCTGAAGTGGGCTAAATGACAAATGTTTGGGATCTCAGCAGCTACATTAGCATCATAGACTGAATTCAGACACATTCAAGAAGTCAACCAAGGTCAACGACTGCATTGGAGAGGTTCTGAGCTTTACGATGAGGTTTACCCATTATTCGTGGAGCTGAAGTTGGCTAGATGTAAGTAAGCTAGTAGTAAGTAAGTAAGCTTTTATTTATATACCGCCTTTTCACTGCACATCGGAGTCTCAAAGCGGTTTACAATTGTTATTTTTTTTTGGGAGTGCCAGTACAGGAGGCACATGCCATACCTATTGAACATATTTTTAGTGGTAGGGGAAACCGGAGCACCCGGAGGAAACCTACGCAGACACGGGGAGAACATGCAAACTCCACTCAGAAAGGCCCTGGTCCAACCGGGATTTGAACCCAGGACCTTCTTGCTGAGAGGCGAGAGTGCTATCCACTCAGCCACCGTGCCGCTGTGTTTCGAGCCAATGACACTGTGGCCTTGTGTTTATCATATCAATGGCTACTCCTGCTTGAATAGAGGCCTTCAAACTTCAGCAGAAAATAGACAAAAAGTTAGTAAACAGCTTGTGTATCTTTTTGTACTGAAAACAGTGGGAATTGAATCTCTTCCTTATATCATCAAAACAGAAAATTATATAAGAAATACACAATAATAATATAAAATCAACAATTTACCTAAAACAAACAGTTGTAACTATATTTTAATGTTTTACAGATGCTGGTGGTGGGTTGCAACATGGAGACATAGAGGTCAGTACGTTTTTTCCAAATGTAGTTTGAGAGGTCCCTTAATAATTTTTTAATAATTTTAGCTGGAACTTTAGCTGCAGGCTCTTCAGAGTCACATCTTTATGGTTTACTCAACGCTTGTCTGCGTTCCAACTGTGATCCCAGGACTTTCAGTATTTCATCAAAACAACATCAGAAGCGATAGTTAATGATTTGCATAAATGTGAGTAGCAGTTTAGCTCCTGGATAAATATAATATCCTGCTCATTTCAAACTTTGCCCTCTTCTCATTCTTTAATATCAACAGATGTTCAAGAGAAAGCAAACGTTTGGCTCGAAACACAGACACAAACAGGAAAACCAAGACTTTGTAGAAAGTTTTTAGTCCATTGTTTGCATCTGTGTCTCTTTATAATCATGCAGGTGTTTTGACCAAATAATAACTTTCATCGAATATGAGTTTAATATAATTTGTATTTATTTCTATGAACAAAATGAGTCCAGCTTCTTGGATTGAAACAAAACTGGACAAAAAGCAACAAGGCTTTGTATTTGTAGACTGGGTAATGTTTACTCTGAATTATTGCTTATTGCATCAATTATGTAGGGTTTTTTCTTGATAAAATTTTCTTTAAAACGATGTATATCATGTCATATTTGCCCAGACTCTCAGCTAGGGCCGCACTGACATTTAAGTTCTATGTCCCCTAGAGGGCGACGTTTGAGACCCCTGGTGTAGATTGTCCTGCAGACTTTGTACTAAGGTTTTCCTGTGGCCTGTCCCTCTTGCAGGAGTTCAATGGCAAGTTGTGCATTGTCTGTCCGTGGCATAAGTACAAGATCACTCTGGCTGAAGGAGAGGGCCTGTACCAAGCCGTGGACAACCCCCTGGTCAGACCCTTACAGACAGAGTGGCGTTCCAAAGGCGTGAAGCAGCGTGTGCACCAGGTCACGGAGGTCCGGGGAGACGTCTATGTGACTCTCAATACACGCTCAGAGGACGTGGAGTCTGACCGCTACCAGACCCACAAGTACAGGACTGACTCTGATCCCACCAGAGCAAAGACATAATACAGATGTGCTGTGGACCTCATAATAAAGTGTTTATACGTTTATAGTTTCGTAAGAGTCATTTGTCCTTATACCCTTTCACAAAATCTGCCGTCCAGAGGATTCCCCTGCATTTTACGCAGACAGGGTGAATGTGAAAACAGGAAAGTGCCTTCATATTTGAATTATGCATTTGTTAATCTGTTTATGAAGATGGAATGCAGAGAAATAAAAGGAAGAACAGATCCAAGTTATGTGAATAGCTCAGTGCAGGGAATGTTCTGGGACAAATGTTTTCAATTCAATGTATTTGTGTATGGCCCTATATCACAACAGCAGCAGCTTTGGAGGACTTCGAAACACCAGATTAGAGAATCAGATCAATCAATTTGAACAGAGGAAATGCAATAATAACAAACATTGGGACACAGTGGAGGGACTAAGTTTTCTTAATATGCATAAATATTACATACAAAGGAACAACTTTTCCAAGGAAATGCAGGAGGAAATGCAATCCACTCACATCACTTTTTTCTGTCTGTGCTACAAAAACTACCAAACAAAAAAGCATGCGTTTATCCATCCATCCATTTTCTTCCCCTTAATCCATTTCTGGGTCGGGGGGGTGGCAGTCAGAGCTGCACCCAGTCCACAGAGCACCAGCCCCTCACTGATCCTCCTGCAGGTGGTGAGTTCACAGGAGCTGAGATCTTTCAGTGGGAGCTTCAGGCAAAGTGGGGTTAAGTGTCTTGCCCAAGGACACAACGACAGCATCAGTGGGAGTCGTGAAGTAGGTCTTATGGTGGGCTTGAACCCACGACCTTCAGGCCCAAAGGCCAATGCTCTACCAACTGAGCTACTGTCGCCCCTTTATTACTTCTATTTTCCACGGCAATACGGCGGGTCGCCTGTAGGTGGGGGTAGTGAGCCTTTGCTGAGGATGTACTTCCAACATGGCGACGGCCGTGGTCCATGGATTTCATCTTTGTAAAAACATTGAATAACTTTCCCCACATTGTAATTGCGTCGTACTTGTCAGATAACACAAAAACAAGACCATTTTTAACCTGACAATGGCGACAGGTCCGTAGAATCTTAAGAACATTTAGTTGATCATTGTTTTGACTCCAGTTGTGTTTTAATGTAATCCATGTTTTGTGCAGAGGATGAAGTGAATCTGTTGGTGATTGTGGTTGATGTAAATCCGATCTGGTGGGGACAGCAAGGACTACGGGACCCTGAGGTAGAACCAGAAAATAACTAAATATGCGGAGATCAGGATCACTTGGTCCGCACCATAAGTGACACTAATAGACTCTGTTCACATGGTTTTTGCTTGACGTTTACACCTCATAATGTGTTGTTTCTGCAACATACACTGAAAACAGATTATTTATAAATTAACGTATCTGTCTGTTTATAAGAGACACAGTACTATTATGTACAGTAAGTATTTTTCAACAATACCATTAAAGTCGTATATGTGTCCATACTTGCATGAGAAAGCCAGATCCTCTGAAGCTGTGCAGGGCCTGGTTAATACTGTGATGGGAGACCTCTGGGAACAGCAGCCACAGTGGGGCGGCTGCAACTGTAAAGTGCCAAACTGTTGTGTCCTTAGGCAAGACACTTTACTCACATTGCCTAGAATAAGTCTGGTGTGTATGAATGGTTGGTGGTGGTTAGAGGAGCCGAAGGCACAGACTGGTTGCCTTGCAATTGTCAGTGTGCCCCAGGGCAGCTGTGGCTACAGTAGTAGTTTAGAGTGGAAGAATAAAGACATGTGAAGCGTTTTTGTGTATAGAAAAGCGCTATATAAAACCAATGCATTATTATCAAGAAATTACATTAATTACATGCAAATAAGAAGCTTTGGGGGCTAGTTCTTTGGTTTATAGAAAGTCCTGATTTTCTAAATTTGACTGTCTGTTTTTCAGTTCACGCTGTCTAAATGCATGGACGCTGTGATGGTGATGGGCAACTCTCATATGTCCATGGGCAGAAACAACAAACTGTGTGTTATCGCCAGCCACTGCCAGGACAGGTACTGCCTCCCACTGTAGGGCTGTCTAATTGTGAATTACAGGTATGTCCCAAAGAGTATAATACTGTAAAAAGTACGTTTTTTTACTTTTTTATATAGGTTCATATTGAAATATTAAAGCTGGAGTACCCTTGTACTACGGTTTCATGAATACATTGAATTTGTCCAAACAGAAAGAGTCTTGATCAGACCACAACATTTCACAACAGTTAATTTTTTGTCGCTTCAAAATTAGATTTTCCAGCTTTAATACAAAATATTATCAATTGAATAATGGTTTTCTCTGCTTCTATCATGTTTCAGCCACTTCCTGTATCCCAATAAGAGCTGGAGGGGCGGAGACGGACGCGATGAAGACGCCTCGTCCAGCGGAGACGGGAAATACGAGCTACTGACTGTGGCCAACAACCTGGTGGCCCAAGAGATCTGCAATGTCATGTTAAAAAGTCAGTACACACACAGAGACACAGACCCAGGACTGAGGCCGTAGACCCAGGACTGAGGCCGTAGACCCAGGACTGAGGCCGTAGACCCAGGACTGAGGCCGTAGACCCAGGACTGAGGCCGTAGACCCAGGACTGAGGCCGTAGACACAGGACTGAGGCCGTAGACCCAGGACTGAGGCCGTAGACCCAGGACTGAGGCCGTAGACCCAGGACTGAGGCCGTAGACCCAGGACTGAGGCCGTAGACCCAGGACTGAGGCCGTAGACCCAGGACTGAGGCCGTAGACCCAGGACTGAGGCCGTAGACCCAGGACTGAGGCCGTAGACCCAGGACTGAGGCCGTAGACCCAGGACTGAGGCCGTAGACCCAGGACTGAGGCCGTAGACCCAGGACTGAGGCCGTAGACCCAGGACTGAGGCCGTAGACCCAGGACTGAGGCCGTAGACCCATTATTATAACTATACTGTTGCGTTTTGTCTCTTGTTCACTATAGAACTCTAACTTTAGTAAATAATTGTACTCTTTGTGATTGCAGCTGAAATCAAAGGCAGCTTCACAGACACCATGTTGGCTGGATCTCTCGCCAAAGCTCTCTGCTGTATCCTTTCTGTGACAAAGACATTAGAATCTGAACTAAATGAAGCACAGTTTTCTCAATCTGCTCTGCTCAGATATTCACCGGATGACCAAAGACCTGGAGGGTGAATAATATGGATATATATGTATTAAATATATATATGTACTAAATATAAATCCAGTTTAATATTGTATGATGGCACTGATTGAGTTGTATTTGCCGTCACAGTCAGCCAGGAGATCAAGTCCAGGATATTGGTGAGTATGAGCCGTGTGAATGGTATAGAAGTTTTTTAGAACTGTCTAAAAAACTAAAACAAATATTAATTCATTGTATTTTAATTATCTTTTACATTATTTTGTTTTGTTTTTGACCACATTCTTTTTACTGACCCAAGTTTGAATATAATTTTTCTTTAGGTTTTTCTGATGGTCCAGTTTTGGTTCTATTCAAACAGTAACTGAACATAAAGAAGAGATGTTATTGAAGACTGAACCTTTTTACCTTAAAATCATGCGTTGGCTTCACATTTTTAGAACAAATTAAATCACATTGGTTTTTTTATCTGAGAAAATGGGCGTAAAGCTGGTGTATAACTTTCCGTAGTAGCTGAAGGTTAATACTAATTTAACATAAAAATCCCATCCTTTTAAAAACTTTAGTCAAAATAAAAGTCCTGATCACAAAATAAGTTTTTCCCTGCACTTCCACATGTCGACTTTGTCTACTGGTCACATAAACCCACAGAGAAGCAGGAATGTGTGCTACGCTTCCTGCTCTGGAGATCAACAGTGAATAGAGTTGCGTTCAGATTCCTTCCTGAGTTCTGCCAAATTAAAAACGCATTCATTGGCCACGTCTCGATTAAGTGGCGGGTTACAGTCCGGCCCGTCTGTAGCTGTTTCCACGGTAACTGTCCTTGTTGCAGGTGATCAAAGCAGCAGACGACTGTGCGCTTCAGTACATGAACTTTATGAACGTGATCTTCGCCGCTCAGAAACAGGTGGGTAATTATCTCTTTCAACTCATTGATTCCCAGCCGTTTTTGATGATTTCACTGATTTTCAAGACCCACAGAATATTGAGTGCTGTGACTATGTGAAATATGGAACCAGATTCTGAAAGACTGGACTGTCTACTTTTATCAGCAAAAATAAGTTGGTTTCTAGCTAGTTTTGTTCTTCTGTAATCTCCAGTCGAAAAGGGGGAGGTTTGACAAAAGGTCAGATACATACGTCAATGGCATGTCTTCGAGGACTGAATCTTAAAAGGTTCTGGACAGTTGACATTATCAACTCTACGCTGATGTTATTGTTTTTGTATTCTTGCACTGGGTGGCAGCTCTGATTGTCACCCCCCGACCCAGAAATGGACTAATAAAGGGGTAGAAAATGAATGAATTATAGTTATTTTAGCACATCTATTTGATTACTTTGTGTGCGTCATTTGTTGTTGAACTGAACCGTTTTTGTACTGGAATTCTCAAGGCAAAAACTTACATTTATTTACTTTCTACATATTTCCACTTTCAGTTTTAGTCCAGATTTAGTTCCATGATTGTCTTATTTTTGAACCAACCCAATCCGCTTTCCATTTTCACTACAGAACATTCTGATCGATGCGTGTGTTCTGGACGCAGACTCGGGCCTCCTTCAGCAGGTACGTAGCACTTTGTTAGCTCTTTGTTAGCATGTTTGTGCAGTGATGTAAACAAATACATTCTGAATTTAATCTAGAAAATAGAGCTGTATTGTATAATGTATAATGTATAATGTCTTCACGATCTGTTCGTTGTGGTCCTGGTCTGACAGGCGTGTGACATCACCGGAGGCCTGTACCTGAAGATCCCCCAGAAAGCAGCTCTGGCTCAGTACCTTCTGGTAAATCTGGTTTATAAGCAATTATTGGGGTTGAGCGGAGGAAGATGGATGATCGATATTGATATAGGACTGAGAGTAAAGTTAGTCTCCCTAAAGTCCTTGTTCCCAGCCTTGTGTATCAGGGTGGGAAGTATTTCGAATTCACAGGCGACTCGTGGAACTGTCCAAGATAAGAGTCAATCTAGCCTGGTCGTACCACACCATAGTACAAATTACATTTCGTACTAAGGTCTGGACGTGCTCCATTGTCTCCGTTTACAGGTGGGAGGGATTAACTCCTTTTGCAGATTGAAACCATTGGATCTGAGTTTACTGTGACGTATGTAGTGCGCCCGAGTCTGTCGTTAGCATTTAGCCTAGCTTTAGCCATCTCCTTTGCCGTTAACGGAGTCCGTGGGGAGTAGCGCCACAATTTTTTCTAGTGATTACATTTGCTAAACATTCCTCTTGCTCCGGCTTCAATTTCTTGATAGAGCCAGACCGGATTACTTTACTATCGCATTCTTCGCCATTGCCAAACTACAACCTTCCCGTTCAGTGCAAACTCTTGACGTCACCCACATCTAACAACACCTGCCTTCCGCGCTCGCTGATTGGTCGGTCGAAATTCAAGCGATTGTATTCGTTAACACAGGGACCAGACCCAGACGTTACATGCAGTGAAATTATGAATGAGCGGAGTGTACGGATGGATAAGGCCAGGCTAGAGTCAATCACGTTGTCATTATAATGAAATGATCATGTACACTCTCAAAAGTCAATTCTCACAACCAAAAACTAAACTAAAAACACACAAAAATTACATCTTCATTGATACGGTTGTATTAAGAGCTATTAGCGCCGTGGAGAGCTTAATTTTCAGCTTTGATATAAAACGTATGATTGTTTTGCCTATTTGTATATTTAAATTTCTTAAAAAGACAAATGCTTTATGGAATTATTCTGCTGCATTGTAATTGAGTAGTTTGAATATGGTCGTCGATTACATACTGTTGTGTCTAGTATTGTTCCCTGGCGGCTGACGCTGTGTTGTCTCCACAGTGGGTTTTCCTGCCGGACCTGGAGCAGCGCTCTCAGCTGGTGCTTCCTCCTCCGGCTCATGTGGACTACAGAGCGGCCTGCTTCTGCCACCGGAACCTCATCGAGATCGGATACGTGTGCTCCGTCTGCCTGTCTAGTAAGCTCCTCCCACTCCGTCTGCCTGTCTAGTAAGCTCCTCCCACTCCGTCTGCCTGTCTAGTAAGCTCCTCCCACTCCGTCTGCCTGTCTAGTAAGCTCCTCCCACTCCGTCTGCCTGTCCAGTAAGCTCCTCCCACTCCGTCTGCCTGTCTAGTAAGCTCCTCCCACTCCGTCTGCCTGTCTAGTAAGCTCCTTCCACTCCGTCTGCCTGTCTAGTAAGCTCCTCCCACTCCGTCTGCCTGTCTAGTAAGCTCCTCCCACTTCGTCTGCCTGTCTAGTAAGCTCCTCCCACTCAGTCTGCCTGTCTAGTAAGCTCCTCCCACTCTGTCTGCCTGTCTAGTAAGCTCCTCCCACTCTGTCTGCCTGTCTAGTAAGCTCCTCCCACTCTGTCTGCCTGTCTAGTAAGCTCCTCCCACTCAGTCTGCCTGTCTAGTAAGCTCCTCCCACTCAGTCTGCCTGTCTAGTAAGCTCCTCCCACTCCGTCTGCCTGTCTAGTAAGCTCCTCCCACTCCGTCTGCCTGTCTAGTAAGCTCCTCCCACTCAGTCTGCCGCTTTTACGCCATCTCAGAAACTCAGAAGTTCTTATTCCCCACTCGGGAAAATGGGAATGAACATGGCTCAGGTCGGAAATTTAACTCTGTTCAATGTAACTCTGTAGCTGCAAAGAGAGTTCAGAGAAAGACTAGAGAGACCAGATAGAGATCAGGAAGAGAGAGACCAGATAGAGATCAGGAAGAGAGAGACCAGATAGAGATCAGGAAGATGGAGACCAGATGGAGACCAGATGGAGACCAGACGGAGACCAGATAGAGATCAGGAAGAGAGAGACCAGATGGAGACCAGACGGAGACCAGACGGAGACCAGATGGAGATCAGAGAGTGATCAGGAAGAGAGAGACCAGAGAGAGACCAGAGAGAGACCAGAGAGAGACCAGAAAGAGACCAGGAAGAGAAAGATTCCAGATAGAGACCAAAGAGAGATCAGGAAGAGAAAGACCAGAGAGAAAGAGAGACCAGATGGAGATCAGAGAGACCAGAGAGAGACCAGAGAGACCAGAGAGAGACCAGAGAGAGACCAGAGAGAGGCCAGAGAGAGGCCAGAGAGAGACCAGAGAGAGACCAGAGAGAGACCAGAGAGAGACCAGAGAGAGACCAGAGAGAGACCAGAGAGAGACCAGAGAGAGACCAGAGAGACCAGAGAGAGACCAGAGAGAGACCAGAGAGAGACCAGAGAGAGACCAGAGAGAGGCCAGAGAGAGGCCAGAGAGAGACCAGAGAGAGGCCAGAGAGAGGCCAGAGAGAGACCAGAGAGAGACCAGAGAGAGACCAGAGAGAGACCAGAGAGAGACCAGAGAGAGGCCAGAGAGAGGCCAGAGAGAGGCCAGAGAGAGACCAGGGAGAGACCAGGGAGAGACCAGGGAGAGACCAGGGAGAGACCAGGGAGAGACCAGAGAGAGGCCAGGGAGAGACCAGAGAGAGAGACCAGAGAGAGACCAGAGAGAGACCAGAGAGAGGCCAGAGAGAGACCAGAGAGAGGCCAGAGAGAGACCAGAGAGAGACCAGAGAGAGACCAGAGAGAAATAGACATGTGTCAAATTGTGATTGGAAAGAAGAGACAAACTGAGAGGGTCTGAGATCTCAAGAAAGCGGCAATAACTCTTCGAACATTTTGAGATGTGGGAATGTCTAAATGTTAGATCACTGTTGCGACACATACATCGTCCCAGTCAAATAAAAATCATGTTGCTAATAACATTTTCATACGTTTTTTGAAATACCCAGACTAAATTGCATAATCAACCTGCATCATGTATTGTAGTGAGATTAGTCACCGGAATACATTGTAAAACTGGATTCATAATTGTCATAACTGTTTTAGTAAAAGAACAGACTTTGTAATAACCCGCCCACACTTTCTCTGTGTTTAGTATTCTGCAACTTCAGCCCCATCTGCACCACCTGCGAGTAAGTTCTTCAAATATACCCTCCCCAGATGCAGCTTTCCAATTGAAACTATGTCATTGACTGTCTTTGCAGGACGGCCTTCAAGATCCAACTGCCACAGATGGTGAAGCCCAAGAGAAAGAAGCTAAAACCCTCTTGATGAAGCTTCTTATGTCAATTATATTTTGGTATTTAATAGTTTTGTATCTGTCATTTTTTGGTAATAAACTGCAAACGCTTCTCTAGTTTGTGTGAAAGTTTTAATATATGGCCATGAGTTTTGGGCGATGATAGAAAGGACAATAACGTGGATACAAGGCAAGCTACAGTGCCTTGCAACATTTCGCCACATTTCAGGCTTCAAACATAAAGATATAAAATTTTAATTTTTTGTCATGAATCAACAACAAGTGGGACACAATCGTAAAGTGGAATGAAATTTATTGGATAATTTAAAATTTTTAACAAATAAACTGAAAAGTGGGGCGTGCAATATTATTGGGCCCCTTTACTTTCAGTGCAGCAAACTCAGTCCAGAAGTTCAGTGAGGATCTTTGGATGATCCAATGTTGTCCTAAATGACTGATGATGATAAATAGAATGCTCCTGTGTGTAATCAAGTCTCCGTATAAATGCACCTGCTCTTTGATAGTCTCAGGGTTCTGTTTAAAGCGCAGAGAGAACCATGAAGACAAAGGAACACACCAGGCAGGTCCGAGATACTGTTGTGGAGAAGTTTAAAGCCGGATTTGGATACAAAAAGATTTCCCAAGCTTTAAACATCTCAAGGAGCACTGTGCACGCAATTATATTGAAATGGAAGGAGTATCAGACCACTGCAAATCTACCAAGACCCGGCCGTCCCTCCAAACTTTCATCTCAAACAAGGAGAAGACTGATCAGAGATGCAGCCAAGAGGCCCATGATCACTCTGCATGAACTGCAGATAACTACAGCTGAGGTGGGGATGGTGTGTTCCTTTCGCAAGGCACTGTACATATCACCAACTGTTTTTGATGTTAAGACTGCAGCCTTCATGACCCGGCAATGGATGAAGCGGAAGCAATTTTAGATTTTGATCGGTCGGAAGATGATTAGTTTGAAAATTACACTTAATTACACATTTTTACTTTCTTCTGAACTTATGTTTTCCTGGTATTACTCATTTTTAATTTGTGAATTACACAAAGTGACATTTCTGCTGTGCACAAATACATTTTATTGATAGCTTCATTTGAGAACACGTCTGTTACCGAGGGACTGGAACAATGTTGCACCTGAAACAAGAGAAAGGAACATTACTTTTCTGTTTTGAGGATGAGTTGGTGGTGATTATGTGATTCTGCTGGAGGCCCTCACCCCAGCAGCCCCCTGCCGGACCACCGCTGTGGGGTCAGAGTCAGCGGACAGCGGTCTCCACTGCGGACCACCACCACACGTAACGCTCGCTGGATAAGATAAGATAAACTTAGGGACACACGGGGTCTTTTGATGGAGGCTGTATTTCTACCACACAGGTGACTATTTTACATTTGGTTCACGACATGCCACAATATTGACCTAAAACAGTTTGATAGCAGCATGTTGACTTCCTGTTCAGAACTGAAACTGATAAGCCCCGCCTCCTCATCGTTCAGGGATGTGGACAGTTTCATCTGATTACCATTTAATATATTTATCCAAAACATGTTTTTTATTTTCTGTGAAAGCTACTTCATGTATAAAATGTGTTTATTTGCTAAAAAACAATATTCTTGGTGTAAAGTTAGCTCAAAGATAGCTATTTTTTCAGCATCGGTTTTAATTTAGCTTACATCATAACAGCTACGACACAGATACACATTCTGATTAAACTCTATTAAAAATATAAAGTTTAAATGGAGTGCTTACCCCTTCACTGTGCTGCACAACTGAAGCAATATTCTGAAGATTTTGGAAATTGTGGGAGTTGACTGAACCAAACTCGATGACTTCATCTCCGACTCTGAGTCCCTGCAAAAGCAACGTTCAAATTAAAACCAAAATATACAAAGAGAATTGTATATTGAACAACATTTCAAAACTGAACCACTGAAGGCTGTGTACTGAAGCGTGTTGGTGCGTGGGCTGACCGCAGTGTGAGCAGGAGAGCCGGCTGTGACCGCATCCACTCGAGCGAAGGCTGCAGCGCTGGCCTCCTCCTCCTCCATGGGCTCGTCGCGGGAGGCTCCGGAGCCTCTCGTGTCCTTCTCCTGAGAGTGAAGCTGGTGAAGGGCGTCCTCGATCTGCGCCATGATCGCCTTGTGGTCATTCTGCAGGCCTACAGAGGAGAGCTTCTAAAGGCTTTGTTTTATCACACGTCAAGAAACATCTGCTGTACTTTAGTAGCACAAACTAAACGCTGGTAACTGTAACTTTAATTTTGTGTTTTGAGTTTGGAATTGTCAGAGTTGCATTAGAGGCTCAAATGCACTGGAACTGTAAATGATTGTGTGTTGATAGGGGGCAGATATAATAAGTTTTTACTTCTTTCTGCTCCTTTTCAGTCATGCTAAATGCTGTTGTTGCATTTGTTTTTAAAAGAAAGAATTGTAAAACACAAACTGTAATAAAGTGTTCTACGATGGGAGACATACAGTAAGTCAGACAAACATATAATCTGTTGCATACTTGTAAGTGTAAGGGGATTTTCACTGTTTACGTTTCTGCGCATGTGGCGACCATGTGACCCCTGTTCTACTTTGGGGCTCTCGACATACACCTCGCTGCTCGACAGAATCTCCAACTACAATTTTTGCCTCTTCATCCACACTCCTCACTTCACTCACTCGGTCGGCTGCATAAGAAAGAGCCCTGTGAATCACTATTTGACGCTTTGGGCCGAGAGCTGAGCTGAACTTCTGTTTTTCACTTTTCTGTCTGAAAAAGCTGATCTAAATATGTGTCAATGGATGTGACAGAGGCCAAATATACATGCATGTGAAAACTACAGAACCAAGCTGTCCTGAGAGTAGTTGGATTGGATTACACGGTTACATTTGTTGAGGTTTAGAAAGTAGGAAACCCAGCTTCAAGCTAAAATATGGTTTTACATTTTTTCTTTGAATCATGCAGAAAAAAAAGAAACTTAGACACCAACACTATCCTGGTCTGTGGCTTACGCTGAATTAAAGCCACAGGTTTATTTAAGTGATGACTTTTTGTAATGGGACATCCCTGAAAAGTATTTATTTGACGTAGAATTCAGAAACAAGTTTGAGACTCACAGGCAATCTGGTTCCGGGCAGTCCTGATCTGGTACAGGTTCACATCATCCCGGGGGAATCCCTCCTCGTCTATCAGAGACCCCTGGGTGCCCACACCCTGCTGCAGACAATTCAGCGAACATCAGCAGATGACAAAACACAAACAATCACATTCATGGAACAGTTGGGGCTGAGATGTGTCTGTTCACATTATTCCCACAATTCAAGGTGACAAAGTGGTTTGAGTGGTGTAATTTTAATCTCGAGCAAGTATCCCCAACCTACGGCCCGGGAGCTCCAGCAGCTGCCCAAAGGATTTGAACATTTCAAGTAATGTGCCCAATATTGAAATATCATGTGTTCATGATTTTTAAATAAATATTTAACTTTAAGCGCTAATAAATTGATAGATAGATTTGTTACAGTTAGACACCCATACCCAGGGGTGTCAAACTCATTTTGTTCGGGGAAAACGAGACCAGAGAGAGGCCAAAGAGAAAGAGTGATCAGAAAGAGAGAGACCAAAGAGAAAGAGAGACCAGAGAGAGACCAAAGAAAAAGAGAGAGACCAAAGAGAAAGAGAGAGACCAGGGAGAGACCAAAGAGAAAGAGAGAGACCAAAGAGAAAGAGAGAGACCAGGGAGAGACCAAAGAGAAAGAGAGAGACCAAAGAGAAAGAGAGAGACCAAAGAGAAAGAGAGACACCAAAGAGAAAGTGAGAGACCAGAGAGAGACCAAAGAGAAAGAGAGAGACCAGAGAGAAAGAGAGAGACCAAAGAGAAAGAGAGACACCAAAGAGAAAGTGAGAGACCAGAGAGAGACCAAAGAGAAAGAGAGAGACCAGAGAGAAAGAGTGATTAGAAAGAGAGACCTGATAATTACGCATACATAAATCCAAATGATGTAGTATATGTATATATTCTCTCGGTTGTAAACATCCCAAACGTTTTCAACCCTTGTCGATTAGCTTGTTAGCATGTTAGCTGCGTGAGTAGCACTTACGTCTTCCAGTACGTCATAATAAGCTTTAATCTGCTCCTCCATCTCATCCTTCTTTTTGATCAGGTTCTGCACCTCCTCCATCGTCAGTGCAGTGTTCTCAGGCGCTGCTGCTGCTTCTTCTGTCAGCCTCATCTTCATCAAAGTGTTTGTTTACCTCCAGTCTCACTTCCGAAACAGGATGACGTCACCCCGCAGACAGACGTTCTTCCGCGTCACACTGCCCCCACGCGGGCAAAGCTTCCCCTTGTTTCCCTTCACAAACTGATCCCAACGTGAAAATTCGTCCCCAGAGTTGTGCATTTAAAATAAGAATTATCACTACACACTCCAGACAGACGTGTTCAACATACACAGTGCCAGGGAGATTATTATGGAGATATGATCATGTGTTTAGTTACAGAATACTTGCTTTAAAATGTACGACTTCACAGTTTCAGTGTATGTAAAATGGCAGAGACAGAGTCGAAATAGACTCTGAACAGCGGATTGAACCTATAACAACTGAAGATAAAAGTGATCATAGATGGAGGACCTTTGTGTGCATGCGTATCATTAGACACTGAGAAAACATGACAAAGACCTGGTAATTACTCAAATACATTTATTAACTTTGTGTAAACAGTGCAGTTATAAATCCTTCCGACACAAATGGGAAAGGCACAGATGCTTCGAGTCCTTCAAATAGAATCACAGTTGTGGAGTACAGGGCCAGAGCTATAGTGGCCCTAGGCACGATTGTGGTTGTGGCCCCCAAACGAAAAGACAAATTAAGACAAACAATAAGACATGTCTGATGGATTCCAATTTTAAAATAAATATCTCACCACATTATAACTGGTTGGGTTGGCTTTTTAGACATGTCATTTCCTATATCTCGTTGCATAGATGTTGTTCTCAAACTTAGATATTTGGAAACATCTATGCAAAGTCTACAACAGGACTTTTTCGGTCTAAATCATGTAATTATAAAAATATATTAATTATTCTAAATGTGGATCAACCCATAGAGAGTACATACAACATGTGGACGTGTGCGACATTAAACGATAAGAAAAGATCAAAGGGTTAGGGTTACACGTCATGTAGAAAAGCCCATATATCATCCATGGCTCATAATCACATTCACCTATTCATATTGATTAAAATAAATATTCATTTTCATGCAGTAGAAAATCATACAATTATTCTGATTTTAAAACAACTCTGTTTGTGTCTAATATTTACGTCACAGTTTCTGATCTCCATCCTTAAAGGGACAGTATACACGCTTAGTGGTTTAATCAAGTCAATCCAACTGGTGTTAACAGAATATTCCTGCCTTAAGTAAAATGATTCAATGCACTGATAAAACATTCTTATGAGGACTTCACATACTCCTCGATGTACCGGCTGCTTCGTAGTGCTAATGAACCTGTCAAGTTACCCAAAAATCACAAATGCCTCACTGTTCTCTGCTGCGTTAGAGTTTCTGTGATGCAAAACTGTTGGAGGTAAAGATGCCGACCAAAATTCCTTTAAATTCACACATTGTTTGCAGAAAAATGCAGAAGAAAAATCCTTCGTTGAGAGAATCTGAAATCTGTCATCCATAGACTGTAGAGGACCCATAGTGTTTGCCTTAACGCAGAAGAAGCCTAACTCAGACTTCATGGGTGGGAATCTAGAGCCAAATCCATGGGTAGCAATCACCTAGCAACCAAACAGCCAATCAGTTGTTTAGTAACATGTCGATTTACAACTGTATAAAAATATAAAAACACGAGGACCATGTAGAGCAGTCCATCTCCCATAGTAGAGCAGCCTCCCCCCTTCTTCTTAACAATGAGAGTAGGAGCCAAACTTTGAGCACAAACACTTCCTTATTAGGCTTCATAGAGCAAGCGGGTGAGCATAGTCCAGTCTATGGTTATAAATAGTATCCGAGTTAGTTGTCAGTACCGTCCGTCTCCTGGGCAGAAGAAGAGTTCTGGGTCTGAGCATTGATCTCATTCTGGACCAGAGCAAACTTGGAGGTGGTCTCGTCTAACTGAGCCGTGACCGTCTCCATCCACTGGGTCATTTGCGTGCTGAGAGCCTCCACGCCCCGGTCCAGACTCTCCTGTCGGGACTTCAGCTTCTCCAGCAAGAGATGCGTGGTTTCGGTTGCGTGTTTCCTCCTGTGCGCGGCAGACGGAGCACTCTGGCGCAGCATGTAGCCTTCAAACTCCTCGGGGCTCATGTTTAGAGAAGATCCATCCAGGTTTTCGATGAAGGCCACGGCACACGACTGCAACACACGTTCACGGCGCGTCAACTCACTAATGTCAGCACAGATTTTATAAACAGAACGACCTCAGATTCTACAACTCTGCCGGCACTGACGCATTTGTATCGTACATATCAATCATAAGGTTTGATTTTAATGTATCGCTTCTGTAGCTTTATAAAAGGTAGGTACACTAGTTTTATCATTTCTCTCAAGATGTAAGCTTTATTTGTCCCTCAGTGGGGTAATTTCAGTGTCGTCGTTGGGCAAGCTAAAAATAATGTATTATTTAAGATCATAAATTGATCATAAACAGATAATTAGTTTGGTGCGGTGAGTTTTCGAATATGTGGACTCACTAGCGTCGATGCCTCTGCCGTATCTGAAGTCTTAGTTTATTCATTCAGACATTAAAAAGACAGGAATTGACAAAAACAATCTAGCTATAATTGCACTTGGGTCAAAAAATCAGTAATGTATACACTGCAGATAGTATTTCCCCCAGTTAGCATGTTGCTCGTCTCAAGAGTTTTCTAAAAAGGTAACAGCACAACATGGCGTCTTCATCTTTTTAGAAAACATCTTTTTCAATAAAAATAAATAAAAAAATAAATGAAGAAATAAAAAAATAAATGAATTTAAAAATATATATATAAATGAATAAATACATTTAAAATAAAGCTCAGGGACTTGAATGTGTTTGTTCTCTATTTTTATTTTATTTTTTTGTGTGTTTTTTTTGCTGTTTGCTATGCATCTGTCGGCCGGCTTGTGTCTTTTGTTTTGCTGTTGCTTGGTAAGTGGGGGTTTGTCATTGTGTTGTGTGTTTTGTATGTACATGTTGTGCGTGGATGTCTAGTGACTGCGTGTCTGAAATAAAAAATAATCATTAAAAAAAAGAAAAGAAAACATATTTTACATGTTTTAAAAAAAATAGCAATAAAAGCATGTATTTTTTACTTGTTATAAGAAATTCCACGGGGCATTTACCAGGTTGGTGAAGAAGTATCCGCTCTCCCCGGCCATGAGGCTGTGTGGCAGGCCGAAGCGGATCACGTACTGCATGTTGGAGTGCAGGCGCGGGGGGTTGGCCTTGAGCAGCACGTAGACCAGCGCCGACAGGAAGTCATCCGCGTTGGCCGGCTCGCTGTTGGAGATGGACAGAGCCTGGAAGATGAGCTGGCAGCATTTGGACACACAGGCCAGTTTGTCCTGAGGGGCGCGCTTCGGATCCACCTCGATTATGGCTGAAATGACCAAAAAGGCGTCGCATTGTTAGTGTTCCGTCCATTTTGGAGTCTCACTCTTTCAAAAACTTCAGATCACTGCTCAAAACTCACCTGTTGCATCTTCCATTTCCTTAATTTTTGTTTGTTGTTGTGCGAATGTGAATGATTGGTGGCTTTGGTCAGTGGCTACAGTGTTAGTTTACCCCCACTGTGTAAATGACCGTGTAAATTCACTGCAGACAACACCAGGAATCTAACGTCTGACATTCATTAAGGTTGACATTATCATCAATAAACAAGGGCAGAAACAAAAATGTAACTGTGACTAGTCAACAAATACAATTTATAGGAACTGTCTTTTGATCATTGTAATCCTTAAAGGGACAGTACGCAATATGCGCAATTTGTGGTCTAATAATTACAAACACTTTTTTTTTTTATTACTGATGCAATCCACCGGCTAGAAACTGTAAAACCATGTTATGTTAGACTACTTTCTTATCATATAAACATTTATTTGACTTAAAACCAGCAACATTTCACCTAACAATCTAGCAATCTAAATGAGGGCCCCATTCTGCTCTCTGATTGGATAATCTGATTGTAAACATATGTGTAATATATATTTTGGGGATCATGTTCTTTGTATTTTTACTTAAGAATAATTCCACTTTAAACTTTTGTGCAGAAAAGGTCTGATATGATGTGTACCTGTTATCTGTTATCTGGGGACACACCGATATAGAAGGTATAGATGTAATTTGAAAATATATGTCAAAGCAAATTCCAAGTTTGTGAATTGTGATGAGAGACACAAACAAACGCCGGGGAACACCTTGGGATTCCCGGGGTGAGATGGGGGAAGTGTGCATTGAGGACGTCTGGGAGTCTGACTGTTGTAACGGATAAAGCCAAAGAAAATGGATGGATGGACAATATAAAGGTTTTTGACTCCACTGGCTCTCGACCTGAAGTTTGGAGACCACTAATCTCGATAGAAACTGTTCTGTGTGTTCTGAACCGAGAAAGAGGAGCAGAGAGAAGATGAAATAGTTACCAGTGATCGCAGGCAGGAAGGGGTCTCCAGCAACTCCAGTGGGTGTGTCGGGGAAGGGCACATCCAGCATCTCGGGGGTCACCCAGTTTAACGACCTGTGGACACAAGCATCACCACATCTTTAATCTTGGGGAATGTGCCTTTAAAAAAGTTCTGATGTCTTTAAGTGAAGGTCATTTACTTTTCAAATTGAGCAGAAGAAGAGATGATTTTCCAAATGTATGCATCAATTAGACCCGCCTCCACAGCTTCCTGATTGGACGCAACGAATTGATAGACAGCTAAGGCCAACATCTATACTACTCCAGAAAATCTTACTGGGGATTCCTATTCCAAGGGGCGGGACTGTTTAAAATATATTTATCATTTAAAAGATAATTATGTCTAGGGTTCACCCATTTCCTCAGTTGGGTCCAGTTTTAGACCGAAAGATTTGTTTGCGGAAATGGGTGGAGTCAGCTTGGAACCAAAACCAGCAGCCACACCGGCTCTTTCTGAAACCAGTTTGACCCCCATGTTTTAAATGAATACATATCTGTCGTCCCACAAGTTGCATCACAAGTTACAGAATAGTAAGAATGAGCAGCACACACTTTGACTGTGAACTCACAAAACAGTTAATAACTTGTTTAATTGACTGTTTTAACTGGTCACAACATGATTTAGTGATGTGATCAGTTAAATTAATCCAATTATTTAATGGTCTTTTTACGCACTTTAGATGATCAAAGCACTCTATTTTGACAATAATATTCCTACTAAAACTCAATCCTAAAAACCCTTATCAATCACATTAGACATTAGACTTTCCCTGCACTTCCTCGTCTGTCTCTGTGGTTCACATAAACAAACCGGAAAACTAACGAACTTCTGATTGGAGGAGGAGCTGGGGTCTGATGCACTAACCGTATCCGTCTCTGTAGAGTTAGATCTCTCTGTTCGTCGTCGGAAGAGTCGTGACAGAAAACCCAGCGGTGCAGACGCGACATCACCAGCTTCTCCACGTGCTCCATGACGTGGTGGATCTGCGACTCAGGGATGCCTGAAAAGGAGCCATTTAAAGACGGGATTGTAAGGTTTAACAAATGATTACACAATTGTATTCTTATTTTTGTCTCTGCCACCAAAAGCCAGTGTTGGATTTGGTCAACTGTGTCCCAACCATAGACTGTAAATATTAACGGACGTAGTCACACCTATCTCCGCCTAACTAATGGGCCAAAAATTGGGCTTTCATGGAGTGATTCAAAATGGCCGCAGGGGCTGGAAAATGTGAAAAAAAAGCATCTGCGCATGTGTCAGCTGCACGAGTCCCATTCATTTAAACGAGTGACTTCAAAAATTCACAGCGACTAAACTAGACTGGTCCAAAACACTCCCTCAGCATTGACACACATGTGGAACGGAGTTTTGGACCAAGAGCCAACTTTTGGACCATCCTGTAAAGACGTTTTCAAGAGGTAAGAAGATGCTATATGTTAGCATTGGCTAATTCTTATTCCGGGTCCACCCCCATCGGCCCGGGGTGGTATTGCAGCATGTCAGCGCACGTCATTTTGGCCACTTTTGAGCTGGGACCCGCCCCCACTGGTCCCAAGGAGTGTGCATACAAAGCATAAGAAATCACAGTCCATTCAGTGGATTATCAGGCAGAGAAAACCTTCCAGAGCTCTACTTCTGATGTCACAGATCTATCTTACCAGTGGCTCTAATTTTATCCAGGTTAAACAAAAGGTTGAATAACAATGTAATAAAAAAAAATAGCAAAGCCGACATTTACTCACCATTAAAATATGTGGCAAAAGACTGGTAAAAATCCAGGACTATTTCTGACTGCTTCTGCACTGGCAAACTCTGCACAAATGGGAAAAAACATTCAGGACCATTGAAAAAGTTGATATTTCATCTCTTGAAATATAAGTAGCGTACATGGTAGGCCTCGATGGTGTTGAGGAAGGCCGTACAGCGGGACTGCATGCGCTGGCACGGAGGAGAGCGGAGCAGTTTGATGAAACCACAGAAATTCCCACGCTCCAGACTTTGGAAGGCCTTTATCGTATCGGGGTCAATCTCAGACGTTTCTATGACGACAGAAGTTATGAAGAAGGAATATTGTCAATCAGGGAGGACTGCACTATCTGTGTGTAGTATACAGTTATTAATTAGTGTGTTGTATATATTGTGTCTCATTATGGTTAAGGGTGCTACATTTGACCTGTATTTTAATGCTAATAAGGCTATTCTTATATATTCATTCTTGGCACAGCGTAAACCTGCTGTCACTATGCCTCTGCCCAAGGACTATGGATGAAAATTAGCAAGTAGCTGTAACTACGTTGATCTCCAAAAAAAAAAGGACTTAACGTGGAGTTAAAGGGGAGCTTGTTGAAAATTCCATACAGTAAATCACAAATTGTTACAGGTCTCAAAATAAACCAATCGTAGAATAATACTCTTTCCAAGCTGCAAAAACGTCTCTTTATAGCAGCATACTTTAAAATACTTCTCCATTTCTTCTTTGAGAGGCAAACATAAACGGCCAAAAATGATCAGAGTTGCCATGGCAACCGAAGCGTCGGTTATACTCAGTTATAACTTGAGTTGTCATGGTAACCTTAGCGCCAGTTACAGTAGCAATCACCGGTCTGTGCAATACATTTTTTGTGCAACGTGCGAGGCAACTAGATAATTAAATACCAACAAATCCCCAATTAAAATGTTTCTGACAGATTGTTACATTTCTATTTTATTTGCGTTATTTGCTTGTTATTGGAATAGATTCAGAAACAACTATAAGGCTCTCTCTTCACATCCACTACCTTCTTTGGTGGAGGATGGAGAGCCCCAGAACAGTCTCCTCATGGTGTGAATACGACGTCCTTTCTCCGCGCTTTTCTTCTCCTCAAACTTGGAGAAGGTGACGGGCGTTCCATCGTTGTTGGGTCTAAAGCAGAGACGCAGACTGAGACCTGTGCAGTCAGTGCCCTCCACACACACACTATATACTGTACAATCTTTCTGTTGGCTTTAATTTCTGTGTTTAAAGCCACCAGTGTTTAAAGCAAGTGTTGCAAAAGGGCCACAACAACTGTATTTTGAACAATAACAGAAGTAGTTCAATCTTTGTGGTCCAATAAAGCAGTGTTTTTCAACCAGTGTGCCGTGGGACATTAGTGTGCCTTGAGATGTTGTTTGGTGTGCCTTGGGAAATATTCCAATATCACATAATTGGTCAAAATAATGTGAAAAGAAAATTATGAGAGAAGATTAGAAAGACTTTTTGAGCTCATTTAATTTTCTATATATATCTACCTTGATTAGAATGACTTTGCTTTCATACTAAAAGCTGCAAAGTTTCATGTTTGTATCAGTTTCAGCCGGTGGTGTGCCATGTGAGTGTTTTCAACCAAAAAGGTGTGCCACGGCTACAAAAAGCTTGGGATACACTGCAATAAAGGCATCAGAGTCGTAGCTACATGCCAGCACTGCCTCCTCATGCTGTGATGCTGTAATACCTGCTCTCCTGGGAGTTTGTGCCCTGGGGCCGGGTCTTCTCTCTCCAGCACTTGGAGCAGTACCCTTGCCAGGCCGGGTTGCCATAGAAACCACAGGAGTTCTTACACAGGAGTTCCTGCTGGGACACGCGGATCCCTCGCTGCTTGTACGGCCACATGTCGCACGGCTTTAGTCTGAAGTGAAAGCAGGGAGTCAACACAACTTTTAATCCGACTTGAGTCATACAGATTATTCGACAGTGCAACGGAAATGTTTCAAAAGACTTTCAAATTACAAGATGGATCTTACCGCAAGACAGATACTAGTAAAATGAGCATTTGAACCATTTTGTGTATCATTGTTTGTATGAAAAGCTCTTTATGAATACACTTTGATATGATTACATTTGATTTATAAAGAGGGTCTAAAGTAAACCTTCCATTCTCCATGAGGATAAATATGAGGAAAAAACAATACAAAAAAATACAAAATAAAAAAATAAATAAAAAAAACACAATACAAGGGGCGACAGTAGCTCAGTTGGTAGAGCATTGGCCTTTGGGCCTGAAGGTCGTGGGTTCAAGCCCACCATAAGACCTACTTCACGACTCCCACTGATGACTGCTGTCGTTGTGTCCTTGGGCAAGACACTTAACCCCACTTTGCCTGAAGCCCCAACTGAAAGATCTCAGCTCCTGTGGACTCACCACCTGCAGAGGATCAGTGAGGGGCTGGTGCTCTGTGACTGGGTGCAGCTCTGGCCACCCCCCCTGACCCAGAAATGGATTAAGGGGAAGAAAATGGATGGATGGAACAATACAATTTGGCATTTGAAAAAAGCCGCAAAATAAAGTATGTTGCTGTAATTAGAAAAACACTGGAGTGGAATAAATTACACACAAGTGAGTTTATACCAGACTGTGGAATATTCCTGACAAAGCAGGTGATGGACCCTTCACTATATAAATAATGTAACGTTATTCCAAATCTGCTCCAAGTGTACACTGTCAACATAGATGCACAACACCCATAGAGGAACACTAACAGATATAATTGTGATAGAATTGTCATGTAAGGATGCTTATTTAAACCTCACAGCATGACAGTCAGCTGATGCAACAGGCTAATGTTAGCATACAGAACGAGTCAAGACACAGACTAAACCCCTTTTACCTGAATGATAACACTGGTGCATAGTATTCAGGACCATGATCCTAAAGCAAGAGGACTTACGGAGTGACGAAAGTTACTTCCTCATCAGATCCATTTCAACCTTTACTCGAACAACTTTACGATCAAATAACGACTTTCCCCACTACAATAAGTTATTATAATCGAACGCCATTTTATCTCAAGATAGAAAACAAAAAGGCCCAATCCTACAGTTTGTTGTCATTAAACGCACAAACTTTAGGACGTAGAGAAGCCACAAAGTAAGCGGCTTCTGAGAGGCGGAAGTGAAGTGATATGTTTTTCAAAATAATGGTCCCAATCTGAAATACAAAAATACCTAACAGAACAATACATGTTTTTGGGGAATTGAAAACACTTACATTATTTGTTGAATTGATCATCTATCACACTGCCTTTAATAATGAACTACTACTAATATTACCATACATATATTTATTTACCATGTGGATATTGTCGTGATTTAGACTATAGATTCAAGCAACAACTTTACGGGTTTATTCCATTAATCCATGGTTTATTCAGCGTCTCTGGAACATGGGTCTATAATTACAACGCTCTCGAACCATTCAAAAAGTAAATTTTTTCTCGTACTTCTGGTAAAACCCTTCACAATAAAGCTTACTTCTATTACAAACAGAATACGCCATAGTTATCTCTATTTAAGATATTTATATGAATGTATTCCAGGTTAAAGTGAGATCTGAAGTGACAGACATTTACAGTTATGGAGATTCTCACTTTCATTTTGTTTCTTTTTTTCAGATTCAGATTCATTTTATTTGACATTTGCAGTGAAACCAAACCACATTGAAATACATTTGTAAAAGTCACCAGTGTGCACAAGACAATTACATACATGAGTGTGACACAACCATTTGAGCAAGAGGAGTTTACTTTTACTTTCACTTTCTTGCTATGTGGAGCAATACTTGAACACCTCCCATGGTATTAGGCCATATTACACAGGCATGGGGCTGTCTGCATGCACCATAGACTCAGGGCAGTCCCATGTGGTGTCACCATAGACTGTAAAATCACGTGCAACTGACAATTGATTTGATGGTTTATAGTGTGCTCACAACAAAACCAAAATTGGACTGTCATTTTCGTTCCATCTACGCTTGCGCAGTGGTAGATGGATCAGACAGGTCACCAACATCACCATTCTTTAAAAAAAAAAAAAAAAAGTCTGTGATAATAAATAACCCACAACACTGACGTTTATTCTGAGTGCGTGCGGGCGGGGCTCTGACGCTGACCAATCAGGTGACGCGATGCGGAGTTACTTCCTGATCCGGAACACAGACAGTCCAGTTTGATCAGCTGCGAACTGCTCACGACAACTCTCCACAAGTTTCCTCCGTGTCCAACAGCGCTCGGCATGTCTCTCTGCGGGAGGAGCAGCAGCGCCAGGGGCAGAAGGACACGTCTCTAACCGGAGGACTGCATCTCTTTCCCCCGGCCCGGCTCCGGTGCTCACACTCGGTCACTGTTATTGTTGTAGCTTGTTGGCTAACGTTAGCTAATTGTCTGATGTGTCGCCCGCTCCGACATGGAAGGTAGAGAGGCTCTGCGGCTCAGGTAGGGCTGCTTGATATTGATATTAATGTCTTTTTTATTGTGACTTTGACAATCCATGCACTCAGCTGATGATATGTCAACAACAACAAACAAGTCACTTTTCAGTCACTGCATTAAGACTGAATAACCTGCACTACTATAGACGCTTCTTTCTTGATTGACACTTTTTGTACATAATATATCTTGCATTAACATATTGCACGTTTCTTACTTTTTGCACAATTCTTGAGTGTTCCTATCCTTGCCAATGTGACATGTACATTTCTCCTGTGTGAGATTAATAAAGTACATCTTATCTAATCTAAAGCCCGTCTCTAACATGTATTCAATATGCATTCTATCTCTAGTCTATCAGCAGGATGTGAAGTCACTGTTGTCCACTAAAGTGCAGACATATCATTAAAAACCCATTTTCAATTAAACAGTTAGTTGTTGTTGTTCCCACGTTTCTTGCACAACCATCTTGTTATAACATCAAAACACACCACGCACCTATAACCATGCTATAAATAACTAACATCAGGGCTTTAACAAGTTAATCGATTATATATATAATTGAATTAACTGCCTTATCTAGTGACAGAATAATCGTTTATTTGTTTTATGTATTTAGTTAAAGCATGATATGTACAATGGAAAGAAAGCTAACCCCACCATTATGGTTTTATGACAGTAAAATTCTGTGATTACTGTCTATCTACAGATCTTTAAGCTTTGAGCTAGACAAAATAATAATTGCAAGACTGATCGAATGGCTAAATGTTAGTTTGAGCCCTAAATTACATTCATGAGGGATGTACCAATATACCAGAAGAATGGGTCCCAATCACCCATGCAGAGTGCGCTAAACTGACAAACCTCAAACATAACATCTCAGAAAGTATTTTGACAATGGACAGTAAGCCATAATAATTCATTTACAACAAACAAAAGCGATTGAGATGGATGGATAGATACTTTATTGATCCCCCATCAGATAAATGTATGTGTCCAGCAGCAGAAACACATCCATACAAACTTTTCTTCTTGCATGTAACAGTTAAACAGCACATTGTGGCTTCGCATTTAAGTTCTGAGTTTCACTGGACACAATTAGCATGCCACAATGTGTTATGTATGCTCTGTGAAAAGTGTCAGTAGTGTTGGGACCTCTCTAATTTGTTAAGAAGGTTTCAACTAAGGCCGCACATTCCCGTAGTCTGGACTAGCATGCTGGATTAAAAAAAGCACCTCTCTAATCTTTCCCTTTAATGATCTTGATGAATATCTGACCACCTCTTGTCTCAGGTATCGTCGTCCCCAACTGAAGCCTGAGCAGGATGAAGACTCTGACGGCGAGGAGGAGCCTCACCTGTCCTTGCGTCCGTGGGAGGGGCCGGGATCCGGGGTGCAGCAGGTCATTCACAGCGGACACTTCATGGTCTCGTCCCCACACATCGAGCACACCCCGAAGAAGGGCTACGACTTCGACACGGTCAACATGCAGACGTGTCAGACCTACCACTTTGGGAAAGCCAGCATGTCCCACATCTCCATCGACGCCTCGCTCACCAAACTGTTCGAATGCATGACACTGGCTTACAGGTGAGTAACCCTAACCCTAACCCACTGCTAGTAAATCTAACATCTACAAGTCTTCTAAACATTCAATCCAACTGTATCTGTTTAGTTCTGTATCAATAAACACTTAATAAACATAATTCATTCCCGTCCAAACCGTCATATTTTGTAAATCGGGAATGATAAACAGCACTTATGACATATGGAATCCCATTGGCAATATCCAGAATAGAGTTGAGTTTGAATGTATTGTTTATAATCACATTAAAATTGGATATTTATCTAGATGACAGTTTATCATCATCCTCTGACAGCCACATTGGGCCGGCTGTCGGAGGTGCTCATCCCGAGAAAAAAATCTGTGGTTTATACAAAGCACAATGTGTCTATCCAACTGTCTGTGAAACTGTATGTTATTGCTCTCTGCTGTTTATTCTACTGTTTGTCGCATGGCGCCGTAAAGATGGCGCCGTGGCAAGAGCTCTTGTGTGTGTCGTCTTCTCTGTCTGGTGCACACCGGGGTAGTCTTGCACAGTTTTTCCAATGTGGTTTTACTGCAAATGGCAAATAAATGAATCTGAATCTGAATCTGATATTTATATTCAACCAATGTAACACCCTTTATTTCTCTACAGTTATTCTAATGTCTGTATGTCTTTGTTGATATTTTTCCCCAAATTGAATCAGTTGCATGTTTTGATTCCATTTCCTTATGTCTTATTCAAAACAATTTCTGGTTTTAAATTTGCGGATCATTGGCAATTTCAATACTGGTGACCCATCAGCTCAACTACTCACTACTGCTACAGCTAAATGGCAGTCACAAGTCTCCTCTTTAAGTAACTTCCTACTTTAAAATCACGCAGGCCTTGTTTTTGTATGGCTCCTTTGTAAACAGAGGCCACGAGCGCTTCAGTTAAGTGTGTGCTTCAGTTTGTGAAAGAAAACGCCTCAAGATATCAATCAGTCACCGTCACCTCCTCCATCCTCCCACACTGCTCTGGCAACATTCCTAACGCTATCCAGGATGTTTTAAACAAATGTCCTATGCATTATTTTATTTCATTGTTCAAAATCCAGACATTCATTTCAGATTTTCAGTAGATTATGCTTGAAGTTCATTCTATTCACTTGATGAACCTGTTTCAGACAATGACACAATGCATGAATGAATGATTGTAGTTTAGTCCTTTTTTGAGAACTGTTTAAGCCATAATTTAGACTCAGAAAAGTCTTAATCTAGAGTTTAAGCATTATGGTGCTCAAAGAACTAATACTTGGACTAATTCTCTACATTTCACATTACTTAATCACAAAAGTATATTGAAATGTAGACAATTAATACTAAAAATGTGTGTGTCAGGTTAGAGCGTAGTTTCAGTTAAATACTGTTAATAACATGAATTTAGGATTTTGCTCTAATCTGCTCTAATGTAGTCTCGAGGATTCTGCAGGATTAATGAAAACCTACTTAACTTTTCTCCGGTCTGTAGAAATGACCCTGATCAAACGTAAAGGTGCTTTCTGGCCTCTCCTACATTCACTCGCTTTGGATTCGTTTTCAACAAACCAAAAAGAAAGGAAACAAAAATCATATAGAAAATGCTCTTTTAAGTTACTACTACTATGAGCTTTTAAAGTTGCAAAAAAATATTGTGCATTTAGAAAAAATTTAGAGGCCAAAATCATTCCTCTTATACATTTACATTTTAGACCAATAAGAATGAATTAAATTTAGTTTTTTCCGATGCAGTAATTGTGACCATCTACCATTTGGATAGATTCGTCTTAGTCTTTCCTCGCGCTGCTGACAACAACAATGGTGTGTGTTTGTACAACTGTCGACCCCCCTGGGACTGATTTTACTTTCTTCTGTGAGTCATAAGTTAAACTTAGGCCCTCACTCTGGTGGACTGGAGAGGTATTGTATCAGCTGTCAGGACGGATGAATGAATGGGGCAGCTCCGGTCAGGGCATATCGTTACTGTGGCCAGCTGGGTGAGAGGGCGCGGGTGGAGGATATGACCCTTGTACATGCATCTAAAGAAACAACACATTGGACTTGTCGGGTCCAGATCTAGGAGGGTCACAGAAAATTAATCAATACTGTATACTTTCTGAAATATTGTCTTTATGTGCAGCAATGCCATGATTCAGACCTCATCACATTGACCTGCTGAGATTTGATGAGACAAAGATATCAGAGTTAAGTCAAATGAACACGGCGGGAAACCTGTCCACTGCGTTTGAGCATTGGCCTTTGAGCCTGAAGGTTGTGGGTTCTAGCCCAACGCGAGACCTTCTCCACCGCCCCCACTGATGTCTGCTGTCATTGTGTCCTTGGGCAAGACACTGAACCCACTTTGCCTATAAGGAGCGCGGAAGTAATGTTCGCTGCATGACTTGATGTGTGTTTATGTGTATGCATCAAACTGAAATTTGCCCACTGTAGGACGAATAAAGGACCTTCTTCTTCTTGTTCTTAACCGGAGCACCAGGAGAAAACCTTCGCAAACACAGGGAGAACATCAAAACTGTACTCAGAAGGGCCCTGTTTCAACCAGGATTAGAACTCAGGACCTCTTGCTGACGAGTGAGAGTGCTAACCTTTATAAAATGTTATGTTCCTACTACAGTGGTTCCTCGCTATAACACGGTTCACCTTTTATGGAAGTTTTTATTGTCACATTTTGCTTCTCATGTGCTGCCTGTTTACGACAACATCATATGACCGTTACCTTATTTTAAAATGATAAGTAAACTTTTGTGGCTTGTGTGCAACGCGGTGATTAGTTAAGATTGAAGTCTATTGATGCTCAAGTTTCCGAAAGCAAATGAAAGAGGTACCAGGCTACATTGAATACCGTAACAATCCTACATGTTTGAACATATTGACGGCTTTGACAAACATGGATTGAAGCATTATCGGTGCAGCCAAATGCAGCCCCAGAGCTGTTTATGTTGCGGAGGATTCCCTGTGACTCAAATAAACTCGACACCGTCCTGGATTCAGCGCGAGCACTAATAATAAACCCGGCAAACCTGTGTGCTCTGCTGTACGCTCCATACCGGGAAACTCTGCTTTAGTTTTTAAGACTGAGCTGCAAATACTGTACAGCAGGAAGACGGAAAGTGCCTGCTCATCGCTTTGGCTTTTTTGAGTCACACATGTTTCCAGCACTCAGATTTAAAGAAAGAAACACCTCTAAAAGGGCTGTGTACTGTCTGTGGTGCAGACTGTTGCGAAATTCATCCCTGCAAACGACCTTGACACATTCTCACTACTTTGTTTTGCTTCTTGCTGTGGTCTGTGGTCTCTCAATATAGCAGCAATCTCAGGTCAAGCGCCAAAAAGAACAAACGAAGAAGAAACACATTTACATACATTGCACTTTGACGAGACAGTCTCCTTTTGATCAAACTTTAGTTGATAATAATAATGATAATAATAATAATGCATTGGTTTTATATGCAAGACACTTAACCCCACTTTGCCTGAAGCTCCTGCTGAAAGATCTAGGCTCAGGAGGATCAGTGAGGGGCTGGTGCTCTGTGTACAGCTCTTGACTGCCCCCCCCCAATCCAGAAATGGATTAAGGGGAAGAAAATGGATGGTTTTATATAGTGCTTTTCAAGACACTCAAAGACGCTTCAGTCAGACATGTTATACCTCATTTCAAAGCTCAGAACCTGTAGAATGTACTGCATCTACTATTCTGCATCTACTGTATTATTGATGACTGTGAACGTCCACAGCAGAACAGGCCTACACTGGCTTAAAGCCATTAAGATCGTAAACACAAGTCCACACTCTCATCCAGACGATTTAGAGATCAGAATTAACTCTGGTAGCTACACCTCACGGGTCTAGAATAGATCAAGACAGCATGCATACTGCACCGGTGCCTTAGACCAGTGGTTCCCAAAGTGGGGGTCCCGACCCCCCGGGGGGTCGCGGGAACCCCTGGGGGGGTCGCAAGATGATTTCCACACACACAAAAAAAAGATTTTTTTTGCTCAAAAAAAAAATAAGTTTTTTTTAATATAAAAAAGGGCTTTAAATTATAAAGCCCTTAAATATTTATTTAGCATTTGATTTGATTCAAACGGACTACTTGTTAAATTGTGTTTGGAGACTATAATATATTTTAATAACGTTAGTAATTTTGTCCCAGTCATTGCAGCGTCAATCAAAATCATCACGTAACACAGCTCACATCATGCGCAGCGACAAAGCGTGTCCTGCTGTTGTTTGCTAAAACTAAAGGTGTTTAGAGGCTACAAATAAATAATACCTGCTTTAAAATGAAACGTGGTTAATATCCACAACAGAAAAACCCGGAGGGGGAGAAAAGTCACTTGTATCAGGGGTCAGGCTGATGGTGCGAAGAGAGGGAGAGAGGGCAGAGGAGGGAGAGAGGGCAGAGGAGGGAGAGAGGGCAGAGGAGGGAGAGAGGGCAGCGGAGGGAGAGAGGGCAGAGGAGGGAGAGAGGGCAGCGGAGGGAGGGAGGACAGCGGAGGGAGGGAGGGCAAAGGAGGGAGAGAGGGCAGAGGAGGGAGAGAGGGCAAAGGAGGGAGAGAGGGCAGAGGAGGGAGAGAGGGCAGCGGAGGGAGGGAGGACAGCGGAGGGAGGGAGGGCAGAGGAGGGAGAGAGGGCAGAGGAGGGAGAGAGGGCAGCGGAGGGAGGGAGGACAGCGGAGGGAGGGAGGGCAGAGGAGGGAGAGAGGGCAGAGGAGGGAGAGAGGGCAGAGGAGGGAGAGAGGGCAGAGGAGGAAGGGAGGACAGCGGAGGGAGAGAAGGCAGCGGTAGAACAGCGCGTTAAAGAGGCCCGGCTTTTCGGAGTCAAAGGTAAAGAGGTCCGCACATTAAAAGCGGGTGGCCGGTTTATGCCTTTACTGACAGTAACTTTGGAAAGAGAAGCCGCGGGGATGAACCGCATAAAGTAACAGCAGAAAGCGGCCGCCCGCTTTTAATGTGCGGACCTCTTTACCGCTGACTCCGGAAAGCCGGCCCACTTTACCGCGGTAGGAGAACAGTGAGGGCGAGCCGCAAGAAATGCGCTCCACTTCTGCTGAGGAGGGAGCCCACCAAGCCCATCACTGTGTCACTACATGAGTAAAAATATGCAAGCCTCCTTTTTTGGGCTGGACAGTGCAGCTCGGTAGTGGCGTGAGTCTCTAGAAAGCGTTACTCCGTATCAAGGAAATACATGCTCATTTCATGTGACGAAAGGGCGGTTGGGGGGCGGGGGTCGCGGGTTAGCAGGGCATTTATGATGGGGGTCGCGGGCTAAAAACTTTGGGAACCCCTAGACTGACCTAAAGCACCGGTGCCTTAGACCACGGCACACCAGACAATATCATACGGCACACTAGTGTGCCGCGAGTGGTTGAAAAACACTGCCTTAGACTGACCTAAGGCACCGGTGCTTTTCGGGGCTCAGGTTACTGATTGTGTGTCGGTCCACTTTTCTTCAATGACTGCCACTGGGACAGAAGCAGTGAATGTGCTCATTGAAACAGAATATTTGTGAATAACACCTGATAAAGATGTCCTTTTGAGCATGAGTTTAATATTTTTATTAAAATGCATTTTAATAAATTCATATTTGCATTATTCATATTTTGTTCAGTGTTTAACCATTTTAACCAGTTAATTTACTTTGCACTAAAACACAAAGTTAAATTAGTCATGTCCTATCTATCCACAAATTTACTATTCCAACTGAAGTCATAAAATAATGAATCTTCAGTCAGTCAGCCTCTTTGTGTTTCCATAACCCATCCTGTACCTCTCTTTCCTTTGTGATGTACTTGAACTGTTGTGTCTCGTGGTCAGTGGGAAGCTGGTGTCTCCCAAATGGAAGAACTTTAAGGGCCTGAAGCTGCTGTGGAGGGACAAGATCCGCCTGAACAACGCCATATGGAGAGCCTGGTACATTCAGTGTAAGTGTCTGCTGGAAAAGCTTTTCTGCAGATCGATGCAAATCACTCATACTGTAACTAATGATTATTTGTAAACTTGTTATAAACGTAAACATTGATTTAAAGGCATGCTTAAGAAAATCTAAATAAACTTTTAATTATGTGGTCTGTAATGTTCTATTCTAGATTCAGATTGTAGATGTTTGCAGACAAAAGCACTGTTTGTTTTTATTGCTACAAGAAACAAGTTGCAGCAGAATGAAGCTTGTCTGTGTTGTTACAAGGGGCACATGTTCAGACTCCTCATGGGAGGAGAAAGGCTTTGTGTTGAAGTGTTCATGTGCGTGAACCTTCCACATGGTGTACAGTTTGCATGTTCTCCCTATTCTAACTATTTTAAACAACACAACTTAGACAGGAGTAAGCATATCCTTTCTGCACTTTAGATGTGAAACTGAAGTTTGTGCTTGTGCCCAGACGTGGAGAAGAGAGAGAACCCCGTGTGCCACTTTGTCACGCCCCTGGATGGAAGCCTGGACCTGGACATCCACCGAACGGCTGAGGTACAAACAACACAATGTTCACATCAGGACTGATGTCATCTCTCTAAAATGTAAACCTGATCTTTATACGAAGGATCATGGCAAAACTTAACAATGAAGGGCTACACTTGAGTACCAACTGAAGCAGAGTTCACAAACACAGGGGATACGTGGACTCACCAAAGTAACTGGAACTCATAGTGATTATCCAAAAGACAACAAGCTGTTTCCTCTTTTTACTGCTGCTATTCTTATTATCTTCCATTTGATATTACCTGGGAACTTTGAGTTTGACCTGGTTAGTTCTTGGATGGAAAACCTCTGGCAATACCTGGTGGCACAGTGGGGCTGTAAAGCATTGAACTATTCCAGTGTCCAGGGCAAGACACATTTGTCCGTGTGAATGATTGGCGGTGGTTGGAGGGGCCAGTGGCACAGTATTGTTGCCTCTTCTGTCCCAGGGCAGCTGTTGCTACAATAGTAGTTTAGCACCAGTCTATGAAGTGATGAATAATGCCATGTGGAGCGTTGCATTGTTTATGTAACTGCTGTGTTTGTCCATAAAACGCAATTGCATTTTTTGCCAAACCTGTCGCCTGCTCGTACCTCTAACTCTAACGCTCTGTTTGTCGTCTCCAGGCCATCGCCAATGAAGGCAGGGGCTGGAAAAGAAGAATAGAAATAGTCATCAGGGAATATCACAAATGGAGGACTTACTTTAAGAAGCGAGTAAGTCAAAAAATAACATACATGATTCTGGTAAATACATTAAATTGGTTTTATTAATCACAGGGTTGTCTTTTCCCAGTTACAGAAACACAAGGATGAAGATCTGTCGAGCTTACTCAAGGTATGTTCTGTGTTTACAGTTGGAGGCCTTCTGTTGTGCATACTAAAGCCACTCACCCTCACTCCTACCCCACCATCACTTCTGTTTTCACTCTAAACATACAAAACTAGCTTTATGCCATTTTGAGTTATGTTGTGTGCCAAGTTTTTGTTGTGTGTTACTGTATTGGCATGTTTTTTTTTTTTTTTATTTTAACAGATATTGCAATTTCAGCTTCTCCTCTCTAACTACCGGACTGGTGGAAGTATATTTATCTGCCTAATGCCCCGTTTCCACCAGCCCCACTTGACCCTACTCGGCTCTACTCAGCTCTACTACTCTACCTGGTTGCGTTTCCATTGCGCTTTAGTGTCTGGCCCCGTATCCTAGCAACCTACCCACAACAAACCAGCATCCAGGCGACCTTCCTCGGTAACCAGGGCCTCTAGCAGCACTCTGGCCAATCACTGTCCAGTTAGAACACTTTTGTACCTGGATAGAACCAAGGCCAAGAGGGACTAAAGAAGGACCTGGTACCGGTTAAACAGAGCCAGTGGAAACGCAATCAAGGTAGAGTAGAGTAGGGCTGGTGGAAATGAGGCTCTTATCTAAAGTCATGTTCTCATTACAACATGCTGAGCTCACAGTAGTCTGTAAAGGGCGCCATGTATCCGAAACCAGGGCTGCATCCCAATTCATAATAACCACCTCCTATCTTTCATCCTCTACGGCATCAAAAACGTGTTAAATTTCACTTGACCGAACCTGGAGCTTCCCCGACTCATAAAAGGTAAATTGTAAAGCACACAGAAGGACGAGGTCGGAGATGTGTATTCTGAATTCTGATGCAGCAAAGGTGTCTGTGTGGAGAAAAATAATAAAGCATATTTCTTCATACCTTTTCTGGTTGGGGTAATGTCACCTTCTTGTCTCCATGTCAAACCTTGCCTTGAATTACCTGCCCGTATTAGCCCTGGTCAGAGAAAAAGGCCTCACTGCAGCACATTGGAAGAAAAATCCACAGGTCTAAGAGATGAGGGAGCTCTCTTCGGGCTGCACAATATATTGAAAAAAATGCAAATTCCAAATAGCAATGATGTGTCGTAACTTTGATTTATTATGTATAAATCATGCGTTTCTTTCACACATTTGCTTGTTTTTACTTTGACCAGTCACACGCAACTTTAAGTGTGTACCTTTGGAAAGTGCCGCGTTGTCATCGACGCTCACAAACTCTCGTGAACGATAGATCCAGGTGAAAATGAGATCAGCGAATAACTATTTTCTAAAAACCCATATTTCTCAAACGTGGGACTTTGCTTCAGGAAAGACGACAGAAGCAGACGCAGAGAGGAAAAACAAAGATTTTCTACCCAAAAACACAAAACAGGAGCAATCTCTGTGCTGAAAACAAAACAATCCTTGCAGGTGAAAAGGTCCCACTCTGACCTAACCTTCAATTCAAAGAAAGTTCATTCAATATAGATTTTAGTAGTTTTTTTCATGATTTTTGTTCTTATTGAAAAAATTGCATCATATATCGTTATCACAGTCCTCGACGCCATTAACGCATGTGGCCATTTTTACCAATATTGTGCAGCTCTAATGTGAACTCTGGGTGAAAGCATTTGGCCACAATCACCTGGTTTAGTCCTGATTTGCATAAATGATGTCTTTGAGTGTTCCCCTGCCCTCCCTCTCGCCTCAGTGCTGCTGCTCACTCAGGTATTAGTTTACTTTTATTGTAATTAGTCTCAGAGATCAACAAAATCAATCGGCCCAAAGTTCAGCATTCAGCAGTCCAGTGAGTTTATCTGTAAACCCGACGCTTGGCCCGGTCTGAACGAGCTCGAGGCCCAACCAAGCATAAGAAACCTGGGGACAACTTTGAGTTACTTTGTATTGTATTATGTTTGTAACCTAAGTTTGAGGTGCAAAGGTTAAATATCTGTGGTATAGTCCCCCATTAAAGTGCTGCAGTTTACTTTTACAGGGTTCCTACAGGGGTTCGCTTTGCCCCTGTCACGGTGTGTGCGAACCCCATCAGAAAAAAAACCTCATATAAAGAAATTGGCTCCTGCTAGCTTATGTTAAAATCGGCTTCTTCTGCAAACCTTTTGGGTGATGTCTGTGTGTCCTCATTCATCCCCAAAAAATATATTATAAAGTATGTCACGTTCGCCTGTAAGCCTAAGAAAAAAGGCTGTGGTAGTCATCCATTCTTTAAACGTTTTTTTGTCGAAACCTCTAGGATCCCTGTTTTAAATGAATCGAAGCACAGTTGTGTGACGTTCACCATCCTCTGATGCACTGTCAGACCGTTTAATGAGAGCATGTTGTGTTGCCACTGCCTGGACTCACTCCTGCATGTGTGTGTGTCGTTAACCCGCTGTAAGGACCCAAAGGAGCAGTTGTGTCTGTTCGGGGAAGTGTCTCCAGACATGCTGCGTTTCCCTCCTTACCAGGATGAAGACTTGGTCCTGCGACGAATGCCCCGCAAAGGCCTGGAGAGCTCCCCCGCCCCCATGGAGATGGACTCTCTGTTTGACATGGACGTGCTCATGTCCGAGTTCGCAGACACGCTCTTCTCCACACTGGCCTCGCACCAGTCCATCCCCTGGCCCAACCCCCGCGAGATAGGTACGACTCCAGGGACTGTGGAGGGAGGGTGGAAGTGGGAGGGGGGTTGTATATATATAAAAAAATAAAAATAAAAAACCACACACACACAGACTGTACTTGCTCTCAACAACTGTAAATGCATCTAATCTTGTGTGTAACAACAACATAAATAATAATAATTATGTTACAAACTGAAAACTTAAAGTGAAGGAGAGAGGAAAGAGGAATTACTGAATTATGAAAAATACTTCATATAAATGTCACCATTGAAAAATCTAAAACACTCAAAATTCTATAAAAAGTAAAGTACATTGGGTTAAGTAATAACTTGGAAATACAATGTTTATAAATTTAACGGGGACTCACTCATTTTTCTATATCAATACACACATTAGTCTGTATACGTATGTAGTCTGTATACGTATGTAGTCTGTATACGTCTGTAGTCTGTATACGTATGTAGTCTGTATACGTATGTAGTCTGTATACTTATGTAGTCTGTATACGTCTGTAGTCTGTATACTTATGTAGTCTGTATACGTCTGTAGTCTGTATACTTATGTAGTCTGTATACGTATGTAGTCTGTATACGTATGTAGTCTGTATACTTATGTAGTCTGTATACGTCTGTAGTCTGTATACGTATGTAGTCTGTATACGTATGTAGTCTGTATACTTATGTAGTCTGTATACGTATGTAGTCTGTATACTTATGTAGTCTGTATACGTATGTAGTCTGTATACTTATGTAGTCTGTATACTTATGTAGTCTGTATACGTATGTAGTCTGTATACGTATGTAGTCTGTAGTCTGTATACGTATGTAGTCTGTATACGTATGTAGTCTGTATACGTATGTAGTCTGTATACGTATGTAGTCTGTATACTTATGTAGTCTGTATACGTATGTAGTCTGTATACGTATGTAGTCTGTGTACGTATGTAGTCTGTATACGTATGTAGTCTGTATACTTATGTAGTCTGTATACGTCTGTAGTCTGTATACTTATGTAGTCTGTATACGTCTGTAGTCTGTATACTTATGTAGTCTGTATACGTATGTAGTCTGTATACGTATGTAGTCTGTATACTTATGTAGTCTGTATACGTCTGTAGTCTGTATACGTATGTAGTCTGTATATGTATGTAGTCTGTATACTTATGTAGTCTGTATACGTATGTAGTCTGTATACTTATGTAGTCTGTATACGTATGTAGTCTGTATACGTTGATGTAGTCTGTATACGTATGTAGTCTGTATACGTATGTAGTCTGTATACTTATGTAGTCTGTATACTTATGTAGTCTGTATACGTATGTAGTCTGTATACGTATGTAGTCTGTAGTCTGTATACGTATGTAGTCTGTATACGTATGTAGTCTGTATACTTATGTAGTCTGTATACGTATGTAGTCTGTATACGTATGTAGTCTGTATACGTATGTAGTCTGTATACTTATGTAGTCTGTATACTTATGTAGTCTGTATACGTATGTAGTCTGTATACGTATGTAGTCTGTAGTCTGTATACGTATGTAGTCTGTATACGTATGTAGTCTGTATACGTATGTAGTCTGTATACGTATGTAGTCTGTGTACGTATGTAGTCTGTATACGTATGTAGTCTGTATACTTATGTAGTCTGTATACGTCTGTTGTCTGTATACTTATGTAGTCTGTATACGTATGTAGTCTGTATACGTATGTAGTCTGTATACTTATGTAGTCTGTATACGTATGTAGTCTGTATACGTATGTAGTCTGTATACGTATGTAGTCTGTATACTTATGTAGTCTGTATACGTCTGTAGTCTGTATACGTATGTAGTCTGTATACGTATGTAGTCTGTATACTTATGTAGTCTGTATACGTATGTAGTCTGTATACTTATGTAGTCTGTATACGTATGTAGTCTGTATACGTATGTAGTCTGTATACGTATGTAGTCTGTATACTTATGTAGTCTGTATACTTATGTAGTCTGTATACGTATGTAGTCTGTATACGTATGTAGTCTGTAGTCTGTATACGTATGTAGTCTGTATACGTATGTAGTCTGTATACTTATGTAGTCTGTATACGTATGTAGTCTGTATACGTATGTAGTCTGTATACGTATGTAGTCTGTATACGTATGTAGTCTGTATACGTATGTAGTCTGTATACTTATGTAGTCTGTATACTTATGTAGTCTGTATACGTATGTAGTCTGTATACGTATGTAGTCTGTAGTCTGTATACGTATGTAGTCTGTAGTCTGTATACGTATGTAGTCTGTATACGTATGTAGTCTGTATACGTATGTAGTCTGTATACGTATGTAGTCTGTGTACGTATGTAGTCTGTATACGTATGTAGTCTGTATACTTATGTAGTCTGTATACGTCTGTAGTCTGTATACTTATGTAGTCTGTATACGTCTGTAGTCTGTATACTTATGTAGTCTGTATACGTATGTAGTCTGTATACGTATGTAGTCTGTATACGTATGTAGTCTGTATACTTATGTAGTCTGTATACGTCTGTAGTCTGTATACGTATGTAGTCTGTATACGTATGTAGTCTGTATACTTATGTAGTCTGTATACGTATGTAGTCTGTATACGTATGTAGTCTGTATACGTATGTAGTCTGTATACGTATGTAGTCTGTATACGTATGTAGTCTGTATACTTATGTAGTCTGTATACGTATGTAGTCTGTATACGTATGTAGTCTGTATACGTATGTAGTCTGTATACTTATGTAGTCTGTATACTTATGTAGTCTGTATACTTATGTAGTCTGTATACGTATGTAGTCTGTATACGTATGTAGTCTGTATACGTATGTAGTCTGTATACGTATGTAGTCTGTATACGTATGTAGTTTGTATACGTATGTAGTCTGTATACGTATGTAGTCTGTATACGTATGTAGTCTGTATACGTATGTAGTCTGTATACGTATGTAGTCTGTATACGTATGTAGTCTGTATACTTATGTAGTCTGTATACGTCTGTAGTCTGTATACGTATGTAGTCTGTATACGTATGTAGTCTGTATACTTATGTAGTCTGTATACGTATGTAGTCTGTATACTTATGTAGTCTTGTGTACGTATGTAGTCTGTATACGTATGTAGTCTGTATACGTATGTAGTCTGTAGTCTGTATACGTATGTAGTCTGTATACGTATGTAGTCTGTATACGTATGTAGTCTGTATACGTCTGTAGTCTGTATACTTATGTAGTCTGTATACGTATGTAGTCTGTATACGTATGTAGTCTGTATACTTATGTAGTCTGTATACGTCTGTAGTCTGTATACGTCTGTAGTCTGTATACGTATGTAGTCTGTATACGTATGTAGTCTGTATACTTATGTAGTCTGTATACGTATGTAGTCTGTATACTTATGTAGTCTGTATACGTATGTAGTCTGTATACTTATGTAGTCTGTATACTATGTAGTCTGTATACTTATGTAGTCTGTATACGTATGTAGTCTGTATACGTATGTAGTCTGTAGTCTGTATACGTATGTAGTCTGTATACGTATGTAGTCTGTATACTTATGTAGTCTGTATACGTATGTAGTCTGTATACGTATGTAGTCTGTATACTTATGTAGTCTGTATACTTATGTAGTCTGTATACGTATGTAGTCTGTATACGTATGTAGTCTGTAGTCTGTATACGTATGTAGTCTGTATACGTATGTAGTCTGTATACTTATGTAGTCTGTATACGTATGTAGTCTGTATACGTATGTAGTCTGTATACGTATGTAGTCTGTATACTTATGTAGTCTGTATACTTATGTAGTCTGTATACGTATGTAGTCTGTATACGTATGTAGTCTGTAGTCTGTATACGTATGTAGTCTGTATACGTATGTAGTCTGTATACGTATGTAGTCTGTATACGTATGTAGTCTGTGTACGTATGTAGTCTGTATACGTATGTAGTCTGTATACTTATGTAGTCTGTATACGTCTGTTGTCTGTATACTTATGTAGTCTGTATACGTATGTAGTCTGTATACGTATGTAGTCTGTATACTTATGTAGTCTGTATACGTATGTAGTCTGTATACGTATGTAGTCTGTATACGTATGTAGTCTGTATACTTATGTAGTCTGTATACGTCTGTAGTCTGTATACGTATGTAGTCTGTATACGTATGTAGTCTGTATACTTATGTAGTCTGTATACGTATGTAGTCTGTATACTTATGTAGTCTGTATACGTATGTAGTCTGTATACGTATGTAGTCTGTATACGTATGTAGTCTGTATACTTATGTAGTCTGTATACTTATGTAGTCTGTATACGTATGTAGTCTGTATACGTATGTAGTCTGTAGTCTGTATACGTATGTAGTCTGTATACGTATGTAGTCTGTATACTTATGTAGTCTGTATACTTATGTAGTCTGTATACGTATGTAGTCTGTATACGTATGTAGTCTGTATACGTATGTAGTCTGTATACGTATGTAGTCTGTATACTTATGTAGTCTGTATACTTATGTAGTCTGTATACGTATGTAGTCTGTAGTCTGTATACGTATGTAGTCTGTCTGTATACGTATGTAGTCTGTATACGTATGTAGTCTGTATACGTATGTAGTCTGTATACGTATGTAGTCTGTATACGTATGTAGTCTGTGTACGTATGTAGTCTGTATACGTATGTAGTCTGTATACTTATGTAGTCTGTATACGTCTGTAGTCTGTATACTTATGTAGTCTGTATACGTCTGTAGTCTGTATACTTATGTAGTCTGTATACGTATGTAGTCTGTATACGTATGTAGTCTGTATACGTATGTAGTCTGTATACTTATGTAGTCTGTATACGTCTGTAGTCTGTATACGTATGTAGTCTGTATACGTATGTAGTCTGTATACTTATGTAGTCTGTATACGTATGTAGTCTGTATACGTATGTAGTCTGTATACGTATGTAGTCTGTATACGTATGTAGTCTGTATACGTATGTAGTCTGTATACTTATGTAGTCTGTATACGTATGTAGTCTGTATACGTATGTAGTCTGTATACGTATGTAGTCTGTATACTTATGTAGTCTGTATACTTATGTAGTCTGTATACTTATGTAGTCTGTATACGTATGTAGTCTGTATACGTATGTAGTCTGTATACGTATGTAGTCTGTATACGTATGTAGTCTGTATACGTATGTAGTCTGTATACGTATGTAGTCTGTATACGTATGTAGTCTGTATACGTATGTAGTCTGTATACGTATGTAGTCTGTATACGTATGTAGTCTGTATACGTATGTAGTCTGTATACGTATGTAGTCTGTATACTTATGTAGTCTGTATACGTCTGTAGTCTGTATACGTATGTAGTCTGTATACGTATGTAGTCTGTATACTTATGTAGTCTGTATACGTATGTAGTCTGTATACTTATGTAGTCTGTGTACGTATGTAGTCTGTATACGTATGTAGTCTGTATACGTATGTAGTCTGTAGTCTGTATACGTATGTAGTCTGTATACGTATGTAGTCTGTATACGTATGTAGTCTGTATACGTCTGTAGTCTGTATACTTATGTAGTCTGTATACGTATGTAGTCTGTATACGTATGTAGTCTGTATACTTATGTAGTCTGTATACGTCTGTAGTCTGTATACGTCTGTAGTCTGTATACGTATGTAGTCTGTATACGTATGTAGTCTGTATACTTATGTAGTCTGTATACGTATGTAGTCTGTATACTTATGTAGTCTGTATACGTATGTAGTCTGTATACTTATGTAGTCTGTATACTTATGTAGTCTGTATACGTATGTAGTCTGTATACGTATGTAGTCTGTAGTCTGTATACGTATGTAGTCTGTATACGTATGTAGTCTGTATACTTATGTAGTCTGTATACGTATGTAGTCTGTATACGTATGTAGTCTGTGTACGTATGTAGTCTGTATACGTATGTAGTCTGTATACTTATGTAGTCTGTATACGTCTGTAGTCTGTATACTTATGTAGTCTGTATACGTCTGTAGTCTGTATACTTATGTAGTCTGTATACGTATGTAGTCTGTATACGTATGTAGTCTGTATACTTATGTAGTCTGTATACTTATGTAGTCTGTATACGTCTGTAGTCTGTATACGTATGTAGTCTGTATACGTATGTAGTCTGTATACTTATATAGTCTGTATACGTATGTAGTCTGTATACTTATGTAGTCTGTATACGTATGTAGTCTGTATACGTATGTAGTCTGTATACGTATGTAGTCTGTATACTTATGTAGTCTGTATACTTATGTAGTCTGTATACGTATGTAGTCTGTATACGTATGTAGTCTGTAGTCTGTATACGTATGTAGTCTGTATACGTATGTAGTCTGTATACGTATGTAGTCTGTATACGTATGTAGTCTGTGTACGTATGTAGTCTGTATACGTATGTAGTCTGTATACGTATGTAGTCTGTATACGTATGTAGTCTGTATACGTATGTAGTCTGTATACGTCTGTAGTCTGTATACGTATGTAGTCTGTTTACTTATGTAGTCTGTATACGTATGTAGTCTGTATACTTATGTAGTCTGTGTACGTATGTAGTCTGTGTACGTATGTAGTCTGTATACGTATGTAGTCTGTATACGTATGTAGTCTGTAGTCTGTATACGTATGTAGTCTGTATACGTATGTAGTCTGTATACGTATGTAGTCTGTATACGTCTGTAGTCTGTATACTTATGTAGTCTGTATACGTATGTAGTCTGTATACGTATGTAGTCTGTATACTTATGTAGTCTGTATACGTCTGTAGTCTGTATACGTCTGTAGTCTGTATACGTATGTAGTCTGTATACGTATGTAGTCTGTATACTTATGTAGTCTGTATACGTATGTAGTCTGTATACTTATGTAGTCTGTATACGTATGTAGTCTGTATACTTATGTAGTCTGTATACTTATGTAGTCTGTATACGTATGTAGTCTGTATACGTATGTAGTCTGTAGTCTGTATACTTATGTAGTCTGTAGTCTGTATACGTATGTAGTCTGTATACGTATGTAGTCTGTATACGTATGTAGTCTGTATACGTATGTAGTCTGTGTACGTATGTAGTCTGTATACGTATGTAGTCTGTATACTTATGTAGTCTGTATACGTCTGTAGTCTGTATACTTATGTAGTCTGTATACGTCTGTAGTCTGTATACTTATGTAGTCTGTATACGTATGTAGTCTGTATACGTATGTAGTCTGTATACGTCTGTAGTCTGTATACGTATGTAGTCTGTATACGTCTGTAGTCTGTATACGTATGTAGTCTGTATACGTATGTAGTCTGTATACTTATGTAGTCTGTATACGTATGTAGTCTGTATACGTATGTAGTCTGTATACGTATGTAGTCTGTATACGTATGTAGTCTGTATACGTATGTAGTCTGTATACTTATGTAGTCTGTATACGTATGTAGTCTGTATACTTATGTAGTCTGTATACTTATGTAGTCTGTATACTTATGTAGTCTGTATACGTATGTAGTCTGTATACGTATGTAGTCTGTAGTCTGTATACGTATGTAGTCTGTATACGTATGTAGTCTGTATACGTATGTAGTCTGTATACGTATGTAGTCTGTATACGTATGTAGTCTGTATACGTATGTAGTCTGTATACTTATGTAGTCTGTATACGTATGTAGTCTGTATACGTATGTAGTCTGTATACTTATGTAGTCTGTATACTTATGTAGTCTGTATACGTATGTAGTCTGTATACGTCTGTAGTCTGTATACGTATGTAGTCTGTATACGTATGTAGTCTGTATACGTATGTAGTCTGTATACGTATGTAGTCTGTATACGTATGCTTTCTAAACACACAATGTAGTCACCCATAAATCCCCTTTCCACCTCTCTTCCCACTTCCACAGCTCACGCAGGGAACGCAGACATGATCCAGCCGGGCCTCATCCCTCTGCAGCCGAACCTGGGCTTCATGGAGACGTTCGACCCGTTACAAGGTGAAGCCCCCTCCTCGCTGTAGAGACCTCCGCACTCACACTTTCTAATGGGGCTAGAGTGGTGGTACTAACCGGACGCTAACATAGCCTCTTGTTACAGACTTATTTCACAGCATCCGTCCGCCCGCCTACCCCTCCGCTCCCCCCACTGCCACATCTGCCCCCTCCTTAGACAGCAGCGTCTGCCCATCACAGGTAAACTCACCTCTAACGTCTGCACACTGAAGGAATGTCGAGAAAGTCTGGTAACACCGGTCGCTGTTCACTGCAAAAATGACAAAAATAAGTTTGTTTTTTTCAACATTTTGATCCTCTTATAATATTCTCCAATGGAATAAGCATGTACCTAACTTTATTTTTGTCTCATGAATTCATTTTATTTGTCTCAACAGAGAGAGACTTGGTTAAGTAACATTTTATGAACTAACCAGACCACATCTGCTGCCAACTTAAAGCTGATTGGTTGAGTGAGGGCTGCTACTTTTTTCACCACAATTGTTGCTTACTTATTATTACATAATTTATGTTTTGTGGTTTAAAAGTCCAACTCCAGCTAGTTAGAAATTGCAAAAAAGTAAAAATAAGACATTATAGTCAAAACTTAATTAATTAATATGTTATGGTTTTTTGTTTTTTTTGCAGTGTTGTGATCCTAATTTAGGCACTTAACATGAATTAACTTTAAATGTATTAACTTTTTAACACAATCCATTTATTCATATGGTATTTCTTCCGACACTTCCTGTTTATAACCCAAAGAAGTCTGAAAGATCGTGAGCCCCACTTATTCTTTTCAAAACGGCGACAATTTAGTATCTTCTCAAATCAAGATACAGTGTTTGAAGCATCGACTGTTTATAGATTGACAAAGCCTTACCCTCGAGCTTAATGAAGCCCAATAGGGAAGTGCTCATGGACGATGTTTTGCTCCAACTTTCTCTGGCTCCTATTGACATTGAAAAGTAAACTCTAGCTCAGGAACTGTTTCTGTTGAACCGACCATTTTGGGCTTAAAACATCTCTTTGACCCTGACGTGTGAATTTGATATTGTCTTTGTAAATCCAGATATGAGCCATAAGGATTAACCAATCAGACGCCTACAATTGCAACAGAAACTCCAGCTTGCCCTAGCAACCATGTTAGCAACACAAATGCGATGATGAGATGGTCTTTGGTCATTGTTTACCTTGTGGTTGCTATAGTAACGTTTACTTATGCAGCCCATGTTCAACAGGGAAGTTACACGATGAACCTTTTAAACAAACTAGAAAAACAAATATTGAGGCCTTCAACTTATTTTCTATCACTTCTTTCAATATAAAGTGTTTTAATCCTTGGACTGTGCTCTGCCCCAGGCCCAGCTTCTGTCCTCCATGCAGCTCCCTCCCTCTGGGCACTTGTCTCCAGCCGGCCCCCTGCTCCTGCCCTCCCCCATGGCCGAACAGAGCGCAGACCCCAGCAGAGGCAGCACCACAGACTTCACACCCGCTTACATGCCTTTGTTCTCAGAGCAGGTTCCCCCCAGCACTCGGTAGGCCTCAATCTTTTATCTAATTGTGATTACATAAGACACACTTTATAGGCCATTTTTTTAACCAAAATGTTGATTTTTGTGTTCAAATGGCAAAACCTCCAGAAATGTGTTACTGTTGCTCCAGACTACATTTGTACTGGATGAACCTTGATTTTTGTGCTTGTTTTAAAATATTTTGGACAATTTTCAACAGATGATATGTGTGCCAAGTATTTTTTGTCAATGTATTACTAACAATATTTTTTTCAGCCATTGTATCTGTCCTGGTCAAACATACTCATTAGTACCTGCAACTGAATTAGTGATCAAAAGGTTATTCACTTTTGGACGACAGACGTGTGTCAAACTGTGGCTCTTGTACAGAAATGATGTGAAACAGACAAACCACAGAAGCCCAGCATCAGTAGCAGCAGTAGCAGCTGTAGCAGCAGTAGCAGCAGTAGCAGCAGTAGCAGCAGTAGCAGCAGTAGCAGCAGTAGCAGCAGTAGCAGCTGTAGCAGCAGTAGCAGCTGTAGCAGCTGTAGCAGCAGTAGCAGCAGTAGCAGCAGTAGCAGCAGTAGCAGCTGTAGCAGCAGTAGCAGCAGTAGCAGCTGTAGCAGCAGTAGCAGCTGTAGCAGCAGTAGCAGCAGTAGCAGCTGTAGCAGTACTGCTGCAACTAACGACTATTTTAATAGTCGACTAGTCACCGACTATTGAAACAATTTGTCGACTAATCGGATAATTATAATTTTTTCTTATATTTTGCATGAAGTTGCTTTAATTATGTGGGAAATGATAAACACAAGAAAGATGGTACTTCAAAGAAAAATGCATCTTTTATTCTACTTTGCTGCTGGTTCATACAAAAAGTAAATAAAAATGTCTAAGACCAGTTTGGCACAGTGCTGGTCAGTATAGACCAGTTTGACACAGTGCTGGTCAGTATAGACCAGTTTGGCACAGTGCTGGTCAGTATAGACCAGTTTGACACAGTGCTGGTCAGTATAGACCAGTTTGGCACAGGGCTGGTCAGTATAGACCAGTTTGGCACAGTGCTGGTCAGTATAGACCAGTTTGACACAGTGCTGGTCAGTATAGACCAGTTTGACACAGTGCTGGTCAGTATAGACCAGTTTGGCACAGTGCTGGTCAGTATAGACCAGTTTGGCACAGTGCTGGTCAGTATAGACCAGTTTGACACAGTGCTGGTCAGTATAGACCAGTTTGGCTCAGTATAGACCAGTTTGGCACAGTGCTGGTCAGTATAGACCAGTTTGGCTCAGTATAGACCAGTTTGGCACAGTGCTGGTCAGTATAGACCAGTTTGGCACAGTGCTGGTCAGTATAGACCAGTTTGGCACAGTGCTGGTCAGTATAGACCAGTTTGGCACAGTGCTGGTCAGTATAGACCAGTTTGACACAGTGCTGGTCAGTATAGACCAGTTTGGCACAGTGCTGGTCAGTATAGACCAGTTTGGCTCAGTATAGACCAGTTTGGCACAGTGCTGGTCAGTATAGACCAGTTTGGCACAGTGCTGGTCAGTATAGACCAGTTTGGCACAGTGCTGGTCAGTATAGACCAGTTTGGCACAGTGCTGGTCAGTTATTTGCCAGGCCGCCCTTAGTTACAGGAAAACATTTCGCGCCCTCCTCCTTACATCTTTTGAGCTAAAAAAATCCGCTCTCAGCCCAAAAAGTAAAATATTGACTAACACGGTTCTCTCTTAATTATACAAAAACGACATAAAAAACAAGACTTCTATTGCGGTTTTTTTTTTTTTTATATTATATAATTATAAATACAAGAGAAATTTAGGTACCCCAGCGTTAATATAGTGAGTTTTAGTTTCTGGGCTGCAGGAGGAGACCCGGGGGACACTTCCAGAGGCTCACATGGTTCAGCTTCTCACAGCGCTGTGTTTATCACGTCCACAGGTTGTAAACAAAGATCCGCACTTGGTCCGCGCTGGTCACATAACCTGGCTTTGGCCGCGCTGTTGTCAAAGCAGCTTCACAGAACCGCTGTGTTCACTACAAAACGGCCACGCGTCTGAAATCATGGTCTCTCTCATGCTTTCTCTTCAGATGTTGGTGCATCACCGAGGTGCTGCCGTGATACGCAAACCTCAAGGCAAACCTTGCAAGTAAACTTTTTATTTGCCGTATCCAGACTACAGCGCTCCCAAACTTTAGACGTTTTTCTACACGGAGCTGATGGTTACTGTTTACGTTTCCACTTGATAGATGCTCTTGTGCTTGTGCGACTCTCGGCAGAGATTGTGAGACGGGAGATGCCTCACTCTGTTGGAAAAACACATCTGGAATTCATAGTCGACTATTTTTATTGTCGATTTTTGTCGACTAATTGTTGCAGCCCTTAGCAGTAGTAGTAGCAGTAGTAGTAGTAGTAGTAGTAGCAGTAGCAGTAGTAGTAGTAGCAGTAGCAGTAGCAGTAGTAGTAACCGTAGCAGTAACATGATACAAAGCACGCTCAGACACAAGACACGGGTCCAAACTCGCTCTGACCCCTCCCCTCTCTCCCACCACTCTCCTTCACCTACTTTACTGGTGCAGTGGATAGCACTGGTCGTTGGTTTCATTGAAACCATTAAATTGCCATGTCTTGCAGCCCTGGTGCTCGGCTAGTCTCCTCCGGACCTCCTCCTCCTCCTCCCCTGGACCTCTCTGGACCTGCTCTGAGCAAGCCGCACCCCGCTCCCTCCACGGCCCACAACGAAGCTCCCAGGTCCCAGGACTACGGCCCGGCCACTCCCCCGCAGCGTCCAGCCCTCGCTCCCATGCCCTCCCCTCCTGTGCCCCAGACGTTCATCCTGCCCCCGCCGTATCACCCAGTCAGCGCCGGCAAAACCCGTCCAGTGAAACGCATCGCTCCGGCCAACGCACTCCCAGCCCCGCAGCTCATCTTCACAGGTATGTGTTCTCTGCTTTTATTTACCATTCTTCTGTCAGGCAATGTTACACATAAATCTTGGGTTATTTGGCGATACTTTTGTGAAGGTTTATATGGCAAAGCATCCAATTGAAGGATTTTTAAGGTGGATTTTATAAACATTTACGAACATCATGGCTCTATGTGGTTTTTATCATTCCCTTTGTTGTGTTTGAACGGTTTGATTCTCTGATCTTTGGTGGAGAAATGGTGTGTATATAGCAGACACAAACACATGATGCATTGTTTGCTTCAGGTCCCTTCTCCAGTCATGCGAGTGCTGTGATCATGACACCCACCCACCTGAAGGCGGAGGTGATTCCAAGCACAGGAGTGGTCATCGCCTCCTCTCCTCTATCTGCGGTCAGTTTTTACTACACTGCAATCTACATAATCTACATCACCATGTATTATCGTATATATTCTACAAAGGACTAGGATATTTAGCTTGGATTAGGTTAAGACTATGTGTTTGAACTGTTCGATTCTCTGATCTGTTGTTGGCGAATCAACAACTTCCTCTGAGATGACTGCTGCTGTGAATTATTAGTGGGAATTAGGGCTATAGAAATGTTTTTATTGATTTGAGTAATTTCAATGTGGTGAATAGGATCCTCCATAAACAAAAAAGTAAAGTGGTCCTTTCCTTGGAGCAACTCTTGAACAAACCGCTGTGTTTCAACCAGAGCAGGGGACAAAATCACACTATAGGAAAAGGACACTGTCATCATTCAGAGAGTTTAATTTTATAAAGCTCTCTTCACATGACATTTTTAAAAACATTATTTATTGGGTTTTTACTAAAGGGGACAATAAATGCCTCTACAAACGCTGGCATTACTTTAATGTACTGTAGTCGTGCATTACTAATCCAATGTTGCTTTTCTTGTGTGTTCTAGACTCAGAGCTTCAACGTTGTGTCTCAAACTCAGAACTCTCCACAGCCGCTAATACAAAATGACAACTGCTTTTCCAGTCCCCAAAGTTCCAGAGCTTCTCCCAGCACTGGTCAGAACATCCTTCGTCAAATGGCCTCAGAGCTCAGACCAGTCGACTGTGTTGTAATTGTACATCTCTCCTTTGTCTCCAGTGCAAAGTCATTCGGGCTCAGGTTCTCCCTGTGGGCTGGACCAGGAGCCCAGTCCTCAGTCCTCCATCAGCAGCAGCAGCTCAGCACTCGTGAAGAATGAACAACATCAGGTTTGTGTGATCGACCTCTGGACCTTGTTATTAAAAAGGACACGGTTGAAAAGGTTTGAAAACCACTGGCTTAGAATGACCAACACTTTGTGGATAATTGCAATATCAAATTAGTATTCTTCTTCTTCAGGGCTCAAAATGTATCGTCTGTACACTTTAGAGCCGTCAAATAATTACAATGCTTCAACTAAAATCAGCAATATATTCAATCCTATTCTCTCTTTATTTACAAAACATTTACAAAGGCCTTGCAAACGTTTAAGCTGAGGGCCCTTAAACAAACAAACAATGGACGCTATATACCTTTTATATTATATTTGAAGATGCTATACCCGTTTTTATAAAAATGCTTATCACTACAAACAAGTTGTATTATAATCCGTAATAATATTAATGTAAAACTTGAGCTCATTGATTCAGCTGTGTATGAATTCAGGCCGTAAAAAAGAGTAGAAACTTAGCGTGACGCCTGCTCTCCTCCAATCACAGAACGAGGCTGCGTCCTCTAGCCTCTACAGCGCTGCTAAACACAGTAGCATGTTAGCATAAGTGGCTATAACTCCTCTGGCTGTAACTGCAGACACAGCAAAACAGCCCAAACCACACAACAGTGAGGAAGAGAAGAGGAACTAAAGCCAAAACATGATCAAAGAAGAAACCAAGCCCTGAACAGAGCTAGCTTACATCGTATCCTCTGGAGAGACTTGTCTATGGAAGAGACCTGCGGGACCGCCTCGGACTATCTACGCTCGGACTATCTACGCTCGGACTATCTGCGCTCGGACTATCTACGCTCGGACTATCTACGCTCGGACTATCTACGCTCGGACTATCTACGCTCGGACTATCTATGCTCGGACTATCTGCGCTTGGACTATCTGCGTTCGGACCATTTGCGCTCGGACTATCTACGCTCGGACCACATTTGGACGTGAAACTAGCGGTATCTTTCAGTTATATATTGTGTTAGCAGTGCGTTGCTTTTGTACCATTTCATCAGTGATTGTTGTACAGCTTACAAGAAGTTGCACTAATGCTGATGTCTGCATATAAATCGCAAATAAAACTAGATGGTTCCGTGGGAGGAGAGTGTAGGAGAAATGAGAAGCCTGTGAGCGAGTTGGGGGCGGGGCTTAACATTCAAACCTTGCAGAAACGCGTATAGCTCCTTTAAGCCCTGAACCAATTTCTAAATATTCTACTCTTTCACACATTTTCACTTTCAATTTGCATTCTTCAGTTCCTTTACTGCTAGTTGATAGACATAGCAGTGTGACTTGCCAAATAACAGGTAAATCCATTTCCATATATACCCATTATAATAATAAATATCATCTCTGTTGAAATTTGTCTTCATACATGTGACAGCTCACCGTAAAAAAAACAACCAAAAGACAACAATTGTTCTTGCCAAATTAGTACTGTTCATCAATGAATACTGAACTAGCTTGTGTTGGACGTTATTCCGGTCCCAGTTCCTGACTCCACTGTTGTGTGTGCAGGGCCGCAGATCCACACACATCTCTGCCGAACAGAAGAGGCGCTGCAACATCAACAACGGCTTCAAGACTCTGTGTGCCCTGGTGCCTCCTCTCAAGTCTCAGACCAATGTAAATCTGCAGCTTTGTCCACACTGTCTTTAGTAACGGCCCATTAGTACCACAGCCCCGTTAGGCCGGCGTCACTGTGTAAGCATGGCCTGTGTGTGTGTGTCAATTGTACACATCAGTAATTCAATTCTATGTATGTTTTTGTAGCTCTACATTTCAACAGTAATTCAATTCAATTCAATGTATTCTTGTATAGCCCTAAATCACACCAGTAGTTTTCTCGGAGGACTTTACACAACCGTTGAATTCGCCAACACAGATCAAATAGAAAACACATTGGTATTGGTTCATAAGGGGCAGATGACCAATGCCCATAAGTGTTGTTGAATGGTGAGTGTCCTGGATTGTCACCACAGTCCTTTTAGTTGGACGCTCACAAGACTTTTCTGCATCGGCAAGGAAAAATGAGAAACCTTGGGATGGTCCACATTGAGAAAGGGATCCGCTCCCACTGACGGACGAGCGATGGATGCAAGACCTGAGCTACAGCAGTCGAGGACTTTACTAACAAATCAGATAATCAAACATGTCCATAAATGTTAAAAAATGTCCTTAAATGTCCTGGATCATCACCACTGTCCTTAGTCCCTCCCGCACCCAGTGATGTCTCTCTGTGTGATGCTTGTACAGATCAGCAATGCCGTCACGCTGCAGAAGACCGTGGATCACATCGGGAAGCTGCAGCAGGAGCGGCAGCAGATGCAGGAGGAGGTGCGCAAGCTGAAGGAGGAGATCGAGGAGCTCAACGCCTCCATCAGGTGTGTGACCGCTGCAGACGCCGCACGGTTTCTCCAAAGGCTTTAGACTGTCAGACTGAGAGGGCGAACCAGTCCTCACCAATTCCTACCATTTGCTGCTTGGGGGTATGTTGCATAGAATCTGTATGCAGTTGACGAGCTGTGGTAAATCTGCAGTGGGAGAGGGAACTTCAACTCTTGTGTTACCGTAGAGCAAGGGTCTCCAACCTGTAGCTCCCCACTCCCTTCTTGGTAGCTCGCCAAAGGATTTAGATGATATACTTAATATTTCAGATTGTATTATTTATTATTGTAAATGTACTTACTTTGTCACTAGTAACAAATACACAATGGTAAGAAATGACTAACTGCTTAAAAGAATGGCTCTCTGCCTTTATCTTTCCGAAAAAGTAGCTCTCTGGGTGAAAAAGGTTGGAGACACAACAACATTGGGGAGTTGTTGGTGTTACAGCTCACATTTCAAACGGAAAAAACAAGAAAAATTGGTCTAAATAGTGGAAAAACTCAAATCTAAAATATGTTTAGTTGTACTCTCCACTTACAACAGTTAGATGCTCCCTGTAGGCTCATGTGTGTGTGTGTGTGTGTGTGTGTTGACAGCTCGTGTCAGGAGCAGCTTCCTGTCACCGGAGTCCCCGTCACTCGCCACAGAGACGACCACATGCGGGAGAAGTTCAATGAGTACGTCAAGATGCGCACGCTGCTCAACTGGAAGTTCTGGGTCGTATCCTTTTAAGTCACACACAGATCTGTCTGAGCTCTGTTGAAAGTCTAGATTTACTTTTTGACTTGTGTTTTAGCAGTGTCCAAATGTAGCTGTGAGGTCCAGGTGCATCAACATATGCTGGTCACATACACACAGAACAGACCGATCAGAAGACCCAGTGTGTCCTCACTGTTTTATGAACCTCTCCCAACGGCTTCCAACACGACCCAAACACATCCAGCGAGTCAGAAACCAATCCTTCACACGTCTCTGTCGGCTGGATGTGCTCTAGTTTAAATCAACATTGTGCATTCATATGATTCATGGGACTTCTGTTTTTCTATTGCAAGTACAATGTTATCGGCTGTATTATAGCTGTGCATCCATTGAACACTTTTAATGCCCTCATTAGGCAGAGTAGCATTGCTGTCGATATGATTTTAGTTTTCTCCTCTGCTTTGCTCTGAGCCTTGACCTCGCACACCTCAGTTCAGCATCATAATCAAGCCGCTGTTCGAGTCGTTTAACCGCATGGTCCTGACCACGAGCCAAACTGAGCTGTGCCAGAGTACGCTGCAGTGGCTGGACCGACACTGCTCCCTCCCCGAGCTCCGCCCCAGTGAGTATTACCCTGAGGGTTCTGTGCACAGGTTCTAAACAGAGAAGAGAAGATCCAGTAATTACAGGTGTTAGGACTCACCGCAAACACATAAAAGCTGTGACTGAATAAGAATAATAATGAGAATTGAGTGGTTAACGCTCTCGCCTTTTTGTGTGGAATTTGCATGTTCTCCCTGTGTCTGTGTAGGTTTCCTCTGGGTGCTCCAGTTTCCCCTACCACTAAAAACATGTACAATAGTTATCAATGGTAGTCCAGACCAAGCAGAGCATCAACAGCTGGAGATGGGTCCACTGCTCCTGACAGAGGCCCGAGTGGCGTCAGGATGGGTCTAATGCAGAGGATAATAAAGTATAACTTAACTTATGAATTTAGTTTATAAATAGAATAATGTAGTAATTCTACATTATTCTATTGTGCTTTTTGCTAATAACCTTTTAGAAAATTAGTTAAAACACGAATAAGACCAACTAAAAACAGTGGCTTTGGTGAAAAGTTAAATAATTGCCCCAGTTTATAGCCTCTTTTAAGGAGCCTGAAGTGAAAACAATACATTATTCCCTGACCACATTAACACAAAGGGTCAATAAACAGATTGGGGTCATCAAGTAAATCAAAGAAAACACTGAAATGAGTCTGAACCTGTCTCCTCCTGTGTTCGTGTTGCAGTGGTGCTGCTTACGCTCCGGCAGCTCTGCACCAGCACCTCCATCCTCACGCAGCCCACTCTGGTGCCGGACGAGGCGCTGAAGGCCGTGTCTCAAACAGAACCATGAACTCCACCTCCCAGCAGCAAAGATCACAAAAGACTTCTTATTTAATTTAAACCTTTCTTTTGTGGGGGACTTCTCTGCAGACAGAAGAACGGATGCCTTGATATATTTAAGACTTTTACCATTGTGCAAAAAAGGGAATCTCTTTATATCTCAATCTCTTCACGGACTTTTATGGTTTTCTAGCTCATGCTTTCTATCCAAACGTTTTCTCTGGGATTGTAAAGTTTGATCGTGTCATTTGTCCTTATCTCAGGGGATTGTGTTTCTACAATCAGGGCTCGTTTTGCAGTTCTGCCGAAGTCTGTTTTACAAGTGTTCCTCCGTCACAGGCAGGGCTGGGTACTCTCTTTAAACAAAAACTTTTTATTGTTTTTCTGCAGTGGTTGAATCAAGAATTGTGCCTTGGTATCTTACTTTACGTTGACAGTCGATACGTTTTACTTTTCTTTCAGTCAGACACAACTTTGGATTTCTGTACTTTAAAAATAAAACCTCTACAAGTTTCATACAAGACAATACAATTTCCTTATATGGGCATTTGCTCAGATAGCTGTGCGCTGTAACCGGAGCAGACGTGTTGCTAAGGTGGTTGCTAAGGAAAGCTGGAGGTTCCTCTGCAAATAGAGGCATCGGTCAATCCTTATGGCTTGTATCTGGATTTACAAAGTTTAGAAGAAGATTCCTAACCTTCCAACTTAAGCACATAAATGAAAAACCAATCATTTCCTGCAAACCTGCACCGCTCCTGATCATGACGATTGCTTTTACTTTTCACGTCATTTTCACGAGAATACGTTTTTTGCACCTTTATTTTGACTAAACCCTGATTTTTATCCCACAATCTTCTTCCTCTACCACTGTTATTCTGTAAAACTCTATATCTACCAAACTGAATTATGAAAACTCTTTCTACAAGCATCACCAGTGTACCTTAATATACAAATGTGACTTCTGTGGAGATGAAAAGCCTGTGCCTGTTTCCTGTGACATGTCATGAATGTACCCAGCCCTTGTTAGGAGGTTAGTAGCTCCACCCACTCAGGGCTAATGTCTTCTTCACAATGAACAAACTAATTAGATTGAAATAACGGTACCAGCGCACTCCGGGGTGGGCAGTATGGACTCAAATTAAAGGTATATTGGAGGATTTTCCCGCTTCACATTTTGAAAAAACTCTGGTCTTGTTGGATGAGCACGTATCACCAGTCGAGGAGCAATTGTCTCGATGATCCACCCGGAAGTAGAAAATCCTCCTATACACCTTTTTAATCATGAGCTTTAACATGTATTTTCAGATGATTTTCTTCTTCTCCACCAAGCTGCTGCCGGTGCCAGTGCCGAGTCAGTTATTTTGTTTTCCTCTCAAAAAATGCTGGAGACTGGTGCCAAAAACATGCCCTGACTCTGCCCCAGTTCAGACGGGGATTCTCTAAAAACTTTGTATTTCACCCAGCGGAAAGGAATCCTAACCTTAACCCAGGAACCTGTTCTTAAATGCTAATCTGAATGAAAAAATAGCAATAAAAGATGAATATTTACCTCTGTGGGCGGGATACCAAGGTTTTAGCGAGTCTCGGGAAATACAAAACACAAAAAGTAATTAAAAGTATTAATGGTGCCGTGGATGGAGCGCTGGTGTGTACTGGTGCACACTGGGGTCGTCTTGCAGAGTTTTTCCCAAGTGGTTTTACTGCAAATGGCCAATACGTTCTTGATTCATGACTGAGAACTTGAAATTAACTGAAATACAGTAAAAACAGCTATCGGCTGCTAGCAAACATTGTGTTGCTACGGTAACGGGCACTGGGCCTTGTCTGGTGGAAAAGGGGAATATGTCAGCTCTTTTTTTCAACAGTCTGAAATGATATTTGATCCCTATATTAAAGCGTAGGTACCTAACTTAAACAAAAAAACATGTCTTTTCCGCTGCCCTGTGATTTAACTTTTTTCTGCTGAAAGCTAATGGGCTTATCTGTCTGAAAAAGCAAATCTAAAGATGCGACGGAGAAAGAATACATGTACAGTACAGACCAAAAGTTTGGACACACCCACCCATCTCAAGAGTTTTTTTATCTTCAAATTGTAGATTGACACTTAAGGCCTCAAAACTATGAATTCACTCATGTGGAATTATTTACGTACCTAAAAAAAAGTATGAAACAATTGAAAATATAAGTTATATTCTGGTTCTTCATAGTAGCATCTTTTGCTCTAGATACTGCTTCACTCTGGTCCAAAAGAGTGAAGCTGAAAAGAAAGGACACATTGAATGAGAAACTGTGTCCAAACTTTTGGTCTGTACTGTACGTGAAAACTAGAGATAGATCCATTTAACTGGTTTCTTGGCTCTATTTACGTTTTGCTTTTTTAGGGAAAGTGAGGTACCCCAGCTTTAAAACGGCGCATATTTTTAAACCCACATTCACTGTATCCATGTTAGCATCACCTGCCCGCCCCTGGTCACACAAGCACAACGAACAAGAGCCAGTTATGAAAGTGATGTCTACAGAAGCGTGTTTTTATTTTTATTTTTTGACAAAGTTTGGTGTCTTTCAATGTGGGTAGAAATGTTTTGTGGAGTTTGTTCTGCAGTCTCAGTCCTTAAGTGTGGATTTGAATGTTCCGATCACTCAGCCTTATCAGACTCTTGCACTACAGCCTACGTTTACATGTGGTTTCAGACTAAAGCTTCGATATGAATGTAACGAGCCGTTTTTCTCACGTGCAGAGCTGTTTCTCCCAATTATTTAAAGTGCAGATGACAGGATTTCAATGTTTTACTGTTTTAATCACTGTTGGAGCCGTTTTGTCTAAGTATAATAGATCATTTTACACCAATCAAGCTGCTGTTTTTTAAGACAAGCTTGGAAATATGTTGAATATGAGCGCTATGCTAACGTCACATACAGAAAACCGCTAGAAAATTCTCAAAAGTCAGAATTGATTTCTTATTAGCTATAATTTTCTGTGTACTTTAACCCTGTGTATGATTCCCTATAGTCCGGGTGATGTCATAATTCTACATCCATGAAGTCTATGTATACACTTGCGTATACATATTTTTGTATGTGTATGATGTCCACAATATTTCAGTTTTTACCATTTTCAAACAGATCAATCAGATCGCAGAATCAGACTCTCATTTTGGGTGCCGGTTTCTTAAGGGGAAATTAATTTGGTCCTGGCTCCAACACATTTGTTCAAATCAAAGCAGATGCATAAATAAGTAGTCATACATAACATAGAGTTTGCACAGTCTCTCGCAAAACCCCAGAAGGTGGATTGCATCAGTAATGAGTGCTTAGGAGCTGCGTATGTCACTGGCAGGAAGATTCTGGCAACACAACTGTATCAGGCTTCATTAGACCACTCATGCTCCTTTTAAAACACACCCTGGTTCAGCTCGGGATCTGAACTTCATTTTAGTAAAACAAGAATCTGAACCTGTCATATGCACTTTAATGAAGACAATAACGATCGTTGGTCACGTTCGATTGAGTGCAGCTTCTACAAATGTTGCCGTTTTGTTTTGTTTTCTGTACATAGGGCTAGTGCTATAGGGCACACAGTGTTCTGCTGGTTTTTATACAAGAGATTGTTCACTGTCTGCGTTCAGTCAATTGAAGAAAATAAAATTGTCAGGAAAATTCAAGTAGGTGTGTTTGTGTGTGTGAGAGAGAGGTGTGCAGGTTTGTGTGTGTGAGAGAGAGGGGTGTGTGTGTGAGAGAGATGTGCAGGTTTGTGTGTGAGAGAGAGAGGTGCAGGTTTGTGTGTGTGTGTGAGAGAGAGAGGTGCAGGTTTGTGTGTGTGAGAGAGAGGTGCAGGTTTGTGTGTGTGAGAGAGATGTGCAGGTTTGTGTGTGTGAGTGAGAGAGATGTGCAGGTTTATGTGTGTGAGAGAGAGAGGTGCAGGTTTGTGTGTGTGAGAGAGAGGTGCAGGTTTGTGTGTGTGAGAGAGATGTGCAGGTTTGTGTGTGTGAGTGAGATGTGCAGGTTTGTGTGTGTGAGTGAGAGAGATGTGCAGGTTTATGTGTGTGAGAGAGAGAGGTGCAGGTTTGTGTGTGTGTGAGAGAGGTGCAGGTTTGTGTGTGTGAGAGAGAGAGGTGCAGGTTTGTGTGTGTGTGAGAGAGAGGTGCAGGTTTGTGTGTGTGTGTGAGAGAGATGTGCAGGTTTGTGTGTGTGTGTGTGAGAGAGATGTGCAGGTTTGTGTGTGTGAGAGAGAGAGGTGCAGGTTTGTGTGTGTGAGAGAGAGAGGTGCAGGTTTGTGTGTGTGAGAGAGAGGTGCAGGTTTGTGTGTGTGAGAGAGAGGTGCAGGTTTGTGTGTGTGTGAGAGAGAGGTGCAGGTTTGTGTGTGTGTGTGAGAGAGATGTGCAGGTTTGTGTGTGTGTGTGTGAGAGGGATGTGCAGGTTTGTGTGTGTGTGTGTGAGAGAGATGTGCAGGTTTGTGTGTGTGAGAGAGAGAGGTGCAGGTTTGTGTGTGTGAGAGAGAGGTGCAGGTTTGTGTGTGAGAGAGAGGTGCAGGTTTGTGTGTGTGAGAGAGAGGTGCAGGTTTGTGTGTGTGTGAGAGAGATGTGCAGGTTTGTGTGTGTGAGAGAGAGAGGTGCAGGTTTGTGTGTGTGTGTGAGAGAGATGTGCAGGTTTGTGTGTGTGTGAGAGAGAGGTGCAGGTTTGTGTGTGTGTGTGAGAGAGGTGCAGGTTTGTGTGTGTGTGTGAGAGAGATGTGCAGGTTTGTGTGTGTGAGAGAGAGAGGTGCAGGTTTGTGTGTGTGAGAGAGAGAGGTGCAGGTTTGTGTGTGTGAGAGAGAGAGGTGCAGGTTTGTGTGTGTGTGAGAGAGAGGTGTGCAGGTTTGTGTGTGTGAGAGAGGTGTGCAGGTTTGTGTGTGAGAGAGAGGTGTGCAGGTTTGTGTGTGAGAGAGAGGTGTGCAGGTTTGTGTGTGAGAGAGGTGCAGGTTTGTGTGTGTGTGAGAGAGAGAAGTGCAGGTTTGTGTGTGTGTGAGAGAGAGGTGCAGGTTTGTGTGTGTGTGTGAGAGAGAGGTGCAGGTTTGTGTGTGTGTGAGAGAGAGGTGCAGATTTGTGTGTGTGAGAGAGGTGTGTGTGTGTGTGTGAGAGAGAGAGGTGCAGGTTTGTGTGTGTGTGAGAGAGGTGCAGGTTTGTGTGTGTGAGAGAGATGTGCAGGTTTGTGTGTGTGTGAGAGAGAGAGAGGTGCAGGTTTGTGTGTGTGTGAGAGAGGTGCAGGTTTGTGTGTGTGTGAGAGAGAGAGGTGCAGGTTTGTGTGTGTGTGAGAGAGAGAGGTGCTGGTTTGTGTGTGTGAGAGAGAGAGGTGCTGGTTTGTGTGTGTGTGAGAGGTGCAGGTTTGTGTGTGTGAGAGAGATGTGCAGGTTTGTGTGTGTGTGAGAGATGTGCAGGTTTGTGTGTGTGAGAGAGAGGTGTGCAGGTTTGTGTGTGTGTGAGAGAGATGTGCAGGTTTGTGTGTGTGTGAGAGAGATGTGCAGGTTTGTGTGTGTGTGAGAGAGAGATGTGCAGGTTTGTGTGTGTGAGAGAGAGAGGTGCAGGTTTGTGTGTGTGAGAGAGAGAGGTGCAGGTTTGTGTGTGTGAGAGAGGTGTGCAGGTTTGTGTGAGAGAGAGGCATGTGTGTGTGTGAGAAAGAGAGAGGGGTATGTGTGAGATGCGTGTGTGAGAAAGAGAGAGATAGAGGTGTATGTGTGAGAGAGGTGTGTGTGAGAGAGAGAGAGGGGGGTACTGTATGTGTGAGGTGTGTGTGTGCGTGTGTGCACTTGTTTTCAACTCCTGGTGGGTTCCATAACCTGAGATTCCACTCACGTCATGGGGACTGGTTTTACGTGGTGGGGCCCGAACACCGGACCCCACTGGTCCAAGCTTAATAATCAATGGGTAATGCTTTTCTAACGGTCCTTATGCAGTCTCTGTAAAAATATGGAAAGGACCCCTGGAGGTTTACTTTCCTGAAAAAAGTGTGTTATGTGTCGGAACCCTGGTGGTGGGTTGCGGGATATCAAGGAGGGGCACACTGGGGCAATTTCAGTCCAGCAGGCTGGAGCCAATCATGGAGCAGCACAACAGAGGAAATCAGGTGTCAGGCTAGAAAAAGGTGCAAGTGTGTGGTTCATTAGGCTGCAAGAAATCATGGAGGAGCACACTGAAGCGCACGCTTACAAACCACTGGTAAGTGCTGACTACAAGTCATGACTTCAAATTGTTATATAGAATGATTACAAATTATTTGTTGTTTGTGCAGCTTAGTCAAGAGTCCCTAATTGATGAAGTCGACTCAGATTCTGACGATTTAACTGTCAAGAAGAAACCTGTAAAAAAGTATGGAAAAAGAAAAATCAAAAACACTTTTCTTCAAGACTCGGAAAGTGACGAACCAAAGGCAAATAAGATTGTTATCATGCAGCTGCAAAAGAAGAAAAATGGGGGGCGAGTATACAGCAAGAGACACTTCTGCCTCTACTGTTCAATGTCCTGCCACAAAATGTCCCGTCATTTGACTAGAAAACATGGAAATGAAAGTGACGTAGCCAGAGCATTGGCTCTACCTGTGAAATCTAAAGCACGTAAACTTCAGTTTGATTTGATCAGGAATAGTGGAAACCGTGAGCACAATTTTGAGGTTTTAAAGGCCGGCATTGGAACTTTAGTCCCAGCTAAACAGCCAAATTGCCCAGTTAAATCCAGTGAGTTTTTGCACTGTATAGACTGTGGGGCATTGCTTAAGCGAAAGTCGCTGTGGAGGCATGTGGCCAGGTGCCGGCTTTCACAGAAAGATGCCCAGGCTAAACCAGGCTAAACCAGGTAGAAGTAGGGTCCAGTCCCTCTGCTCCCTAGCCCAGCCTGTACCGGAGGGCATCAGCAAAAAGCTGTGGTCTTTAATTTCGGCAATGCATCAGGATGAGGTCACGGGTGTTGTCAAAGCAGAAAAGGGGATTCTGAGACTCGGAGAGCACCTGTACTTAAAACACGGGCATGATAAGACAAAGCATGATTACATTAGGCAGAAAATGAGAGAAGTCGGTAGGTTAATTAACGAAGCAAAAACCGCAGGTAAACTGAAAACAATTAAGGATTTCTTTATTCCTTCCAACTTTAACCATGTGATTGATGCAGTCAGGTCTGTGGCTGGATATGATGAGGAAACAAATCAATACAAGACTCCATCCTTGGCCCTCAAACTCGGCCATAGCCTCAGAAAGCTAGCAGATATTCTTGAATGTGACTCAAAAATGGAGCATTGTGTTGATGAACTATTTATTAAAAACCTCCAACGAAGCCGGCTGCTTTTTGAGAAGAGGTGGGACGTCTGTGTTTCTTCTGCTGCCCTACAGACCCTCCGGCAAGCCAAGTGGAACACTCCGGACCTGCTCCCTCTGACTGAGGACGTTAGAGCCATGCATGCACATATTGAGGTATGTCGACCTGAATATGTGCAAACCCTAATAAGTGAGCCAACGTCTAAGCATTGGTCTAAACTGGCAGTTTTGACTCTTTGTGAGGTCATCATTTTCAATCGAAGAAGGGAAGGTGAGGTTTCAAAGATGCCACTGACAGCCTTTACCTTAAGAAGTAAGACTGGGATCCATTCTGACATTGCTCTGGGACTGTCCCAACTTGAGAAAAAGCTGTGTCAGCATTTTCAACGCATTGAAATTAAAGGGAAAAGAAGTCGGAAAGTGCCGGTTCTTTTGACTCCTGAAATGATTGCTTCGATGGAGGTGCTGGTGGAGAACAGAAGGGCCTGTTCCATCTCTGACCATAACCCATACTTCTTTTCCCGCCCGGGCGCAGACACCCACATCAGGGGATCAGACTCCCTACGCCAGGTAGCCAAAGAATGTGGTGCGGTGCATCCAGAGATGCTATCCTCAACCAAACTTAGAAAGCACATAGCTACTATGTCTACAGTTCTCAATATGAAAGAGAATGAGATGGACATACTTGCCAACTTCCTCGGCCATGACATTCGCATCCACAGGCAATATTACAGACTACCAGAGGGGACACTGGAGCTGGCCAAAATCAGCAAAGTGTTGATGGCCATGGAGCAGGGAAGAGTGACGGAATTCGAAGGAAAGAGCCTCGACCAGATACAAATTGAGCCTGAAGGTAATTCTTGATATTATTAAAATATGTATGATTTTTTTCCCCTAAAGGCCACTTGTATTTTTATTTTCTGTGCGACAGGGAGAGCAGTAGAGATCCTCTCACAAACGGACGGGCTAAAAGAAACTTCAAGCGGAGAACCTTCAACCATTCATCCAGATGCACCCCATGGTAGTGGCAGTGCCCCTTCTGGTAAGTGTACCAGGTGGGGGATTACAGCCAGGCTGCTTGGTCCTCACCCTGGGAGTGTATATTGCTAATATATTTTTATTTCTCTCCCCCTAGAACGTGTAAGAAAGCCATGGTCTGCATCTGAGGTGAAGGCTGTGGAGAAGACCATGACACCTTTCATACAGACTGGAAAGGTCCCTGGGAAGTCTCACTGCCTGGCCTGCATTAATGCCTCACCAGATGACCTTAGACATCGGACATGGAGTGGCATTAAATTCTATGTCAAAAATAGAATCACTGCAATTCGAAAACAAAATCTAAAATAAAATTCCTTTAAAATAGTTGTTTGGTTTCTATTGACTGTTTTGTATTACTTAAAGTCTTGGTAAAAAAAGATTATGTCTATGGGTCCCATTCTGAACGGCCCTGTCAAAGGGACCCACCAGGTAACAAAAACGTGTATGTGTGTGTGTGTGTGTGTGTGTGTGAGAGAGAGAATTAAGTGTATATGTGGGAGAGAGAGAGGTGTGCAAGTCTGTGTGTGTGTGTGAGAGAGAGGTGTGTGTGTATGTGTGTGTGTGTGAGAGAGAGAGAGGTGTGTGTGTGTGTGTGTGTGTGAGAGAGAGAGAGGTGTGTGTGTGTGTGTGTGTGTGTGTGTGTGTGTGAGAGAGAGAGAGGTGTGTGTGTGAGAGAGAGGTGTGTGTGTGAGAGAGAGATGTGCAGGTTTGTGTGTGTGTGTGTGTGAGAGAGAGAGAGAGAGAGAGAGGTGTGTGTGTGTGTGAGAGAGATGTGCAGGTTTGTGTGTGTGTGAGAGAGAGATGTGCAGGTTTGTGTGTGTGTGTGAGAGAGATGTGCAGGTTTGTGTGCGTGTGTGTGTGTGTGTGTGTGTAGGTTTGTGTGTGTGTGTGTGAGTAATTCCAGATTGTAATTACTGCGTACTCACAATAGATCAGAATTGCTCTTACTCCAACTTCAGCAGAATTTCTATTGAAGTCCAAGATCCATTGTACAAATCCTAGACACATTTTAGGGAAACACAAACCGACAGCTCTGTGTTTGTCAGAATGAAACAGCGGTTTGTGAATGAACGTCTGACGCAATAATCCTTTTTATCAGAGTGAGAAATTACGTTTTAAGAAGAACGAGGAAATGAACGTGTGTCGTGACGTGTTTGCTGTGGATCCATCACGTTCTGGGTTTGGAAGCAGCCAGTGACACGGAAAAAAACCAAAACAATACATATTTACTATTGACCCTCTGTCCTGCTACACAAACAAACACACAATTCTAAAAGTTACAAGTTGTGCAGTCTTAAAGCTGAAGGAATGATTTACTAAAATGTTGAAATGAGTTGAAGAAACAGAAGGAATGGGGCGACAGGTGTTTCTTGTTTTATTTATATGTAGAAAAAAAATACTTTGAAAAAATAAATACATTTAGATATACATGTCTATAACGTCGTGCCTTCTGGAGCTCATTTCACTTTGATAGACTGAGGGCGTCCCAAACCACAACAATTGAACAGTGCAAAATGAAGACCAACGCAATTTCATATTTATGTAAACAAACTTTACAGCAGCTTAAATAGCAGACATAAATAATCATTAAATTAACCCGTTAATAAATGTACATAAATAAGTTTCAGTTCACATGTGAGTCAGTTGAATTGTGCGGTGTTGGTTGAATACTGGATCCACTTCCTCGCAGAGAAGATTATTTTGAGGCCCAGCTCTTTCTTCTCGTACCTCGTTCTGGGCAGACTGAACGTCCTGTTGTCACACTGGGCCTGCGCCGGCTCCAGGACTTGTCTGAAGACGTGGCTGAACTGTGAGATGTTCCCCAGGATGCTGTGCTGTGTCTGGGTGAGGGTCCTGACGATGGCGGGCAGGACCTCCATGCTCTGGGAGATGGTGCAGGAGGACTGCAGCACGTCTGTGGAGCTGTTGGACAGTCGGACCCCTCTGACCAGGTCCCAGGTGTTGGCTCTGTACTTCTCTGGAGGTTTGTTGCCGAAGACGTACGTGACCTGCATGGACCACACACGGGGAAGAATATTAAAGAGTGTGACAGTTATTGTGTTGTCTCTTTAAAGAAGACATGTTCTCTCTCTGGCCGAGACGCTGAGGCCCCCATCACCGTCGCACAGACTGCTGTAATGCCCTGCTCTCTGATCATTCAAAAAGAACCTGGGAGGTCCAATTACCACAAAACTCAGTTTTGAAATCACTGGTGCCATAATAATACAAATTCAAACAACTTTTCTTTTTCCAAGTGTCACCTGTAGTGTACCCACAGCTGCTCAGGGGCAGAGAGACAGAAGCAAGTTTGTGCAAGCAGTCCCTTCGACTTCATTCAACCACACACACACTAGAGTAGGGCACTTTACAGCCCTACTGTGGCACCTGGTGTTCCCAAAGGTCTCATCAGGGAGCTGAGGGGGACCAGGGGGTCCGGCGGCCCACGCTGCCTACATGTGACACTGAGATTACACACAGATCTTTCATCGTTGGGGGCGAGATGTGAGTGTTCAGCAGCATGAGGACTTTCTCAAAGAAATGCTGTGTGGTCTGCAGCCCACTCCTCTTTATTCCGTCTAAAACATAATAATTATCAAAATTTTTTTGCTTTCATTTCAATTGTCAGTTACTTTGTTGTGGTTATTCAGTATAAAACAAGAAAAAATGTGCAGAAGTTCAAGCCAAACAGACACTTTCAAAAGCCATTGTGATGGTTTAACGCTCTCTTTCCGTGGAATCAGGCGAGGTCGGCTTCAAAGGAACGGTCAAAGTTAAAATTCCAAACAGGCTCTGTGTATCACTGTCTGACATGTTCAGTCCTATTCAACAACATCCAAACTAAGGCCCGCGGACCAACTGCGGCCCTCTGTGGCATCCTATGTGGCCCGCTGCCTTGCTAACCCAGAGCAGCCAATGAGATCATAAACATGAGCTCACAGTGTCATCCAGCCCACTTCAGCTCCACAAATATACACTAATTTATTTGGTATATCTGTTTTTCTTTGTGTCTCAAAATTCCGTATCGAAAGCTAATATATCTGATGAGATAGTAAACATTTGTCATATAGCCAACTTCATCTCTGTCAACATGAATGGATGAACTACAGGTTTGAGCACCCTGCACTCAACAGAGACAATGGGTCAATAACACGCCACAAACGTGTTAAACATTGACTATAAACTGCCGACCGCCTCCACCCACATGCGTCACTCACATAGTCCTCCTCCGCCGAGCGCAGACTGCTGAAGATGAACTCCACTCTGCTGAGGCGGAGCACCAGCGTGTCCTCGGAGCTGAGAGGGAATCCGCTACAACACAAGCCCAGGATGAGGAGCCGAAACAGGGTCAAGACACGTGTGGAAGCCCCCGCCTCCACGTCCATCCACACACGCTCAAACATCCAAGCGCTCTACACCAGTGACAGATGCAGCCTCATGCCTGGAGCTGGGGCTGATGTGATGGATGCAAGCACTTCTCAGGACTCCTGTCTCACCAACACATTGCATCACATCTTTTATAATCAGCCAGTGAGATCTCAAGAGTTAGGTGTGTGAAATAATCCGTATAAAATTACTCTGCAGAACTTCCTGGTAAATGTGTGGGTAGAGGAGGGCAATAAAAAGAATCATGAGTAATACTAATTGCATAAGTTTTAATTGTGCATTGTCCGGGAGTGAACAATGAATCCCTGATGTCATGCATTTGTGGAATAATGTGCAATATGGGGAAGGAGGAGCACACAATACAAGATAATATCAAAGTTCTATACTTCTGCAACTCGTGATGCAACTCTGAAATTCCCCTACTGCGGGAAAAATGAAGGAATTCTCTTAGTCAAGGCTTCTGTCTGCTTCAGCGACCACCACTCCCCTCTATTTCTTTATAAAGCTCCCGATCAAACACAGATATTGTTATGCAGCCATTCATTTAGACAACCTTATGATTTCAGGAGTCTGTTCCGCAGTTTTGTACAGGAAGTAAATGAACCAGTTTCTTGAGATCATTAGAGTTAGTACGAGTGAACCCTGGGGACAAATCTGTGACAAGCAACTCCATGTGTGATTTGTTGTTTTTGTTTTCATAACTGCCAGCGTTTGTGCTCTGTGTGTTCAAATAAAGCAGGTGTAAGAAGCTGTGTCGCACTCACAAACACACACTCATTCACCCTTCACTATTGTACATGCTTTTAGTCGTCGGGGAAACTGAAGGTGGAACCAAACAAACCATAGAGTGCAACCATAGAGTGGTTTCCTTCGGGCGCTCCGGTTTCCCCCACCGCCCAAAACATGCACCAGATAAAAGCCTCCAGTGAAGGTCCTGACCAAGAGAATCAAGATCTGGAGAGGAGTCGTGACCCACTGTCCGAGGAGAGAGCGGGTCAGATCCAGTGGACAAATCTCTACAGAAACAGTAAATGATACTTTAAAGAGGTTTCCATCTCTGACATGTTAGTACCATATGAATCGACTCTGAAGAGCACAGGGACTGGCCTCCTGCTGGGACTCTGAGGAGCACAGGGACTGGCCTCCTGCTGGGACTCTGAGAAGCACAGGGACTGGCCTCCTGCTGGGACTCTGAGGAGCACAGGGACTGGCCTCCTGCTGGGACTCTGAGGAGCACAGGGACTGGCCTCCTGCTGACTCTGAGGAGCACAGGGACTGGACTAAACATGTGGAGACGGCAAAGATTTATGCAACAAACTGTCTTCCTGTTAATGTGAGACATGCTTTATGATTTTAATCCCTGCTGTGATTGTTTTGTTAAGAACTTTGAGTTGTTTTGCGCATCAACACAAATAAACTTGCCTTGTCTAAACGTTGATACTACAAACCCCCAAAAGGAAACGTATATTCTATTTAAATCACAAGTATAATCTTTATAACTTGCGTGGGCACTGACTGTCAAGTCGAGTGACTTTCTGAACTACAAAACAAAACAGCTTTCCCATCATCTCTTCCTACTTCCGCCTAACTATAATGTCAGAAGGAAGTTTTAACATTTGTGGTGTCAGATATAATCAAAATTTCTCATCAGGAAATGTTTTGTTGTTGGTTATGAACATGTGGAATTGAACTATTGAGTTTGTGCAGCGCTGTGGGCGACGGGGACAATTATAACAAGCTTTATGGCTTATCTCACTCTGTTGTGTAGTAGCTTCTGTGTGATCTCATGTGTTTTGAATGCCCTTTGGGATTTTAATTGTATCTTTAATATTTATGTGGATTTTAATGTCTAGGATTTATGCATGATGTAATATTGGTTGTGAGGCGCCTTGTGTTGTCTTGTGTAGGAAAGGTGCTCTATAAAAAAAAGTTGATTGATTGATTGATAAGTTGAATTATAGAAATAAATCCACTACATTTTCTGAGTTTCACCTGTTTGGCCCGTACATTTTTTTATTGATTAACCTGAAAACATTTGACACAACAGTTCCTTCAGTGGAGCAGATTGATCACCTGGTCTCAGTCTGAGCTGACCTGTCCGCAATGGTCGCCTGGCAACAGGAGTCAACACACATTAGCCTGTTAGCCTGTTAGCCTGTTAGCCTGCAGCAGCTATACCAGGGGCAGTTTGACTTAGAACACTAGCAGTTTAAGTTATAACACTAGCAGTTTAAGTTATAACACTAGCAGTTTAAGTTATAACACTAGCAGTTTAAGTTATAACACTAGCAGTTTAAGTTATAACACTAGCAGTTTAAGTTATAACACTAGCAGTTTAAGTTATAACACTAGCAGTTTAAGTTATAACACTAGCAGTTGGAGCAGCCCTGCGTCAGTGACGTGAGCAGTGGATCATGGCCTCAGTGAGTGCGGTGCTGGACAAGTTGATCCGGTCTCTGTCCCTGTGGGAGTTCCCCTGTGGCCCCGGCCCCTGGGTAAGTCTGCAGCACAGGTAATCAGGTACTAGTCTAATTGTCAGACTATGATACTGAGTTCTGGTGCTTTAAACCCTGCGGCCAATGTATGTATGTTTATTGTGGTAGGAAAGCACTATCAGCTGTTTATGTTTATGTGAACAGCAGAGAGAAATACTCAGGACTTTTTATAAGTGATGAGGGCTGTGGTCAGAACAGAATGTACTGATTTGTTATTTCGACTCCATCAAAATAAATCAGTAAATGAATCCTGACATTTACAGAAATATTTTGTAAAATATTGGTTATAAAGTTAAGTTTGTGCAGCGCAGTGGGAAACTGGTGACAACTAAATGATAACAAACAACGGCTTGGCTTATCTAACACATATTTTAAAACACCTGGTCTTTAATCAAATGTCCAGTTAACCGTTGTCTTAAACATCATTACACTAAAGGACAACGGTTTATCTTATCGGTTTGTGTTAAAATGGTCTAAAAAAAGAGTGTATGGAATTTCTGTATCAGGTAAGTAGAGAATTCTTCCAAGAGTTGCAGACCAAATCTAGAAGCAGTGGGGGGAGCAAAAATGGTTATGAGTATTTTTATAATAATAATTATTTATTGTATTTTCACTTTAAGATACAATATCCTCAATTTTATTAGCATAAAGCTGGTAGACGTGTATTCTTAGAAGTGTCATTTTAGAAACTGTGCTATATAAATATAGTGGATCAGATTGGACTTCCATCATAACAATTATGTCAGTGCTAAATGCATGGTTTAAATAGTGTAAAAGTGCAGGGCTTTGAACTGTACAAATGTAATTTTTATGTCCAGGTGTTTTGCTGTAATTCATTTTCGTTAACAACAATACAACAATATGTATCATCTGAGTTGCAGAAGCAGAGCGGAGCAGACGGTCCTCCACTGGACCTGCTGGAGCCGGTTTCTCCCTGGCACCAGGATCCCAGCTGGAGCCCCCAGGCGGTGGCTCTGAGGCGGAGGGCCGTGCTCTGTCCCACCGGCCTCAGCACAGGCTCCGTGCACAAGGCCCTCACTGCACTGGTCCTCAGGGACCAGGGCGTGAGTCCACCTCCTCCTCTGAACATTTGGGCCAAATACACACGACTCTTGAAATTACTCTTTTACCTCGTGAGAACAATCTATTTTATATATTTAGTAACGAAAAAATTTAGTTTTGACTTCCGGTAAAAGGCAAATGGTGAAGATCTTAGAAAATCCAAGACACTCGTGGTCATATTAAAATACGCACAAAGATACAGTGCATATTTTAATCCACAGCCATGAGAAAAGAAAGGCTTTTTAAAGTTTCTAAACTTTTGACCACGAGTGCCTTGGATTTTGAGATTTTTTAAGTTCTTCACCATTTGCCTTTTACCTGGAAAGTCAAAACTAAATTTTTTGTTACTAAGTTAAACCCCTGGTCTTTTAAATCATTTTACACACTTGTACCACGCAGCACTCCTTACCCTTTGCTTTTTGAGAAATACTTTATATAATTCTTGGACTTCAAGAACTTAGCAGATTTTCTTTTGTTCCCTCTGATCCTTAAAATTGAGAACCTCATGAGGAGTACGTCACACTGACAAACAAACATAAACCCTGTCTCTTTACTGCACACAAGGTTTGCTCATTTTGATTGATTTTTACAACGTGTCATTATATTCCTATGTTCTTACTTTGTAAACATAATAACAATAATAATAATAATAATAAAAGTGATAAGAATAATAATTATGACGATGATAATAATAAAAGAGTCTTTGCTCTGTGATTATGTGCTGCTCTGGATGTGGATGTGTTTTGTTGTGCCCAGGTGTCGGTGCTGGATCCTGGGCTGCTCAGACTGTCCCACCTGGAGGAGCTGGTGCTGAGTGTGAACCAGCTCCAGGAGGTCCCTGCACTCCTGCTGCCGCCCTCACTGCAGGTGACGTCCATAGACTGTAAAAAATAATTGACGTAGTCACGCCGTTCTAACTAATGGGCCAAAAATAGTGCCCTACTGGAACTATCCAAAATGGCCGCGAGTGGTCCCGCCCACAAGAAAATTGTGAAAAAATGAATCCGCGCATGCGTCAGCCGGCGTAAGCCCCATGCATTTGAACGAGTGACTTCATAAATTCACAGCGACTAAACTAGACTGGTCCAGAACACTCAGCATTGACACACATGTGGAACGGAGCTTTGGGCCAAGAGTCAACTTTTGGACCATCCTGTAAAGACGTTTTCGAGAGGTAAGAAGATGCTATATGTTAGCATTGGCTAATTCTTATTCCGGGTCCACCCCCATCGGCCTGGGGTGGTATTGCAGCGTGTCAGCGCACGTCATTTTGGACACTTTTGAGCCGGGAAACAGTTAGTTAAAACAACGTCTCTAAATTAATTCGCTCCACACATGGTGGTGGTAAATGACTTCTGTAGCCACAGCTGCCCTGGGACACACTGAGGCAGGGGACATTAGTTTGTGCCACTGCTTCTTACAGACACTTTGAGATTCTTTCAGAGCACGCTCAGCTGAAAGGTGTTTGTGGTAGTAACCATAGTAACCAATCTACTCCGTGTTTTGCAGGTGTTAGAGCTGAGGAACAACCGTGTGTCCTCCTTGTGCCCTCTGACCTCTGCCCCCCCCCCTCGGCTGCTGCACCTGGGCCTGGCCTCCAACCCACTGGGCTCAGCTCTGGATGTGTGCAGCCTGACCGGAGCCCACTGGTCAGTGTGTGTGTCAGTGTGTGTGTGTGTGTGTGTGTGTGTGTGTGTGTGTGTGTGTGTGTGTGTGTGTGTGTGTGTGTGTGTGTGTGTGTGTGTGTGTGTGTGTCAGTGTGTGTGTGTGTGTGTGTGTGTGTGTGTGTGTGTGTGTGTGCGTGTCTCTGTACCCAGGACCGGGAATAACTCATGAAGGAAATGAAATGCTTTTTCTCAAAAAGGTTCCTTCATGAGTTTGTGATAAAAAGAGACAGAATGCGGCTGTGGAGCTGCTGTTTCCTTATTTTCTCCGCCCTCGGATCAGTCAAGTTTAACAATTTCATCGAGCATAATTTTCAGTCACTTCCCACAAGATTTAAACATGTTCGAACATCAAATACGCTTGTATTTGTGCATCAGATCCTCCATGGTTCACTACAGCCTCAGGTCACATTTGCTGATGCATCTGTCTTTCTTGTCTCACACTCAGCGCCGCCTTAAATCACGATCACACACAGTTTCAGGTCACCTTTAATACATTTATGAAGAGTACGTACATATATAAGTCCAATACCATAATAAAAACATATATCCAAATTTCCACAAAGTAATCCTCATATTCAGCAGTTGGCTCAATGTACTTATTGGCGCAGAGTAGATTAAAAAGTGAGTTTCAAATGCTTCAAAAAGACTAATATTGAGTTAGAAATGTGCTACCAGCAGCGGTGAACCAGAAAGCTGCGAAAGGCTTTATATGTATTTTAAAGGCTCAACGCATGTGCCACAGGGTAAAGAACATTCGGTGAAACTGGCCCCAGGGGAAATGCCGCTCAGTGAATTTCCACAAAGAACCTGTGGAGCGACTCAGACGTGGGACAGCGTGACAGGAAGGAACCAACAGGAAGTCCATGTTCCCTGTTCTCTGCAGGTCAACGTTCAAGATCTTACATAATAGATCTCGCTCAGGAATGTTCTGGATTATCTGGGAACCGTGGACTTCCTTCTGCATGTGTGGAGTTCCATTCCTCAAAATAAATAATAGCGATTCTTATCTAATCCTTACTGGGTTGTTGATTCGTCCTTTGCCAACGCAGCAGGGTCTAAGGACAGTACTGACCCGAGACATTCACTGACAATATTTATGACCAATGGCTCCTACGTGTCTGTTATTATTGTTGCGTGATCGAGACCACTGCTGTTGTGCTGTAGGGTAATACCATAGACTGTAAATATGAATGGCCATAAGTTTGTGTAAGCCCTCAATGGCCATAGTCACACCTATCTCTGCCGTTCTAACTAATGGGCCAAAAATTGGGCTCTCATGGAGTGATTCAAAATGGCCGCAGGGGCTGGAAAATGTGAAAAAACGCATCTGTGCATGCGTCAGCTGCACGAGCCCCATTCATTTAAACGAGAGACTTAATAAATTCACAGCGACTAAACTAGACTGGTCCAGAACACTCAGCATTGACACACATGTGGAACGGAGCTTTGGGCAAAGAGCCAACTTTTGGACCATCCTGTAAAGACGTTTTCGAGAGGTCAGAAGATGCTATATGTTAGCATTGGCTAATTCTTATTCCGGGTCCACCCCCATCGGCCCGGGGTGGTATTGCAGCGTGTCAGCGCACGTCATTTTGGCCACTTTTGGGCCGGGTAATTACCCCACTGGGTAATACACAAATAGATGGAATTGCATTGAATTGAAAAATAAATGTAGCTAGTATTAAAGCAGCAATATGTAAGATTTTCATGTCAAGTCATCATTAAAGGGCCCTAATCTGTCAAAAGGCATTAATAAAAACTGTTCTTTTCCAATACTTCTTTAACTGATAACAGTCGTTCAGAGATAGTTGAATTTCTAAATTACTTTTCCAGCCTCTAAATCTTGTTATTGTTTTCATTTCGATGTCCCGCCCTCCACCGTTTCACCAATCAGAAAGTCTGTGATCCGGGCACCAGACCTCACCGTGTGGAGCTAATCTCACTGGTAAAGTACCATGTGGCGCAGAACTAAAAAGATCTCGTTATGATTCTCAAATCATTAACGACAAAACCAGGAATAAAACCAGTATTTCTATCTTTGTGAAAAAGGTGTTGATTATAGATTTGTCAGATATTACGGTCCCAGCTGGATTCGTCTGCATATCTGGCAACCTGAGTCAGGGAGAGTCGGAGGGGCTGCAGTACCACTTATGGCCAGATGTTTACAGACTGCTCCTTTAACCAGTGTTATTAAAATGATGTTGTGTTCAGGCCCGCGCTGCTCTGTCTGGACCTCTCTCTCTGTGAGTTTGAGCAGCTGACAGACCTGTTGGTGGCGCTGTCCTCTCTGCCCCGACTGCGGAGCCTTCTGCTGGAGGGGAACCCGTGCTCCCTGGGGCCCGCCTACCCCGGCCTGGTCCTGGACGTCCTGCCGCGGCTCTCACACCTGGACTCTGAGCGGATCACAGCAGAGCAGACGGAGGCCTTCAGGGGCATGGCTGTCCTCACAGGTTCAGGATTCACTTTGTTCAAGGATGAGGCAATCCATTTAACTTTTTACTTGGAATTAATTTCTTATTGGACGTGCACCTCCACAAACCTGACTCATATTGTCCTGAGGTCCTCTTCATGTTCTCATTCATGTACTCATGTTGTTCCTTGGAGGTATTATTCCACAACCTCACCCACATAATATTACTGTGTGTTTCATTCTTTTTATTAGTCAAATAATTGTTGGAGAAATCACTAAAATTATAAACTTAAAAAAGAGTTAGGGTTAGGATTTATTAACCTTAACTGTATATCACTGTAACATACAGTAAGTAAGAGCTGAAATGTGGTGCCTGTACTTTTTATTCTAAATCGGGTGTGTGTGTGTGTGTGTGTGTGTGTGTGTGTGTGCGCGCAGGTGTGGCAGAGGCCTGTGCCCGGGTCACAGTGCGTGTGGGCCGGCTGAGGGGACTGCCTGAGCCTCCACAGAGCTCTGAGCACCCCCTGGTCTCCGTCTCGTACTGGGTCTCCTACAGGTTCCTCCCCCTCCGTCCTCCAGACCAGCTGCAGGTCAGTGTCACGTCACGAGTTCACTGTTATAACCAGAGTCAGACAGTTTTCATCTGTCTGCTCCAGAACGTACACACATCCACTTTTGTTTTAGCAGAACTTGAAGAGAGTGGACGGATGTGAATCAGAGGAGACAGAGGAGAACAAAGAGGAGACCGAGGAGGAGCCAGGTCTCTGTGAAGTCTGCTCTGAAGTCCACGGTAAACCTCACGACTTTTCCTGAATGAATTAGGGTTTATTTACTTATTGAACTTACTGAACATACATACATACACCTTCTAAATGGTCACATGGTCAGATCCTTGCTGGAGTCTAGGGTCACCTCAACATTTCCACACTGATTTCTGTGTGAAGAGTTCTACTAGTCCTCAGCAGTGTTGGGCACGTTACTTTGAAAAAGTAATTAGTTATAGTTACTAGTTACTTCTCCCAAAAAGTAACTGAGTTACTAACGGAGTTACTCCACTATAAAAGTAACTAGTTACCAGTAAAAGTAACTATTGCGTTACTTTTTCGTTTTGTTCTGGAACATAATGTGCACCCGACGTGCGCATTTTTACCTTTAACAGTGCCAATATTTCCATCTAGAAAAGGCTGTTTTGCTGCTGAAGTCCTGTTCACTCTTCATCTCTGTCTGTGCTGTAAAGCCCGCCACTGTGAATGTGGAAACACCGGTGACGAGCGGTGAGGCTGGTGAAGCACTGACTTCAGTCCAATCAGATGAACATATACATCATATAAATCAAGTGGACAATTTGTTTGGCTACAGCAAAATATGTTTTATGCCCGCATTGTTTGTTCATACAAAACGCAAAACTATGAGTTATGGGTCTTACCTTATAAATGACCTGCACAGTCCACTTCGGTTCAGACCAGTTCCTTGTTTAAATCCAGTGAATGGTTTGAGCGTAGATATGTAATCCTCCATTTGGAAATGAGTCCAATGAGTTTTAAAAAGTAAAACAAAACGCGTGTGTCCTCCGTAAACTCCTCTGTTTTGCTGCAGCCGGCTGCATCCAATTTCTAAAATCAACCGTCTTACACTTCACCTCTCTTTCTTATCATTCCTATAGTAATTGAAAAATTACCCTATGTGCATTTTAGATTATGTAAAAATGTGTTATATGTATGTTAGCCAAACCTGTTGCTGTCCTTAGCAGATAAACCAGGAAGAGCAAGGAGCTTATCGATGGAATTGTATGCAGCCGACTTCTGCGCTCACATGCGCTCCTCTGTGGCTGACCTCACGGTGATACAAGCCGTGGTTGAGCGCGATTAAGACCCATATTTGTTTCAAAAACACAATTTATGACCATCCTCTCAACTGTAGACATGTAGATTGTAAAGGAAATATGATTTACATCAGCCAATAATTGCTGAGAGGTTTTCTCATCCTCCCTTCTCTCATGACAACACGTTCATTGTGCGTCTTGAGTAACGCGCAGTAACGGGATGTCGGAAATGATAACGGCGTTATAGTTACTGTCAAAGTAATTAGTTAGATTACTCGTTACTGAAAAAAGTAACGCCGTTATTAACGCCGTTATTCCCATCACTGGTCCTCAGGTCTCTGCACTGGCTTCCTGTGGCTCAGAGAATAGACTTTAAAACAGCTTTGCTTGTTACAATTCTCTCCACGGCCTCGCACCAAAATATATTAGTGACATGTTAGTCCCATATGAACCAGCCCGGACTCTGAGGAGCACAGGGACTGGACTCCTGCTGGGACTCTGAGGAGCACAGGGACTGGACTCCTGCTGGGACTCTGAGGAGCACAGGGACTGGACTCCTGCTGGGACTCTGAGGAGCACAGGGACTGGACTCCTGCTGGTGCCCAGAGTCAGGACTAAACACAGGGAGGCAGTGTTTCAGATTTATGCAGCTAAAATCTGAAACAGTCTTCCTGAAAATAAGAGACAGGCTTCTACTGTGACAATGTTCATTATGACCTGATGATTGTGTAACCAAAGAGAGCTGAGCAGAGTCCCGCTGATGATGATGTTTGGTGATGGAAGCTGTGGTGTGTCACTCAGGCTCCGTCCACCGCTCGTCCACACTGTCCTGGTCCGAGAGCATGGACTTCAGCCAGAGCCTCCACCACCGCGTGTCTGACCTGAAGGCCCTGAAGAGCGCGCTGACCCGGGGCCTGTGCGTGCGAGTGGAGGAGGAGAAGGTCCAGTCACAGCTACAAACTCACCAACACCCTCCCATTCAAATAAGAATAATCTACAGCATGCCCCCACTGAAGAGCTAACTGTAAACCAGCAATCATTGAATTGACCGATTCCTTGTGTTATTTCTACAAATTCCACATGAATGTGTTCAGTGTTAAATATTTTGAAAGATGAGATTTTAAAATCTTATCTTAGGGGCGACTGGCTCAGTTGGTAGAGCAATAGCCTTTGGGCCTGAAGGTCGTGGGTTTGAGCCCCCCACGAGACCTACTTCATGACTCCCACTGATGTCTGCTGTCGTTGTGTCCTTGGGCAAGACACTTAACCCAGAAATGGATTAAGAGGAAGAAAATGGATGGATGGATAAAATCTTATCTTGGAATACTTTCACGCCCTCCACACAAAACAAAATAGTGTGTGTGTGTGTGTGTAGGTACTGTCCTGGCCTGCAGCCCCTGAAGACACAGCAGCTTCTAAAACAGCCACAAAAGAACCCAAAGGACCAAAGGGAAAAGATGTAAGTGCTGAGGTTTGTCTGCATAGCTCATTAAACAGGATTAAACAGGGACTATTCCATTCGGACCAGAACCTCCCGCCATAAGACCAGTTTCTTCCCCTCTGCAGTTGGACTCATGAACACTTCAGAACTCATCACAGTGATGGCATTGTTGAAAAACAAATCAACAACAACATTTTTAGGTATCAAGGGTAAACAAAATAATGCTTGCCTCCTGTAAGTCCCTTTGCCAAAACTATGATGGGCACTACTTTTGTTTTAAACGACGGAAAACTGCTCTGTGTGTGATGTCATAGTGGTTAAATTTTCACTTGTACCATATTTTTTTTGTTCCAAACTAATGTAAGCATCCACATGAATGTAATGTGTACGAGATCTTGCCCCATCCCTCCTGCTATTTGAGTAATTCTCTTTTGAAATATGTTTTCAGAGCCCAAACAAGCCCGTGTCCACCAGAGACAAGAAGCGGCGGCCCCCCTTGGAGCTGGTGCAGGACCCCCCAGTGCGCAGAGGCTTGGGCTCCGTGCACGTCCCCCTCCACACACTGCTGCAGAGCGGACACAAGGTGGCGCTGTGCTGTGACTTTGGCCCTCAGAGACCAGAGGCAGACAACACTGTGGACAAGGCAGCTGTACGGTTGCATCTACTCTGTTCAGTAACTGATTGGATGTTGATTATTATCCAAATGTAAACAGGATGTGTCCTACCCCTATAACCTACAATAACACCACAGCCATGGTCCTACCACAGAAGCAACATTAAATATGGAACAATGTGCTGAAAATTATCAGAAATGCTGTGAAATAAACAATCTAGGTTCTTTCAGTTTAGACACACAATCCTCACTTCCATTTATATCTTCTCCTGCTTTATCCGTTGGGCCAGAGAGAGACACACAGTCCCTCCAGTGTGTCCTGGGTCTTCACCAATTCTGTTCTTCTGTCTATAGCAAAGTGAACAAATAAATCTGTGACAGTCACAGATTACTCCAAATACTTCAATGTCAATTCTAATCTATAGAGTCTGAAAATCTGACTGTTCATAAGAGACTTTGCTCAAACACAGGTCGACGACAAGGAGCAAGTCCCAAAGACAGGAGCGTCTGTGAAGAAGCCGGCCACAGCCTCCAAAGGTTCGCACTGAGATCGACAGCTTCTAATTCGGGTTCTGTAGATTCTTAGTATTTCATTTGGACCGCCGTCTCTTTGCAGATGTACAGTACACACCCATCACGTCTGTAACGAGTCATATTTGTCCTGTTTCTTGTGACAGGAAAAAAACAGCCAGTGAAGGGAGCGGACGAGGCCAGTGTGTGCGGCCCCCAGGAGCCCCTCACCGTGGAGCTGTGTGTTCAGCTGGAGCAGTGGAGGTCTGCAGCCGAGGCCTCACTGGAGCTGGGCCTCTGACACCTGTGCAGTTCCTCTCAGGACGTGACACATGTTCTGTCCAGGTGTAGAGAGATACTGACAGAAGATGTAGTCATGTTGTTGATAAACACAGCATTATTACACACATAAAGTGAATGTTCAAACTAAACCAGGGGTGAAACTGGTCCTCAAAGGGCCGGGTGGCTGCAGGTTTTCATTCCAACCAAGCAGGAGCTCACCAGACTCTACTCATTTCCTTGAGTGAATGCAGTTATAACCTGGAAGCCTGAGTAAACGGGTGGAGTCTGGCACACTCCTGCTTGGTTGGAATGAAAACCTGCAGCCACCCGGTCCTTTCTGGTATCAGTTTGACATCTATACTAAAGGAATAGTAAGTTTTAAACGCATCGACCAATCAAAATTCTGGAGCTATATCAGCCAACTTCAGATGCTACGTGTTTCGACCCAAATCGGTGAAACGACCGAGGCCGATTCGTTCAATACAATGTGAAGAAATTAAATTTTTTTTTGGTATTTTGTAATACACTAAATACCCTTGGAGTGTGTTTCATGAGGGGAAGAAATACGCATTTTTTTATTTATACATAAATTCAATTTATTTCAATACATTAATGTTTCATATAGAAATGTTTTCATTGCAAAAGGATTTTTTGAAAGGCCCGCTGAGAACTGACAGCATCAGTTGAAGTGCTAAAAAGATCTTATTACAGATTAACCAGCAGTTCCTCCACAGAGGCCACAGTGTCCACGTTAAAGCCAACAGCAAACCTTAAAAGACTTTGACAAGCATAAAAAAATAAACTATAGCTCCCACCGTCTCGATCGCCTCATAACAAATGTTCTTCGTTTCCCGACAGACTGTGCAACTCCATATATTTATAAATTAATGATAGAAAAGATACTTCAGTAATGATTGATCACACAGTATGCTTCCAGTCACACACACCGACACGTGTAGACATTGTGTAGACATTGTGTAGAGATTGTGTAGAGATTGTGTAGAGATTGTGTAGAGATCCAGTCCCAGTTTAAAGCTGGCGCAGAAACCCGTCCAGAAGCAGCGACTTGTGCAAACGTGTGCCGACGGTGCAGAGGCTCCTCAGAAGGTCTGGTCGTCGTTGCAGGCGTCGGTGGCGTGTCCGAACACCTCGCAGATGTCGCAGTACGGCCGCTCGTCGTCCCGCGAGCCGTGGTAGGTGCTGTGGGGCGGGGACTCTTCCTCCTGGGCCTGTGTGGGGCAGTCCTCCGTGTCGTGGAGGTCGAAACAGTCGCAGATGTCGCAGAAGAGACGAGGAGGGAGCTTCTTCTTTGTGTTGTGAGCCTCACTGCAGGACACAACACAAGGTTCAAATGACTACAGTTGATATGCTAACATTTATAAGCTCATAATGAAGCAATGAAGAAAGCATCTGTATAAAAACCAGACCAGATCATTTGAAGAGAAAGTAAATGTCCACATATCCTGAATTTCTCCTACAGGGGATCAATAACTATCAATTTAGGTTGCATTTGTATATAAGCCACAGGTTTTCAGATGTTTATGGAAGACTGAAGCAATGACTTTTTAACTGCACACAACATGATTTGATGTTTTAATCTATTTTGAAAACATTCCTAACAAACCTTGAGTCAAAACTCTGACTATGGCCCGAATCACATGTAAACATCTGTGTATTTGCCTGCACTTCCTTGTCTCTCTGCTGCTCACATAAACTGAATAAAAATATAGGCTGCAGGTTCAAAGAAGAAAAGTAGGTACTGTTTATCAAGTCTATTTATATGTGCCTGTAAATATAAATGAAATAACGTCATAGTTTTGCACCAATCAAGAAGCAGTTATACCTGGTTATATACAGTTAAAAATAATTAAAAGCTCAAAATATGTCTAATGCTGAGACTTTTATTTCTATCATTTGAACCTTGCACTACTATTGACACCGTTTTTGATTGCCACTTTGATTGTACGTAATATATCCTGCATTTAACTTATCTTGAAATGTGAGACTTGGAGGCCCTGCAGTCGCCCTGGAGTCAGAGCAGAGTGTAGCAGCGGCTCAAATCAACTCTAAACTCTAGCTTCAGTGTTGTGCGTGTACAGAACCCACGGCTGACCTCTCGTAGTTGTCCATCTCGTTGGCGCTGTTCCCGTTCAGCGCTGCGGTCGACAGCTTCTCCAGTTTGTCCTTGAGCTCCTGGTTCTTCCTCTGGAGGTCCACGATCACAGAGTTCAGGAAGTCAATCTACGAGTGCAAAGAGTCCGTGTAAGTCTGTGTTCGGCGTCCACGTGAGCCACCGACTGCAGGGAACACTTTTCTCTCACTACCAACTTTAGCATTGAGTTAAAATGAACAAATGTGGATAAATGTGGAGGTGAACGCTCAGGGCCGGCTCCAGCAGAGTGTGGTTGGAACTCACAAAATTATACATTTATACAGAGAATAAAAACTCCTATAGAACATGTACAGCTGCTTAGTTCTTTAGTGAACGTGCAAACCTCGTACACTTCAGCCAATCAAAGCGTTGCATTCATGGACCAATGATTTGACAGAGTATTTATATTACTTTATTTAATTTTGTATGGTGTTTTTTAAGAAAGTTAGAGTTTGAATGCATCACATGTGTTATTGATGTTGGTTTAAGATTTCTACAGCCTATACAATTTAGAAAACTGCCACATTTGCCAATTCGAGCAACTTTGCGTTTTCTTTTCAATATTTCTAGAAAGCCTCAAATCCAACAGCCAATCAGATCAGCGCAGGAGTGTGTCGCCTTTACAGTTTCTCGCTCCGTGTTTGTTGTGGCTTTTATAATGGCTTTGTTTATCTGTGCTGCGGCCGGCCCTGGTCTGTCATAAACATGTTAGAACTATTTCTCAGTGATGCTGTAGTTTGTGATGCTATAGACACTACTGGCCCCTGCTGGACACCGCTTAGAACTGCAGTGAGAGTGAGCGCATGCACAAGTGAAGCTGATGTAAAACATGAACAAACCGCTGCCTGATGGTGGGGGTGCAATGCCAACATCAGACACAGGGCGGAGAAGAGAGAGAGAAAAGAAAAAAATCAAGAGCTCAAGTTAGAACAGCTACTGACACCGCACTGGGCCCTCTGCCATCACACTGGAGCAGCAGCTCTGCACTCACAAATATTATGCATTTGTGCTCATTTTGGACAATATGACAACTTTCACTTTGGATTTTTCTTAAAGATGGAAAAAGTCCATTTGAATATTCTCAAACTTACAGAACAAGGGAATAAGAAGCTTCTGATATTAGGGTGTATGGAGCTGAACACAACTCCAGGTCTGTTATTGATGTAACATGGTTAAAAACTCAAAATGACAATTTGCATAATATGTGCCCTTTAAGTGTGAAACAGTGAGACCTGGACTCAGATGTTTGTTTGGCGTGAAAGTTTAGAGCTTCGTGTTTTCAGTCGATGATCTTTTGTCTTGATCAAACTGGTTCCAGAGCATTAAAGCAGTGACTGCAGCGTCCATGACACAGGGCCCAGACACAGTATAACATTTACATCATGCAGAGGAGGCAATGCTTCACCAGGAATAACTGACATTTCTCTCTGTGTTTAAAGCTCATTTAAGTCCTCCTCCGTAAAGCATTATACTGCACACTTTCCAAGACTTAACATCAGAGAATCTACATTAGAGGATATATTTTCCCAATATGACACGAGACCAATGAGACACGCACGATAAAAGCGTCTGAGCAGGAGTGGAACAGACCTGACTCTCCAGAGACTCATTCTCCTCTCGGAGCTCATCCACCTCAGCATTTCCTGACGGAAGATTAGAGAGTTATTATTCACAAATGCACCGTGTTCACAGTAGGACCCAAAACATGTTTATGTCCAAGTCCAAGTCCGGAGTAGCACCAAAAATGTTATTTGGTCGCAATAAAAATACATGTTCAACCTTACAATATTTTTTTCTCACGTTTCATTATCTCCATTTAAGTGCATAAAATGTGATTAATTTTGTCACGTTTATAATCGCAGCATCAGAGCAGAAAACATTTGACAGATTTTTGCAAGAAACTTGTAGTGTGTAACGACATGTTTTGTGACAGAGGTTTTGTGTCAGTGTCAGTGATGGTGTAGAACCTGAGCCTGGATCATCTCCTTCTCTTCTCTGAGTCTCCAGTTTGTGGAGGCGCTCGCTCAGACTGGACTTGTCTCGCTCCAGAGCCTCCACTGTGGCCTCCAGAGCTCGAGCTGACGCTGTGTTCGCCTGCTGCTCCGTCAGCTGCAACACATTCACCTGGACATTAGTGACGTCACAATCAAGGATCCATGAAACTAGAGTGACTCCACGAATAAAGCTTCAGAGATGTGACTGAAGGAAGAGGGAGTCATAGCTGCTCTGGAACTGGTGCTGCGCCCGTCTCCCGAGCTCACCCGTCTCCCGAGCTCACCAGTCTCCCGTGCTCACCCATCTCCCGTGCTCACCCATCTCCCGTGCTCACCCATCTCCCGTGCTCACCCGTCTCCCGTGCTCACCCGTCTCCCGAGCTCACCAGTCTCCCGAGCTCACCAGTCTCCCGAGCTCACCAGTCTCCCGAGCTCACCAGTCTCCCGAGCTCACCCGTCTCCCGAGCTCACCAGTCTCCCGAGCTCACCCGTCTCCCGTGCTCACCCGTCTCCCGAGCTCACCCGTCTCCCGAGCTCACCCGTCTCCCGAGCTCACCCGTCTCCCGAGCTCACCCGTCTCCCGAGCTCACCCGTCTCCCGAGCTCACCCGTCTCCCGTGCTCACCCGTCTCCCGTGCTCACCCGTCTCCCGTGCTCACCCGTCTCCCGAGCTCACCCGTCTCCCGAGCTCACCCGTCTCCCGAGCTCACCCGTCTCCTGAGCTCCTCCAGCTCCTCCTCGTTGCAGCTGATTAAGGCACTGTTCTTGGTCAGCGACGCCTTCTCTTTCTCCAGCTGCTCCTTCAAGAGACTCTCGCTGGAAAACAAATACTTCAGTTATTCATGCATCATTACTGACCGAGAGGTGACGACATGTTTACAATGTGTGTGGGGGTTAACATGCCAGTGACAGAACCAGATGGTAGAAAAATGTAAAAATAAAAGATGATCCGAGCTGACAAGATGAGTTTTGGTTTGATTTCAGAGTTTCACTTCAGAGACAGAACTGAACATGCAGAAGGGAAAGTATCCGGTACCTGAAGCTAATATTAGGCAGCCTTCGGCAGAAGGGAAAAGATAAAACATGAGCTTAGAGGACGCTCTGCTCAGTCAGACATGTTTACTGATAAACTTGAGGAGAACGTACCTGTGCTTCAGGTCCTTCACTTGCTGCTTAAGCTTGGAGTGTTCATTCTTGAGCTGCGTGTAGAAAACAGATGTTACCAGTGTTACCAGTGTTACCAGTGTTACCAGTGTTACCAGTGTTACCAGTCTATACGCGGCCATGATAGTTGTTCGGTTAAAGCTCTACCTTGGACAATTGGGCCTGGTCCTTGTGGCTGTCGCCCAGCTCTTTGCTGAGATGCTCCTGCTGCTGCTGCAGACTCTGCAGACTCTGGCTCTTTGTGGACACCTCTTCTTTCAGCCTCTCTCTGAACAAACACAGGATTTTTCTGTCAGTAACAGGATTGTGTATCTTCACTTCAGAGATGGGACGAAAACTGATCCTATGGTGACACTGCATTATTGAGATGGTCTTTAGTCACAACATTTCTGACTAAAATTATATTCTCTATAAAACCATGATGGAACAGTTCAAGTATCAACAGATCCTTTTCCCCCCAAACTTTTCACTATGCAGGGTTGAGGAGCAGAACTCAGGAGCAACAGAAGTGCATTTACCATTATAATTCCATAGTTATACACTGCTCCATGATGCAGTCATACGGCCCCTCCCTAAATGGCTCTGAGAAGAGAAGGTACTCACAGCTCCAGGCCCAGGCTCTTGCTCCTCTCAGACTCTGTGGCGAGCTGCTCTTTGGTCGTTTTCAGATCCTTCTGGTGCTTCGCCTTCTCCTCCTTTAGTGTTTTCATCTAAAATCATATGTTGTTAGCTTCATAGGTGCAGGTGAGTTTCCACAGTGAGAATCAGCCTCTTACCTCAGACTCCAGGAGGTTTTTGGACGTACGCAGCTCCTCTAACAGAGACTGTGTCTGAGTCTTCTCCTGAAGCAGAGCGGCTTTCTCACCGGACAGCAGCTCAAGAGCCTCAGACGTTTTCCCACTAGTCTCTTTGGCCTGAATGTAGTTCAAGTATAAGTTATTGTAAATATTACATAATGAACTTATGGTATATTTATTTAAACTATTTCAATAGTTCTTCATGCAGAGATAATTCAATCTACAACTAATAGGAAAATAAAAACTATCACCTGTGGCCTTACAACGAATATGATGAAAGTCAAACTTATGACCTGGTAAAGCCTGAGCAAACTACATTTTTAACCATTTATTTATTATTTAATTCTACTCAAGACTAGATGAAATTACTGAATTTAAGCAAGAAACTGCTTTCTCGAGGATACCTCCCCGTGGGACATGCCCGAAACAGACGTCCAGGAGGCATTTGAATCAGAGGATACTTGAACTCCTCCACTTAAGGAAGGAACATCCCACTCAACTGAAGAGAGCAAGGCACCATATCGAGGCTCTATAAGATTCATATATGATTTTGTACTTGTATTTACAGTGTCTCTGTCTAAAGTGGTTATGTGATCAAATATATAAAGAATCGGTCTGATCAAGGCATGTCTTACTAAGCCTACGACGGAGGCTAACATTGTCATTGTTTCACGGCCAACATCAAAGTCGTTATAAGCCCACAGGCGAGTGAGTGAAGGCTGGGAGCACCAGGTGTGAGTGAGTGAAGATGAGAGTTAAGAGGGAGCAGGGAGACAGAGCGGCGTGCATTTAGTACAGACAGTGACCCCAGCAGTCTACAGGACTCAGTGATCGGTTAGTGCCGGGGAAATAGTACCTCAAGCTGCTTAGAAAGTGCATGTGAGAGCTGCGTCTGGAGCTGGGTGGCCTGTTGCAGGGCAGCGTCACGCTCCTTCCGCAGGAGGTCCCTCTGAGCTGTGATTTCTGTCATCATCTGCTGTCGTTCTCCAGCCGACGTCGAGGCCTCTGTAGTCATTTGCTGATTTTGCTTCTCCAGCTCTTCCTTGTCGTGCCGGAGCATTTTAAGATAAGCTTCAGCTTTCTCGTGATCGTTCATTAGCTTTTCCAACTCCCCTTTCAGCCCGAATTGTTCTTTGAGCCAATTTTCCTTTTCGCTGCGCAGAGAAGCTAGATCTTGCTCTAAGCTGCGTTGTGATATAGATAGTTGTTCCTTTTCTGCGTTCAAATCAACAATGCGTTTGTTCATCTCCTCCGTTTCAGCCCGGAGTTGTTCCTTCTCAGTGGTTAGCCGACTGGACTCCTGCTCTTGTTGTTTCATTTGCCTGGACATTTCCTCCACTGTTCCCTTTTTGTCCTGATCACTCTCTTGTAGACTCAGAGACACTTGTTGATTTTCCTCTCTCAGTTTTTCTACCATCTGCTCCAACTCCTCCACTCGTTTAGAGAGACAATCTTTAACCGCGACAACCTCAGCACGCTGGCTAGTTTCAGTTTGGACCCGCGTCTCAAGACTCTCCTTCTCTTGGGACATAAGCTGCATTTCAGATTGTAACTTTTCTAATTCTTGGTGCAACTGTTGCTTCTCCAACTCTACAGACTCCAGCTGCTTGCCCGTATCACTCTGCCCTGAACGCAGGTTTTGACAATCATTCGTGAGTCTTTTAACCTTCTCAACCAGCTTTGAATTAGTCTTTTCTAGCTGTTGCTTTAAAGTACCATGCTCCTCAACAAGTTTCTCCTTAGAAATTCTTGAAGTTTCAATTTCCTCATTTAGCTTAAGTACCTGATTCTCTACGTCAATCTTGTCCTGTTTCAGAGCCGTCACTACAGCCTCAACCTCACATTTCTGCTTTGTAATCATCTCCAGCTTGCTCCATAGATCTGACTTCTCTTGGGCTAGTTCTGCATTTGCTTTGGAGACAGTATCCAACTGATCTGAAGCTGCTCTCAAGTCAGTGGACAATCCTTCCTTCTCGCCTGAAACTCCATCCCTTTCTGCTAGGACCTTTCCCACTTTACTCTCCAGTTCTCCATTCTCGCCTGCTAGCCGCTCATTGTCCATCTTTAGCTGCTCTAGCCTCGACTCTAGACTCATGTGTTCTTTCTTTAGTGCGTGGAAAGCCATCTCTGCTTCAGAACTCTGCTTCTGGGAGGACACTTTCTCCTGCTCCGAAGCTTCCAGCAGCTCCTTGCATTTGTGGTTGGCCTTTGCTAGCTGATCGACTAGTGCCTCGACCTTGTTTTTGAGCTCTCCGATCTCTTTGAGCAGCTCTTGGTTTTCACTGCTGGTTTTCCTGTGAACCGTGAGCAGGTCCTCCTTCTCTTGCAGCAGTTGCAGCCTCTCGGAATCGGTGACTTGGCTGCTTGTCTTGAACTCCTCCAGCATTTGAGCCAGTCCGTTTTTGGAGACCTTCACCTCTTCGCACTGGCGCCGGTTTGCTTCCAGCTCCTTCTTGGCGACATCGAGCTGACGTTGCAGCTCCTCTTTGGCCTTTTCCAGGTCCGTTTTGTCCGACGTGACTGCACTGATGTCGCTGGATAGTTTGGCGGACTCTTTGGTCAGTGTCTCGTTGAGGGCTTGCATTTGGCTGTTCTTCATCGTGAGATCCTCTTTCTCCAGGTTTAGCGAGTTCAGCTTTGTTTGGAGTTCGGTATTTTTTGCATCCAATGACTTCTTGGCTTTTCTCGCAGAATTCAGCTCCGAGGCCAGGTTTTCCTTCGCCGATAACAGCTTGGACTCCTTTTGCGCAAAATCTTCTTCGAGTCTACTCTTCTCTTTACAAACGCCGTCGTAATCGGCTTGCAGCTGCTTCTTTTGAGCCTGGATTTCTTCTATCTCGTTTTTCTGCTTCAGAACAAGATCCTGCTTCTCTGCATTTCGTTTCTCGAGCTCTGCCGTTTTGGCCAACTGCTCATTATGGGCCTCTTTGAGTTGTTTACTTTCTGTCCGTGCCACTTGCAGATCATTTGTGATGTTTTGCAAGTGCTTTTTGAGAGAACTTCTTTCGTCGTCTGAACTTTTGCATAGTGTCTCCAGCTCATCGTGGCGTTTTGAAAGTTCTTCCTTCGCCATTTGCAGCTGCTTGTGCTCTTCCTGCAGCTTGTCGTAGCTACTTTCGACGTCGGAAATCTGAGCGCGGACCTCGGACAACTCCTTCTGCAGCTGCGACTTCTCTGAATCGCTTTCCTTGCGCCTGAGCTCTAGATCTGACTTTTGCTTTTCCGCTTGTTGGGAAAGCAGCTCAACATCATGCTTGGTGGTTTGGAGCTCAGCAGAAAGACACTGGGGGAAAATAATATAAAAAAAGGGAGACAAGACAAGCAAAAATAAAAAAGGGGGGATAAGATGAACCAAAACAAACTTAGCAGATGTGGATGTATGCCGCTGGAAAAAGTTAAAATGCAGAAGCAGGCAAAAAGATTACACCATGACACCGCAAACAAGGTCAGATTTAAAAGGAGCATTTTCACTTCACCAATGTGTCGTGGGCTTTGGTTTTCAAGGGTCAAATTCACAAATAATTGAGAGAATGTCAGCTAAACCAAAACCAATTATCTGCATGATAGTTTTTAACAGAACAATATCATATAATTGAACGCTTCATGCCATTTTTGAGAATAATCAATAATACAAAAATATATATATATATTAAGCTAAAAATCTGTTTTTAGCTCACACCTAGCCAAAATAGTGCTCACTCGTCATAATTTCCTTTGACAAAAAAGTAAATTAATGCTAAATTGATCTAAATGTTTTTGCTTAACTCTATTTGAAGTTTCAACAAGCCAATTGAAATGAAAATGCCCCTTTTGAATACTCAGCTGAAAGAAAATAGCCTGTTAATAACAAAATCATCTGCAAATAAATCATTATTATGGTCAAATAACACTAGAGTGATTGATCATGACCAGAGACTACAGCATGGGATGTGATGAGGCTTTAGCAGTTTTATACAGTTGTTATGACATCGATAAACAGACGACCGCTTCAATACTTTGGGTTCACACGGCATCACTACGTTTAACCCGATTATTGGAAATTCCATCAAAAAAAGATTACTACTTAACCGGTTAACCACACACCTGCTGCAGTCTGTTATGGGAAATAAATCAGTCGGAGTAAACCTGAGTCACACTGCAGTATTTATGGACTAATACTCATGTCGTTTATCTGTAGACGAGGATTACAACAACAAAAATTTAAGCAACGCAAAAAGAAGATCCAAACTGCTACATTTTAGGAGTGCAAAAATTACGCTGTTGGGGCCCGACTGAACGCTCGGAACGCAGTGGCGAGAACCGTGGGGAACAAAGCCTACTGTGGTATTTGTATTTACCGACACTTCCTATTTTTCAAGGCTAAAGGCAATTTTTTTCGTATTTATTCATATTTTAATTTAGTCATAAGATCATCCTTTCAATCTGTCATGATAGTTCATACATCTGCCAGGACATTAGGGGACTTAAAAGCAGACATTCGGTGAGAAGAATATTGACCGCTACAGGCACCAACAACTTGTATTCCTAACATGAACGCAACCTATACATAACTTATACAACCTATACATAACTTATACAACCTATACATAACTTATACAACCTACCTCTGTCTGCTGCTTATGCTCCTGCAGCTCCGTCACCAGCCGCTGCAGCTCTGCGTCCTTCTGCTGTTGGAGCTCAGAGGCAGCGCTCAGGGCCTTCTGATGAGACGCCTTCATCTCCTCCACAGAAGCAGCTGCCTCTTCAGCAGACTTCTCCTGCGCACAGTCAAGGCAACAGTGTATACCAGTTATTCTTTTGGTTATCAGTGTAGGATGTGGACGCACAGCTGTAGCGGTCTTTTGTGTCTATGCTGGATCCTTAGTCCAGATAAAAGGCTTCATTCATTCTTCATTCAAACTAAAGGAGGTATCCATCCTGCTACACATTCACTTCATCAATTAAAGCTAGAGTGGCCAATATTGTTTGATTCATGAATAGATTTTGAGGGCTGGTATTCTCATTTTTACTGAAAAAGCTGATCTAAAGATGGGACAGAGACCAAAGACACATGCATGTTAAAACTAGTATTTAAACTAAACTGTTTTGACTAGTTGCATGGATTTTTGGTAGTTTCAGAGTGAGGCACTACAGCTTTAATATCCGGGAAGTAAATAACAGAATGCTGATGTGAACGCACAAAATCTGAATAAGTTAAAAATAAAAAGGAGGATGCGTTTTTCAAAATACTAATATAATTATACTAATACTATAATATTTAGTGTCACATAACCTGTACGTTATCATTATAATTACAAATATGCCTGTGCTGATGGGTGGTAGAGAACTGACCAGTGTGGAGATCTTGTCCTGCAGCTGTCTCATCTCCTTCTGGTGCGTCTCTCTGGTCTCTCTCAGCTGCTGCTCCTTCTGAGTCGTCTCTTGTTGGAGTTTATCGTTCATCTGAGCCACGGTTTCCTTCTCCTCAGCGAGAAGTGCCTGCAGCTCCTCAAGCCTCCTGAAGACAGACACACAGCAGCACATGTGAGATGAAATAACCTGTACCTAGATCAGCAGTGAGGGACCAGACCTTTCTTTGAGTACGAGGTCTTGGTTCATCTTGGTGAGCTGCTCGGAGCTGTCTCCAGACTCCTTCATCATGTCAGAGATGTTATTTTCCAGATTACTCTTGTCCTGAGTTAGCTGCTCAACTTTTTCTTCGGCCGTCTTCAGCTTTCTTTCTAAACCTAAAAAAAATGGGCATGTCTCGTGAGCAAATGGAAACAATAGAAAATAGTAAATCAATTCACCATCTTTATAATCTGTATGTCTTCTAAACGGATTAAAAAATGTGATATATATTTCTCACCTGTAAGTTGACCTCTAAGTGCTTCAGTTTGTGCAGTTAGCATGGTTAGCTGCTCCTCCTTCTCACCGAGCTTTTCACTTGTATTTTGCATAGTTTTTATGGATTTGGTGTGCTCCTCTGAGATTTCGGACATTTTCACTTTCTGCAGTTGAAAAGAGGGGTTCATAAATGTAGCACACACTGTAAGTGTAAGAAGAACAACACAATGTTCTAAAAGTGGACGACACTCACAAAGTCTCCAAGCTTCTGTTCCAGCTCATTCTTCTGCTCCTGCAGAGTGCTCACAGTCTGCTGAAGACCGAGCACCTCTTTTTCTTTGTCCCCGAGACGAGAGCCCAACTCGCCCTCCTGCATAAAGGGTCGCATTGTATTTATGTTGATAAGTTAATCAAATATTCTATACAAGTAAAACTCTGACAATTAACCCTAACCCACAGCGCTCACCTTGGCTCCCTGCTGACTCAGAGCGTCTTCGAGCCGCTTTCTCACACTGATCAGGTCCTTTGTGCTTTGTGCTTCTTGGCAGCGGAGAACCTCCATCTGGGCCGTCAGCTCTTTGGTTTCTCGCTCCTTGACTTGTCTGGACTCTGCCTCCTTCTCCTCCAGCTCCTTTAGCCTCAGCTCTGCAGTGTGGAGTTTACCCAGGACCTCCTCCATCTCCACCAGATGCTGCTCCTCGGCTTTCTCCACTTGGTTCTTCAGATTCTCCTCCAGCTTCTCCTTCTCCTCAGTCGTGCACGACAGCTGTGCCTTCAGGGCCTGGGTTTCCTGAGTCCGTGTGGATATTTCAGTTTTAAGTTTGGCTTCACTTTCTTCTACGAAACCAAAATGCTCCAATTTGAGCTTTTCTAGAGCACTTTTGGCTTCGATGAGCTCTGTTGTTTGTGAGTGCGTGCCTTTGCTGAAAGACATCTTTAGCTCTTCCATGGATTGTTGGTGAGACGATACTGCGGACTCCAGCTTGGACTTCCACAGCTCCAGCGTGTCAGTGTTCTCTCGCTCGGCCTGCTGCAGACGGCCCTGGAGCTGCTCACATGTGGCCTGAAGCCGAGCCGCAGCCTTCTCCTGCTCCTCCAGCTTCTCATTGTAGCCCTTTAGCTCTTGTTGCTGTTTGGATTCCTGGGAAGCCAACTGCTCTCTCAAACTGTTAATTTCCTGCAGAAATGGAGCCGTGCTGGAGCCCTGGTCTCCGGAGTCCTGTTGGCTGGACACTCGCAGCTGCAGGTCAGACACTTCTCTTGTCCGCAGAGACAGCTCCTTCTCTAATTCTATAATACGAGACTTCTCTGAAACAGTCGCAACCTTCAAAAACACAAATTGGAAATATATTTGGGTACAATTGCCAATACTTACCATGGTGAAAAAGTATGCATTTATTTATGTATATTTACATATTAGTTGTCCACATCAGAAATTAAACAATCTTATCTCATCTTGTAGCTAAATATAAGTATATTACATATTATATATATATATTATATATATTAGGATCCTTCCATCAGAATCAGGCTTGAACCCATTAAAAACATAATGAAAATGAAATACATTAAAATAATTGTGACAAAATATATGATGCTATATCTATTGTTTTATCTTCCATGACCTGGTATCGAGTACAACATATTGGGTCATTGTCACATCTACATCCTTCAAAACAAAAAGAAAAAAAGTATGTTTTCTCAATCAAACGGGAATGATTCAGCATGAAAAGGAGAGACTGTAGTGCTGAAGCGGCTTTTAAGATAAAATAAGATTTTTCCATGTAAGGATCCTATGACTGGGAAAAACTTTAGAATCTTAGAACTGGACAATTATCGTGTGGGACGAATCTGCCAGTTGCACTCATTACTTTGGAGACAGCAATAACCCTGGGGTGTTCCACAAATGCATAATTGAAGCAGACTAACAGGACACTAAATAAGCGGGACACATGGATGTCGGGAGGGTCTGGGGACACAAAACATGGGGTAACTTAAATTATAGTCAAGGCTAATTTTGTCTCTTATTGTGTATGTAGAATAGAAAGTAAACCTAGAGTTACTGATCATTTGAAAAACTACATAGTAAATAAACCCCAACTCTAGTCCCTTCCTGGTCCCTTGCACAAGTATCCAGTGCAGCGGAGAGCAGAGCAGGATGCATTACCCTAGTGTCTTCTAACTCTCTTTGGAGTTTCTCAGCTTTGGTCTTTTCAAAGAGCAGCGCCTGTTCAAGCTCCAAAATGTGGGCATGCTCCAGCCTGGTCTGCGTCTGTTAGTAAACAAGGAGGGAGAGGAAGAGAACACACCAAAGTGCCACCATCACATGCCAGCCCAACACAGGAAGGGGTCAGGGGTCAGGGGTCTGTGGAGGTGCAAGTGCTGTGCAGATCAGTCACAATCATTTCTGCTCTGGGTTTGGTTTTAAGAAGCAGGAGTCATTTCGGGAACCACCTTGATGCAAGAACTGACTTGACTGATAACTCCCACGTCCACGCATTTAAATGTCACTCTAAAAAACTCGAGTCCTTTCTCTTGCTACTCCCATGAATTTGACCAATAAAATTAAGGGTGATGAATATTGAATTATAATATAAATGGACTAGGGCTGGGCGATAAATCGAATTAATTCGATTAATTCATGTTTTTAAAAGCCCACGATTTGAAAATGTGTTAAATCGTAAAATCGAGGTAGTTTCTTCTTCTGCCCGCCAATAACCGAAAAGAAGAAGAAGTTTCTTCTTCTGCATTTTTTGACTTGCGCGTTTGCGTCGACTTCCGCCGCCTCTTTCCTCCTTCCGCGCGCTAGCAGGCTGCACTGTTTACAAACGCCATGGCCGCTGCTCAAACTGAAGAGTTGGTAACCAGAAAAGGGACTCATGTTACGTCGATTATATGGAAGTGGTTCGGCTTTGACAAGGCTGACGTGGAGCAGACTACAGTCGTGTGCAAGGTTTGCCGAAATGCTATCAAAACCAAGAGTAGCAGCACAACTAACTTGTTTCAGCATCTCCGGCAAAAGCACCCCACAGAATGGGAGCAGTGCTCGCAGCTTCGGGAGTGCAGCGTGGGTAGCACGAGCAAAGACAAACACGACCACGCCGGGAAAAGACAACAAACTTTAGCCGCCTCATTTTCTAAAGCCGTGCCGTACGACAAGTGTAGTGCGCGGTGGAAGCAGTGACCGACGCTGTAGCTGTTCATATTGGGATGGACATGATGCCCATTTACACCGTAGAGAAGCCTGGCTTTCTGCACATGTTAAAAGTGTGTGATCCAAAATATGACCCGCCGAGTCGCAAATACTTTGCGGAGGTTGCGCTACCAAAACTGTACAACGAAACACGACAAGCGCTCTATGAAAAGTTGGACTCCGCTTTGTTTTTTGCAACTACTACAGACCTTTGGTCCAGTCGATCTCTTCAGCCGTACATGAGTTTAACTGTGCACTATATCGATGAGAACTGGGCTCTCAACAGCTGCAGTTTACAAACCACCTACTTCCCAGAAGATCATACGGGGGAGATCATTGCACAGGGGCTCAAAGATTCGTTGACACGGTGGAAGTTGGATGAGGAGAACATGGTGTGCATGACTACAGATAGTGGAACAAATATGATAAAGGCCCTGAAGTTAAACCAGTGGACCCACCTCAACTGCTTTGGGCACAGGCTACACAACGCAATAGGTAAGTGAAATAATGTTTTTAAATGGTGCTATCACTTTACTCTGAGCCTGTAATCACTGTAACAGCACATTTGTGCAGTGTTGGGGAGAATACTTTGACATTTTATTTACAGAATACTGAAACAGAGTACTCTGTTTTGAATACTTAGTTTGAATACTTTCACATTGATTTGCATAATACTAATAAAAGGCTACACTGAATACTCGCCTGTTATGAACTTATTTACCACTAATTAGGAATGCAAAAAAGCACTTTGCAAATGCCCAAAGCCCAGAATACCTCAATACAGTTACTCAAAATTAGTATTCTAAGTACATGTATTTAGTTACTACCCAACACTGCACATGTGTATTCTTTACATTAATTATGTACATGTTTATTTACATACACTATACGAAATGAGCAATGAGTGGCTGACATTGTGTCTTAATTATGTTTGTTTACAGGGAATGCTTGTAAGGATCATCGCATTGAACGCACTGTAGGAGTCTGCAAGAAAGTCATCAGTGCCTTCTCTTTTAGTTGGAAGAAGCGGAGGGACATGGCACTGGTTCAAGCAGAACTAGGCCTCCCAGAACATCAGCTAATATCAGAATCGCCAACAAGATGGGGGTCACGCCAGAAAATGATCGAGCGCATTCTAGAGCAGGAGAAGGCAATTGGGCAAATCTTGGGTGCAGATAAGAAAACAAGACACCTAGTGCCTACTTGGCAGGACATTGACATTTTAGAGTCTGTAAATAAAGCCATTAAGCCATTACATGACTTCACTGATGCTCTCTCAGGTGAAACATACGTGAGCATCTCTTTCATAAAGCCAACTCTTCATCTGTTTAACAACAGTTTTCTAAAACCAGAAGAAAGTGATACAGAGCTTACAAAACAGATCAAAGCAAATGTGCTGGATTATCTGAACACTAAATATAGTGATCCAGCCACACAAGACCTGATCGACTTTACCTCACTGCTAGATCCCAGGTTCCGCACAACTTACCTTAAGCCAAACCAGATTGATAAACTAAAAGAGAGAATCATTACAGAACTCTGCTCTATGCATTACAGAGGCCTTCAAGTTCAAGGTACTCCTGCAGGTGAAGACAAATCTGAGAGCCAGAGTAATGTTGTTGAGCCAGTAGCAAAGAAAAAGAAATCGCTTAGCAGCTTCTTTAAAAAGACTGCTGCTGTGGAAGCTGACACTCAGCCATATGAGGCTAAACTCAAGGGCGAAGTGTTAGCATATTTAGTGGCACCCGAAATTGATGCAGATTCAGATCCACTTCAATGGTGGAAGCAGCATGAATCCCACTTCCCAAGACTTAGTAAGCTTGCGAAGAAGTACCTGTCAATACCAGCGACAAGTGCCCCGTCTGAAAGGGTATTTAGTACCGGGGGAAACATCGTAACATGCACAAGAGCTTGTCTTAAGCCAGAGTCGGTTGATAGGCTTGTTTTTCTTGCAAGAAATCTAACAGTGTAAAACAACAAAACAAAACGATTATAAGAACGTGATGTCCCAGAGTTAAAGCGTATCCGAGTTTGTCAAAGTGGTGCGGATTAAGTTGTATTTTTTGCACAAGCAATAGTATGTCATAGGTCGTTTACAAGACACATCATTCTGTCTTTTGACTAATCAAACGTTTGATTAATTGTGATATTTCAGCAAATGAAGCTCTTTTTCTTGCACTTGTAATAAGTCTACATTTTTTACTGATATAAAAATCAGTACAATTATTGTTGGCTGAATATTTGTGTTACTTGCACAAGATTTATGTTATAAATATTTAAGTTTACATTTGTTTACTGATACACTCAGTGTCCATTTATTGTTGGCTAAAGATTTGTTACTTTGCACAAGATATTTTTGAATAAATCAAACCTATTTTGAAATACATGCATGTAGTTTGTAATACTTCGATTAAAATCGATTAAAATCGTAATCGTCCAAGATGACTAAAAAAATCGAGATTTTATTTTTTAGTCATATCGCCCAGCCCTAAAATGGACTATTCAGACTATTGAGCAAATATATTTTTATAACAAAAGCAGTGTCGCTAAATGACGAAAAATACAATATTTGATCAACCACTTTGACCGAAGGGCTTGATTATCAAATTATAAAAGAAGTTTAAAGCAACTGGCTTTAACAACATATACCAGATAACAGTATATTAATTAATTAACTCTTCCCCATATAGATTTGACTTAAGCCAAAACTGCTTTTTAAAACAGAACCCAGACATTTTGTTGACTGAGATTGAGGCAGTTTTAAAACACCCCATGCAAAAATGTGAGCCTGCGATCAAAACCGCTTCCATGTACGATAGTAGTCTTCAAAATGGAAGGAGGGGAGGATTACAGGGCAAGCAGTAGAGGAGTGGGTTATGAGGGACATAAACATGCAGTACACCTGGTGAACAAAGCACGCCGATTGTTAAGATACAAAAACATGTGTGTTAAGCCAGACATTATGACGAAACATGACCTCATCAGACAAACCCGGGGGAAAAAATATCTATGTCTAAGATAAGACACTAAAACATCATCATAGGGTTAGCAGAATGCGGAAGAAACCGAATTGAACATAAGCTAGCTGGAGCCTTATATGGGCATTTGTTCAGACAGGGTTAGCTTTGCACCGTAACAGCTAAGATGGCTGCTAAGGCAAGCTCGAGTTTCCCCCAGAAATGAAGGCATCCGTTTGCAAATCCTGAGCCATAATAATTGACCAAACACAATATCAAAATAAAACCACAGGATTAATGAGAGCGAGAGGAGTTCACTTTTCAATATATGAGCTTCACTTCGTCCAAGAGCACTTCCCTACAGGGCTTAGTTCCATCTATATACAGTCTGTGTGCCTTAATATATTCAAATACATATATAAAGTCACACTAAACATGTACAGATTAATGATATAGCACCATCTACTCATGTCATTGATGAGGCCATGTTTCAAACCAGATAAATCATTACTGACCAAAAATAAAAGCAGGGGAAGCTACACTTTTTTTTTCGACTTTATAGGAACATTAATCTTTTCATAAGGAGCCTTTAAAAAGTGACATTTAGTGAATATATTAATCTTATCTCCTGAGCCTTTGACGGAAGCCACACACAAATTATACACCTTGAAACTGGTGATTTATTTCTAGTACTTTAGGAACAAGTTATACATTTATTTTTATCAAGACAACACCTTTTGCGGCTTAAAAAATGTAGGTGCCCCAGCTTTGAGTCCATTGTATGAAATCTCAGAATCAACTGATCCACCTTAAATAGTAGTAAAAGAAATAAACTGGCTTTTCTTTCTTCAGCTTCGTGAGTTCTGAATGATACCGAGTGATACTTTGTTTGGGGACAGTGAAGAAACACATTTACAGTGGTTCCATGCTAAAAACTGGACCAACACGACGACAGAGGGAAGAGGGGAGAAAACACTAAGTTACACGGATAACCAGAAGCCACCCGCTCGCAGCACATTAGTATCAGTCCACCTTTAGTCCGACCGACTCAAGCGCCATGCAATTTAATACAGCTGCGTTAGGACACAAGGTTAGCTTTGGAAGAATAAGAAATACCCTGTACTCTGTTAAATAGTTTGGCTTCAGGATATTCTGTGCTGGGAAACAAATCAGATGGAAATAATGCAAAGATATACAGGGAAAACAATTATTCTTCGTAACCAAGACGTTTTCTGTTAAAGTGTGTTGGAAACGGCTCTTGTTGGTGGCTGTCGAGATCAAATATGTAAATACAGTTGTGCTCATGAGTTCAAAAACACCGGGGAATGTACATTTGGGATTATTAATCACTAAATAAGTTAAAAGGACAGTATGTATATTTTTAAAGATAACAGGTCACATGCTCAAAACATATTTGACCTTTTCTGAACAAAATGTTAAAGTGATGAACATGATGCACATACATACTAATATATACAAATAATATGCAGATTAGCAAGAAAATTATCCAATCAGAGAGCAGAAGGTCAGTTTGTGAAACGTAAAATGTATTTCACAAAATAGCACCACACATAATTCAAGGAAACCAGTTTTTTTTTTAAACAGTCATATACAGAGTTTGTACTGTTTTTTTGCAAGAATCCAGCAGGTGGATTGCATCAGTAATCAGTGCTTTAGGAGCAACATGTGTCAGAGGGAGGAAGATCCAGCCACCAAAATGTGATGTGTGTAACGTTATTCGACCAGAGAGAGTGATTTTAACACTTTTAACACTTAACACTGATAATGGCTCCTTTAACCACGGTCTTGGCACTTCTTCCAGAGTAGATGAACTTATGAGCACAATGTATTTAATGTTCCTCTGATGTGATCTTAAATACAATACTACATTATCATTACAGCCAACGTGGATATCTGGGCTTCAGCAATTATCTATCTTTACAAGACAACAGCCCATTTTACTGTTAGCATTCGTTACACCTGAGGGCAGCAAAAAGAAAAGAACGATGCATGTTTGTGAATGAGTCTTCACCTCCAAGTCCCCTTTGGTGATGCAGGCCTCCTCCACACGGAACTGAAGGTCTTCCACTTTTCTGTTGGAGGAGAGGAGCTCACAGCGATTATCACTTACACAGGTTTGTATCTCAGGAAAAGGTTTTCAGTGATACAACTATTCAACAACTTCACGCATTTACAATTTCTATTCTCAATAAAACACTGGCTGAAAACTAACATTACAGATTTATAATGGAAAAACTCTTTTAGTTTAACATTAATACATAAATATTGTTCAAAAATATTAAAACATTCCCAAAAAAATACAACTAGGTCTAAAACGATATATATTGGTTGTTTGTTTTTTTCAAAACCAAAATAAATTAATTTGTCGTGACGGTTAACACACATTAGCAGCCTTGTTTACAGTCACGGGGGAATGAGACTGGAGGCAAATGTTCACACTGTGTCCCCCTGGTTTAGCTCCTGGTTTAGCTCCTGGTTTAGCTCCTGGTTTAGCTCCTGGTTTAGCTCCTGGTTTAGCTCCTGGTTTAGCTCCTGGTTTAGCTCCTGGTTTAGGTCCTGGTTTAGGTCCTGGTTTAGTCCTGGTTTAGTCCTGGTTTAGTCCTGGTTTAGTCCTGGTTTAGTCCTGGTTTAGTCCTGGTTTAGTCCTGGTTTAGTCCTGGTTTAGTCCTGGTTTAGTCCTGGTTTAGCTCCTGGTTTATCTCCTGGTTTATCTCCTGGTTTAGCTCCTGGTTTAGCTCCTGGTTTAGCTCCTGGTTTAGCTCCTGGTTTAGCTCCTGGTTTAGCTCCTGGTTTAGCTCCTGGTTTAGCTCCTGGTTTAGCTCCTGGTTTAGCTCCTGTTTGAGTTCATCTCTTGCTTTCGCCGCATGCATCAGGTCTGTGTCCACTGCCTCTACAGCGACGCACATGCTCTGCCTCGGACGGACATAACCATTGACACGGCATTGAAACACGATCCATAGATCCATGGACGCTACAAATGATGCGGTTGTTGTTTTTGCATTTCCCAGAATGTTTTGCGGTTCATACTCGGCTGTGATAGGTCGAGAAGTCTCTGCCTACATCCCCCAGAATGCCGTGCGCTTCTGACTCAGCTTTACTTCCTGTTTTTTCTAACGTGTCTATCGCAATATATATCGTTATCGTTTTATCGCCCAGCCCTAAATACAATTCCATAACTTTCCAGGTTTTCCTTTGATTGTAGGAACCCTGTCTTTAGGTAAACTGCCCAGTAACAGGATTGCTTTCAACAAATATTTGAATACATTTATATTTGATAATATAATGCGAGTGGGAATGTGGTTTTTGATGATATTTACTATTTATTTGTGACTAACAGCCCACAACCAGATAACGAACCTCGAGACCCTTTACGACTAATGAAAAGATAGGTGTGTTTTAATTAAAAACTCAAACTTATTTATTTATTTTGACAGATTCTGACAGTTCTGGTGTGGATGTGGCTCTTACCTGCGTTCCTCCTCCAGCTGATTGAGCAGCTCTACTTTGTCTTTGTCCGCTGCTTCTACCAAGGCACGTAACTGATCCATTTTTGTCTCCATCTCATAAAACAGAAAAGAAGAACTTTAAAGAACAAAGAATGCATTCACTTCAGTTTAAATAACTCTGAACTATGCCATTTTGACCTAACGAAACTAGACCTTCATTAAAATTTTGGATTAGGTCTTCGGGCCATAAAATATTCCTGCCACTGTCTTATATTTAGAGAATGGTGTTCAATACATGCATCTATTTTGTCATTGTCCTAACAGTTAGTATGTAAGTTATGTTATTTATATCATGGTGGCAAAGTTTTCTATTCACTACACTTTGTTTGATAATGTGCATTTTACATTTACAAACTGGTGCTAAAAACAGGTCAGTGATTTGAACAAGCAGACACCTTGAAGACCGGGGCTTGTGTGCTTTTCATTAAAATCATTGTATAATTATTTCATTAATTTGTAAACCAGCCACACAAAATGCACACTGGAAATGACGCCATTTATAATCTCCTGCAGCTATAGTGTGAACAATCACCTCGTCGCGGTCATCTCTGAGCAGACTGATTTCTTGCTCCATGTCTCCAGCTTGACTCGTATGGCGGGCCACCTCCGCTCTCTCCATGTCCCTCTCCGCCATCAGCTGCTCGATGTGCTGCTGCTTCTCCTTCAGCGCCTCCTGCAGAGCCGTGGTGCCCGAGATCTTACGGTTGTACCTGGACGAGGTCTCTGTCAGCTGCCAAACAACATCACACCAGATTATTACATTGGATTTAGATGTAAGGGTGCGTTGATAACTTAGCAAAGACTGTATAGATGGATAATGCCAACGCCCTAGCTGAAAAAAACTTTGTCCATGGGCCCTTCCCTATTGAGTTTTGCACTAGCCCACTCTGGCTCCTATTGCTGTACATCGAGAAAGTAAACTCCTAAACTCTCACAAATACAAAAGCATAATATTGCCTGCAAATTTTAACTCACAAAAGTAAAAAAAGTCAGAGCCATTTGTGATACAGAGCCCAACATTTCCAGCCTCTGACAGGCATTAAAGATTCCAGTGTTTGCCGTTGGCCACGGACTCACCAGGCCGGTGCGGCTGGGCTTGGCGCTGGCTGCAGACGTCACAGAGCTCATGGTGCTGATGGAGGAGGCACTGGGGCTGCGCTTCAGGCCGGTCGGGGTGCTGCTGGGGGTCTTACGGGCGGTGGTCTTGGCTTTGGCCGGCGTGGTGGAGGGGAAGCCGATCCGCGTGACTTTAAGAACCGGAGCAAACAGGCCGTATTTGGGCTGGCACTGGAAATATCTGAAAGCAAGAGTTTGGTGAGAGAGTTAGTAAGTTTAGTAAGTTAGTAAGTAAGTTTTTATTTATATACCGCCTTTTCACTGCAGATCAGAGTCTCAAAGCGGTTTACAATTGTTAATTTTGGGCATTTGTCTCTCACTCCACACAGAGATGGGAGCGGGGCCAGTACAGGAGGCATATGCCAGAACTATTGGACATATATTTAGTAGTAGGGGAAACCGGAGTACCCGGAGGAAACCTACGCAGACACGGGGAGAACATGCAAACTCCACTCAGAAAGGCCCTGGTCCGACCGGGATTCGAACCCAGGACCTTCTTGCTGAGAGGCGAGAGTGCTATCCACTCAGCCACCGTGCCGCCGTAAAGAGTTGTTTGTATTTGTAGCACAAGAATTCACTAGATTTTTTACTTTTTTTTAACTAAAACCAAAACTTTCGTCATATGAATTGTAGAGGCGAAGATGTTGCCTGTAGATCACCTCTTGGCTGCAAAGATTTAAGGGTTTCCCAAACGCGTGTCTCCACAAACCACAGTCCAAATAGTGTATTAGAGGCTTCTTTATTGGCCCCAATGACCATTAATCCAAATAAACATTATACATTCCACAGTAATTGACACGGTAAGAAACAGTATACCTCCAAACCTAGCAGCACCTGTGCCCTCTAATTCTGCCCTTTTTATAGGAGAATGGGCTCAGGTCACACAGCGGCACCTTGTGGCTAGGGAAAGGTAAATTTTGGCTCCAACATGAATGAAAATGTGGTAGAGTAGACAGTACAGTTACCTGCTGATAAAGATAAAGATAAAAACAATGAATTAACAAAAAAAAACCTTATTTTTTTCCATACATGCAGGGAAAATAAAAATGTTATCATGAACCCTAATTATGCATTTATAGCTTATATTTTTGATACTGTACTATTTTGATTGTACGCCAACGTCGGTAATATACACTTAATGCCCGTGTTGCCTTCATATTAAGACAGAGGCTCACACCAGTCAGCCAAAAGGGGAAAATGTCAGAAGTTTGCAAGTTGGGAAACTCGTTGCTGAGGTCGTCCGTTTCAGCAGCAGCAGTGATCGCAGCCTGTTCCTCACTGCACGTGCTCAGTGAGGAACAACAAAACAACATGACCACAAACAAACAAAAGCTATAATGCACCGCCCAATGTGATAGTGTGAGTTGTTGGACATACTACCTCTGTCTATATTGTTTTTAAATGTGATCATACGGTTGGTTTACCTGGTGCCGGCCACTGCTCCGTCATTTTTGCCCAACGGTTCATCGAGCTCCACGCCGCACCACTCGCCTTTAGCAAAGTCTGTCTCTCCAATGAAGCGCACCACTCCAGCCTTTGTCCCACCGACCTGAGGGAAGATGGGGCATTAGCGCTGAGCTGTTTTGACAAGATCCATTGTTATCGTGGATAACACGATAGCTACTGACAGAGCTATTGTCGAGGGCGACAGTAGCTCAGTTGGTAGAGCATTGGCCTTAAGGCCAGAAGGTTGTGGGTTCAATTCCCACCTCTGCACATTCTCCACCGACTCCCACTGATGACTGCTGTCGTTGTGTCCTTGGGCAAGACACTTAACCCCACTTTGCCCAAAGCCTCCACTGAAAGATCAAGGCTATGCTCACACTCAGAGCAGCCGTCCTCCTGTGGACTCACCACCTGCAGAGGGTCAGTGAGGGGCTGGTGCTTGGGTGGCATCTCTGATTGCCACCCCCCTGACCCAGAAATGGATTAAAGGGTAGAAAATGGATGGATGGATGGATGGATGGATGGATGGATTGTTATCGTTTCAAGCAGGGTTGCAAGATGTAGCAATTTGACAGGCCATAAACAGCAAATTTCAAAACAACAAAAAATGCCTTGAATCCAGCTTTAACTTTTGTAGTTTTTGATCCATTGATTAAGCTAGATTATTTTATGCGTTAAAAGATTACACTTTATTTCATGCAAGAACTTTTGGAAAATAGGAAGTTGGAAAATGTGTGATTTCAAGGGAAAGTCTTGTTGTAACTCGTCAGAAATATCCTAAATCTAGAAAAACGTATTTTAAGACAGACAATGTTGATTTTTTGTCATGGATGGAAGACCGAAATATGAACTGACAACTAATCCATGAACTTGATCATTTAGAAACTTCTGGGTCAACAGTTTTAACAGCAATCAGAAAAATATTTTGCTTCTAAAATATTTGAAAATGCAGCTGTAATTGATTTACTAATGGTAAACGTTGAAATTACTGTTTTGATTTCATTTTAAGCTATCCCGCGCCCTCCATAGCATAATAGTCTATAATATCGCACTCATAATCCGCTAAACACATAAAAGTGGTCACAACAATAAGCAGCTTTAAGAGTAATGGCCCAGACAGAAATGACTCCATCAAAGCAGCAAAGGAGGCTTGAGTTCAATGGATTTACAGAAACACTACATAAAAGGTGGGTGTCATTTCTTTGTGTGCGTTTGGAGCGTTGATGGTGAGCACATTTCCTTTGCAGCCCAGCCGGCAGAACTAGCACTTCCTCCTTACATAAGAGCCTGTGTCGAACGAGGGGAAGCTTGAGGGACACATGCACAGAGATACATTATCAGATCATGTGTTGATTCTACGGGGAATCTATGGTGAATTCTACCACATTTTTTACCCGTCTGTGGTAGCTAGTGCCGTGTTCTTCGGGGTTGCGTGTTGGGGCGGCAGTCTGACCTCAAGAGACAGTAACCGGCTCCACAGGCTGATCAGGAAATGTGTCTCTGTGATGGGGAGAAGTGTGGACTCTGTGGGAGCTGTGCTGGAGAGAAGGATGAGGGCTCTAATGCAGGGAATTATGGGTAACTCCAGACACCCTCTGAATGGCACTATGGCCGCTCAGAGGAGTCATCGAAGCAACAGGCAGATTCAGTTTATTTGCCATTTGCAGTAAAAAGTCTCCAGTGTGCACAGACCTCATTCCGTTCGGCTCCTATCACTACACTGCCGAACGGAACGTTTCATGAGATCCCTTGTTCCTTCGGCTGTCAGACTGTACAACAAACAGACTGTACAGCAAACCTGACTGACTGTACAACAACAACAACAAAAAGAGTCTTCTGCTGCTGGACCTGAATTTCTCCTACGGGGGATCAATAAAGTATCTATCTATCTATCTGGGGGACTTTACACAGTTTAGTAGTATAGTGTGTTTGGTGATAATATGTATCATGATGCAATTTCAGTGTTGCAAGTTACAGACAGTAAGAATGAGGAGCAAACAGCACAAGATGAATGAATGATAAAATAAAACCTCTAACTCTAGCATAAAAAGAAGCAATATAAGGTATCGTTAGCATGATGAAGAAGCAAACCCAGACTTTAGCATAATAATGAGCAAGTATAAAAAATACTGTACGGTATATTCTAATGCAAGTAATACATCGTTGTATATATCTGTAAAGGGTATGGGACAAAGTGACTCGTAATGTTGTTAATACGAATTTGTAAACGGCAAATAAGCTCTCATAAGAAGCTAATGTGTCTCTAGTGTATTTAATGAGCAGAAGTGTGAGGAAGGAAAAAAAATCTGTCAACTCCAGAAAAAAAGCAATTCTGGATGTACAGGGAAAGTGTGAGAAGTTTGTTTGTATGCGTTTACCAGCACACGGTCGTTCATCTTCAGCTCCCGCTCTCCTTTCTTGACTGATCCAGACTCTGACAGGTTAGACACCGATTCGCTGTTGGTGCGCGGGAGGTTGGAGCTGGTTACTGCTGCTGCTGGGGTCTTCTTCACGGTGGATGAGGCAGACTTTGCTGCAGGTGTTTGGGCTACCACGCTGCCCACAGAGGGGGTGGGGGACGCGGCCCTGGAGGGAGGTGCGGTCTGGGTGCCATTGGCTTCTCCCTCGGTGCGCGACAGCTTGGAGGGGCGGGTGAAGATTCCTCTCAGGGCCTCACACTGAAAGTAGCGTACCCCTGCCACAGAGCCGTCGTTCTTGCCGATTGGCTCGTCCAGTACGATGCCCGCCCACTGTCCTGGCGCGAACTGGGTCTCCCCGAGAAACCGGACGACGCCCGGCTTGTTCCCGTTCACCCAAACTCGCTCCCCGACCTCGAAGTTCTCCTCTCCTCCATCGCCAGCACCGGCACTCGGAGCTAATTTGTCTGTCGCTGATTTGGCTCCTGTTGAAGAAGAAACAAAAAGTAAGGAAATAAAAAGAGCCATATCAGCAGAGTTGTCCAAAACTAGGAACAAAACTTGATACTCATCTGAGGAAGTGCCAATGTTAAAAACTACTTTTCTTAGACTCCAAAATTTAGAGACCAAATTTGCTTCGAGCATCAAGCAGCCTTTTAATCAGTTTTGAAATCAGAGTTGAATGTAAGTAAGTCATTGGATCAGTGTAATAAACCAAGAGTCGTGGCAGTTGGAAATGTAAATGGGTTGGTTTAAAGACATTCTTGAACGCTGGATTATAACATTATTCCCCGCTCACTGCCGACCGAGGAGCCACAAACAAAATGGTACTATTTTTATACACGTCAAGCTGCTCTGAGCAAAAGAAACGGAGCAGGAGAGAAAGAAACTGACACCTATGTTTTACGCGTTATATGTGGAAGAAGCAAAAAGATCTTTACTTTCAGACAAATTTATGTGGGATTTTAAGTAATTTATACGGTGTATTTTTGAGAGTTGCCTAGCAGTTTAATATTAATGTTTAGGACTTACTGCCTGAGTAAATAGCCGTTTTGGCCTGGTGTTATTGAGACCAATCCAAAAGTAATTGGATTGGCCTCAAAAATCCTGATCGAAGCACCTAGTTTTAATTATAGCATCTTAACAAAAATTCTGGGCCAACTTTCAGTTTGGTGCCATCACAGTTGTCTCCTCCGCGAACAGATGCTCATTTGCACACATATACTGCAGTCATAATGAAGCATTACAAAGCAGCAGTGTTGGCACCTTGGTGTTACTAGTCACGCTGCCAATTCCTTATTAAAAACGCCACGCTCAAAAGCAGCAGAGGGCCTTGTTGCAGCAAAAACTGTCAGTTGGGACATTGAACAAAATCCAATTCAATTCAATGTATTTTGTATGACCCTAAATCACAACAGTAGTCGCTAACACAGATGTGAGAATAGTTCGAGACAGGAAATGCGATAATGGTAGATGTAATAAACGTAGAAGCCATTGGCTCATAGGGGGCTGATGACCAACGTCCATTAATGTCAATAAACGTCAAAAAAAGAACGAGGACCCAGGCTAACACAGACATTTCAAAAGCAACATTAGCATGAGTTAGCATTTGTCGTCATTTCTGTGTCTACCTGCAGTGGGAGCAGTCTTGGGCGCCGCTGCTCCAGCTCGGGCGAGTTTACTGGGTGCTTTGAGGCCGCTGGGTTTGGCTGTGCTCATGATGCGTGTGTGTAGGGCCGACGGCCACGGGACTCCGAACTCACAGTGACGGACAGGCACTTCACCTCACTCACAGTCCCATGTGCGGAGACAGACATGGGGAGAGAGCACCAGGGCAGACACAGGAAAGAAACACCTGCAAACAGAAAGGGGTACAGTGAGATTGGCCTGAATAACAACGGGAAAAACTCGAGTCGTTCTGCATTTTTCCTTTCAAACTTAAGAAATGTGCGAGTTAAGAAACAAAATTGCTCTGTCATCAAACCACCACCAGGTGTTTTTAGCTCCATCCTAATATGAGGAATTTATGACACACATGGGAACAATAATACAGAAGTCATAGTGCAATAGGTTTGAGAGTGGAACAGACTGAGACAACACGGACAGATCCAGTTTTAACCCTCTTTAAAACATTAGTATTCACTCCAAAAACTGTCAAAATACAATGTTTTTCACAACTTTCAACTGTGCTTTAAGAAGAACATAATTCCCCTTGCATCCATTTCCAGGAGGTTTCAATAATTGCTTCACCTCCTACTTCAAGACATAATAAATTAACAGTACGAGAAGGCCATGTTTTGCTTTTTTTTGTCCATCTCTAAGCAGAACTAAAACAAGAAACCCAGGCTTTAACCAAACACGGCCTAACGTTTGTCAAGATCTATACTGAAGGGTTGGCATCTTAACACAAACAAGAGATGTTGTTGTTTTTATTAGAAGCTATAAATGCAGCTTCTGTGACTAGATTTGCAACCATTCTAATAGTAATTTTGCCTCTGCCCTGGTTTATTAGGCTGTAAAGTTCGCAGGCTCCTAGTGTTGATGAGCTTGTAGAGAAAGGAGGACTTTGGATCTGTTATGACAACAAAACAAGCTCTCGGTTAGCAGACCACGCGTCACAGTCAGCCCTAAAAATACCCTGTGAAGAAGGGCCCCAAACACGCAGCCCGTCCTGAACTTACCGGCCCATAGTACTGCGGTGACCTTGAGGACAACCCACACAAACAGTAATTCACCAACACATATGTGATCTAACCCCAACTGCTTATATCAAAATGAGACTACTGTCCCTTTAAATAAATTACAACTTTGCGATTTGCTCATTACCGGATTGCAATTTCAATTCAATGTTAATTCATAAATACTCAATGGCCTAATACTTCCTACTTTGAATCGTTACAGAAATCACACACAATCACTTCAGTCTGGCCGGCGGCTTTTCCCAAACAGGATTATTGACAAAGCAGATTATCATGTTTACGCTCCCCACGAGGACAGTCTCTTTATTAATAGTCTGAAATATGCTGCAGACATAACAAGTGTAATCTTTTCTGCATCTACTGCGTTCATATCGCTCCTCAAACCGTCTGAGTCAAGATGCCAGGGTTCATGTTTGTGTGCAAATTATATTTTTGGGGTTTTTAATAGTGTTTAACAAATTGCCAGATTGTTGCTTGTTAATACTAGCCTTGTGAAATAGTAATCGTTCTTAAATAGCTATTTTTTGCAATTTAACCCTGGGTCTCATTAATTACATAAATCGGTTGTCCTTGGGGCGACAGTGGCTCAGTTGGTAGAGCATTGGCCTTAGAGCCTGAAGGTTGTGGGTTCGAGCACATCATAAAACCAACTTCAGGACTCCCACTGATGATGACTGCTGTCGTCGTGTCCTTGGGCAAGACACTTAACCCCACTTTGCCTGAAGCCCCCGTTGAAAGATCTCACCATCTGCAGGAGGATCAGTGAGGGGCTGGTGCTCTGTGAACTGGGTGCAGCTCTGACTGCCACCCCCCGACCCAGAAATGGATTGGGGGGGGTGGCAGAACATCCAAACAAATCTCCTTATTTTCTAATGTGACCGAGGTTTGAACACATTTCAACTAACGAAAGGAAACTAATACATACTTCCAGGTAAATTATGTTAAAGAGCCAGAAGTAAAACAAAAATAATAATAATTTTGTTTTAAAAAAAGGTACACTACGTAAAATGTAGAGTGAAAGAATGACTCTTTACTACTCCAACCTGATGCCTAAAGCTTAAGACAATTCCACTTCAAAGTTACCAGAGTTGTTGACTGTTTGCGACAACAACCTGCACTGGGAGAGAAAAACCCCAAAGTTGTGTGTGTGTGTGGGGGGGGGTGTGCTGCTACCATAGATTGTTTATAGATGGACAACGCTAACTTCTACCTCAATCCAACTTGTTCTGGCTCCTATTGACTTACATTTAAAAGTAAACTTGACCAATAAGATGCCTTAATTTGCGGGGGAAACTTGATGCCCATATAGGGAAAATAACTTCAGCTAGCTTACAGTTAAATCAAGTTCTTCTGCATTCGGCTAACTACAATGTGTGGTGTAGTTTGAAATATTCTGAAACCAAATATAATGCCCCTTAAAGTTTGATATATGCATCATGGGCTGTAGCTTTCGCTCACGTCAGGTCAAACGTGAAGTATAATCTACTAGTGGTTACCGTGGCAACAAAAGGTTGGAGTGACTTTACAAATCCCCACAGTTGTGTTTACGCATCGCAGATCATGGAGCAACTCAAAAAGAAACGAAACAGACGTCAATTCTCAATAACAGACCATTAGAGATTATAAAATCATGAAGATGTGATCCGTCAGCGGCGTCACGGCCTGTAATCGTGCAATTATGGAGGAGGGTTGAAAAGACATCAGTAAAAGCATCCACTCACTGTTACAACCGTTTGGGAATGTCTTTCTCACAGTAAAATAAAAACTAATTATGAAATGGGAATAAACAGATCATTTAAACATCTTCAGATAATATATTAAATTTCAATCAATCAAATACATTAGTCTCTTCAGTTCTACATTTTCAGATCCATGCCGCTAAAATGTAGAAGTGAAAATGTGTTTAACTTTTAATCAATGTTGCCTTTATTAGTCCCACAAACAGCACTTTTCTTCAGTACAGTAATGGAGCAGTGTGGTTGAAAGCTGCGATTGTTAATATGTACATTATATTAAACTAAAGTGTGTGACGTTCTTTAACAGGGTGATAGTTCAAGAGTGTGACTGCTCTGTGATAAACGGTCTCGGAGGCGGCTGGTCTTGGCCTGGAGGCTCCTGTAGCTGCAGTGAACCTGATGACATTGTATTCATTTCAAGAGGAAACTATAAATCATTACAATAAATGGCATTCAATATTTTCCTTTCATTTCATTTTGTAAATAGTTCCATCCATTCACCCATCTTCTTCCCCTTAATCCATTTCTGGGTTGGGGGGCGGCGGTCCGAGCTGCACAGACGTCACAGAGCACTAGCCCCAGACCTCAGTGGGAGTCGGTGGAGAAGGTCTTGTGGTGGGCTCGAACCCACGACGTTCAGGCTCAGAGACGAACGCTCTACTAAACTGAGCCACTGTTACGCCGTAAATAGCTTCTGCTCCGTTTAATCGAGTCTCCACGTACTTGCATCTGTAATCGTTAACAGCTTGCGTCTAACCAGAGTCAATCAACTACAAAAACAGTTGACGACTACTGAAAAAAGTGGTGATTATTTGTATTTTGTAAAGCAATTCTCACTGTAACAATTAAACTTGACATACTTTGCCTTCATAGTTTAAGTTACTAAGAAATATCAATATCATTATCACCATAAAAACTGAAATACCTCAGTTAGAGTTAATACTTGGGAGACTTGCAGCTCCATCGACTACATAACCAAACTGACTGGTGGTGGTGGGTGACCCAGTTAGAACACTCCACTTTATGCTCTGAATGATTCCGATTAGTGCCCTTGGGTAAGCAGGAGGCCACCGGGGCAAGAGGGCGAGCTACAAAGACTGAATACTGCAAGGAAAGCCAGGCTGAACAGTTTGGGCAAAATATCCAAGTGTATATGGGACATTTACGGACATTTATAGACAGTGGTCATCCCGCTCTCTATGGACCACATCCTAAGTGTTTATTTTTTCTTTAGATTTTTCAGACAGAAAAGTGAGAAAGGAAGGACCACCCTCACCTACAGAGACTGAAAGTGGCCTAAAACGATGCCCTCAGACTGTTACTAAAATAACAATTGTAAACCGCTTTGTGACTCTGGTCTGTGAACGGCAGTATATAAATAAATATTACTTACTTACTTACTAAAAAGGCCCAGATGGAGCAGCGCCTCTGTCCTTAACACACTGCAGCCGACTCGAGGAACCTAATGTACAAGTTTATGTGTCGCCTGAACATTAGTGCGAATGAGATGTTATTGTTGACGATCAGAGCGTACAGGGATATTTGTTTTACCTCCGCACTCCCAAAACAATGGTATAGTTGCCTTCTCTTAAGAGATTTTAGGACTTTTATTGTTTTATGTTGTCCGTTTCTAGTGTGTTGTGTCGTGTCTATTTTTGAGTCTGTAATAAAACTTTCCATCTTTCTACTCAGCCAATCAGCTCAAAGAGTCAAATAGTCACGTACATGCAAAAGATATTTGGTCTGATTTGGTCGAAACATTTTACTTTTACAAGAGTCTTTCTATTGCTGGCTTGCAATTAACGTCACGTCCGCCTCATTATCTATGCGTATAAGGAAGTGGTGGTCGCTGAGCTTGTTGTTCACTAGAGCAGCGTGTTGAATATGCCTCTGCGTAATTGTTTTAGTTTGTTCTCAGCAATAATACTTTAGGGTTCCTAGTGAAGAGATCAATAAAGAGCTAAGGACTTTACGAAAAGACGCAGGAAAAGTGGCTCGCTAACATTTCACTAGAAAATGTTTTTACCTCGAAGGATAAGTTATTTACCCAGCCATGCAGTAAAAAAAATTCTAACTCGTAAATCAAATTATTCTTGGATAACGCATTAGGATCTATATATAACATTACACAACTTGACTTTTTTAATGTATCGTTCAAGAATTAGAATCTAAAGTGAAGATTATGACAGTCTAGGATTGTGTAGATAACCAAAGCATGTAGTGGAAAAATACTGCCTTGTGCATGTTGTTAGAATGACGAGTTAGAACTTTAACCACAGTAGCTTCAAAGTGTCATGAAATATACAAAAAAGCACAAAAATACTCGGAAGAAGAGTCACATTTTCTTTGCATATCAGCAGCAATTTTTGTTGGCCTGACACCACTTAATTAACTGGAAGTTGATGCGTCAGGTGATTGCATGCCAAGAATTGGGATAAAGTACACTTTTCTCCCCCATTATTTAAGGGGGGGAGGTTAGGTTATGATAGAATACCGAGATATGAGCTTACATAAGAACCCTGCGCATTTAGAATCATTTTAAAAGATTAAAGACAATTTTGTATTTTGAAAAGAACTTGTGCACCCTTGGCGATATACAAATTGTGGCCATTCAAATAGTGATACTTTGCAGCCCTATACAAAGCTTTAACAATGACCTCCTGCCTCTTGTAGTGCACAGTGAAGCCTGGAGACACAATTAGTAGTAGTAGCATCTCAAGTCCTGCCAACAAACCCAGCGCGAGGAACCACTGAAGAAGCAGCCATCTGAAAATGATCCACTTAGGCTGGACGGGCTCCCACTCAAATCCGCATTTTTAAGCCAATATATCTTACTCTAATATTCTGCAGCTGGGAGTCAGGCCAACTGCACATGTTTGCCACCAAAAACAACATTCTGGATAAAAAACTTTATAGTAAAATAAATAAATAAAAATAACGGAGCCATGTGATCCACCAAGCCAGATGAAGTCGTTACAAAATCCATTACATACAGTATCCTCAAGTCTGGAGAATGTCCCGGCCCTGAACATCAATTGAACAGGGTTTAAAATATTGATAATTTGACAGTCCAAAAAAGTCTGCACCAAACCACATGCTTAACTCATTGACACTGAGACCCTCTATTGGACTGGGGATTACAGGACAATAAAAATAGCTAGAAACAAACTTATTTTTGCTGATGAAAGTAGACAATCCAGTCTTTCAGAATCTGGTTTCATAATTCACATAGTCTTATGAAATAATATTCTGTGGGTCTTGAGAATCAGTGAAATCATCAAAAACGGCTGGCAGTCAATGAGTTAAAAACTGAAGGAATATCGGTTGATTTTCTGTACAATAAAAAAAAATAACTGAAATTCTCATTCCATTTACATTTGACATTATGATCAGTAAGATGCAAACAATTGACCCCAACATCTTAATACCAGGCAACAACATTAATAACTATAGGTTCGATCTTGAGCAGGCCTTAAGAGTATCAGTGAGAGTGCATTATGAAGATGTGGCAGAGCTACAGCAGCTTCCATTACAGACTTAAGTGCTCATATTTCAATAGCCTAACAATTCCTTTCCTCATAACCTCACTCAGCAAAAGAACGAACACAGACAATTAATTCTGACCCTAAGTTGGACATTGCATACTTTAACTTTGAGCAGGTGGTTGTGGACAGTAAGGTGAAGAGTCACACACAAGGACAACTAAAAGCATTACTGTTAATGAGAGTGTGAAAGTCCACATTATCTTGTTAGTTTGGTACTGTAAAAATGAATGCTCTGGGGTGACACAGGCAGTGAGTTTAGTTATTTTCATGTGTGAAATAAATGACCATAAAGTGTAAACAATTTTGGGGCCATATGTTTGCTTTACATTGATAAGAGATTCAAGTAAACATAGCATTTTCAATTCCAATTTGTGATTAAATCCACTCACTCACTCAGATCCTTACAGAGTTGTACCAATATATTTGTCACTCAATTAGTATTGAGCTTCATTTCACAAAAGAATTATGAATCATGTGACAATTTCAGCAAAATCATAATCAGAACACAATCCCTTTCACACAGCCTCTGAAGTTCTCGTAACCAAAAGATTTAAAGTTTAAATCATGCACAGATATTGTTAACCTGTGACTGATTTTGGCATTTGATTAAGATTTACATGAAAGCTCTTGCGTCTCCCCCCAAACCCTGACAGTAGCTCCCTCTCAGTCCAGACACTTCCTCTGCACGGAAACATCTGCTTCTGTTATGTGAGCTCACGGCCCAGGTGTGGGGAAAACACTGACAACTAGGATACATAGTCTTTACATATGAAATAGAAGGCATTTATTTTAATTTTAGTTTTATAGTCAATAAAAACCCATTAAAAGTCACCATGAAAGGACTGGAACTATAATCAATTGAGCTTGAAAATGGGGTATGATATAGGTCCATACAGAGTCACACCACAGCTACATTAGTGCCATATGGAATATAATGGCACAATCACAAATAAATATCAGCATGTACAAAAGTTTTAATCATTAACTAACCAAACGCAAATTCGTATATATGACCCATGAAAGAATTACACCATTCATCACCATTAAAATACAAATATATATTTTCTGAACTCCTATCAAGACATATAGCCTATGGCAAAAGACTGGAGTCATTTGTTACCAAAATGAACACTGCAGCACTTTTCACCACACATCCACGCAATCGATCTACCCCAAAATAGCACTACAAGCAACATGTCCATCATATGACTCTGACCGGTGGATACGCAGTGTTCCAACCCGCGCCACGGCTCACCTCAGCGGGCAGCGGACTGAGGGCTGTCGGTCACATCTGTTCAGAGCTCCACCTAAAATGCACCTTCGCTCTTTAGCTAGCAGTGTTTATTACAACATTTCCACAGCACTCACACTTTAAACATGCCAGTTCCACAAGTCCAGAAGTACCCGCAGTGACACCTTTGCTCCGGAGGGTTGGTCCAAGTTGACAGCGGTGGAGCAAGACAGATACTGGGGCGAGAAGACAAGCCGCTGAAGGGGCTATATCCCTCCAGTAAGCCTTCACAAACGCGCCCACCTTAATCCCAGGGCGTGATTAGTTCTATGGAGACGTTAGCAGACCAGGCCCGGGAGAACACGTTGGCAGAACCGGGAATGCTAATGCTAAAGCTAGCTGAAGTCACAGCTCCAGTCGGGTTAGTTTCCCCACAGACAAGTTTCTTGCGGGCGCCAGCGTGCTCCGAGCCTGGCGTCCGGAGGGGGGTGAACGGTCCGTGGGTAAAGTACTGACCTTGTGTGTGTCTGTGGTGTTCAAGTCCTCCTTGTAAACAAATGTACAGGTTTCCAAGCGAGAGGGAAGACAGCAGGTCTGCCACAGCTCCTCTGCACTCCTGCTCTGTGGCTCCGCAGCGAGAGCCGTGGCCAAAGATCAGCAGTGCATCAAGATGGATAAGTCCTGGCTTCACGAATATGCCTCCGCTGGAAAACTACGGCCAAAGATCAGCAGTGCATCAAGATGGATGTGTCCTGGCTTCACGAATATGCCTCCGCTGGAAAACTACGGCCGAAGATCAGCAGTGCATCAAGATGGATGTGTCCTGGCTTCACGAATATGCCTCCGCTGGAAAACTACGGCCGAAGATCAGCAGTGCATCAAGATGGATGTATCCTGGTTTCACGAATATGCCTCCGCTGGAAAACTACGGCCGAAGATCAGTGCATCAAGATGGAGCTAACTTAAATCGCCACTGGAAAACTACTCTTGAGCTAGTTTCTCTATTTTGGTAATATCTCGACAATTAACAAAATGTAAAACTGAAAAGTAAAGGATCCAAAAAATAAGTCTTGCTCTTTTCTCAATTAAAATCAAACATTTTGGGATGAATGAGGACCAATATGTAGTTCCAAAAAGAGATTTTTTTATTTTAATTTAACAATGTATATGTTTTCCTTCAGTAGATTATTTTACAGGTACCAAAATCTTAGGTTTTTTTTTTTTAAACAGTTGGTCATTCTCGCGTTAATGGTAGGCACTTTGTTGTCTGATCTTTCTCACAAATATTAATATGATTGAAAACGGAATTATCATACTAGATTGCTGAAAATAATGCTCCCAAAACAATTCAAAATGTTGTGTAGCCATTTGTAAAATACTTCTGACACCTTATCTGATAGGTGTATTTGTATATTAGAATTGTGTTCAGATTTTTATTATGCATGTCTTTATATCTATTGCTGTTACTTACAATGGCAATTAAAAAATAGGTCTGATTCTGTAACAAACAAATGGTCGAACAAGTGATAATTACCCTGTTTTTATACATTATATAATGAACAATGCTGAATATTACAGGAGCCTGCAAATACTGGAACCTTTCCCACACATTTAAAGAAATATAGAATTAAAATTAAATTATTATTTACAGCACTATTGTTTAGATAAGAAATCAAATCTATTTTATATATATATTTTAAAAAAAACAATTTAAAGGTGAGAAAGATTGCGGACTGTAAAGAATTCTGTCTTTGACCAACAAACTGAACTGAACTTGGTAATAGTTTTATTTGACAAAAGAAAGATTCCTTTAGGCCTCAGTAGTGCTTTGTGACATTTTCAACTCGTCACTTGCTGCTACTAGACTGATTTAAAACTATGATATTTACATGTACAATGCCAAATTTAAATAAAATAAAATATAAAAAAGCATATGCACAGAACAAGAAAGCAACTAGATATTTTTCTACGAAAGCCACTGTTTTTTAGTGAAATCACAAACACTTCATAGACACAGATTATATACAAGACATTTACTTCATCATTTAAGAGCACACTACGTAAAAATACAATCAAATCCGTATCAAAACTGAAAGGAAGACACAATTGACACATCTTTTACCGTCTCTAAAAAACTTGGACCACTTCTGCTTCATCTGGACTCCCTTTTGCTCTTTCAACAGTGAATTCTCAAATTGACAAATAAAACGTCTGCATGAATCTTTACGCTGTTATTTCTGCTTGGACTCACTGCGAGGCGACCCTTTGAGCAAGTCTCTGATCTTGAGGTATCTCCCTGTTGCCTCTGCCACCTCAGTATACTCCGGGGTTTCCTCGAACGGAACAATCCCAGCTGCGAAGTTGCTCCTGTGTGGAATGGGCACGTTTTTCTCCACGTCATCGTCTCCTTCGCCCACTGGAAAAAGCGGCAGATCATCGTGGATATTCATCGGGTTGTCTAGACTGTCAGCGTCTGTTTTGATGAGCCTGAAACTTGTAGACTCTGGAATTAAGGCGGGTTCTGGGCTTTTGGGCGTGTCTTCCAGCGCTTTGATTGGTCCTGGACTCTGTGGGGTGCCCGCCTCGTCCGGCTCCGTGTCCACATGAGCCGACGAGCAGGCGCTGGGAGAACTTGGCGCGGGTGTTCCCATGCCGGGGGTCTCGCAGTCGCTATTTGTGGCCGTATCCGCATTTTCCAAAGCGGCCCAGATCAGCCTTTGCTGCTCCTCCAGCTCTTCCAGACTGAGCTCGTCCGCAGTGCCCTCCTGGGCCAGGCTCTGTCTCCTCACGGCCGGAGAGCCATTGGCGGGGGGCGTGGGAGGCGGAGTGCCCTTGGGGAGAGGAGGCCGTGTGGGCGTGCTGGGAGGAGTGCCGAGGGGCAGAGGAGGTGGAGAGCTGAGGCAAGGCGACCTGCGAGGAGGTGGTGCCTGGAACTGGAAGTCTCCCGAGCCATTGTTGTAAGACGTTCCAGGGTCTGAGAGGGAAAAATTATGTCAATGTTAGATTTATGTCACACTTTGGTCCTCCATTGGGTGCATGTGATCAGTATTTTTTTTTTTTTAGTAAATCAAAATCTTATTTTGGAACAATCCAGACAGTAGAAACTGTTACTGTGATGCATCACATGAAAAGCAGCCTTGGCGGAAAGGCCGTCTAAATCTGAATGAAGTCTGTGGGCGTAATTAAAGGTTCTGTCGCCAAAGAGCAATAAACTGTATGGAGGGTAAGAGCCACTTTTCTAAAGAGAGCGGATGTGAAGGCTGAGTGTGGAGGTGGCTGTTGAGCATGAGTCACCGGCATGTCCCGGTCATAGACAAGACTACAACGGGACACTGCTGTCTTTCTCTATGGAATATGCCCTTTAGAGGTGCAGGTCATTCTTCCTTACAAACAGACAATGCTGGTCACATCTAAGGCTCGTCTTCATCACATCGACTGAGCAAGGTTGACATGTAAGCTCTTCTATCTGTTCTCATTTCAGTCACGTGGTGCCCCAGTGTTTTCCATGTCTCGCAAAACATTTTGGTCTTTACAGAACCCTTGACCAGCCCTGGATAAAAGAGAGTTTTTGTGCACTACTTTCACCTGCTGGACATTCAAAGAATTGCCATCTTCTGGTTGTCAAAATAGAAAATGAAAAAATGATACGGATCACACGGGTCCACCTGCCATTTGCAGACAATTTAGTGGAGAGATCATTCCACATATGACATTGCTCTTTGTCACTACCATAGTGACAAAGTGTGTCTCTTGCACCAATAATCTCATAGTAAATGTATGGTAAAGTTTTACACATGAGACACACAGAAAAAACATGCAGTAAAACAACAGAAAACATTTTTTTCCCATCAAAAGGAACTTTAAGTCATCGATAAGTTTTACAGGTGGAAAATCCCAGGTTTCAGTGGAAAAGGAGAGAGGCGCATGAGAAGTGTCTTCTCAATATAGTATGTATAAATGTAAGAGAATAGTCTGCAGCTTTGGCAAAGACAGATAATAAACGGGTAAACACAGAGCTGCTACCTGACTCGACCTCCATATCTGAGCCCAAGTTAAAGCTCCGTTCAGGACTAGACCGGTTCTTCTTCCTTCTGTGTGGAGAGGAGTTGGATTCATTCTTTCTCTTGCTCGCAGAACCAGGCTGAAAAAACAACATTTATAAATACAACATTTAGCACCAACCCATAACCTGCCGTTTCTAGTCCTCCCACAAAAACAGAAGCATTTGTTGCATTTTTACCGTTGGAAAGTAACTGGACAGGTAAGCAGCATAGTTTTCCTTCATGTGGTTGCTCTGCATTGGAACGGAGCCATACTGCATGAATTCCTGGAGGACAAAAAGGAAGAAGACTGAGATAATTCCTTAGAAAGATGGAGCTTACGTAGCAGAAACGTACGTCTCTCATTGACGGAGGCGTGGGAACATTGAATCCAGGGAAATCCACCAGCTTTGACAAGTCGTACGACAGTTTCAGAGAGTCGTCTGTTGAACTGCCATCATTTGAAACTGAAAAATAAGGACCATAATTTCTCAATAAGTGAACAATTAAAGGGGCATCATAAATAATCTATTCCATCTCCTAAATTACCATTATAATTTATAAGTAAAGGCTATAACCTCTGTACTGGTGCAGTAAAATATAATTTAAAAACTCTTGAGAATTGCACAAATTCAGCATTTAATAAATAATTAAGGCCTAAATTCCAACTTCAATTTAAAACATTGTACACCTACAGGAGCCCTGACAGTATCTCAAGTATGCCTTTATTTAAAAACATGCCCTCTTTTTTACGTACCATTCCCATCGTATAAAGTGAGTCCGGAGTTCTCCATCTCCGCCTCCTTCAGCCAGCCTGGAGGGTAGCCCAGCTGGCGCATGCGATAGATCAGCGGAGGCAGTGTGCAGTTGTCGATCCCCAGAGCAGACAGCAGCTCTTCACTGTTGGTCATGGGGAAAACATCATTAAAATGTTATTATTACAGAAGCTGTTGAGTACAAAGCCCACCTCATGATTCCAGGCTTGTATTTGGAGAAGCGTTCCTCCACCTCGTCGGCGTGGTAACGGTTTCCCTGCATGGCCGGGTTGCTGTTCTGACTGAACTCCCTCCTTCTCTCGTTTATTGCAGCCATATCTTTAGGCTGTGTACAATTAAAAAACAGATAGACGTGAATCCAGATTCCTCAATCATGCAGAGAGAATCTGAGTAAAACACATTTAGTTTCGCAAATTTAATAAATCTTCACTCTTTAAGGATAAAAGCATGAAAAACAGCCAATGTCAGTTTTATTTGATAAATTCGAATGAATACAAGGCATCTTTATGACAAATATGAATATTTACATATAAATGTATATTTAGAATTACCTTAGGACAATCCCTCAGCTGGTGACCGGCAGTCCCACAGTTAAAACACATGTTCTTGGGTCTATACACGAGAAACAACAAAGAACTATTATGTAAACAATAATACAAAAGGCTAGACTAGAGCTTCATCATCTGCTTAAATGTACCTTTTGTCTTTCATTTCTACTTCTTGTCCGTCTGTGCCGATGACTTGATTGAAAACTTGCTGGTAACTTTGAAACAATTCAGGAATTGAACTTGCTTTAAAAGATGGTTTAACCTCTAATAATTATTAGACAAATATAGCAAACAAAACATTCTAAATGTTCAGACGATGTCGAAGCTAAAGATACACTGGCACCTCCCACGCATCCGTCATCTGAGGGTTTTCATTTAGAAGGGGCTGTCCAAGTTTGTCCACGCTAAAAGTAGTAAAGTGTTGAACGCTTCCAATGAGCTGTAAAAATAATATATATATATAGTTTTTAAAAACACATGTTATATTATATACATTTACAGAGCATAAACTTGTAAATGTATGAGCCTACTTTGAAGGACTCTGATGTCGTTTTAATGCTCGTGAAACATGCATTATGTGGATCCTCCTCCAAAGCAAAGGCCGAAGGCTTTAATGAAAAAAAAAAAAAAAAAGAATTATCAAAAAGGTTTTACAAATATGTATTTCTTTATAAAGATATAAAAACACACAGTATGTCAGTGAATTAGACGATGAACATGAGTGAAAAAGTCCATATCTGGTTTGTCGGGAATTCTTTTTAAATTGCATTTCAGATGCACGTCAACAATGCTAGAGCTTCAACTAGCTTGTGCTGCTTAATCACCCGACATATTTCGGCAGTAGAATTCCACCTTCGTCAATGAGTTTACCGCTGAAACATGTCAGATAATTAAGCAGTTCAATCTTCTTTACACGTTTGTCTTATGAACAGAACCTTCTAAGCCTCAAACAAAGATTTTAAGTTGGGAAGTTGGGGCTTCAACTGTTGAACCAAATAAATGTGATAACTGTTCAGCATTCCTGCCAATCAAGTGCTCATCATCCATTTCCATCCACATGTTGAACCTGTGTCAGACCCTTCCTCCAGCTAATCCAGCGGGCTTCCCAGGCCAATCGAGGGTTTTGTTTACTACGGTTTTTTACTCAATTATTTGCATGTATTTTCAAGTTGTACATATTTGCAAGCATACCTGTGCTTTCAAAAAGTAGGGGGAGTTTCCAACATTCTGGTTCTTTAGTATAATGTTGCAGATGGCATCTTCAATTTCATGACGACACTTTCTATAACAGATCGAGAAGAGTCAGGCAAAGTTCACATGCAAAGGCTGATTACAAAAAATAAACATTATTTCAGAGATGACTTACTTTGAGATCATGTTATTGGCATAGAGGATTTGCAGTACAGGTCCGTCCACGTTGACATCATCAATGGTAACACCACTAACAACAAAATAAGAAATGAAAACGAAACCATTTAAAGCATTTAATTAATTCACAACTTCAACGCGTTACCTGGGCCGCATGATGATGTTCAGGTTTCTTCTCAATCCTTTATGTAATTAACTATTAAAGAAACTTGCATCTCAAATGTTTTGTTTGGATTTTTGAAAATACACTCTAAGCCGCGCTAGCCCGGGCTAAGCTAACATACACACACGACCAAAGGATATTTTCCTCCACAAGTTTCTGATTCAAAGCCTCGGCCTCCTGCAGCCTGGTCCGGAGCAGCCCCAGCTCCGTCTCCTCCGTCTCCTCATCTGTGAAGCGGATATGAGTGCTCTCAGGGGCCGCAGAATCATCTAACTGTTGGAAAAGCTCACTGTCTCCGAAGTCAACCTCCGCCATCTTTGCCCACAGTGAGCAGATGAGGTTGCCAGATAATCAGAGAGCATAAAGGAACCAAGCCTTTGTCATGTTTACTGTCAATGGTAATAACAAACAGGATACATGTATTAATCAACGTATATGACACTAAAATAACTCTGAAATGAAGCTTTTTGCAAGACAAAGAAAACTGCAATAATTTCTGGGAGAAAAAATCCAATCTCGCTGGAATAAAAAATACTTGGCAACAGGACTGGTTCATTTTCCCTTGTACTGGTTTGGTCCAAATGTTGACAGTTTGTATCGGACGTCAGGGTTAACATGTTTTTTTTGGTTTTTTTTGGGACATTGTATGATTTCACAAGGTTAAGGTTAGAAAAGCTGATTAATTAAGGTTGCTCTAATTTATGTAAGATTTCGAGGTGCAGATTGCGTTGGGGTAAAAAGACGCGATGCGAGCAGATACTGACAACGCTGTAATGTTCTGTATTGTGTTGTACTGCGATCTAGTACAGTTGTCTTATTTATTACATGATATTTAATTATTCGATGTTGTCTGATAACAACCCAATGAGCACAGGCCATTGAATTGAATGGGCCGCCATCTTTGATACCAGGGGTCTCTTCTTGTCACGTGTACTTCTTGCGTTCTATGAAAGAAACTTGTTTATTCACTTGAAACATGTCAACTATCACCCAGATAACGTTGCCTACGTGGGTGGTGGGCTCTTTGCAATTGCGATGTGTTTATCTGGTGAATAATACCTCATTTCGGTTAGATGAGTGTCCCACCAAGGTATGTAGTAGTCAATATCCTCTGTTTTGCTCTTTCGAGTGTTAATGATAAATACATATTCTCTTTTAGGGCCCAGCCATCCCTCTCTACTTGGGAGCTGACCTGTTTTCCACCACTAACATCCGCTCAGAAAACCATCCCAGATACCACGCAAAGTTTGCCAAGAAAGGATTAGCAACCAAACTACAATTTTCCTCTGGTAAGGTGATCGCTGCTTTTCTCATAAATGTTGAAGCAGACAGTCCTCAGCTTTTGAATAGTTGTCATGGATGAATTCTTATGTCCTGAAGCCTCTGTATGTCGTCTCTTCTACATGTATGTGAGTTCTCTTCCCTTCACGGGGGGCTGCAGATTCTGGTGCAATGCATGAAATGGAGCTGTGTAACAATTATTATATAGTTTGCTATTATAAGAGTTCTCTTAAAGGATCCTTCTATTTTCCAGAGTTGACGAATATTTTGTGGCCACTCCTCCTTCATATATGTCATATTTGAGCACTGTTATTAGTTGATGACTTCAAAAGCTTGAAGGATCTCCAAAAAGCATGAGCAAAATAGCAAAATAAATAACAGTAAAAAAAAGGATGTAATACCTCCCTTGGTAAGTGTGGCTGCTCATACCATCCATCCATCCATCCATCCATTTTCTTCCGCTTTATCCGTTGCCGGGTCGCGGGGGCAGCAGTCTAAGCAGAGACGCCCAGACTTCCCTATCCACACACACTTCCTCCAGCTCGTCCGGGGGGACCCCAAGGCGTTCCCAGGCCAGCTGAGAGACATAGTCCCTCCAGCGTGTCCTAGGTCTTCCGCGGGGCCTCCTCCCGGTGGGACGTGCCCGGAACACCTCCCCAGGGAGGCGTCCAGGAGGCATCCGGAACAGATGCCCGAGCCACCTCAACTGGTTCCTCTCGACGTGGAGAAGCAGCGGCTCTACTCCGAGCTCCTCCCGTGTGACTGAGCTCCTCACCCTATCTCTAAGGGAGCGCCCAGCCACTCTGCGGAGGAAGCTCATTTCGACCGCTTGTATCCGCGATCTCGTTCTTTCGGTCATTACCCACAGCTCATGACCATAGGTGAGGGAGGGAACGAAGATTGACCGGTAAATCGAGAGCTTTGCCTTTCGGCTCAGCTCCCTCTTTACCACAACGGTCCGATACAGCGACCGCATCACTGCGCACACTGCACCGATCCGCCTGTCAATCTCACGCTCCATTCTTCCCTCACTCGTGAACAAGACCCCGAGATACTTGAACTCCTCCACTTGAGGAAGGACCTCTCCACCCACCTGCAGAGGGCAAGGCACCTTTTTCCGGTCGAGCACCATGGCCTCGGATTTGGAGGTGCTGATTCTCATCCCAGCCGCTTCACACTCGGCTGCAAACCGTCCCAGTGCATGCTGCAGGTCCTGGTTCGTTGGAGCCAACAGGACAACATCGTCCGCAAACAGCAGAGATGAAATCCTGTGGTCTCCGAACCGGACCCCCTCCGACCCCTGGCTGCGCCTAGATATTCTGTCCATAAATACAGTGAACAGAACCGGTGACAAAGGGCAGCCCTGGCGGAGGCCAACACTCACCGGGAACAGGTCTGACTTACTGCCGGCAATGCGAACACAGCTCTGGCTCCGGTCATACAGGGATCGGATGGCCCTCAGCAGAGGACCCCGGACCCCGTACTCCCGGAGAACCCCCCAAAGGACACCCCGGGGAACACAGTCGAACGCCTTCTCCAAATCCACAAAGCACATGTGGACAGGTTGGGCGAACTCCCATGAACCCTCGAGTATCCGATGGAGAGTATAGAGCTGGTCCAGTGTTCCGCGACCGGGACGAAAACCACACTGGCCCTCCTGGATCCGAGATTCGACCATCGGCCGTAGCCTCCTCTCCAGTACCTTGGAGTAGACCTTACCTGCTCATACATGTCCCAGGTTTCTAATGGGATGATTTATTGCAGTTTAGTTGTGATGACTCTTCCAGTTTTACTTGTAAGCCTCAAATGTTGTCATATGATTATCTTGTTGTGCCCCTGTGTATCTCAGCATATAGGCTTCTCAAGTTGCCCGCGTCCAACAACAGCTTGTGGTTCTACAGCATACAGGGGATCTTCCGAATTGCCTTTGAGCTTTTCAGTCGAGAGGACCAGCTCACAGTCCTCGAGAATTTTCAAGTACGACCCGATTGCTTTTTTATTTCACTTAATAAGAATGTGGAAACTAACCTTTGCTACTATGTTGCTTTTTTGGGAAATTCATGTTCTTCAGTTTTGATAGTGCAGATTCACCCTAACCCTAAAATAGTTTTTATCCCAACTGCTGTCAGACTGTACAATGAGTCTGCACTAGGACTCTAAACTCACACCGCTATAGTCACTTGTACATAATATATCTTCTCACTTTAACGTTTGCACATTTGTCTTTGGCACATCCAGAATGATCCTATTTATGCCAAATGTGACATGTACATTTCTCAATTGTGAGATCAATATAATTTATCTTATCATACAGTATGAAGTCTGTGCAGGTAGATACACAGGAACACTGAAAAAAAAAAACGTTTCAATTGAATCAAGCCAGTTTAGTCTAGCAGTAGGAATATCTTTTTCATTTCAAGAGTTTGTAAATTAGCGGATGCGCATGCTGCAGCCGTCACAGTCTAAGTGTTTTGTGATCTTTGTCAAAACAAAATCTCTGGTCTGAATTATTTAAAAACTGTTCGGTTCAAACACCTTATATTTGAAATGTTGTTTATACTATATCGTTGGCTTGCTGTGATTCCCAACTCTAACCTACACTGTTTTCCAGGATGTTTGGAAGTCACACATAAACGACGGCCCTCTGCAGATGGGCTACAGCCTCAATGAGGGGTTGGACATTCCAGTTGTCGCCCCTCCACCCAGAGCCATCTCCAAGTCTCGTAAACCCCGGACAGAGCCTGGAGACGACTCGAAAGATCACGATTACTGCTGTGCCACGCCCCCATGCCCTTCAGAGGCCGACGTAGTATCACCCATGCAGCAACAGATGCACTATTTGTCCAATTCACTTCCCCAGGTTCAACCAGAGCATCTCAAGACTATAGGAACGCTCTTAGACCTAGTTGACAGCTACGTTAAAGACGATCTCACCGAAAACAAAGTAACAGAGGTCGTTATGGCGCTGCTCCAAGCCAGACAGTGGGACGAGTTGTATTCGAGTCCTCTGCTGAGCCGTATCGGGTGTTGGCTCGGGCAGCAGTTTCACCAAGCCAACAGCAGCATCAGCCAAAGAGTCGAGGGCTTTAAAATGCATCACATCGACCGCATTAGTGACTTGCCCCCGGCTGAAGAACTCACCCAAGAGCTGTTTCCAGAAGCAATGACACGTCTGCTGCTTCAATGGATGGGTCTGAGTGAGGACACCAGCACAGACAAGAGACACAGTGAATATCCCATTCTACTGCTCATACTGGAGTTTGCCAATCATAATCTTATAACTGGTGTGGCACATGTGTTGTATTCCAGCTTGATATGTAAATAGTTGTGTGTGGTCCACCTTCTTCTATAATAATAATGGGGAAGACAAAAAGTCATGCGACACCTTTGTTATGTCTAAGTTACTATGTCGGGCAATGTTTTCCTCATGGATTTGATCATGAGGTCTCCTGGAGTATTTATTTATATTTTTCAATCACTAATCGCATGACGACCCTGGAGCTTGATAAATACATGTTTATCCCACGAGAGAGAGCCTTGTTTTAGTTACATTTTATGAACAAACTGACCACAAAAAGCAGCCATTACCTTATTAGAAAACATTATCTTTCACAAACTGAGAGCTTAGTGAGAGAAAGTATACGGTACATGTGAGCTAGTCTCATTTGGTTAACTCACTTCAGCTTTAAATTAAGTTTTACTTGAGTTGTACTTTTGGCATCTCACTTGTAAATGTCACCAAGTTGTAAAGCGCTTTGGGTGACCTGGTCTGTGAAATAGTGTATATATAGAAAAGATAACTTTATTTACTTTGTTTTAAAACACTGAAATAAGAAAATTGGTAATTGGTTTAATAGTAACGTGACTTATGAGTTTTTTTCCTCGTGAATGACTAAAGTATTTTGTCTCCAACGTATAAATAAATTAAATAACGACTTAAGAGAAGCATGAGAATTCTTGTTATAAATTATCATTTATATTTGAGAACTCTGTGTCCTTTAATTATTTTCTGAAATCTTTATCCTAGGCAAATAAAGGTATTTATCGCTGTGTCATTAAATACAAACAGCTCTGATACAATGACCAGTTCCAAGATTATGGCAAGTTATAAATTGAAAGTCCTTCTAAAATCCTTTCGTATTCCACTAACAAGTGAGCAGGAAGTAGAAACATGAGTGAAGTCCAATGGGACCAGAGTACAACATAAACATGTTTATTGAAAGCACTGAACCATGTGATATCGGCCACAGAAGTCCCAGCGGAGGCGTCAGTAGACCAGGAACTTTGTCTGTGAAAGTTGAACCAATTGACATCTTCACGTTTCTGATTCCACGCTAACAGCTGCCTTTCCACTAAATATGTAAACAGAGCTCACTTACATCACTTATGTTCAATTAATCACATTTATACAAGTTAAAATAGAAAAAAACTACATTATTAAAACAAAATATAACCAGCATCAGTTTGACCGATGACGCAGTTTTTCCAAATGCTGACTCAGCTCTTCATATTTACACGTGTCAGATGGTTACCTATAAATAAAGCACAGATCCATGCACGCTGATGGATAAAGTAGTCTGTATGGAGCCGCTACATAGGCTCCGGCCCCCGGGAGAAGAAGCCCAGCCCCATGCCTCTCTGTGTGTGCGTCTGCGATCGGGCCATTTCATACTGGACGTCTAGATTTCTGAACATCTCCTCCTGCCTCTGCAAAGTCTTCAAACCGTCTTCATTCAGAGGTTTAGCGGCTTCTTCCTCCTCCTCCTCGTCATCTGGCTGCACAGCACAATGCACAGAGACGTTGATGAAGGTTGCTTTATACATTTGCCGTCAACCAATCAATTCCCTCGCTATGACTCCTGTGCATCGAAGCGTCAAAGACTGCGATCGTTGATCCACAAATATGTGGATAAAAAGCTCAGTGATGGGCCTCAAAGATCCTGAGACCTATCACTGACACCATCTTCATTTTAATGAGCTAATCACAGCTTTTGCGGCACAAATATATATATCATTTATAAAATTATTTTTAGACTTTAACCTTCAATACCATATTAGACAAGGAAACCTCCATATGGAACCAAAACCAATGCAGCCACATTGTGTAGTAGACAAGCAGAAGCATTGGCAGCAAAGAAGGCGGTTCAACACTTACTTTTATACCCATCAGCTTTCGGAATTTCACATTTTGGTCTTTATTCCCAAAATTCAACTTCTCCCACAGCTCTGCTGTCTGGGACTTGTCCTTTGAACCAGAAGATGTGAGATAAACCTCAGTAAAACTGTGTCAATGATTTGGTTTAATTTACACATTACATAGAGAAGCTCGTTACCCCTTCTTTCTTTCCTTGCCATAGTTTCTTCCTCTTTTTTTCCTGTTCGGCAAATTTCATGGGGTTTACGGCAGCAGGGTTGTAGTAGCTGGGTACAGCGATGCCAGTCTCAGCCAGTGTTCTGGCCTGAAGAGCAGCCATCTGTGCTGCCATGGCGATCTGTGGGGTCACCTGCGTGCCTGAGGCCAGCAGGGCAGCCACATCCAGGCCTGGCGTGGTGACAACAGCTGCAACAGCTGAGGCGGCTGTAGGAGCAGGAGCTGGGAATTAAACACAGTTTGACAACAACTGATCTCCTGACAAAGATCTACAACTGTAGGTTACCTGCAGCAATCTCCTGATGCTGCTGGTGCTGTTTCTCTAACAGATCTTTCTCTTTTTGCTCCTGAAGCTTTTTGGCACGCTCCAATCTGAGAAACAAAAAACAAAAAAACAAATGGTTGGCGTTACACTGTGTTCATTTTTAGTAAAAATAGATATTGTTGACCCGTTACCTCCTGGCTAAAGCCTCCTGAGCGTCCATGGCTGGATTCCGTCCTCTAAAGTTAGGTGGGGTAGCAGAACGACTTCGACTTCTCTTTCGAACTTTCTCCACCCGCTTCTTTCTTTCCCTATTAGATCGAAAGGAGTAAAGACATGAGCACATGTTGAGCTTTCAGAGAGAAAGCGTGTGTGTTAAGGTACCTGCTCTTGCTGCGGCTCCTACTCTGATGCCTGTGCTTCGGTCTAGAGCCAGACCTGGACCTGGCCTTCTTCTTTCTGTCTCTGCTGCGGCTCCTGGACCTACGTTTATCCTTACTCTTGCTGTGATGCTGTCTGAAACCAAAACAGACCACATGAAAATGGGACTACTCAGTCACAACGGTGCAGTGTTGTGTCTGTGCAGACCTGTCCCGGGATGGGGATCGTGACGCGCTCCTCTCTCTCGACATCTTGCGCTCTTTCCGCCGCGACCGCTCGTCTCCATTCTCCGCCGACAGCCTCTCAGGGTCATGGACTTTTTTGTGCGATCTTGAAGACTTTTCATGGTCCCTCTTTCGAGCCTGTTTTAAGAAGAAGTTCTCTTTCAGGAAAATAGTGCAACAAAAAAAGTTAGTACCAGGGCGTGAGCAGATGGTATCAACAATCAATTGAAATGGATCATAAAAAACTGAAGCGCGAAGAGTTACTTTCATTTTTTTGAGAATGTTTAAAACCATTTAAAAAGTCTCATAGTGTTTGGAGATCTGTCAATGGTAAACATTTCCAATTGTTGGAAGAAAGCATTGTTCATTAATGTAGTGCTTTGAACAATTTTCATTAATGGCAGTGGACAGTGTTCTTTCACAATACCCACAAGAATCCAGTTCATGTCACGTTAGCATAAATTAAAGGTTGCAGCTTTAACGGTTAAAAGAACAAACAGATTCTAAATAGTAGATAGTTACCTGTCCCCGTAGAAGACATATTTTTTGCTATGTCAGCAGGGTCTTCAGTTCAGTCTCTTCGTGCATTAGCACGCTGAGTATGATTTATTATACAAATGTTATCATTTGATCTACATACATTCGAACATAACTGGTAACTAAAATTAATAAAATTTGATTTAATAATTATTAATGATTACACTACATTATGTTAATATAAATAATAATGACATCCATTAAACATTTCTGTTTATAATACTCACCTTGTATTTAAGCTAACAAAGATGTAAATGGATAATTTGAAATGACAATACAAAAGTCTGCTATTTACCTCTTTGCTCCTGCTGCGACTCCGTCTGTGTTTTCTGTCACCTACAAACAGACGAATCATACAGATAAAGAAAATGCATGTCAAACAGGAGATGACAGTAAAGAAGTGAAGGAGTAGCGTAAACACTGACGTTTTCTGTCCCGGGAGCGAGAGCGGGACTTGGAGTGGTGGCGCTTGGAGGTCCGGGGGGATCTGCTCCGCTCCATGTGAGAGGACTTTCTGTGAGCAGCTGGAGACGCTTCTTTCACGTCCGCACAGTCACTGTCGCTGGCCTGCGACCAAGGGACAACAATCACAATATAATTAAACTGCATAAACAGCAATATATGGAAGCATTATTAACACTAGAATTAAGGCAATCTTTGATTCAAATAACTACAACATCCAGTTCATTAACTAACATTAATTACCAATGATAATTAACGTCACGTCAGCCTATTCCGATTACATTGTTGATCAGATTCATAAACCGCATGTTAAACGGTAGCGTGATTTATTATAATTCCAATGGTAGATAAATGTTATAGTCCAGTGGTACAGTTTTCTACATTTAGCAAATCATTAGTAAGAGACGACGTTAAAACAAAGTCTACAGAGCAATTACTTCTGAATTAATACTATTTGAAAGAAAAACTGATGGTAGAACATTAACATATTCAACCATCCACCCAGGCCCGAAACTGTGCTGTTGTTATCTAGCTAGCTTAGCTTTTAGCTAGTCGCCATCTTTGAGAAATGCTAATCACAAGTAACGCTAGCTCCGAATCCGCACAAAGCCATCATCACATTCGTCACACACATGGATCACATTTCGCCAACCTCACCGACATCATCTGCACTCCACAACCGCTAATCAGAACAAATCCCGAACACTGCTCTCCTGAAAGACGCTGGACTCTTCTGGGCTCCGTCTGCAAATCGACGGTCACGCAGGGTTGCCAGGTTGTGACATATATCAGTGTTGCCATCCTTTTACATTCATACCAATCACAGACTAATGCATCAAATCACAACGTGTATTGATCTGTAATCACATTATTTACTTGTTTTGTGGAATGATTAGCCTTTATAAATGATAGTAGATTATCTTTTAAATATTTTTTTTTACTTTCTTGCTTTTTCGTTCCTTTTTACGGAACTGGCATTCTATCACAGCTGTCACGCCTCTCTGTTTTTTCGCCCTTATTTTAACATTTATTGGCACCTCTTTATATTAAAATTAAATAACACTAATAGTATGGTTGGTCGATTGATAACGCCCATAGCATATACACATTCAGATGAAGACAATATAAAAAATAGTTATTATTTGAAGTACACTCTTGCTTTCGTAAATAAAGTTTGATGGAAGTTTGATGTGGGAAAAAAAAAATCACGTCTACTTCCCTCAAACACCCGCCAAATTCTTACACTAATGGCGTTGGAGGCGCTCGCTTATGCTGTATGGATGTAATTTATTATAACATATTTTGTATTATCATGTCTTGAGCAAGCCTCGGGGACGCGGTGGAGACGGTGAATGCTGGAACCTACAGAACGCGTAAGTTATTTTTTTTCCGGTGATGCGGCATAATCTGGGCTGTGAATGAGCCATAATGTCCAGTAATGTTGACGGTGTAACATGGGTGGAGAGGAGCGGCTTGGTCACAGGGGGAATGGGATAGTTGGAGGAGAGAGGGCAGGGTGCAAAAGAGCACTTGAGGATGAAGCGTGTACCCAAGTCACTTGGAAAATCCATGAGCGAAGTGTGTAAAACCATTTTTAAGTTTAAGGACAGCTGTGGCATCAGCAAAGTCGATACTGACCAGGAGAAGAAAGATAAAGCCTTGAGGAGACAGTCTATATGCAGGTTGGCTTATACAGTACATTTATACAGTTCCCTTGAAAAAAAACTTTGAAGAGCTCAATAATCCATTGCTCCCCTTTTGCCAGCGAGATGAAGTTGAAGATGAAATGTCCCAATGTTGATAAAATACAGTACAGGCAAAGAAGAAAAAAAGGAGGTACCATGTATTTCCCTACAACAAATAAAACAGCAGAGACCTTAACCCAAACACATATTCCAGTTACCTGAGTGCCCAGTACGTGACACCTGTATCTGGAGACCAACAGGGAAAACATCTGGACTAGACTTTCTGTTGACCTGTTCCTCCACTGGTGAGGGGATGGACACAGAAGACTCACTGTGAGGAGAGGTTGTAGGGACTAGTGTATTATAAGTGAGTTTGGTCTTAACCTGAAGATTTGAGGAAATGGGTGGAGACTACTGGGTCTGATGGAAAACCTGCAACCACAGCAGCCCTTTCTTGGTCCGGTTTTGACACCGGCGTCACATATGATGCTGTCAACTGAAGGGTTAATGAGATGCATCGACATAAACCGTACACCTGTGTGTTAAAGGCTGTTTTCTTGCGGTCCTTCTCTGCTACCTCCTCTAACTAGTGCAGTGTGCTGAAGGGCGGCACGGTGGCTGAGTGGATAGCTGAGTGGATAGAAGTTCCTGGGTTCGAATCCCGGTTGGACCAGGGCCTTTCTGAGTGGAGTTTGCATGTTCTCCCCGTGTCTTTGTAGGTTTCCTCCGGGTGCTCTGGTTTCCCCTACCACAAAAAATATGTACAATAGGTCTGGCATGTGCCTCCTGTACTGGCGACCCCGCTCCAAAAAATAACAATTGTAAACCGCTTTGAGACTCCGATGTGCAGTGAAAAGGCGGTATATAAATAAAGCTTACTTACTTACTTACCATGCAGCCAAGGCATCTATTGTGTCTTCTACCCATGGCAATGGAAAGAATCTCTCAGGTGTCCACATTCAGGCTCCTGTAATCCACACAAAGCCTCCACCTGTTGCCTTTCTTCCTCTTTGTTATTGAGGTTCCTCTGAAGAACATTGGACAGCTGGTGGTGTTGTAAATGTGCTATACAGATAAAGCTGACATTGACACAAGCATCACTGGAGAGGACCACGGGCTTCCACTTTCTTCAATGACCCTATCTGTAGAGAGTTGTTGCATGTGGCTGTTAACGTCCCTCCCTTCAGCCTGTTATAAACTGTGACTATGATGGACAATATCCATCAGCGTGGAATTCTTTCTGGTAAATATATTAACGTTGGCACAAATTACAGAAAATGGCAATGTGGAGCGACGTCGAACTCCTGACCAACGAGGACACCAACACTGTGAGACTGGGCAATGTGTCCAGAGAGGACAGTGGCAGTGGACTGTACCAGGTGGACACTTTGGTCAAGATTTCTGCAGACACTGAGGTAATTCCATCAATATTGAATTATACTGTTTTTCAACCTGTGTGCTGTGGATGGTTTCAATGCCCATTAACAATAAGACATTTTTAATTGCAATCAAAATAATACCTACATTACGTATGTCTGAAAACCATTCACATTTTTATCTGATCTATGTTTTACTTTGGTTTTGTGAAGACATTTATCTGGACTATTAATCTGCAGTAATCATTTCAAAAGAATGCTCTAGAGATTGAATTGTGGCTCAAGTGGCTCTAATGTCTGGTCCTGGTTCTGTGCAGGTGGAGGGAGATCCTCGGCTGTCGTCCCACAGCGGCTCAAACTGGAGCATTGTTGTGGCGGATAAAACCGTCGTTCTCTTTGACCAGAGCTACCAGACCATACTTCTGCTTTTGCACTTTGGTATGACAACAAATGTAAAACATCTAAAATGATGATGCATTTTATAGGTTATATTTTAGCTGTTTAGAGTCTTACACAAACATCAGATGGCCTCTGCTTTGTTTTTGTCTCACATTTTTTTTACATTTCCAGAAACTGAAGTGGAAGCGTTTGATGTGTGTCTCGATGGACAGTTTTTAGTGGTTTGTGAACAAAATGGGAATTTGCATCTGGTTTATGTGCCACACAAGAAAATCTTACTCACCAAGGTCAGTGCATGGAAACACGGCTATATCTGTGGTGGCAACAGTTAAATTAGTGTTTTTGATTTATTTAGGCTTTAGTGGCAAACGGATCCAGTGGAAGAAAAACCTATCGCAGTCTCATCATAGAAGAGGACAAAGTGTCAGCAGGTATTTAATCATGTTTCATATTTCACTGCTTAAAGAGTCGTCTTTCATTTATTTATTTTTACATGTCATCCACCAGGAACATACCACCTATTTCTGCTCATCAAAGATGGCTTTTTTCACATCAAAAACCTGGCTTTGGCAAAGATGGAAACTGGTAATAATTTGGGATGAGACGATGAAAAATAATATGATCTTAAATAATATATTGTTTTATTGACAATAATCTGCTTTATTCAACTCGTCAATGCATCGACTTTGTTTTTTGCACTTCTAAGAATGCTAAATACTTTTTGTTGTTAAAAAGAAATAATCAACATTGCCAATGTTGAATTACAGATTGAACAGTTACCACACTATAATTATGGTAACGGACGACCCCACTTATACAGGGCATACAGTGCGAGGCAGCGCCACAGTGGTAGGAGGCAGCAAACTAATACATACACAAATGGCTCCAACAGATAGTGGCAGTAAAAGTGAAATTATCACATTCCCAAAAGTAAATTAAAAAATATCTTTATAAACATATATATTGATTCAACATGGCACTAATGTAAATGCTTTTTGAGCACAGCCATCGCAGAAATGGACTTGGCGGCAGCTAAGGAGGTAAATGCCCAGTGCCTCACCTCAGCGCGCACGTCTCTTCTTTGTTTTAATGTCGTTGTGGTTTATGCAGCTGCAGTCTGTCATCAAGATCGACTTTTATCAAACCAGCGATTTTCACGACGAGAGCTGCAGCTCTGCGGTTCTCTTCACCGCGGGACATCAGATCCACCTCCTCATCGGGGTCAGTGTTGGGACACTTAAAAACTGCTTATTGTAGATTTCTCCATTTGAACTTGGTCGGAGAATTGGATTGTGGATTATTTGATTGAGCAAGTTTGAAATAGAATAGTCTATTATTATGTATTTGTCTTCACAGTACTTTGCTTTCTTTTCACAGGGAGGCCAGGAGAACGTTTTAACAGACTGGAAGATGGATCCAAATGGAAAGATGTGTCTTGCACATTGTGTGAGCAACATGCTGATCCCAGGTCAGTTTTTACACTTGGACTGTTGGACTGGGTGCCAAGGGTTTTATACTCCTTCACAGCACTATTTTACCAGACACTGGATAAGTCCAAAGTGTGGAAACATTCTTTATGCATCTGGTTGGCCCAAATATCTGTCTCCTACGAGTTGCTTTGTTTGTCCCACAGTCGAGACATGTCAGAGTTTCATCACCAGTTACACAACATTAGGAACGAGGAGCACACAGCACAAGATACATTAAGTATAAAATCTCTGACTTTAGCATAATAAGAAGCAAGTATAAAATCTCAGTTGGGGCACGTTGTTCTTGAGTGGGTTCTAAGAAGGAAATAAAACTAGCAAAGCCAACCCCTCTAATTAGCATAGGCCGCTTGTGAAGTAATTTAAATGACGTTTTTCTAGTCTATGGTGTCATTCTTGTTCCGCCTTTTCTCAGGTGTGAGGAAGATGGCAGTGGTAGAAAATCACGTGTACGTTCTGGACACAGAGGTGAGTCCCGAGCCGCACTAAACCCGCTCTCAAACCCATACAGTGGACACCCTTTCCCTCTTCTCTGCCGCGACAGGACTTCTTGAGCCTGTGGGACCTGAACGTTTTCGTCATGATTCACTGTTGGTCCGATCTGTCCGTTCTCGACTTCGAACTGATCTCGGAGTGCGGCTCTGCGTCCGTGGCGTCGTACGTATCCATCGCTTCTGAACAATACTGAGCTGTCAGCAATTAACTGTGAGTTGTTGCTTCCAGGCAAGATGGCGGCGGTCTGAAGATGATCACACTGCTCAAGCACAGCAGCAGTCAGGTATTTCCCTTTGAAGAGGATTAAGAGATTCTTTATTCAGCGCACAGTGGGGGAATTTCAGTGTTGCATCACAAGTTACAGAATAGTAGGAATGAGGAACACAGAGCACAAGATAAATGAGTAATAACTATACTAAAATAAAATCTAACTCTAGCATAATAAGGAAAGAAGTCTTAAAATGTCTGACTTTAGCAAGACTTAAGTATGAATTAATGTTTTTTATTTGGACATTTGAAATGAGAAAAACAAAAGCAATGTTGGATTAAGCAAAATAAACAATCCATGTCCAAAATAGGAGTTGGAAGAAGTAAAAAAAAAACGTGTGTAATCCCACCCAACTCTGATTTTACAAAATAAATATCTTCCATTAGCAACCTAGCGCTTGGAAGTTTTTAACATGCTTCACAAACATATGTATCAAAAATAATGACTTTGTATCTGGTTTATGTTTTACAATTATTATTATTATTATTATTATTATTATTATTATGCTTACGTACAAAAACCTCTGACTTAAGCATAATAAGGAGCAAGTATAAAATGCTGTGTATTCTAGTGCAAGTTAACAGGTAGTTGTGTGTATACTTCTGTACATGTTGGCAGCATGAGGGTCTGGGACAAAGTGACAGTAACATGTGAGGTCCATGTAGTTCAAGATATTGCCCCGATGCATGACGTGTGAGGTCAGGTCGGCAGTGTTTGTTAATCCTCATTGTTTGTTTTAAAGTCAAACTGTTTTACCGTTGAGTTCTTAAAGGGCACCATTGCTCTGAGTGTGTATTTGGCACCATCAGTAAACATATATGATCTCCTTCTGTGTCATAACTTCCACTTCATCCATGCTTCTCAGTAGGATGTGAGTAGACGTGTGTTAATTTTGTTTAAAGAAATGTTACGCATTGTTTTTGGCCATTCGACTTTATAAAATCTAGCGGGGTCAAGCTCAGACCTGGACAAAGTGTGGCGCGATTCCTGTTTCTATGTGGCCCTCGGACCTTTTCCCATCGGCAAACTTTATACTGCCGCTACATTCATTGGAATCAACACTCAATGAAGGTTTGCTACTTCATGAGTGCTTCAAGAACATGCCTCATAATAATTTGTCAAAAACATCTGTCCATAATTCTTTCTTGAGCTTTAGTCCAGCTTTGGTTCAATCCAAGCAAGAATTGAAATCTAAAGGAAACTAAAACATAACCTTCATATTTAATCAAACAAAAATGTCCTCAGGGTAAGTCCCACATTATAAAAGGTTAACGCAAACCTCGCTGCAAATTAAAAACATGAGACAACACACTTTACACAAAGACAACACACTTTACACAAAGACAACATCTTCAGGTTTCTGTCTCTTCTGTAAATACTTCTGTCAAATACATGCATTTTGTTCTTAATACGTTACATTCAAACATGTTCCAAATTAGATTTAATGGTCACCACATGAAAACCAGTCCAGCGTTCCACAATATACAGTGTTTTTCTGTTAATGTACAAATAATTTAACATGAAAACGTTGCAATAAATTAATAAAAAAAACAATTATATTTTTATAGTCACCTAAAAAATGTATTGGGTTGGAATTGAAAGCCCCCTCCCTCTCCAAACTCTAAACTGTTATCCAAATAACTGGGCGGCACGGTGGCTGGATGGATAGCACTCTCGCTTCTCAGCAAGAAGGTCCTGGGTTCAAATCTCGGTCGGAACAGGGTCTTTCTGAGTGGAGTTTGCATGTTCTCCCCGTGTCAGCGTAGGTTTCCTCCGGGTGCTCCGGTTTCCCCTACCACTAAAAACATGTACAATAGTTCTGGCATGTCGCCTCCTGTACTGGCCCCGCTCCCATCTCTGTGAGGAGTGAGAGACAAATGCCCAAAAATAACAATTGTAAACCGCTTTGTGACTCTGGTCTGTGAAAGACGGTCTATAAAAAAATAAAAGAAAGAGATGTGACCCCAAGAAGACAGTAATATCCCATCCCTGGTCATTTTGCTTCTTGGATTTCAGAATTTGAGCAGTAACTGTCTTTCACTGTTACGTTTTTGTTTGTTTTACTGTCTTTTTTCCAGATAAACTCGCTGCAGATCCGCTCGCTGCCTTCAATGACTGTTTGTTATTCCATGGACATCTCCTCTGTGTCTTGTCTCGTGCGCACCAAAACCAACATGGTACAAACACATTGACTGCGGATGGGACAGAGTTTCAACGAGAGATTTCTATATCGTTTATAAGAAAGTTCACACTGTACATCGGACCAACCCACAGAAACGTATTATTGAAAACATGGTTCAATTTCCACCTCAGGATTTAGGATTTACTTTATTTCTTGAATTTACTCTGCCAAAATCAGTAAGAAAGCAACAGCAGCAACAAACAACTTCTCAAAATTAAACTTTTCTTTTTGCCAATTGTAAATGCAGCATAGAAATCTTACAACTCTGAGATCTTGTCCCATCCCTAATAGTCACAAACGAATGCCTTACCCTTACTGTGCATATGTTTTTGTGCAGGATACATTTTATTTAGTGGAAGGAATCTGTGAAAACCCTGAAAGGTGAGACGAGCTTAAAGTGTCATTCCTGATGGTTCTTTCAGACCGCCCCGCACAGAAGGAGCAGGCTGGTTTTCATGGCTGGTGCTGATTAGCTGCAGCGACGGATTGGCCAGACGTGGAGAGCGCAACCTAATCTCAGAATCGAGATTTGGCGCACCATGCAGGGGGGCGGAGCTTGGTCAGAACAGCAGCACAGCACAGAGGGGAGGGAAGCGGGTACGGCGCGGCCCAGTGCCAGGGGCCGTAACACCAGCCTTTATGATTGGAGAGCTGCTTTTATATAAAAAACAGAAATAGCAGAGAGCTACTTCTTTTAGCAGTCCTAATACAATTGTTGTCTATATGATACATTCAGTCAACCATGGAGAACTCACATGTATAATATTAACGGCTTATTAACCGAGCGCGAGGTCTGTATGGGGAAATATCAGCCTGCGGCCTTAATGTACAGACCGAGCCGTGGCGAGGTTTGTGCAAAAATGCCAAGGTCTGATATTTCTCTGTACAGACCGAGCAAGCAAGGTTAACAAATGTTTTATTATGACTCTCGTCTGTGTCTTTACCAATGCTTTTGAGATATTTGTGAAGTATGTTCATGTCCGACTTGGTTTTGTGTGATACACGCTGCGGACCAATTGTCATGGTAACGGTCCGAGATGGGAAAATATCGACCGGTTTTCAGCCAATCAGAGCACACGTATGGTCCAAGTCATATAATAAACCAGTGTACAGTATCCTTTAATTGCCTGAATGAACAGATTTAGAGTTAAAATAGCGACATAACGACTCAAAAGTGAATTATTCAGGATCTTGTGTTTCTTGAATCCTTTGGAGGTTGGAGACTCCTGATCTAGTGAATATTTAATGCATAAAGATTTGTGTAAGTTTCTCTTTCTATGGACCTTCTGTTCATACTGCTCACATGCTGTTTTACCTCAAATATTAATTCTCCATGTAGACTTTATCAAAACAGAAATGGGAACTTGAATCCTTATCTCAATGCTGATAAATACATTTACACACATGTTATTCTTTGCAGTCGTGGGCGGCCCATCTCTTCCCTCGCCATCAGATGCTTCACTGAGGCTTTGCCAGAAAACAGGTAGGCCCTGAATGGAGATGGTGAAATGTGTCCAATGATTGAATGAGTGACAAAAAAATGATTTTTTTTTAAAATGTGTTTTACTTTCAGACTGAGCAGACTACTCCATAAGCGAATGTTTGAGGAGGCTGAGAAATTTGCAATCGCGTTTGAGCTGGACTTGGAGGTAAGGTCCTTTTGCGTCTTATTTATCCACGATGTCCTCGATGATCTAAGTTTGAGCAATAGGAGACCAGGCATCGTGGACAATGTTTTATTTTTGTTTGTCTTTTCTTAGTCTTTTTTCCTATTACTTAGAAAATGTATTGTATTGCTCTGATTTGGTACTTTACTTTTGGCTTCGCTCATCCTCCGAGTTGTCACCATCAATGAAGTAGACAATATACTGTCCTCCTGACTCCTAGAGGAAACAAAGTGGTGGTAAACTACTGCCCTCAACAGTTTATGGCCATGTCTGCATGTGAAAGCCTGATCAGGAGCTAAGAAGGGCCTGGTCCTTCTTAGCTGGTCCTGGTACTGTGATGGGAGACCTCTGGGAACAGCAGGTGCTACAGTGGGGTAAAGAGCCAAACAGTTGTGTCCGTAGGCAAGTCACTTCCCCCACGTTGCCTAATACGAGTCTGGTGTGTGCGTGAAGTATTGGTGGTGGCTGGAGGGCTGATGGCACCGATTAGTGACCTAACCAGTTAACAGTACCTCAGGGCAGCTGTGGCTACAGTAGGAGTTTATCACCACCGTGTTTGGAATGAATGAATAATGTGAAGTGTCTGAGTGTCCAGAAAAGTACAATATAACACCATTATCATGCACGTGTTTTCTGTACTGTAGCCAGAGTTGCCCTGGGGCAAACTGACTGAAGGGTGTTGACTGTTTAAGCCGTAGCTTCCCACTGTGGCACTTCATATTACACTGGACTTGCTCCATGTTATAACGAGGCCCTTCACTGCTTAGCTTCTGTTGAACCCTGTGTGCAGCTTGTCTACAAGGTGAAGCTGGAGTTCGTTCTGGAGCAGTTGGCTTCTGCGTCGGTGGGAGGTTATGGGCAGGAGGTGTGGTCGGAGCTGGTGGAGGAGGCGCGCACCAACCTCATCAAGATCTCAGTAAGTCACATCCAGAGACGATCTGTTCTGTTTCTTGTGACGAGGACCAGTAATGACAAGTTTACCCTAATCCAGGCCAACTAATGTTCAGGTATGCGCTATATCACTGTGCATACACCTAACTATCTATAATATATATATATATATATATATATATATATATATATACTCTTGATCTTCTAGAAGGTTCCGATGTGTTCTTAAGGGGGTCTGTGGCTGTTGTGTGGTCAGGACGAGCAGTACGTGGTGGACTACTGCCTGAAGGCTCCGTGGCCGACCTTCCAGACGGCAGAGAAGATGTTGAACCACGCTGCGTCTCGCTTCTGCTCGCTGCAGGTCCAGGAGGCTCTGGCTCGACTCGCCACGTTCTGCAGCCTGCATCGTGTGGACAAGTTCAAGTAAACCGCTCACTGTCATGGATCTGCTCTGAACTAGGGCTGGGTATTTAGGGGGATTTCAATTTGATATAATGATAATAAGTTAAGGCTTAATCCCTTTTAACGTAAATACACCACTATTTATACATTCAATATATCGAGTTCTAAACATAGACTGTATATATTAACAGACGTAGTCACACCTATCTCCGCCGTTCTAACTAATGGGCCAAAAATTGGGCTTTCATGGAGGGATTCAAAATGGCCGCGGGGGCTGGATAGTGTGAAAAAAACGCATCTGCGCATGCGTCAGCTGCACGAGCCCCATTCATTTAAACAAGTGACTTCTTGTGGACTTACCACCTGCAGGAGGATCAGTGAGGGGCTGGTGCTCTGTGTACTGGGCGCAGCTCTGACTGCCACCCCCCGGACCCAGAAATGGATTAAGGGGAAGCAAATGGATGGATGGATGGACTTCAAAAATTCACAGCAACTAAACTAGACTGGTCCAAAAAGCCGGGACCCGCCCCCTACTATTAAAAAATATTATCGTTTTGAACTTCTTTGATAGTTTTATACTTACTTTGATCATTTTGGATGACTACATGAGTCGTAAAGTGTTGCTTCTGTAAATCCTAAAGTATACATTCACTCATACTAATGACATAATAAGCCTACATCTTGACTGTCTTTCTGCTGTAAAGTTTCTTCTCAGTAACGATGTGTATAAATGTACAAGTGGTCAAAAAAACTAAAATCTATTGTGACCATTTGCAGTGGTATTGCTTGGATCGAGTTCCTGAACTGCTCGGACATGTTGGGAGACGTCCTGTTCCACCTGCGGGACGGAGACCTGAAGGGGGCGCAGCTGCTCTGGCTCAGACACGAGGTACGACGGGACTTTGTGCAGATGATTCTCAGCCCAGACTAACGAAGGCTTGCAACAGGGACAGATAGCTGCGGAGTTCGATGAGCAGAAGCTGGAGGAGGTGCTGAGGTCTATCCCCGAAGACCTGCCCTCTTCAGACCTGTGTCCCTGGTTCAAGTCCGTGTTCATTCCATTTGTGAGGAGAGCGCTGCCGTCCGGACAGGTAAACGCAACACGCTCACAGCTTATATGAATGTGATAGCACTGCTCTTAATGAATATTGTGACAGTGGTAGAGCATTTGCCTTTGAGCTTGAAGGTCGTGGGTTCGATCCCCGCCACAAGACCTTCTCAACCGATTCCCACCAATGTCTGCTGTCATTTTTGTCCTTGGGCAAGACAGAAGAAGGAATGAAAGAATATGAATGTATGGACGATTAGTTGGACGAAGAGAAAAGAAGCTAACTAGAAACTGACTGGTGCTCTGGTGCTAAAAAGACAACTGCTTTTTATAGATTACTTTTTTAATCCTGAAGGACTCTCACCTTATATAATTTTGCAATGCCAGTTATATATTAATGCTTCACTATTAAAAGGAATTAATTGATTTTCACAACAGTCTAACCACAGCTCATGTTCCCCATTAGAGGGTAACCATATATGAATTTGCTCTAATATATTTTATGATTTTTGTTGTAGAAAAACCTGGCTCGATGGCTGGAGCAGAGGGCAAGGAATCTTGAGTTAACTGAAAAGGTACTGATGGAGCGACACATACCCCCAGCGTGGGAAGAATAAAGGTTTTCTTCTTGTGTCATTTAGATAAAGAGGATATAATTCGGTAAATGCTGACTGTTTCAGAGCGCCTGGCCTCAGAACGGCTTGAATCTTGCCGTGCTCGGACTTCCCTCCCTGTGGACCTGGACCAAATGTGTAAGTAATGTCCCAGACCACTTCAAAACAACCCCAAAATCTAGTCGACCTGTGTGTATTCATCGCTCTACATGTATTTAGGATGACAACTACGGAGCAGAAGAATTAGAAACCCTCAAGGGTTTAGTCGCCAATCTGCGCCACCTGCTGGAACTGGACCGGAAATACAGCTGCAAACTGTCGCTCTCCGTGTTCGAGAAGGTACTGTGTGAAGAAGCTATTTCTGCTCTTTAGGACCCACATCAAGTTGTTATATTCTGTTTTTCTGTTTAAAGTTATTAATATCAATTTGACCCGGAAATTATTATTTTTTTTAAACCCAAATGCACTTTTTTGAACGTTGAGACAAGTTATAAAAAGTTATTAAAAAACATCTATTACGTCGGATGCATAATATTTGTTTCTTTAATTAAAGTATTGACGTAGCCCTATTACCGTGACTCTTTCACTGTCCTAGCCTGGTCTTACCGCTCCATAGTACAAATTACCTTTCGTACTAAGGTCTTGAGGCGCTCCATTGTTCACTCCTTTTGCAGATTGAAAGCATTGGATCTGAGTTTACTGTGACGTATGTAGGACACTTTGATGACAAACTGTTTAAACATTCACAAATGGCATCATTTGTATGAACTCGAGCACAAAGCAGACAGTTGAGGATTGCACCTTGAATTGTGCAAGTTACCACATCAGAATATGTGCTAAATGCTCACGAGTCAGACAGAGTGGTTACTGTTTGTTTTTGTCAGGGGAATGTCCGCAGCGTGGCCTTCTTCATGTTGGACAAAGTCCCGGCTCCGGAGCTCATCCCTCACACAGTGGACACCTGCATCGTCCCCTACGCCCAGGAGCACCAGCTGCCCTTCGACGAGCTGCTGCTACAGTACATCAAGGTACCGCTCCATCTGAGGCGGGCACAGTCATGTTCAATCCACTGTGGATGAAATCGACCGAATAAAGCGAGAAGTAGTAAAAAGAGCCTTGTTTAACATGTTGTGAACAAGTCGGAGCACAACATGCTGTCTTAGTGAGAGCTTAGTGAGGCTGCTGCTCATTTCACTGTAAGAACTGATCTAAAGATGGGATTTATTTGTTTCAAATGTAGGTACAGCTTTAATCTATGAACAACAAAAGAGTCTAATCCACTTCATTGTTAATATAAAGACATATTGTCTTGAGTTGGCACAATTTAAAACATACAGTTGCAAACGATGAGTCAAACGACGATTTAACAATTATTATAGTTATTATAATAAATTGTTGACACCTTAAATATTCACCCTACTTTTCTTTAACTCGATAAAGTAACTGAAGATTAGATTTTGTATCTGTTTGTATAGATTATAGATTAGAATATGGGAATGAGGTTATTGAGTGAAAGTGTGATGTTTGTGGCAGGACCTGCTGGAGCGCTGCAGCTCCCAGACCACCACCCTCTTCACGGAGTGGGAGGCCAAAGCTGTGGCTGTGCTGCGCTGCATGACGGACACAGACGTACGTGAGAAACTTCACTGCTGTGAATCATTCTGATGCATCATGTGTCTAAACTTGTGTTGAGCACTTTGGTCTACTGTGTTGTTTTTAAAGTGCTCTATAAATAAAGTTGAATTTAAGGTTCAGTGCATTATGGCAAGGCAATTTTTTTATCTAGCACAGTTCCTACACAGAGAACCCACGGGTGGTGCAGCGGTTCGTGCTTGTGCTTCACAGCAAGAAAGTCTAGTTTGATTCCACCTCCAAACGACAGGCCTGTTCTGTGTGGGGTTTGCATGTTCTCCCTGTTTCTGCATAGTTTTCCTCCAGATGCTCTGGTTTCCCTGACCACAAAAACATGTTCAGTTAGTACTACTAACCCTACTACTCCGTTAGGGTTAGGGTTAGAAGATATATTAGTTGTGTGCACAGCGAAGCAGAACTGTTTTTAACCTTGAACAATACCAGAGTAGAATGTCTCACATTATTCCTAAAGGGTCACGGATTACTTTCCCTGTTAAAGTATGAAAACAAATTTACAAATGATTATTGGTGAACACATGTTTCACAGTAAAAAGTAATTATAAAAATACATTGTTACTATATTTGGCAAGTATTTTACTTACTGATTCAGAGACGCTGGACCCACTTCATCTCAGCCTCTAAACCCGCTAAATGATTTTCAGCTCTTTGTAATGTTTGTTTTCGGCTTGAATGCTGTGTGGTGTGTGCAGCTGATGGTGGATGCGGTGCTGGAGATTATGCAGAAGGCTGTGGTGCCCTGGAGTAACGTGGTGGAGAAGCTGGTGCAACAGTACCTGGAGATGGAAGGGCCAAAGTACGCTCACACTTGTATTTATACAGCGCCCTGCAGAGTTTTACACTAACTCTGCTGTTAGTAAGACTGCTTCTTATTGTTCAGACATGTAAACAAACTGTTAATAATCTTAACAGAGTTGGGGAACTTTATGGGCTCCATTCTGCTCCTCTGTTTAGCTGATTACATTTATGCTTTGTACTTTTTTAACAAAATTTGCAAAATACAGTATTAATTAAAGACGGTACGATTTGATGTCCTTCTTTCTCATCATTCTGAATTTCATGAATAGATCTCATACTGTTTCATCTACAAATGTGTAATGAATCTTTACTCATCAGACAGGAACTTCTGAAGGAGAACTTTCGTCTGATGCAGATCCGGAAACTCCTGAGGGGCTACGGCATCCGCAACTTCAACCTGACCAACAACAGCCAAATCATGGTACTATGTTGTCAGGCTCCTACATGATTCCATGTGTTTCAGAGAACATGCTTCGTCCCAGTGCAGATAGGGTCTGTGAGCATGTGCGCTGACAGGCTTTTAAGCTTGCAGGTGGGGGTGTACCCGGAAACAGAATTATCCAATGCATTCTTAAGGCGCCTTTTTTCTTCTCGAAAAACATTAAAAGAAAGGGGCCAGCCATGACTATAAGTACACACATTGTAATTCTGGAATATAATAAAAAGTTGCTTTCATTGTGGTAAAAAGAAAATCACTAATAATCAGAATCTTTGAGGAGAAAATCAAAGGTATACAAAGTTTTATAACAGAAAAATGGGCACTGGTCCTTTGATGGCCCTTAACATGCAAATTCGACTAAGCATTTAATCATGTCACGACATTGTTCCCCATCAAAACAGGCCTGGAGTAGTTTTAAGATCCATCCATGCTAATATCAGGAACTCTGCTCCTTCTGTCTAAAAGCTCCTGTCTCAGTCCTGCTATTGCACTTTTCTGTCTTTTAGAGTAAAATAATTGCCGATAAATTAGGCTTAGCTACAATTATAACCACTTTATGATCACATGGCTGTGTTTGCCATAGTTTAAAAAAAACATCAACTCCTCCCTCTTTTGGCAGCCTAGGGAGTTACAGACGGAAAGTATTTTTACCCTTCATACTTCTACAACAGGGCCCTAGTTATGCAAAAAATTCAGTGACATTTTGATTGTGTTTCAGACTCTCATCAGATACATATTGAAGCAAAACTTGCCGTCGTCGTTGGAGGACTCCCTAACGCTGGCCGAGGCCTACAAACTGCCCACGTCACAGATCAACTTCATGCACCTCGTCCAGCTCATCGGACAGGGAAAAGTATGGAAATATATCAAAATTAGGCAATTTAGACATAATTATTAAATGGATTAAGTAAGTTTGTCTTGCCATTTGAGAGAGCTGGTTTCATACACACATTCGTTCTACAGATAGAGAACATATACAATAGAGAAACTGTAAAAAAAATAGCCAACATATCAAGCTAGTCAATCTTCTTGAAGACATTGATAGGATGTTTACAGACTTCCTACTCACACATGCTATTTAAATCGGGTGTACTTACTGAAAAGCCGTCCTTTGCTAAGATTATCAAAGTGAAATCATGTTTTGTGTGTGTTTCAGAGGGAGGAGTGCATGACTGTGCTGAAGAAGCTGATCCCTGCGGAGGCGGAGTGTGTCATTGGGCGCCTCACCACATGGGGGCGCCTGCAGCTGGAGAACAAGGAGCATCTGAGTGAGGAGGTGAGTATTCGAAAAAACGGGTCAAACTGGGCGGCAAGGCTGAGTGGTTGGAACAGGCCCTTTCTGAGTGGAGTTTGCATGTTCTCCCCATGTCTGTGTAAGTTTCCTCCGGGTGCTCGGGTTTCCCCTACCACTAAAAACATGCGCAGTAGGTATGAATGTTGATTGGATGGTGTTTGGTCGGAGGCTTTGATGGACCAGTGTGTTCGGCGACTCGCTTCCATCATCACTGAGAACTGAGAACTATCTGAACTCTGAAAATGCGCTATATAAATAATTTAAAAAAATAAAAAATAATGATAAAGACAGCATGTGTTATTGTTAAGTATGAAGTTTAACTTTTGAATACTTGTCAAAAAGACGCTTTAGGGCCAATAGTGGTTTCAAAGTTGATTATTTTGCACTAACACAACGCCTTGATAAAACCCTTATACAGGTAATTGTTATGTTTGTTTTCACAGCATAAGAAAGAGCAGATGTCCGTGGCCCAGGTGGTGGTGGAGGCCCTCAAGTATCTGCAGACCATGTGTTCTGGTGACAGCTCATAGTATCTGTATTTCCTGCTGGTGTTTGTGTCCCTGTGTCCTCATGTCTTGTGTGTGTTTGCAGAAGACGTCTTCAAAAGTATGGAGTGTGAAAACAACCTGGTGATGTTCCAGACCATTTCACACTTGCAGGTACAAGAGCCGTGCGTCCAAACAATGGCAGTCAGAATTTAAACTGAAAATTGCGATTTGAAAGTAAAACATTGCTATGAACTAAGAAATAAACTTGATTCCAATTTCGGTACATCTGTACGTTTACAAAGCACTAGTCACTTTACCTTGATATTATTTCTGATGCTTATGCTGCTCATATTCATAGTCTCATATTCTCTGCTGCTAAAGTACAATATACACATCTGTAAATACTTCTGAACCAAGTGCAATTATAGCCCCAGAGTTTATTTTATTTTATTCTTTATCTTATTTCAATTATATAGTCTATAATCTTAAATGATTGACTCAATTTAATTTGTGCAATCTGAGTGCCCTTATTTCCTTCTTTCTCTGCTGTAATGTGCCAAGGGCTGTCAATCATCAGCGCTGATGCTTGTAGCTGCGCGCATGCTCAGTTGTTTGTTTTCACGGAGCCTCAGAATCAAGCCATGGAGGCTTGATTCTCTAGGCTCTGAACCTACATGAAAACTGAACAAAGAATTCTGAACATCCGCGCTGAGTTACAGATTTATATACTGAACCTATATCCATAATCATTTATATACTGAACCTATATCCATAATCCCTTATATACTGAACCTATATCCATAATCCCTTATATACTGAACCTATATCCATAATCCCTTATATACTGAACCTATATCCATAATCCCTTATATACTGAACCTATATCCATAATCCCTTATATACTGAACCTATATCCATAATCATTTATATACTGAACCTATATCCATAATCATTTATATACTGAACCTATATCCATAATCAGATCCTCTGCAGATGTGTCCTAAAATGTTGAATTAATGATAATGGCTACTTCCGGGTTTACATTATTTTTTTAATGAAAACGTGAACAGATAATTCTGAAAACCTCCGTGCATGTGTATTAATAATGTATGTGTATAATGTGTTCACAGACTAATATTTAAATGTGTTGATTGGTCTACGTTTCTGTCACAATCAATCAGAAAGGAAGGGGGAGAGGCTTTGGTCGTTTTTATTTATTTTTTTCAAATCATGTAACTCTCTCTCTTTCTGACAAACTCCAGAAAATTCACTTTAAGGAAATTGGCTCCAACTAGTTTATGTTCAAATCTGCTTCTTCTGCATTTGACAAACACTGTAGATGACGTCAACACCCGGTCAGCCCTCTCCTAATGCAGCCTGTGGTCTTATTATCTACATTCACACCTACAGGAGGACTTTGACGTTTTTGTCCCGCCAACCAACTATGAAGACCCGCAGATCCGTAAGCAGATCCAGGAGCACCACATCACAGCGTACGAAAACACCAGTGAATCATCCAGGTCCAAGTCCAGGGCTCAGAGCACCCCGGTCATGTCCAATGACCCCGACGGCAAAACCAAGACCATCTCCACTGAGGCCGGGCTGCGCCGCCTGGGCAGACAGCTGCAGCGCACAGAGCAGGAGCTGTGGTCCGACCTGGCCATTCGGGCGCTGGGAGTAGGCAAAGTGCACAAGGCCCTGAAGATTCTCAGGTCTGTTTTGGATCCAATTATATTATCCACTTTTTACAACTATTTGTATTTTTCATGTATAGAGTCCTTTCATTCATTCATTCATTTTCAACCCCTTTATTAGTCCATTTCTGGGTCAATGCTATGATGGCTGCTCCGTCAGTGGGGAAACAGCCTTGGTGTTTCAGCGGGGGCTTCAGGCAACGTGGGGTGAAGTGTCTTGCCCAAGGACACCACGACAGTAGACATTTGTGGGAGCAGAGTAGGTCCCATGGTGCGCTCGAACCCATGATCTCTAGGCCCAAAGGCTGATGCGCTACTGTCGCCCAATGTGTATAGTATTGCCCTAAATCACAACAGTAGTTATCTCTGAGTAAATTCTTAGTTTGTTCCCAGGCAGTATAAAGTTACCAGCAAGTTTATGATTCAATCTTTTTAATCCCATACAACCCAGATGTAAAAATATTTGTAGAATTTTTTTTTGCTATTTTTTGGAAAGCAGCATTCCAGGACCAAATTTGGCAATGTAGTATATTTGCTTCTTTGGGTTCTTGGGTACATACGTTAAAGGGCCCACATTACGCTTTATGAATTTTCTCTGCTTTAAACATTATTACAGCTATTTGGCCTCATACACATTGTTTGCCCATAGTAGTTTTTTCATTGATTCTGTCAATCTTTAGTAAGAGAGCGATCTCTTCACCCTCGAGAGGCACAGAAACGCTCGGGTCCACTTCAGTGACGATTACCACTCTGATGACTAATATAATAGCATAAGCCCGTTTGCTTTGTATTTAAAATGGTTTTGAAATACTTCTGTCAAAACGGGGTAAACCATACACAATAAGTATGCTGTTTGTTGTCAAGAATAATGAAAATAAAAATAATAGTAAAAGCCGCCGGGAGGTGATTGAAAGATCAAAACAGCGAATCAGAGCGCGCAGCCAGTTCCCAAGCCGGCTCCCGAGTCTAGCGTATGTCTGTGGTTTGGTCCTGGTTTGGTTTTTAACTCAAATTATTATTACACATGTGCATAGGATTGACTGTGACCTTTAACGCATTAAACCAAAAACGTTACGTATGTGTAACCGAGGGTGCTACGGGGATAAAAGGCTCTTTCTTGTGTTTACAGCGAGCTTTACGAGCACCACTGCAACCCCAGCACCGGGAAGGTCCTGTTCACTGCGGCCAAGACCCTGTGTCAGATGCTGGAGGCTGACGTCCCCATGGTGCTGCCCGAGGCCATGGACCTCCCCGCGGTCATCCACAGTCTGGCCTGTCAGGCAATCACCGTCTGCCACTCAGGTCTGTGTCCGTCACATCCACTTCTGAAACTTCAATCTTAGTATTCTGTATCATTTATATTTTGTCATGGCTTTGGAATGTGGTTCTTTCACTAATTTAGTCTGTTTTGGAATTTATTTGTTCAGTGGTGAATCTACAGTATTGGCCTTTTTCACGCCTCGCCATTTAAAATAAAATAAAATAAATCCGACATTATCTTTTGAACTTTTTAAAATTAATACATATATAGCATTCAGTTGTATAAAAACAGTGGGAGAGAATGAAGACCATACAGTCCACCCACCAGGGCCATAGAACAAAACAAAAATCACAAAAAGGTAAATACACTAAAGAAAAGTAAAGACACTCTCGCCATTACTTCCGGTCCCGATCAAATTTTTTTCACAAATGATTAACGTGTAATCGGCAAGTTTATATGTATAGCACTGTTCATTCATCAGGCAACTCAAAGCGTTAACATAACAAGATGGAAACGATCAGATAAGGCATTCCCATCACAATCAAAGTACATTTATAAGAGTGAATTTACAATCCTTCACTTGTAATAACTTTTAACGCTCAGACAGAGAAGTTAATGTAATATAATTGTTAATTGCGATTATTCTGTTGATAATAATCATGATGTAGGGTCACTATGGTCCCATGCCAGTCTGCACATACTGTACCCTGCTCTTGTGCCTACAGACCTGCTGTTGGACTGCACCGAGCTCTGCAAGTGCACCAGACTCGCCATGGACGTCTATCACCAGTGTCAGCTCTCAGACAACTACGGCTTCATCGGCAAGGTCCGTCTGCTCCCATTTCCTCCTCTGCTATAAATCGTCTGTTAATCTATAATGGTGTGTATTCGGGACACACTGATTTAATATAGGGCTGGGACTCGATAAAAAAAAAAAAAAATTCTAATTAACTGGAGGCTTTGTCATTTATTTATATTGCATATAAATATTTGACCTGAGAACAGTGAGAAGTAATTTTTTTCATATGGATTTATAGTTTTCCCTTGAATAATGACTGAATACATAAGTTTAAACAATGGATGATCAGACTGACTTCTTTCCATCCAATAACGTTTCTGTCATCGCCTCCACTCTCTGACAACAACAGACGCTTTTTAAGCCCAAAATCCTCTGCACTCTCAGTGAGCACTGAAGCTGGACATGCGCTGTTTGCTAAAGCTTTTAGAATAGTCCAAATGTAAAAATCAAAAACATAAACATCAGCAATAGCAGCTCACACACCTCTGTCTCGCTGCTCCTCCTCCACCGCTCACCGGAGTCGCTCGCTCCTCCTCCGCTCACCAGAGTCGCTCGCTCCTCCTCCGCTCACCGGAGTCGCTCGCTCCTCCTCCGCTCACCGGAGTCGCTCGCTCCTCCTCCGCTCACCGGAGTCGCTCGCTCCTCCTCCGCTCACCGGAGTCGCTCGCTCCTCCTCCGCTCACCGGAGTCGCTCGCTCCTCCTCCTCCGCTCACAGGAGTCGCTCGCTCCTCCTCCTCCGCTCACAGGAGTCGCTCGCTCCTCCTCCTCCGCTCACAGGAGTCGCTCGCTCCTCCTCCTCCGCTCACAGGAGTCGCTCGCTCCTCCTCCGCTCACAGGAGTCGCTCGCTCCTCCTCCGCTCACAGGAGTCGCTCGCTCCTCCTCCGCTCACAGGAGTCGCTCGCTCCTCCTCCGCTCACAGGAGTCGCTTGCTCCTCCTCCTCCGCTCACAGGAGTCGCTCGCTCCTCCTCCGCTCACAGGAGTCGCTCGCTCCTCCTCCGCTCACGGGAGTCGCTCGCTGCTCACCGCAGTCGCTCCTCCTCCTCCGCTCACAGGAGTCGCTCGCTGCTCCTCCTCCCCCGCTCACGGGAGTCGCTCGCTGCTCCTCCTCCTCCGCTCACGGGAGTCGCTCGTTCCTCCTCCGCTCACAGGAGTCGCTCGCTCCTCCTCCTCCGCTCACAGGAGTCGCTCGTTCCTCCTCCTTCGCTCACAGGAGTCGCTCGTTCCTCCTCCTTCGCTCACAGGAGTCGCTCGCTGCTCCTCCTCCTCCGCTCACGGGAGTCGCTCGTTCCTCCTCCTCTTCCGCTCACAGGAGTCGCTCGCTCCTCCTCCGCTCACAGGAGTCGCTCGCTCCTCCTCCGCTCACAGGAGTCGCTCGCTCCTCCTCCGCTCACGGGAGTCGCTCGCTGCTCACCGCAGTCGCTCCTCCTCCTCCGCTCACAGGAGTCGCTCGCTGCTCCTCCTCCCCCCGCTCACGGGAGTCGCTCGCTGCTCCTCCTCCTCCGCTCACGGGAGTCGCTCGTTCCTCCTCCGCTCACAGGAGTCGCTCGCTCCTCCTCCTCCGCTCACAGGAGTCGCTCGTTCCTCCTCCTTCGCTCACAGGAGTCGCTCGTTCCTCCTCCTTCGCTCACAGGAGTCGCTCGCTGCTCCTCCTCCTCCGCTCACGGGAGTCGCTCGTTCCTCCTCCTCTTCCGCTCACAGGAGTCGCTCGCTCCTCCTCCGCTCACAGGAGTCGCTCGCTCCTCCTCCTCCGCTCACAGGAGTCGCTCGTTCCTCCTCCTTCGCTCACAGGAGTCGCTCGCTCCTCCTCCTCCTCCCACAGAGGCGCTCGCTCCTCCTCCGCTCACAGGAGTCGCTCGCTCCTCCTCCTCCTCCGCTCACAGGAGTCGCTCGCTCCTCCTCCTCCGCTCACGGGAGTCGCTCGTTCCTCCTCCTCTTCCGCTCACAGGAGTCGCTCGCTCCTCCTCCGCTCACAGGAGTCGCTCGCTCCTCCTCCTCCGCTCACAGGAGTCGCTCGTTCCTCCTCCTTCGCTCACAGGAGTCGCTCGCTCCTCCTCCTCCTCCCACAGAGGCGCTCGCTCCTCCTCCGCTCTCACAGGAGTCGCTCGCTCCTCCTCCTCCTCCGCTCACAGGAGTCGCTCGCTCCTCCTCCTCCGCTCACGGGAGTCGCTCGTTCCTCCTCCTCCTCCGCTCACGGGAGTCGCTCGTTCCTCCTCCGCTCACAGGAGTCGCTCGCTCCTCCTCCGCTCACAGGAGTCGCTCGCTCCTCCTCCGCTCACAGGAGTCGCTCGCTCCTCCTCCGCTCACAGGAGTCGCTCGCTCCTCCTCCTCTCCGCTCACAGGAGTCGCTCATTCCTCCTCCTCCTTCGCTCACAGGAGTCGCTCGCTCCTCCTCCCACAGGAGTCGCTCGCTCCTCCTCCGCTCACAGGAGTCGCTCGCTCCTCCTCCTCCTCCGCTCACAGGAGTCGCTCGCTCCTCCTCCTCCTTCCACAGGAGTCGCTCGCTCCTCCTCCTCCTCCCACAGGAGTCGCTCGCTCCTCCGCTCACAGGAGTCGCTCGCTCCTCCTCCTCCGCTCACAGGAGTCGCTCGCTCCTCCTCCTCCGCTCACAGGAGTCGCTCGCTCCTCCTCCTCCCACAGGAGTCGCTCGCGCCTCCTCCTCCCACAGGAGTCGCTCGCGCCTCCTCCTCCCACAGGAGTCGCTCGCTCCTCCTCCTCCCAGAGGAGTCGCTCGCTCCTCCTCCTCCCACAGGAGTCGCTCGCTCCTCCTCCTCCCACAGGAGTCGCTCGCTCCTCCTCCTCCCACAGGAGTCGCTCGCTCCTCCTCCGCTCACAGGAGTCGCTCGCTCCTCCTCCTCCTCCTCCGCTCACAGGAGTCGCTCGCTCCTCCTCCTCCTCCGCTCACAGGAGTCGCTCGCTCCTCCTCCTCCTCCGCTCACAGGAGTCGCTCGCCCCCTCCTCCTCCTCCGCTCACAGGAGTCGCTCGCTCCTCCTCCTCCTCCGCTCACAGGAGTCGCTCGCTCCTCCTCCTCTCACAGGAGTCGCTCGCTCCTCCTCCTCCTCCCACAGGAGTCGCTCGCTCCTCCGCTCACAGGAGTCGCTCGCTCCTCCTCCTCCTCCGCTCACAGGAGTCGCTCGCTCCTCCTCCTCCTCCGCTCACAGGAGTCGCTCGCTCCTCCTCCTCCCACAGGAGTCGCTCGCTCCTCCTCCGCTCACAGGAGTCGCTCGCTCTTCCTCCTCCTCCTCCGCTCACGGGAGTCGCTCGCTGCTCCTCCTCCTCCGCTCACGGGAGTCGCTCGTTCCTCCTCCTCCTCCGCTCACGGGAGTCGCTCGCTCCTCCTCCGCTCACGGGAGTCGCTCGCTCCTCCTCCTCCGCTCACAGGAGTCGCTCGTTCCTCTTCCTCCTTCGCTCACAGGAGTCGCTCGCTCCTCCTCCTCCTCCGCTCACAGGAGTCGCTCGCTCCTCCTCCGCTCACAGGAGTCGCTCGCTCCTCCTCCGCTCACAGGAGTCGCTCGCTCCTCCTCCTCCTCCTCCCACAGGAGTCGCTCGCTCCTCGCTCCTCCTCCTCCGCTCACGGGAGTCGCTCGCTGCTCCTCCTCCTCCGCTCACGGGAGTCGCTCGTTCCTCCTCCTCCTCCGCTCACGGGAGTCGCTCGCTCCTCCGCTCACGGGAGTCGCTCGCTCCTCCTCCTCCGCTCACAGGAGTCGCTCGTTCCTCTTCCTCCTTCGCTCACAGGAGTCGCTCGCTCCTCCTCCTCCTCCGCTCACAGGAGTCGCTCGCTCCTCCTCCGCTCACAGGAGTCGCTCGCTCCTCCTCCTCCTCCTCCCACAGGAGTCGCTCGCTCCTCCTCCGCTCACAGGAGTCGCTCGCTCCTCCTCCTCCTCCGCTCACAGGAGTCGCTCGCTCCTCCTCCTCCTCCCACAGGAGTCGCTCGCTCCTCCGCTCACAGGAGTCGCTCGCTCCTCCGCTCACAGGAGTCGCTCGCTCCTCCGCTCACAGGAGTCGCTCGCTCCTCCTCCTCCTCCCACAGGAGTCGCTCGCTCCTCCTCCTCCCACAGGAGTCGCTCGCTCCTCCTCCTCCTCCCACAGGAGTCGCTCGCTCCTCCGCTCACAGGAGTCGCTCGCTCCTCCTCCTCCTCCGCTCACAGGAGTCGCTCGCTCCTCCTCCGCTCACAGGAGTCGCTCGCTCCTCCTCCTCCTCCTCCGCTCACGGGAGTCGCTCGCTGCTCCTCCTCCTCCGCTCACGGGAGTCGCTCGTTCCTCCTCCTCCTCCGCTCACGGGAGTCGCTCGCTCCTCCTCCGCTCACGGGAGTCGCTCGTTCCTCCTCCTCCTTCGCTCACAGGAGTCGCTCGCTCCTCCTCCTCCTCCGCTCACGCTCGCTGCTCCTCCTCCTCCGCTCACGGGAGTCGCTCGTTCCTCCTCCTCCTCCGCTCACGGGAGTCGCTCGCTCCTCCTCCGCTCACGGGAGTCGCTCGCTCCTCCTCCGCTCACGGGAGTCGCTCGCTCCTCCTCCTCCGCTCACAGGAGTCGCTCGTTCCTCCTCCTCCTTCGCTCACAGGAGTCGCTCGCTCCTCCTCCTCCTCCGCTCACGGGAGTCGCTCGTTCCTCCTCCTCCTCCGCTCACGGGAGTCGCTCGCTCCTCCTCCGCTCACGGGAGTCGCTCGCTCCTCCTCCTCCGCTCACAGGAGTCGCTCGTTCCTCTTCCTCCTTCGCTCACAGGAGTCGCTCGCTCCTCCTCCTCCTCCGCTCACAGGAGTCGCTCGCTCCTCCTCCGCTCACAGGAGTCGCTCGCTCCTCCTCCGCTCACAGGAGTCGCTCGCTCCTCCTCCGCTCACAGGAGTCGCTCGCTCCTCCTCCGCTCACAGGAGTCGCTCGCTCCTCCTCCGCTCACAGGAGTCGCTCGCTCCTCCTCCTCCTCCCACAGGAGTCGCTCGCTCCTCGCTCCTCCTCCTCCGCTCACGGGAGTCGCTCGCTGCTCCTCCTCCTCCGCTCACAGGAGTCGCTCGTTCCTCTTCCTCCTTCGCTCACAGGAGTCGCTCGCTCCTCCTCCTCCTCCGCTCACAGGAGTCGCTCGCTCCTCCTCCGCTCACAGGAGTCGCTCGCTCCTCCTCCGCTCACAGGAGTCGCTCGCTCCTCCTCCGCTCACAGGAGTCGCTCGCTCCTCCTCCGCTCACAGGAGTCGCTCGCTCCTCCTCCTCCTCCTCCCACAGGAGTCGCTCGCTCCTCCTCCGCTCACAGGAGTCGCTCGCTCCTCCTCCTCCTCCGCTCACAGGAGTCGCTCGCTCCTCCTCCTCCTCCGCTCACAGGAGTCGCTCGCTCCTCCTCCTCCGCTCACAGGAGTCGCTCGCTCCTCCTCCTCATCCGCTCACAGGAGTCGCTCGCTCCTCCTCCTCTTCCGCTCACAGGAGTCGCTCGCTCCTCCTCCTCCTCCCACAGGAGTCGCTCGCTCCTCCGCTCACAGGAGTCGCTCGCTCCTCCGCTCACAGGAGTCGCTCGCTCCTCCGCTCACAGGAGTCGCTCACTCCTCCTCCTCCTCCCACAGGAGTCGCTCGCTCCTCCTCCTCCCACAGGAGTCGCTCGCTCCTCCTCCTCCTCCGCTCACAGGAGTCGCTCGCTCCTCCTCCTCCCACAGGAGTCGCTCGCTCCTCCTCCGCTCACAGGAGTCGCTCGCTCCTCCTCCTCCTCCTCCGCTCACGGGAGTCGCTCGCTGCTCCTCCTCCTCCGCTCACGGGAGTCGCTCGTTCCTCCTCCTCCTCCGCTCACGGGAGTCGCTCGCTCCTCCTCCGCTCACAGGAGTCGCTCGCTCCTCCTCCTCCCACAGGAGTCGCTCGCTCCTCCTCCTCCGCTCACAGGAGTCGCTCGCTCCTCCTCCGCTCACAGGAGTCGCTCGCTCCTCCTCCTCCTCCTCCTCTCACAGGAGTCGCTCACTGCTCCTCCTCACACACACAGAGTCCATCGCTCCACACACAGCGTTCTTTCCCGTCTCTAACTCAGGCGGATTTAGACACCGCTAAAGTTGGTCTGTGCTTTTAATAATGTACCTTTGAACAGGAAAAGTCACGGAGCTACAGTTGGTGCTCCAGTATAATCGGTCCATCTGAAACTCATCCAGTGAGGAAGGTTCCGCGGTGCAACGATACGATACGATTAAAATGCGTCAATTTCTTTTACGCGCTAATTTTTGTGCCGTTAATTAATCTTAATACAGCATAAATCTGTGAACTAGATTAGGGGCTGGTGCTAAGTGTACTGGGTCGGTGCACCCCCGACCCCCCCCACCCAGAAATGGATTAAGGGGAAAAAAATTGATGGATGGATGGAATCTGTGTACTATATATATGTACACCAACCACTGCACCTCCAGCCACGACTCCGTGAAGCTGATCAAGTTCGCGGACGACACCACCCTCATTGGACTAATCTCCAACAACGATGAGTCCGCCTACAGGAGGGAGGTGGACCGGCTGGTGTCCTGGTGCAGTGGTAACAACCTGGAGCTGAACGCCCAGAAGACAGTGGAGATGATTGTGGACTTCAGGAAGAGCACTGTCCCCCCGCCCCCACCCTCCGTGATGGACTCCCCCATCACCTCTGTGGAGTCCTTCCGTTTCCTGGGCACCACCATCACCCAGGACCTCAAGTGGGAGCCGACCATCAGCTCCCTCATCAAGAAGGCGCAGCAGAGGATGTACTTCCTGCGGCAGCTCAGGAAAGCCAAGCTGCAGTTCTACACGGCCATCATCGAGTCCATCCTCACCTCCTCCATCACCTCCTCATCACCTCCTCCATCACCTCCTCCATCACCGTGTGGTTCGCTGGAGCCACAGTCAGGGACAAACAGAGACTACAGTGCATTGTGCGCTCTGCAGAGGAAGTGATCGGCCGCAGCCTTCCATCGCTGCAGGACCTGTACGTCGCCCGAGCTCGAGGCCGGGCTGGTCGTATCACAGCCGACCCCTCTCACCCTGCACATGGACTATTCCAACCACTCCCCTCAGGCAGGAGGCTGCGGTCCATCAGGACTAGAACCTCCGGCCACAAGAACAGTTTCTTCCCCTCTGCTGTTGGACTCTTGAACACTTCTTAACCTGTCCCCCCGCCCTTTATAAAGTCACTTTACTGCCCATCATACGTCACTTTACTTCACTGTACTGCTGTCACCTTACATTGTGTGCACCATGTGCACTTCCATCCATCCATCCATTTTCTACCCTTTAATCCATTTCTGGGTCAGGGGGGTGGCAGTCAGAGATGCCTCCCAAGTCTCATAGCACCAGCCCCTCACTGACCCTCTGCAGGTGGTGAGTCCACAGGAGGACGGCTGCTCTTGAGTGTGAGCATAGCCTTGATCTTTCAGTGGGGGCTTTGGGCAAAGTGGGGTTAAGTGTCTTGCCCAAGGACACAACGACAGCAGTCATCAGTGGGAGTCGGTGGAGAAGGTGCAGAGGTGGGAATTGAACCCACGACCTTCAGGCCTGAAGGCCAATGCTCTACCAACTGAGCTACTGTCGCCCCAGCCCCATGTGCACTTGTATATTGTAAATAGTAACTGTAACTCTATTTTAAATTTAAATTTATTCTTTAGAAGTGTTCTTTATTCTTATTTTTATTATCTCTTTTTGACTGTTGCACTGAGCCAAAGCAATTTCCAAGTCTGTGACCTCCTGTTACTTACGTGGCAATAAAAATGATTCTGATTCTGATATATATATATTTTTTCCCAGGATGCAACAGACACCGAGAAAGACCCGAGTTTCCAGGACGTCTTCAAAGAGGACTGTATCGTGCTTGACCCAATGTCGGTCCTGCCGGTCCAGTACGAGATCACCAACTGCTTACTGCCCATTTCTCACGGTAGGATCGTGGGATATTTGTTTATTAATGTAATATTTAATGGATGTTCAAAGTGAGTGGCTGCGTTTCTCTCCTCGTAGATGCTGTGTTGTATCCTCTGGACTGCTCCTGCCTGTCCCACTGCTCTTTTGAAGACGGTTCGTGTAACTTCTGCCCTGAATAGGCCCAGAAACATACATACTGTAATAACATGGTGCAAAGCTGTTCCAAGTACATTCCACACAGTATTTCCACCTTGATATAGTTTTATCGTATTACATTTTTAACATCCACACAAACAAATCACAAACATAGATCCAGGACACAAAGAAAGTCAGATTGCAGATCAAATAAAATGTAATGGGCTGAAGGCCGGATTATATTGTCTCCGCAGGGCCTGATTTGGCCCCTGGGCCGCATGTTGAATGTATGTGTATTTTGTCCATAGGCTCTAACTTCCTGGCCCCTCTGCTGAGCCCCCTGAGCACCATGCTGCAGATGCTCCAGGAGTGCAGTCAGCTGGAGCTCTCCCTCCGGCTGCTGGTGAACTCTTACTGCAGCAGCCTGCAGCACTGCACCTCCAACGTCATGGACCTGTCCCTCGGAGTCCAGGTGACACTGCGTCACAACTACACTGCCCATCGCTCTTTCAGACGAGATTATTGGTGGTGGTTATGCTCTGGGGAGGGACCGTTTTAAATACAGTATGTTTTTAATGAAAGATGATAATTATGGTCAAAAACATTTAAGTTTCAGATATCACTTTTGTATCTTTGAATATTAATAATGAATGAAATCTACCTGTGGTTCAATTTCCTTCCTTTCTGCTTCTGAAATCTGTCATAATTTGTTTTAATCTGTTTGTTTTTTGTTTTGTCTTTACAGCTGTTTGACAAGCAAAATCTGAAAAACAGCAACATGTGCTTGAGTAAACTTAGAAAAATGACCTTATCTTCCATTAATTTGGTCGTGCTGGCGCTGTTGAACAAGGTTAGTCATGATTCATTCATTCACATATTTCCAGCATATTTGTTACATGGAGTTATTTGGCAGGTCTTCAACTGGAGGATGGTGGACTGTGACCTGGCAATCGGCCTCTGCTCGCTGCTCTCTGAATCTGAAGTGCTAAAAATTCTGTGGAAAGTAATAGACGACACCTGGCAGAATTATGACAAGATTTTGGTACGTTCTAATTACAGCGATGCATTCATAGCTTCAGAAGGTTCTTGTAGTTTTTACCTCAATCAATGCTGAAGTACCTAACTTAAAAACAGCAAATGAGCTACAGCTTCTTTACAGCGTTGCTCTCATGTGCTGTGTGAGATCATATACAACATAATTTAACTGCTTGTATAACTTCTGTGGCTTGGATGAAACTACAGCCACGTCGCAAGTGATGTCACCTGTTGTTTTCCTTGTGACCATTCGGCTCTAGTGGGTGTGGCTAATGAGATAAGGACAGCATGTTAGTGGTCTGATTTGTTCACAAAATGTTACTTAAAGAGCGACTAAACACCTTTGCCCAGCCTGACTCCGCCCACATGAACATTTGAAAATGTTCTCTAAAAAGGGCGTTGCCGAGGACCAAGGGACAAGAAGGGGGGCTTAGAGTTGGGCGTGGTCTGGGCTGTGATTGACAGTTCACTAGTCAAATGAAATCGTGAATACTCCAACCTGCTGCTGGGGCGTGTGTGAGAGATTGATGGGTTTATATCACTGGCGCAGACAGACGCACGTCACACACACCAACTGACGTCACACACACCAACTGACGTCACACACACCAACTGACGTCACACACACACCAACTGACATCACGCACACCAACTGACGTCACACACACAAACTGACGTCACACACACAAACTGACGTCACACACACAAACTGACGTCACACACACCATCTGACGTCACACACACCATCTGACGTCACGCACACCAACTGACGTCACGCACACCAACTGACGTCACACACACACCAACTGACGTCACACACCAACTGCTGTCATACACACACCAACTGTCGTCACGCACACCAACTGTCGTCACGCACACCAACTGACGTCACGCACACCAACTGACGTCACACACACACCAACTGACGTCACACACCAACTGCTGTCATACACACACCAACCGTCGTCACGCACACCAACTGTCGTCACGCACACCAACTGTCGTCACGCACACCAACTGTCGTCACGCACACCAACTGTCGTCACGCACACCAACTGTCGTCACGCACACCAACTGTCGTCACGCACACCAACTGACGTCACACGCACACCAACTGACGTCACCAACTGACGTCACACGCACACCAACTGACGTCACCCAACTGACGTCACACGCACACCAACTGACGTCACCAACTGACGTCACACGCACACCAACTGACGTCACCAACTGACGTCACACGCACACCAACTGACGTCACCAACTGACGTCACACGCACACCAACTGACGTCACCAACTGACGTCACACACACACCAACTGACGTCACACATACCAACTGACATCACACACACACCAACTGACGTCACGCACACCAACTGACGTCACACGCGCACCAACTGACGTCACACGCACACCAACTGACGTCACACACACACCAACTGACGTCACACACCAACTGTCGTCACGCACCAACTGTCGTCACGCACCAACTGCTGTCATACACACACCAACTGTCGTCACGCACACCAACTGTCGTCACGCACACCAACTGTCGTCACGCACACCAACTGACGTCACACGCACACCAACTGACGTCACACGCACACCAACTGACGTCACACGCGCACCAACTGACGTCACACGCGCACCAACTGACGTCACACGCGCACCAACTGACGTCACGCACGCACCAACTGACGTCACACGCGCGCCAACTGACGTCACACGCACCAACTGACGTCACACACACCAACTGACGTCACACACACCAACTGACGTCACACACACATCAACTGACGTCACACAGTATTACAGAGTCAATGAAGAGGCCAGGACCAAATTAAAATGTAGTACCACCGAAAAGGTAGAGAGGGCGAAGTGAGATTTTATCTAATTTGCACTAAAGTGTCAAAAAAAGGACCAGGATGTGTAGAGAGCACTACAATAAACATATTTATGTAGTTTATGAGTTTAAAAAAAGTTGATTTGGTGTTTAGTTTCACTTTAAACAACACTCTTTCTGTTGGGATAAAAACTAAATATATTCCTAAAAACAAAGAAGTTAGGTACTCCAGCTTTAACATAGAAACATTTATTCTACTTTGACATGACATTTGCTATAAACAAGTTTAAGTTTACATACTTACTCTGTTTTCAAGGCTGTGGCTAAAGTGGGGGCAAACCTGTGCTGCTTGTACGGGCTGGCGAAGGAGAAGGACCAGTTTCTGTCTGTCATCACGGATGCGGAGTGGGGCATCAGGCTCAGTAAACTGGAGGTAAGAGCATTTGTTTATAACTGCCTCTCAAAGTCCTCCATGCGTCTGCTCTCTGTCCCGCAGATCTCCATGCAGCCGGTGTTCCGACAGCAGCTAAAGAGCGAACTCATCCCGGTCCTGGTGAAGAACAGTAGAATCACTCCAGACATCATCCTCCAGTACTGCAGGTGCTCCCTCTGTGCCATGATGCCTGTTGATCTGTGTCTGTTTGTCAGACACTTGGCTTCAGTATCAGTCTGTGGACATGTTCAGGGCAGACAGATGCTTTTTCAGTCAGTGGAGGTTTGAAACGATCAGGACAGTAGAGGGCAGCAAACTTTGAAACATTTGATGTATGGCTCAGGCTGGGAATCTCCCAGAGCCTGTCTGGATACAGGGGACTTTCAATTCAATACAATTTGATACCATTCAATAGAAATTTGACCCAAATACAACATTAATGGTGAATTTATCTTCCATAGATTGTTGAAAAATCTGCAGTTTTCTAATAATCCAATCACAAATAAATAATTTGTGTTAATACTGTAATAGTATGATTATTACAAAATAATATATAATAAAAATCCAAGTACAAATGCAAAATATGTGATTTTCTGAAGGTGGAACATCTTTCAATGTGTGTTTTGACCTTTTGTAAGAAAAAAATTGAAAATGTGCCGTGATACAGATGGCATGCTAAGGACTCATAGATATTGTTCAAATATCAGTATACCCAGGTAAAGACTCTGTCATAATGACAATACTTAGAGGGAAACGGTTTCATGTTAAGTGCCTAAAGCGCAGAATCTCAATGTGTCCTTTGTTAGTGTAAGAGTGTGGTCGTCTTTATAGACTTCTGTTCTGTGCAGCACCTATGACCTGGACCAGGACACTGTGATAAACCAGTACATCACCACACTGCTGCTGCTCCAGGAGGAGGAGGAAGAGGAGGTGGAGGAGGAGGGCTCTGGGAATACTGAGCCGCATGTATTCAGCGGCCAGGCCCTGGAGAGAGTCCAGCTCATCATCACTAAGCTCCACAGCACCCGCGAGCTCATGGACAGCCTGTGTGCTGCTGTCTTTAAGGTCAGAGGCCAGAACTCACGACCATTCACTCCTTTTACACATTGAACTGAACACAATCATAGTCTAAGTGTCAGTGGCGGCCTGGACCTCAACTCGCTAGAACCGGAGTGTGAAATATTGAGCCTGATCCAAAGTGTGAGAGTTGAGGTCTGCATCGGTCTTACCCTCACTTTCACAGCCTAGGTCCTTTCAAATGAAACCATAGTAACTGAATAAAACTAGTACTGTCGTGCGCAAGTTTTGATTGATATTTAAAATGGCCCCCTCCCTGCAGCTGAGCCCGTACAACTATGAAAGAATTGAAGTCGTGCTGAAGATTCTGGAGGTGGCCGATGAACACATACCCACATTTTCAGTCGGCCAGGTAAACCACAGACCAGCACCATCATTTTATAGCATGTCAGAGATCAATGGGCGCCTGACTCCGGTCTCATCCACAGGGCATGGCTCTGCTGCAACACCTGAAGTCTTACAAGCGCGTGGCTGCTCCCTCGGACACGGAGAGCTCCTACCTCCTGGAGAACAACCTGGTTCCCAATCAGCAGTCCCAGAGCCGACTCCCCTTCCACCTCCTCATGCAGACCAAGCACTTCTGGAAGATCATCTGTCAGTGCTCTCCAAACACTTCTGCAATCCTGTTCTCATCAGTCTTTTGAGAATGTTCTTTGTTTTTTGTCTTCAGGTCCTGAACTCACTGAAGAGACATTTCCCACTCTGTTGCTGATCACTAAACTTATGAAGGTAAAGGGCCACATATGATTTAAGGGGCATTGTTCAATCCTTTTATTTAATATTTAAAAGTTGATAGTTTTGAATATTGGAGATCCATGCTATAGGGTCAACTGGAAGGTTTTCTCTGCTGTGGGACGCCTGCACCAGAATTTTTTTTAAATAAAACTATTGGTTCTGGAGCACTGTAGACCCAATTGTTCAAAACTGAATCAAAATTAAGAAAGGCTTGGTGTTGCAGACTGACATATTATTATTATTATTATTATTATGATTATCAACCCTGTCCTCAAACAACTCCACTGGCTGTTCCTGTTCCTTACCGCATAAAACACAAGGTCCTCCTCCTCACCTACAAGTCCCTCCATAACCTGCCCCTTCATACCTCACTGACCTCCTCCATCATCACTGTCCCTCCCGCCGCCTCAGATCCACAGACTCCAACCTCCTCACTCCCATCAGAACAAAGTGCCGAGCCTTTGCTGCAGCTGCCCCCGCTCTCTGGAACTCACTCCCACCACACATCAGGAACTCCGACTCACTACAGAACTTCATATCACTTCTCGAAACCCACGTGTTCAAAACTGACTACACTTAACTGTTTGTTTTTAGCTTTTTATTTTTTGTTTCTTCTGTAAAAGCGTCTTTTGAGTGTCCAAAAAAGCGCTATATAAGTATGATGTATTATTATTATTATTTATTATGAATTGTGTTCTAGGTTCAAAATTTAGGATTGAAAAATGTTGTGATTGTGGTTGGCTTTAAAATGATGTATGACATGCCATAGTTTGCCATATTAACCGCTTACCACCAATGTTTCCATGGCATGACAAATAGTGAAAATGGTTTCAAGGTTGAAGTTAGAGGGTTGGGCCATAACATCGTCTGAAATTCAATATCCTTCTAGATTTGTTTACCATTTATTATTTGATACGTTTTCAAATACCAAATATTTAGATTATTGTTACATACTGTTGTGTCTTGTCGTGTCCAGATGTGTCTGGATAAGCTCTACATGTCGGCTGTAAACCACGTGTTTGAGAAGAAGATGAAGCCGCTGATCCTGGAGCAGAGGAAGAGAGGTCAGAGTCACATCAACAATAAAGACACGCTCAAAGTGGCCAAGACCATGATGAGGTACATCCACTGCATCCAGAGCGCCGAGTGGGCCGCCGCCACCGCACACAAGATCGCCCAGGAGCTGCCCCCAGGTAAGGCCCGCTTCATGTTCATAATCGGCTGTTTGGACTCAGACGGTAGTAAGATATTCCACCACAGTTTGTCAGAATCATAGACAGTATATACTAACGGACGTAGTCACACCTATCTCCGTCGTTCTAACTAATGGGCCAAAAATTGGGCTGTACTGGAGTGATTCAAAATGGCCGCGGGGGCTGGAAAATGTGAAAAACGCATCTGTGCATGCGTCAGCTGCACGAGCCCCATTCATTTAGACGAGTGATTTCATAAATTCACAGCGACTAAACTAGACTGGTCCAGAACACTCAGCATTGACACACATGTGGAACGGAGCTTTGGGCCAAGAGCCACTTTTGGTCCATCCTGTAAAGACGTTTTCAAGAGGTATGAAGATGTTAACATTGGCTAATTCTTATTCCGGGTCCACCCCATCGGCCTGGGGTGGTATTGCAGCATGTCAGCGCACGTCATTTTGGCCACATTTGAGCCGGAGTAAGAGTTTCGTGTAAAATCTGTTTTAAGCAGTACACTGCTCCTGTGAAACTACACTGCTGCTGTGTGATAGCAGTCCCTGAGTTTTTGTTTTTTATTAATCTAATTTTTTTCCCTGAGTTGACTGCTGCATACGTCAGGCCCATGACGTGTCCTGTGACTGGTCTGTCGGGTTGATAATGGGAAAAAATAAATTACATTTTATGCATGTATCATACTGTATTCAATATGATTAATAATAGTGTGTTCAAACGAAATATTTAATTAGATTGAGTTTTTTTCCCATTCTGGCGGGTTGCTGCGCATGCGCAAGTCAGATTTGGGCACACTAGCAGTGTAGTTTCACAGGATCAGTGGACTGCTTAAAACAAACTTTACACGAAACTCTTACTCTAAAAACCGACATATCACAACGCGGAACCATCAACATCTCGCCTCAAAATGCATTAAAAGTGACATTCGTGTCTTAATTCGTTCGTATTTACCTTTTAGCAGCTTTGGCTGCCGTGAGACGCGCAGTGCTGGTTTGCATTACATCATTAACAGCTGAGACAGAACATCTAGACAGGCAGACCAACTCGACAGAACACCGGGACCCGCCCCCACTGGTCTGAATGCAATTTTGTACTATCATGTTTCAGAGCTGTTCATTTCTTTCAAAGTCAAGTAGCAGCACTTTTCCATATTGGTTTGAAAATGTATGTATGTTTTTTAGAATGTGAAATAACATCTTAAGTGGAAAATATACACTGAAACAAGTATATTCTTCCTTCAGGCCATGAGAAGACCCTGTCCCTGCGCTTCTGCTTGAGTCTGGGAGAAACGTGGTTAAAGGATCCAAACCTCGAGGTCACTTTTCCTTTAATTTTGTTTTTTAAAATACGATATATTTAAAGTTAGTGATTTTATACCTGTTTCTTTATTAGGCTAAAGTTTGAGATTTTATTATGGAGTTTCTTTTCACGCATCTTTTGCCGTGTGCTCCTCATCCTTTATTTGTCCCACCAACCTAATGTTCAAACGGCAAAAAGCAATCATTTAAAAAGGGTACATCATTTGCTTCTCTGGTTAAATATGTTTGTTTTTTCTCATAATCTTCAGGAGAGCACTCGGTCCAGAGTGGTTACGTTTCTGTCGAAGCTGAAGCTGCAGTTCCAGCGCTCGGCCACAGAGAACGCTGTGATGTGCAGTCAGCTGAGCAGCTCCGAGCTCTTGAAGCTGAGCGGGCTGCCGGCCAAACTCATCATGGCTCTGTACGAACACAGCAGTGTGGAGCAGCGCTTCAGGGACTCAGCCAGCCACACCTACCCTGGTCTGCAACACACACACACACACACCTACCCTGGTCTGCAACACACACACACACACACACTACCCTGGTCTGCAACACACACACACACACACCTACCCTGGTCTGCAACACACACACACACACACCTACCCTGGTCTGCAACACACACACACACACACCTACCCTGGTCTGCAACACACACACACACACCTACCCTGGTCTGCAACACACACACACACCTACCCTGGTCTGCAACACACACACACACACACACCCTACCCTGGTCTGCAACACACACACACACACACACACCTACCCTGGTCTGCAACACACACACACACACCTACCCTGGTCTGCAACACACACACACACCTACCCTGGTCTGCAACACACACACACACACACCTACCCTGGTCTGCAACACACACACACACCTACCTGGTCTGCAACACACACACACCTCCTGGTCTGCAACACACACACCACACCCTACCTGGTCTGCAACACACACACACACACCTACCCTGGTCTGCACACACAACACCCTGGTCTGCAACACACACACACACACCTACCCTGGTCTGCAACACACACACACACACACACCTACCCTGGTCTGCAACACACACACACACACACACACACACACTGCAACACACACACACACACACACCTACCCTGGTCTGCAACACACACACACCTACCCTGGTCTGCAACACACGCACACACACATCCCTGGTCTGCAACACACGCACACACACCTACCCCGGTCTGCAACACACGCACACACACATACCCTGGTCTGCAACACACGCACACACACATACCCTGGTCTGCAACACACACACACCTACCCTGGTCTGCAACACACGCACACACACCTACCCTGGTCTGCAACCCACACGCGCACACACATACCCTGGTCTGCAACACACACACGCACACATACCCTGGTCTGCAACACACACACGCACACATACCCTGGTCTGCAACACACACACGCACACATACCCTGGTCTGCAACACACACACACACGTTTTTGTTACCTGGTGGGTCCCTTTGACAGGGCCGTTCAGAATGGGACCCATAGACATAATCTTTTTTTACTGGGACTACTTTAAGTAATACAAAACAGTCAATAGAAACCAAACAACTATATTAAAGGAATTTTATTTTAGATTTTTTTTCGAATTGCAGTGATTCTATTTTTGACATAGAATTTAATGCCACTCCATGTCCGATGTCTAAGGTCATCTGGTGAGGCATTAATGCAGGCCAGGCAGTGAGACTTCCCAGGGACCTTTCCAGTCTGTATGAAAGGTGTCATGGTCTTCTCCACAGCCTTCACCTCAGATGCAGACCATGGCTTTCTCTAACGTTCTAGGGAGAGAAATAAAAATATATTAGCAATATACACTCCCAGGGTTAGGACCAAGCAGCCTGGCTGTAATCCCCCACCTGGTACACTTACCAGAAGGGGCACTGCCACTACCATGGGGTGCATCTGGATGAATGGTTGAAGGTTCTCCGCTTGAAGTTTCTTTTAGCCCGTCCGTTTGTGAGAGGATCTCTACTGCTCTCCCTGTCGCACAGAAAATAAAAATACAAGTGGCCTTTAGGGGAAAAAAATCATACATATTTTAATAATATCAAGAATTACCTTCAGGCTTAATTTGTATCTGGTCGAGGCTCTTTCCTTCGAATTCCGTCACTCTTCCCTGCTCCATGGCCATCAACACTTTGCTGATTTTGGCCAGCTCCAGTGTCCCCTCTGGTAGTCTGTAATATTGCCTGTGGATGCGAATGTCATGGCCGAGGAAGTTGGCAAGTATGTCCATCTCATTCTCTTTCATATTGAGAACTGTAGACATAGTAGCTATGTGCTTTCTAAGTTTGGTTGAGGATAGCATCTCTGGATGCACCGCACCACATTCTTTGGCTACCTGGCGTAGGGAGTCTGATCCCCTGATGTGGGTGTCTGCGCCCGGGCGGGAAAAGAAGTATGGGTTATGGTCAGAGATGGAACAGGCCCTTCTGTTCTCCACCAGCACCTCCATCGAAGCAATCATTTCAGGAGTCAAAAGAACCGGCACTTTCCGACTTCTTTTCCCTTTAATTTCAATGCGTTGAAAATGCTGACACAGCTTTTTCTCAAGTTGGGACAGTCCCAGAGCAATGTCAGAATGGATCCCAGTCTTACTTCTTAAGGTAAAGGCTGTCAGTGGCATCTTTGAAACCTCACCTTCCCTTCTTCGATTGAAAATAATGACCTCACAAAGAGTCAAAACTGCCAGTTTAGACCAATGCTTAGACGTTGGCTCACTTATTAGGGTTTGCACATATTCAGGTCGACATACCTCAATATGTGCATGCATGGCTCTAACGTCCTCAGTCAGAGGGAGCAGGTCCGGAGTGTTCCACTTGGCTTGCCGGAGTGTCTGTAGGGCAGCAGAAGAAACACAGACGTCCCACCTCTTCTCAAAAAGCAGCCGGCTTCGTTGAAGGTTTTTAATAAATAGTTCATCAACACAATGCTCCATTTTTGAGTCACATTCAAGAATATCTGCTAGCTTTCTGAGGCTATGGCCGAGTTTGAGGGCCAAGGATGGAGTCTTGTATTGATTTGTTTCCTCATCATATCCAGCCACAGACCTGACTGCATCAATCACATGGTTAAAGTTGGAAGGAATAAAGAAATCCTTAATTGTTTTCAGTTTCCCTGCGGTTTTTGCTTCGTTAATTAACCTACCGACTTCTCTCATTTTCTGCCTAATGTAATCATGCTTTGTCTTATCATGCCCGTGTTTTAAGTACAGGTGCTCTCCGAGTCTCAGAATCCCCTTTTCTGCTTTGACAACACCCGTGACCTCATCCTGATGCATTGCCGAAATTAAAGACCACAGCTTTTTGCTGATGCCCTCCGGTACAGGCTGGGCTAGGGAGCAGAGGGACTGGACCCTACTTCTACCTGGTTTAGCCTGGGCATCTTTCTGTGAAAGCCGGCACCTGGCCACATGCCTCCACAGCGACTTTCGCTTAAGCAATGCCCCACAGTCTATACAGTGCAAAAACTCACTGGATTTAACTGGGCAATTTGGCTGTTTAGCTGGGACTAAAGTTCCAATGCCGGCCTTTAAAACCTCAAAATTGTGCTCACGGTTTCCACTATTCCTGATCAAATCAAACTGAAGTTTACGTGCTTTAGATTTCACAGGTAGAGCCAATGCTCTGGCTACGTCACTTTCATTTCCATGTTTTCTAGTCAAATGACGGGACATTTTGTGGCAGGACATTGAACAGTAGAGGCAGAAGTGTCTCTTGCTGTAAACTCTGCCCCCATTTTTCTTCTTTTGCAGCTGCATGATAACAATCTTATTTGCCTTTGGTTCGTCACTTTCCGAGTCTTGAAGAAAAGTGTTTTTGATTTTTCTTTTTCCATACTTTTTTACAGGTTTCTTCTTGACAGTTAAATCGTCAGAATCTGAGTCGACTTCATCAATTAGGGACTCTTGACTAAGCTGCACAAACAACAAATAATTTGTAATAATTCTATATAACAATTTGAAGTCATGACTTGTAGTCAGCACTTACCAGTGGTTTGTAAGCGTGCGCTTCAGTGTGCTCCTCCATGATTTCTTGCAGCCTAATGAACCACACACTTGCACCTTTTTCTAGCCTGACACCTGATTTCCTCTGTTGTGCTGCTCCATGATTGGCTCCAGCCTGCTGGACTGAAATTGCCCCAGTGTGCCCCTCCTTGATATCCCGCAACCCACCACCAGGGTTCCGACACATAACACACTTTTTTCAGGAAAGTAAACTTCCAGGGGTCCTTTCCATATTTTTACAGAGACTGCATAAGGACCGTTAGAAAAGCATTACCCATTGATTATTATGCTTGGACCAGTGGGGTCCGGTGTTCGGGCCCCACCACGTAAAACCAGTCCCCATGACGTGAGCGGAATCTCAGGTTATGGAACCCACCAGGAGTTGAAAACAAGTGCACACACACACACACACACACACACACACATCACTTCTGACCTCAGCTCTCATTGAATGTGGGCGTTTACTCCACAGACCTACATGCTGTGATTAAAGAAGTGGCATCCATAAACAATGTGGATCTGTTGAAAATCCGTAAAATGCTTCTGGAAAAGTGGATCTGCAAAACCGGACCTGCTGTGACCAAGGTTTGTGAACTTAGTGAAGTGTTGATGTTCTGCAAACACTTAATTGTCAATGTCAAATCTTTAAAATCTATATTTGGAACAGGAAATGAGCGGAGGAGACTGTGTGAGCATGGAGGAGGATCCAGACCTGATGAGGTAGAGTGCACTGACCACTTTACTTCAGTGCTTTCTTCAGTGCAGTCAATAACGATAATAAACTCCTTTTACAACTATTGGTCAAAGTTTTAAGACAACAGTTACATATGAGGAATTGTTCACAATTATCAATAAATACAGCTTTAAGTAAGTGTAAAAATAATGCTAATAGGGTGTGGGTGTGGGTGTGTGTCCGTCCGCGTGGGTGCACATTGTACAGTGTGTTTCTGAGCCTGCCCCAAGTGCTGTTGGATGTGTCCACAGGGTTGTGCACATGCTGCAGGCCTGCCCCATGGACAACATGCTCCAGCTCCTCACTCCTGTGCTATCAGCTGAAACCTGGGTCAGTGTACACACACACACACACACACATACACATACACATACACATACACATACACATACACACACACATATATACACACACACACACACACATAGTAAATATAGACATCTGTAATGTTCCTGCTTGTTCACATGCTGCTGGTTTCTCTGCAGCCTCACAGCAGCTCTGGTCCTCGCCTGACCTTCTGCCACCGCACACGTGCGCTGCTCTGCCTGGTGCGCCTCACTGACGCTGTCACACTGGAGGCGCACACGCACATCCCCCGAGGACAGATCCAGTGCGTCTGTTTAACTCAAATACAAACATTTTGTACATGTTGAGAAAACAATCTTCTTCTATTGTTCATTGTATTTGACACAGGTTCTACCTGAAGTGCTACGTGTTTGTGTCTCAGCTGGAGGCCTTAAACATCCCGTACACAGTGCAGTCGTTCCTGAGCAGCCCTAAAGACGGCCTGGTGAAGGGGCTGTGGAAAAACCACGACCACGAGCCTCAGGTGAAGAGCACTCGTCCTGCTTCCTTCATGCAGTAAAACTGTTCTAATGTTGTGTGTTGACTCTCAGGCTGTGCGGCTGGTGGCAGACCTCTGCCTGGAGTATCAGGTGTATGATCCTCAGCTCTGGAACAGTCTCCTCCAGAAGCTGCTGAGCTTTAACCTGGTGAGTTATGGCCATAACACATCACTATAATCACTATAACTCCTGTTCTAACTCTGAACGACCTGACTGACCCCAACATGATCCGTGCTTCCTCCTCAGATCGGACACCTGCAGAGTGTCCTGGATTCACTGGTGGCTGTGCCCTCGCTGTGGGAGGTATCTTCTCTTTTTCATTTTTAAGTCTTAATGTTTTGACTTGGAAAGCAAAAATATGGAAAACCAGGAAGAGACCCTTTAAAATCCAATAATATGAAATTTCTCAAATAAGCTTTCAAACTCAAATGTGTGAGATAAGATCTTTTCACATAATTCAGAGCCCAGAGCACACTTTGAGCCTCATTCATTACATGAAACCCTGAGTAGCTTATTCTTTGTTTTACAACAAATCTGGACATAATTATGTGGAAAACCAAAGCACTCTGTAACCTTTAAATAAACAATTCTAAAACATTTGTATTTCAGATTCCTAGTTTCTCCAGGACGTGGAGGAGTGCGATCCTGGCTCCTTTTGTCGCAGGTAAAGACCAGTTTTATTTTGAATGTTTTAGAGTTAGTAGAGTTGTTTTTTACTGTCTTGTGTTTTCTGCAGCTTCTGTCCCTCTGAATCCGGAGCAGCAGACGACACTTCATAAAACCTTTGTCCTGCTGCTGAAGTAAGAGACACGGTGTAACAAAGACGACACTTTTATAATGTCCAACTTTTAAAATATTCTTCACTCATTTTAACTTATGTTCTTTGCCTAATAGCCTTAATAGACAAAGGACCTGAAGTAAAATTAAAAGAAATTCTGAAACTCCATTCCTGGACATTTAAAAGCTTACAGGCTGAAGTTAACTGTGATTTAACCGAAGATTTACACAGAATTAATCAACATTAGTTTGCATTGGAATCCTCACTGTCCATGGTATAATGTCCATGTATTGTAAACATCAGATATTGCTACCAGCTGCAGACCCTGGGCAGAGGGTGACAGCGGGATAACAGTGTGAAAAAGACACACAATTATTTACAATCTGCCTGAGCCACATCTTTAGGAGTTAATGGGGTCCCTGAGCTACACTCACAGACAGAAGTAATAATTGTTTGCCTTGTTGACTAACGGCAAAGGTGATTTTGGTCACGTTATTGAAATAATGGTGACCATGACGACCCAATGAAGCTGAGTGTGTGGTCTGCAGGTGCCCCTTTGTGCTGAATCTGGACCTGATCGGGATCGCCAATCGCTTCGCTCAGTTAAACCTGTCGGCTTTCGCTCTGGGGACGCTGCTGCTCATCCCTTGTGCCCAGAAAAAAGACCAGCAGATCAAAGTGCGTCTCTTGTTTTTGCGTCTGTGTGTGCTGATTTTTGTGTCTTTGTTGTGACCGATTGTTTGTGCGACAGGGCTTTCTGTCGCTCTGCAGCCCACTCTCGGTCCTGGAGCAAGTGGAGGAGCTGATGAGCAGTGGAGAGCTGGCGGGACTCCCCACACAGGTCAGGCCCTGCACTGTACACGTTGAAAAGAATTGAAAAAACACAAGATATTATTTCCAAATTCATAAGAGTAACGGATTTTTTCAGGAAATACAATAATTTTAAGACACAACAGAGGCTAATCTAGCTACCTGCTAACTACCATCCACAGTGCAATGGTTTTGACTGAAATAATCACCATTAAAATGCAACATTCTGCTTAACTTTGCCATATTTGTTTTCTAGACGTACAATACATTTATGTAGATTGTGTTGTCATTACTCACCAGATCTGACCAATCCTACTCAAGTGTTTGTGGTCGCTCATAGACAGTATGTAAGGAGTGGACTGACAGTGCTAGCTCGAACCCGGTATTTCAATGGACTGAGGAGCCAATTATTATTTACATTTTGTAGGAACACCTTCTAAAGCCAGGCTCCTGATTGGTCAGTTGTTTGGGCTCATATCTGGATTTACAAAAACAACTCCAGGATTGATTGAGTCTGTTGCACAAATGATTACATGGAAAAGGCAACTTCTTTAGCTCAACTGCTCGAACTTTATCCATGAGCACTTCCCTATGGGGCTTCATTGAGCTAGCGAGTTAGCTTTGTCCATCTTTTCAGTCGTATATAGATATAGAGAAGAAATGGACGGACAGATTACCCTCCAAAAACAAGCGACCCCAGGGCTTTGTGGGACGTGTTGGTGGCTGAGTAGATAGCTCTCTCGCCTCTCAGCAAGAAGGTCCTGGGTTCGAATCCCGGTCGGAACAGGGCCTTTCTGAGTGGAGTTTGCATGTTCTCCCCGTGTCTGCGTATGTTTCCTCCGGGTGCTCCGGTTTCCCCTACAACTAAAAACATGCACAATAGGTCTGAATGTAAATGAGAGAGTGAATGGTGTTGGAGCTGATGGTCCAGTGTGTTCTGGACTCGCTTCTGTCATCACCGTGTGTGGAATGACTGGAACAATATCTGACTCTGAACATTGGAAAGCGCTTTCGGTGACCTTGGTCTGTAAAATGCGCTATATAAATAAACATTACTTTACATTACATTAAAATGTGTTTTTGGCCTCAGATCCGAGACACAGTCCTGAGCTTCATCAGTGAGAGCGGACAGCAGCAGCAGCTCATCAGGACCAAGCACTTCTCTCTCCTCCGACACCAGCTGCTGTCACACGGACACCTTCAGCAGGTCCGAGAGCTCGTGCGCTGCCTCCTTACCAACAACTGGTAAGAAGAAGGTTCTGCTGAAGCCGAAACCAGGAAGGGCAGGAGATTAAATGTGTGATCCGAAGTGTGAACTAAGTGTTGAATGACCGCAAATGAAGTGATCGGAAAAGGTTGCTGTGAGGTGTGACATTTACAGTATTAGACATTGTGCAGAATTACCGCTAATGTTACTTCATCATCCGCAGGCAAAGATTGTGTTAAAATAAGCAAACTTTTTTCCGTCTTGTTAAAAGGCTGTGAACAAGTCAGACCACATCAGGCTGTCATTATCTTGTAGAAAACATGTTTGCAAACTCGTAATGTAGAGCTCGGTGAGATGAGATAAGATTAACTTTAATGTCCCGAGGGGAATTGGATGTGGGATACAGTGCTACACAGATCTGAGTCAAAATAAAAAGGAACAAAACAGGAAAAAAACATAAACAGGAAAGTGCAGAAGTGCTTTGAAGTCTGTTGGGTCCAATTCCGCATCAAAATAAATAATACGCCCTGGATTGAAAAAGTGAGTACGGTTTATTTATATTGCGCATTTTACAGACCAAGGTCACCCAAAGCACTTTACAATGTTCAGAGTCAGATATTGTTCCAGTCATTCCACACACGGTGTTGACAGAAGCGAGTCCAGAACACACTGGACCATCAGCTCCAACACCATCCATTCACTCTCTCATTTACATTTAGACCGATTGTGCATGTTTTTAGTGGTTGGGGAAACCGGAGAGTGCCTTTCTCCACTCAGAAAGGCCCTGTTCCAACCGGGATTCGAACCCAGGACCTTCTTGCTGAGAAGCGAGAGTGCTATCCACTCAGCCACCGTGCCGCTCATAAAAAGTGAAATGAAAATGAAAATAGTCAGTCATAATTTGACACTTTGGGCTGAGAGCCGTGTCAACATACAGTGCCTTGCGAAAGTATCCGGCCCCCTTGAACCTTTCGCCACATTTCAGGCTTCAAACATAAAGATTTAAACATTTTGGATAATTTAAACTTTTTTAACAAATGAAAAACTGAAAAGTGGGGTGTGCAATATTATTCGGCCCCTTTACTTTCAGTTCAGCAAACTCAGTCCAGAAGTTCAGTGAGGATCTTTGAATGATCCAATGTTGTCCTAAATGACTGATGATGATAAATAGAATGCACCTGTGTGTAATCAAGTCTCCGTATAAATGCACCTGCTCTTTGATAGTCTCAGGGTTCTGTTTAAAGCGCAGAGAGAACCATGAAGACAAAGGAACACACCAGGCAGGTCCGAGATACTGTTGTGGAGAAGTTTAAAGCCGGATTTGGATACAAAAAGATTTCCCAAGCTTTAAACATCTCAAGGAGCACTGTGCAAGCAATTATATTGAAATGGAAGGAGTATCAGACCACTGCAAATCTACCAAGACCCGGCCGTCCCTCCAAACTTTCATCTCAAACAAGGAGAAGACTGATCAGAGATGCAGCCAAGAGGCCCATGATCGCTCTGGATGAACTGCAGATAACTACAGCTGAGGTGGGAGAGTCTGTCCATAGGACAACAATCAGTCATGCACTGCACAAATCTGGCCTTTATGGAAGAGTGGCCATTTCTCAAAGATATCCATAAAAAGTCTGGTTTAAAGTTTGCCACAAGCCACCTGGGAGACACACCAAACATGTGGAAGAAGGTGCTCTGGTCAGATGAAACCAAAATCGAACTTTTTGGCCACAATGCAAAACGATATGTTTGGCGTAAAAGCAACACAGCTCATCACCCTGAACACACCATCCCCACTGTCAAACATGGTGGTGGCAGCATCATGCTTTGGGCCTGCTTTTCTTCAGCAGGGACAGGGAAGATGGCTAAAATTGATGGGAAGATGGATGGAGCCAAATACAGGACCATTCTGGAAGAAAACCTGTTGGAGTCTGCAAAAGACCTGAGACTGGGACGGAGATTTATCTTCCAACAGGACAATGATCTAAAACATAAAGCCAAATCTACAATGGAATGGTTCACAAATAGACGTATCCAGGTGTTAGAATGGCCAAGTCAAAGTCCAGACCTGAATCCAATCGAGAATCTGTGGAAAGAGCTGAAGACACAAACGCTCTCCATCCAACCTCACTGAGCTCGAGCTGCTTTGCAAGAATTCCAGTCTCTCGATGTGCAAAACTGAGAGAGACATACCCCAAGCGACTTGCAGCTGTAATTGCAGCAAAAGGTGGCGCTACAAAGTATTAGCGCAAGGGGGCCGAATAATATTGCACGCCCCACTTTTCAGTTTTTTATTTGTTAAAAAAGTTTAAATTATCCAATAAATTTCGTTCCACTTCACGATTGTGTCCCACTTGTTGATTCTTGACAAAAAAAATATTTTTATATCTTTATGTTTGAAGCCTGAAATGTGTTAAAACTAGTGATTGAACCAAACTATTTTCAGACGGTGGAACTAGTTAGATGGCTTTTACGACATTACAAAAACTCTCCAAAAGGCGCTGAATGTCCAAGAGATTGCTCAAGTAAGTAAACCCTTGAATATCCAGTGCGCTCTTAAATGCACCATGATTTTTAAACGACTTGAAATAGTCTCCTATATACGTCCAAATACTTACATTTCTAATACAAGTTTAGCTTTTCCACTGCCTGATGTCTCATTCTAATCCGATTGACGCGTTTACATGCAGCAGCTCAACCGCAGAAGGATCAGGGTTACATACGGCTTCGTCAATATTGATAATAATGAAATTGGTTTTCTGCAGTGCTTTGTGAATGTTCTCAGATTAAAAGTTTTTGGCACTTTAAAAGCTCTTTGCGTCTCCCCAAGACCCCACAGTGGGTGGAGAAGGCCTAAGTGACGTACAGTACGTACATCTGTGGCTGTTGAGACTTGTGTTTGTGCTTCAGTCCAGAGGAGGCTTCATCTTTGGCCCGTGAGTACATGAAGCACAGAGACCCACACAGGGAACAGCTGCTCTGCATCAGCTCCACGTCTCCATCCAAGTTTATCAAGGTACAGTACCACACATGCATGAACACACACACACACACACATATACACACGCACATGCATGAACACACACACACATATACACACATACAGTACAAACATAGACAATACATATACACACCAGTGTTGTGCGTGAACGAGTTCAAAAGAACGCGTTCATTGAACACGCTCATTTTTTTGTGAACGTTGAGCTGAACGCAACACATTTTTTAAAAAAGAACTTGAACGTGATGTTAGGATTCAAGCAGACAGAGACGGATCGTGGTGTGCCAAACTCTGGAAGTTTATTTAAGTTTCTCTCAAGTTCCACTGGTTTACTCTGTTTCTTTCTCCCAGACAGAATAAAGGCAGTACACAGTTTATATAGTCATTGTCACGTCACACATCGAAAGACATACGTGTCACAAAGAGACAGTCACATCATAGTCATAACATGGAGTCCTTGTAGAGTCCTGCACGTAGGCCATATTGCTATCTAATACTAATACCCTCCCCTTTGATCACATAATCACATGTGATCACTCAATTTGATCAATCAATAAAATGGAAAAAGAAAAAAAAAAAATCCAAAAAAAACTTCAAAAAATTATTAAAAACAAAGAAAATGTATGCATTAAACTCATAATCATCAAATCAATATCAGTGGATTTTATCCTCTATCCTGGGAAAAAATAAACAAACAAATCAAAAATAAAGTAAATAAATAAACAAAAAACAACAAAAACAAATCAAAAATAAAAACAAACAAACACTATTGGACACAGTAGAACTCAGCAGATTCAGTCAAAACACAGACAAAAACAAGCTGAGTCTCAAATTTGAAGCTAATTTCACTTTTCTTACTTTATACTTTTATTCTAATGCTAATTGTTTACACTTCACTTATTTCACTGTATTATTTTCACTTTTTAATCTTAGACTGTGTACTTTACTTTTACTATTCACTATAGTTTAAAACTATTCTAATCTATTCACATAAATCTCTCTGTTCTGTGGTTTACACTCTAATTATCAGTGGCATATTATTAGTGGGATTTTGCTCCATGTCTATTCTCATTCTCAGGAATAAAACTGTGAACACAGTAAGGCAAATGGTCAACATTTACACTTCTATAGTGGTCAGTGATTTATTACTTTTTATTATCTAAAGATATTATTGTCAGGCAGTTTGGGATGAATGTACATCATTAATCAAATTAGTATTATCCTAATAGTAGCTAATTAGGTTTGGGGTTGGGGTCAGTTATTCTACAATGGTGTTTGCGCTGGAAACTTCTCAATATCTAAATATCTACCATACTGTTTTTGTGCTATACACAAATACATCAAAATGCTTTTGAATCTCTGTTGGTTCTAATCTATCTCATTGATCTAAGCTACACTCATATGGACTTTTGCATAGTCAACATTCACTCATGTGTGAACACAAGTGAATTTGGCAAGTATCTAATAAAACTGTACATAAACTGTAATTAACTTTATCTACTTTTGAAGTAAATGCTTGTGAAATGGTCCCTTTACCATTTGATATTAGCACTGGCTACAAATAATCTCTATTTTTGAAAGAATCTATGGTTGATGCATTTATCTATCTCTATTTCTACACTATTGTGACTCCAAAGTTTGGCTGCAGTTTGAGCAAAGGCATATTCCTAATTTGTGACTTCTGTCACTTTTAATATCTCTAAAATACTCTGATTCTAATATTATAGCTGATCTATCAAAAGGATAACATTGTAGGGTACTATTTTAACTCTTACGTGGAAATGTGTTTATGAACAACAAAGGAAATCAAATTCTACTTTTTTACTACTATTTAACATCTAATAAAACGCTACAATACTCATACTTTATCACTTTAACACATTTTAACAGTTGCTCAGTCTCCCAGACTAAAAAAGTCAAAGTTTTGTCTGTCAGATGTCTGAATACTTAACATGTATATTGCATTTGGTCACAGTTGTGGTTCTGGTTGTAGCAATAGCATCGGCAATAGACGTTTCATTGGCTGGTTCTTGTTCTGCAAATGTCTGTGTCCAATAGATCATCAGATGTCCAGAAGCTAGGGACAAACAAAAACAAAAGAAAGAATCATGAGTATCTCTCTCATTTAGCACTCATCAATGTATGATTTCAAAAATATAAACATCACTCCCCAGTTTTTTCTCTCTCAGATCCTCAGATCCTCAGGGTCCTCAGGGTCCCCTGAGGGTGAGTCTCAGTCGTCATCAGGTCAGGTCATATAGAGATGTCATCTTGGACATCAGTAGGGTCCAAGCCATGGTTTTGGTCTCTCCAGTTGGACATCGGATCTCCAGATACAGTCTTTTCAGTTGAAGCACATCAGGTCATTTGCGATGCACTTCTGGTCAATGGTGCAGTGTCTCAGTTCCTGTACACAGCTTGTTATGCAGTAGTTACGCTCTATGGTTAAATCACTTTGATTCTACTTTAACACAATTTCTATTCATGCTGTTGCTAATGTCCCTCAGACAAAAAGCAAGCGCAATGATTCAGTTTACTTCTCTAATTTGTGTTTTTATCAGATCTAATTCTCATCAATGTAATTACTTCACACAGTACAAAATCAACAAATCAAAAGTGTCAGGACAGACGTCAATTAAGTCCATGACAATATAGAATTCAAATGAACATTTCTGGTCTCAAAAAATACTGATTCAACTAAAGATTCAAGTGATAGACAATTAAAAATATGTGTTTACATTGGAGTAAACTTTTAAAATGCTTTTTTCTCATGTTCTGCTTTTTCATGTATCTATATGTAAATGTGAATGTGTGAGTGTATGTGTGTGTATGTGTGTATGTGAATTTTGGGGTTGTGTCTCCAGACTCCTCGAACCACCCGTAGGTGTCAAAGGTCACACTGTGGTGATGCAAACCAACTGGACACACTTTCAACTCTCATTCAGGTCTCTCCCTGACGCTCCACCATCACTGCCTCCAGAAACCTCCACTTTCATGGCCCCGGTCTCACTCCCACTTACTTCTGTAGTGGGGGGAGGGGCAAGGAGGTGGCATTGTTGCCCTTTGCTCTTAGCTCTGTGGCCTGTGGCTGGGTGGGCGTTGCCCTGTCCAGTGTCCAGCAGTGACCTCTCGTACAGTGAGGCAGAGTCTGAAAAACAATCCTTGAGACGGCCAATTTTAAAAAAACAATAGATATCAGTATGCGAATGAGATTGTTTTTCTCCCTGAAGTCAAAACAATTTTGGAGCGCTCTGGGTTTTCCCAAGCGCTATGTAAATAAAAGATTACTTATTATCTTACTAATGATGACATTTTTAAAACCAGAAACTCTTTCTTAATAAAAAACAAGACTCAAATCTCTTAAACCTTCAAACTTTAAAATATGTGTACTTTTGTACTGTGTTTAATTATCTATGCGTCCTTGGGTTTCTTGAAAGACGCCATGAAATGAAATTATGAAAAATCTCTATAAAAATGAACATTAATTTGTAAAAACATTTAAAACAAAACTTGAAATCAAACAAAAGATTTAGCTCCAGCTAAACTGGATTTGGTTCAATAAAACTCAATTGTGCGTCGGAGCTGCCTCCTCCTGTCTCTGAGCAGCAGCAAGGTCACGCGTGTAGTCAAAACAAAAACATCACCGCTTGCAATGGGTGAATTGGGTAGTTTAACTTAATAATATAATAGTTTTACAGCCTAATTCCTAATTCCCTCTTTCTTTTTTAGACGAAGTCTATAATCAATAATCACTTTTAACACAGATTCTAATTTAAATGTTTGAAAAACGGCTTTTGTAACTAAAATAAATAATACATAAAAAAAATTCTCACTAACAGCTATGAAATATATCAGAGATACAATAATGGACTCACAAAATAAGCAGCAGATTTAAAAGAATGGAATCTAGAAATATGTTAGGTCTAAAAAGAATTGCACAGCTTTTAGCACTAAGCTTTGGGTTTCAAAAAACATATAATATTCAAAACTTATTCACTAATGGTGTTTAAAAACGTTTAACTGTGTCTAACACAATGTTCAAATGGCAAATTTCGCAAATTTAACGGAATAACAACTATGAAAAGCCTAAATCCTAAAAGCAGTAGCTTTGCTCTGATTCAGAGCCAGAGCAGCGAAGGAGGGGGCCGTTTCCCTGACAACGGCAGCAGATAGAGATGTGCACACACAGGCAAAAAGATACAGAAGAAGAACTTTCAAGATTACTTTGTTAAGCGAATATAACTTATGTTGTTCTTTATACTTTTGTCATCCAAATCTAGAAGTGATCACTTTCCACACTAGTAACAAAAGGCACTCTTGTCTTTAACGTTTACGCTTCTATTTTATCGAGGTAGCAAACTAATTTAAACTCAAAATCTCTTTCTAAAAAACAAAAACAACCTGTTGGATACAACCCTCTCATAGCTCAACTGTAGATATAACTCGGCAAAAAATGTAAATAACTCACGAAAGCTCTCATAGCTCAACTTTAGATAAAACTCTGCATTCTCCGGTGAACTCTGTTCACGCCAAAAACAAACTAAAACACAAAAACTCCTTTTTTCTGTATGTAATTTAAACCGTGATCACTGAAATATTGTTGATTCTTTACTTTTGTCATTTATCAGCCTGAAATTCATCAATTTCAAAGCTTTTGTAACAAAGGCCTCCTTAACACGTTTCCCTTTTTATAATTACTTTTAATTTTACGCCATGGTTTCACTTATGGATCCTCACTTATGGCCTTTACACTTTATGGATCCTACACTTTTTATGGCCTTTACACTTTATGGATCCTATTCACTTTAATGGCCAACACTTTTCACTTTATGGATCCTCACTTATGGCCAACACTTTATGGATCCTACACACTTATGGCCTTTTCACTTTATGGATCCTCACTTATGGCCAACACTTTTCACTTTATGGATCCTCACTTATGGCCAACACTTTATGGATCCTACACTTATGGCCTTTTCACTTTATGGATCCTATACACTTATGGCCTTTTCACTTTATGGATCCTATACACTTATGGCCTTTTCACTTTATGGATCCTCACTTATGGCCAACACTTTTCACTTTATGGATCCTCACTTATGGCCAACACTTTTCACTTTATGGATCCTCACTTATTTGAACACAATTTAGAGAGTTCGACAGACCTCAAAAACAGACCAAAATTTAGCTAATATCCAATTATGCAGACTTTACATATTAAAAGGTGTCTGCAGGTGCATGCACGGACTGTCCGAGAGGTCTGCCAACTCTTTTCCGCGTCGGAATATTCAATTTAAAAAAACAAAAGTGACAGAAGCGACAAGAAGCATCCAGGAACAGCTCTTCCAGCCTGCTGGAATCTCCGCTCCCAGACACAGCATGCCGGTCTCTCACGCCGAGGAAAAGAAACAAAGCAAACTCCCTCAAAACAATCCAGAGAATGGCACACACGGAGCCGCGCATTCTCCACCAAATCTGTTAGGATTTAAGCAGACAGAGACGGATCGTGGTGTGCCAAACTCTGGAAGTTTATTTAAGTTTCTCTCAAGTTCCACTGGTTTACTCTGTTTCTTTCTCCCAGACAGAATAAAGGCAGTACACAGTTTATATAGTCATTGTCACGTCACACATCGAAAGACATACGTGTCACAAAGAGACAGTCACATCATAGTCATAACATGGAGTCCTTGTAGAGTCCTTGTACAGTCCTGCACGTAGGCCATATTGCTATCTAATACTAATAGTGAATTAGTTCATATTATGTGTCATGAACGGCAGACATCACTATGAACGTTGGAATCTGTTTTCTCTTTTGAAACGCAACGAGAGAAAGTTTCTCCCTCCTGTATTCTCGCACTTTTTCCGCCGAAATCTAAAAATTCCTACGGTTTCCACCGTCTGTGAACGCACCCAGACTCTGTGTTGCGGTGCTGTGAGCTGGTGCTTTTCACATGTGCCCGAGTCGTGATGAAAACACAGGGTGAGTTAGCGACAAAGTTTACACCGTTTACATTTGACATAAAGTATAGACTCACGCACTGCAGCGCATTACTGTCTGTAGTTTATGAGCAGAGATGGAACAACTCCGTTTGGCTCCCATTGAAAACCATGTAAATCTGGTCTGTTTTGTGGTCATATATATAAAGCTCGTAGTGTGAAAAAAATATGTATTTAAGTATCTCAAAAAAAAGTATCTCTCAAAAAAGTAAAATGAACTGAACTTTGAACTAGTTCAGAATTAAAAATGTGAACTTTGAACATGAATTGTTCACTTTGAGCATGTATGAACTGAACTTGAACTAGTTCAGAAAAGCTGTGCACTGGCACAACACTGATACACACACACAGTGTTCAGCACTTTGAATTGCCTTGTGTATGAATTGTGCTATATAAATAAACTTGCCTTGCCTTGCCTTATACAAACATACAATATACACACCCACACCTACAATATACACAAACATACAAGCATATGATACACACACACTCAAACACACACACACACACTCAAAAACACACGCGCACACACACACTCAAAAACACACACACACACACACACACTCAAAAACACACGCGCACACACACACACACACACAGTGCGCTCCACTCAGTCTGTTCTGTGTCTGACCCTCAGGAGTTTCTCTCTGTGGAAAGTGGAGTTCTGTGAAGAGTGGACATAACTTTACTGTTTGTGTTTGTGTCGCATGTGTACGCTGTACTTTGTAAATATCACACACATTATTTAATAAATCTACCGTATGTTTTTACTGCTCACTTTGTTGTCCAGCTCATTTTGAAGTAATGTTTCTAACTTGGGGACTTGACACATGTGTTGGAGAAATGCATTGCCGCTTATTACTGAATAATATTATTATTTTAATGCACATTTACTTTCTTTTTAATACTGTTCAAATTACTTCAAGAAACAATTAACACCATTTGTCCTTTGTTTTAAAATCTGAAGTAACTACGAACACATGGCTTCTATCACTCAATAAATATTTTGCTAAAGAAAATGGTTTATTGACTTTCTTTAAAAAGTACAAATATATATTTTTAATAATAAATAAAACACATTTGCTATGGTGTAGTACCCAAAAAAGATGATAATTATAAATGTTATGCTGTCTGTGCTATATTACAACAATCACATCTCAGTGATTTACTAACGACCTAATGATGTCCAACGATCCAAACGGAGCTGGGTCAGTGGGTCATAAACCCTCCTCCTTCGTCCTGTTGAGCTGTGGTCTCTGCTCTGAGGCCGGGGGCAGATGCAGCGCCCTCCTGCAGATGGTCCTGATGGTCGGACTGGAGAAGTAGTAGACCAGTGGGTCCAGGACACTGTTCAGGTAGGTCAGGCTGATGGTGAAGGTGAACACTGTGGTCAGCTCCTCCATCACGGCGCACACCTGGCTCTCGGACAGTGTGTGCACAGCTGTGTTTATCCTGTACCACATGACGACCTGAGCCACGTTACTGGGAAGGAAGCAGAGGGCGAAGAGCACAAGCACCACGATGAGAAAACGTAAAGCGTTCTTGGTTGTGGCGTGCTGGGCCATCTGCCTTCCTCTCAGATGAGACGTGATGCTCACAGTGCAGTAGAGGATCACCAGGAAAGGCATGTAGAAGGAGAACAAAAAGGCAAATTTATGCCAAGTCAAATTCCCTGGGAGCTCGGTCTCAGGCAGACTCAAGCTCTGGCAGTACGTGTGATTGTTGTGTTTTAAGGTAAATATGTGAGCGCTCATGGAGATGGCCATCAGCCACAGCACAGCCGCTCCACACATGGCTTTGGAGAGGCTTAAGAAGTTGACTGGGTGATGGGGGTGGACCACACGCATGTACCTGTCCAGAGCGATGGCCATGAGGAACAAGGCGCTCCCAGTGCGGTTCATGGCCAGCATGAAGAGGCACAGGTTACACATGAAGCCCCCGAAGTGCCACTGCAGCTGAGAGAGGTAGTAACTGGCCCGAAACGGCAGCACCAGGATCAGCAGAAAGTCGCTCGTGGCCAGGCTGAAGAGGAGCACAGTGCTGCTCTTCCACGGCTTCAGGTAAAAGAAAAAGATCCACAGGGCCAGGCCGTTCCCCAGGGCTCCCAGGACGAACTGTGAGAGCAGCAGTGGAGGCAGGACGCTCCTCAGGGCCGTGCCGTTGAACGCACACAGCATGATGCTTGTTCTGCTGCTGCACTTCTGAGCTTCCTGTTCACACTCACTTTGTTTTATGAGCTTCACATGAAGCACCGTGCCTGCCTCCATTTAAAGACACAAATTTTGACTAAAGATACATTAATCCTCTTTGTTCCTTGGGCCTTCTGTGGCTTCCTGTGGCTCAGAGAATAGACTTCAAAGCAGCTCTGCTTCTGTACAAGTCTCTCTGGGCCTCACCCCAAAGTACATCTGTGACATGTTAGTGCCATACAACCATCTGGGACTCTGAGGGATGGCTCAACAGGGCTGGTCTCTCACTGGTGCCCAAAGTCAGGAATAAACATAGGGAGGCATTTCACATTTCAAATGTATTTATTTATTGAGACGGGCATCTACTCTCACAATAGACAAATCAAAGTTAAAAAGCGTACGGGCCATCAACAGAGACCATAGATCTATAATAATATTGGTCTTGACAGAGACAGGGCTTTCACTTTGGCTCACACATGGGACTTCTCCACAAATCAAAGCACGTTGGGGGGCGTGGCCAGTTTAACACATCAGATTGATTAGTCAGACTAACCACATCCGGCAACATGTGATCAGAGACTTGGAGAGTTAAGCAGCACTAGCTTCTTTACACTTTTGTCTTATTTGAAGAACCGTCTAAGCCTTAAAACATTTTTTTTAATATATTTAAGTATGAACCAGGTTTGTGGAGCTGCAAGCCCAAAAATATGTATTTTTATGCATTGTTTCTGGGATGGACCTGAGCACTGAGATTTCTTGTGAATGTTCGAGAGGTCACCTAAATACTGCAGGAAACATACGGCCCATGACCACCTTTCAGTTCCATATTTGATTAATAAAACATGTGGTTTTTTTTGTAGATAAATCGTTTGTAAGTGAACTGTTGGGAGTTGTCACAGATGCAGTTGAATGTTTATGTCTCTCTTCCATCTGTGCTTCTGCGATGAGCCGCGGGGAACTACATGGAAAAGTTCAAGAGAGATGAGCGCTTCTGTGGGTCGTTCTTTGTCTGGTGCTCATCAGGATGAGCACTGAACAAAACACTAACCTCTGAGAAAAGAGGAACTCCAAGGCTCTCTTGACAGTAAATAAAATCCTTTAATAAACTGTTTATGTATTTGATGGAACATGTTACAGTTACAGTAAGGCAAGGCAAGTTTATTTGTATAGCACAATTCATACACGAGGCAACTCAAAGTGCTGAACGAAACAAAGAAAATCATAAATAATCACAGTACATTAAAAAGAAAGATAAAAATATAAAATCTCAGTTGTATGCACAGCTAAACAGAACTGTCTTTAACCTGGTTTTAAACATTGTCAGAGAAGAGGCCTGTCTCACATCTTCAGGAAGACTGTTCCAGATTTTAGCAGCATGAATCTGAAAAGCAGCCTCCCCATGTTTAGTTCTGACTCTGGGCACTAACAGGAGTCCAGTCCCTGTGCTCCTCAGAGTCCGGGCTGGTTCATATGGGACTAACATGTCACTAATATATTTTGGTGCGAGGCCATGGAGAGACTTGTAACAAGCAGAGCTGTTTTAAAGTCTATTCTCTGAGCCACAGGAAGCCAGTGCAGGGACCTGAGGACTGGACTAATGTGATCGTACTTCCTGGTTCTAGTCAGGACTAATGTGGTCGTACTTCCTGGTTCTAGTCAGGACTGGAGCTGCTGCATTTTGAATGTACTGCAGCTGTTTTACAGCCTGTTTGGACAGACCTGTGAGCAGGCCATTGCAGTAGTCTAACCTACTGGAGACAAATGCATGGATAAGAATCTCCAAGTCTGCTTTAGACACTATGTTTTTGATTCTGGAAATGTTTTTTAGATGGTAAAAAGCTGCTGATGTTACTGATTTGATGTGGCTATTAAAATTTAAGTCTGAGTCCAGTATTACCCCGAGATTTCTGACCTGGTTTGAAGGTTTTAGGGAGAGACTGTAGATGACAGATGACGCTCTCTTTGTTTCTGGGGACCAAAGACAATCATTTCAGTTTTGTCTGCGTTTAGCTGAAGGAAGTTGTTTTGCATCCACTCACTGATCTGTTGGATACAGTGAAGGAGTGAGTCCACTGGTCCATGTTCTCCTGCAGTCAGTGAGACATAGATCTGAGTGTCGTCTGCATAGTTGTGATAGGACACTTTGTTTCTGCGTATTAACTGGGTTCATTCTACTTCATACTTAATATTACCTGATTGCCACAAATCTTGCATCATTTTGGACAGTATTCTTATCAATGCACTTGTATGTTAGCACAAAAGGCAGTGATTTGTTTGGGGATTGGTCTGAGAGAAAGGGGAATAATCAATAACATGGTACAGCTGTATTTATTTACAGTACGTGAAGTGCATTACATTAGATCACAAACATAACCTGTGTAAATATTTCTCATAAAATGCTATTGCTTTACTGAGGATGCTTCCATCCATCCATGTTCTTCCCCTTAATCCATTTCTGGGTCGGGGGGTGGCAGTCGGAGCTGCACCCAGTACACAGAGCACCAGCCCCTCACTGATCCTCCTGCAGGTGGTGAGTCCACAGGAGCTGAGATCTTTCAGTTGGGGCTTTGGGCAACGTAGGATTAAGTGTCTTGCCCAAGGACACAACGACAGCAGTCATCAGTGGGAGTCGTGAAGTAGGTCTTACGGTGGGCTCGAACCCATGACCTTCAGGCCCAAAGCTCTACCAACTGAGCTACTTTTCACCCTTGGAAGGATGCTTCACACTGATATTATCTTTAATTTATTCAATTAAACACATTCATATTAACATCAAAATCAACATCAACGGGCGTCCAGAGATTTAGGATGAACCAAACGGAACATGAAAACATTCTAGTTCAGGCGTGTCCAAACTCAGGCCCAGGGGCCAATTGCGGCCCTCATTGCCGTTCTATGTGGCCCTCTGCCTCACTAACCCAAAGTAGTATTTGAATTCATAAACCCAAGTTCACTGTGTCATCCATCCAACTTCAGCTCAGCCACTATAGACCTTCTTCTAAAGCCCAGTACGGTGTTGATTTTATTTGCACACACTGTAAATGGTGTTACAGCCGCTGGAGAGATGGTAAACATTTGTCATTCAGCCAAAAAGTTTGGACACCCATGTTCTAGTTACACATTTCATTCATTGAAACACATAAGTCTTTCCTCTGCCGTTCTTGCATTTCCAAAACAATAGTCTGAGTTGATAATGATTTCCATAATGAAACATTGTCCACATCATCCACACAACACATGTAACATTCTCTAAAGCAAGAAAGTATTCAGGACATGTGCAAAAACAAATGTCTCAAAATAACACAGACTGTGAGAAATGTGACATTTGGCCGGTTTACATCTTTAGTTCCTGTTTTGGCTGATTTAATCTGGGCATGAGTGAAATCCAGTAGGAGCTGGTGTGGATCCACTTGAGGCCACATGTTTAAGTCCTGGTTGAAGGTTCAGATGGTTCTGTTTGTTTTGCAGATGGTCAGCTGATAGTCACAGATGCTGAGAATGGAAATAAGCTCTTGTCCTTCAGTTGTAAATTCAGATCTCAGAATTTCAGAATATAAAGTAATTCTGTCAAAGTTACCTTGTCTGATCCCTCCTTCACCCGTAGAATTTACATCATAGACTTTAAAGTGTGGTGAGTTCTGGACCGAGAGAAAGATCACGGCTTCTTAAATGACAATGCTCAGACCCCTCCTCAGACTGTTGTTAGGATTTCTCTAGAGCTGACTGAGAGACACTGATCCGGTGTCTCTGGTCTTCTTCTCGGTGCTCTCTCCAGTGACTGAGGCCGGGGGCATATGCAGTGCCCGCCTGCAGATGTTCTTGATGGCCGGGCTGGAGAAGTAGTAGACCAGGGGGTCCAGCACACTGTTCAGGTAGGTCAGGCTGATGGTGAGGAAGAAGACTGTGGTCAGCTCCTCCATGGCAGGACACACTTCTGTCAGGGGCAAAGTCTGAATGGCTTTGTTTGTCTTAAACCAAAGGATGACTTGAATGATGTTACTGGGAAGGAAGCAGATGATGAAGAGGACAACCACCACAATGATGAAACACAAGGCCTTTTTGATTTTAGCCTGCTGGGCAATCTGCCTTCCCTTCAGGTGGGACGTGATGCTCACAGTGCAGTAGAGGATCACAATTAAAGGCACATAGAAGGAAAACAAAAAGGCAAATTTATGCCAAGAAAAGGTCATAAGTTTGTCAGTTTTTATCTCAATGCTGAAACTCTCACAGTAATTGGTATTGTTGTGTTTTAAGGTAAATATGTGAGCGCTCATGGAGATGGCCATCAGCCACAGCACAGCCGCTCCACACATGGCTTTGGAGAGGCTTAAGAAGTTGACTGGGTGATGGGGGTGGACCACACGCATGTACCTGTCCAGAGCGATGGCCATGAGGAACAAGGCGCTCCCAGTGCGGTTCATGGCCAGCATGAAGAGGCACAGGTTACACATGAAGCCCCCGAAGTGCCACTGCAGCTGAGAGAGGTAGTAACTGGCCCGAAACGGCAGCACCAGGATCAGCAGAAAGTCGCTCATGGCCAGGCTGAAGAGGAGCACAGTGCTGCTCTTCCACGGCTTCAGATAAAAGAAAAAGATCCACAGGGCCAGGCCGTTCCCCAGGGCTCCCAGGACGAACTGTGAGAGCAGCAGTGGAGGCAGGACGCTCCTCAGGGCTGTGGCGTTGAACGCACACAGCATGATGCTTGTTCTGCTGCTGCTTGTACACAACTGCGTACATATACTCAAGGTGCAGAGATCTCACAGGAAACTGTTCTTCCTCTTTCTACTTCATGTGAGATACAAAGGGGGCTGCACATTGAGACAAAATGTAAAATGCCTTTATCTGTAAATCATTAATATTTAAATTTAGATGGAATAATGTGTGAGTTTAGAGAAAGGCCTCCCAGTGCTGCTCTTGCTGTGTGTGTGGGAGCAGCAGGTCCAGCCCTGTTTGTCCAGGTCTGTGTGGAATGTGCTGGTCAGATGAGCAGATGTGAAAGCGGCACACTCACATGGAGGTCAGGGGAGGGAAGGCCCTGTCCGCTGGGGCAACACAAGGCAGGGGAGAGCAGGGAGGCTGGAGATATTGGACCAATTGTTTTTGGTCTCATAATACTAGAGTCAGAACTCCCTCTCCCAGTACGTTCAAAAGCAAGCTGACACACACCAAGAACAATTGAATATTGTGGAAATGTCTTGTCGGCACGGTGGCTGAGTGGATAGCACTCTCGCCTCTCAGCAAGAAGGTCCTGGGTTCGAATCCCGGCCGGACCAGGGCCTTTCTGAGTGGAGTTTGCATGTTCTCCCCGTGTCTGCGTAGGTTTCCTCCGGGTACTCCGGTTTCCCCTACCACTAAAAATATGTACAATAGGTCTGGCATGCGCCTCCTGTTCGGCGACCCCGCTCCCATCTCTGTGTGGAGTGAGAGGACAAGTGCCCATAAAATAACAATTGTAAACCGCTTTGTGACTCTGGTCTGTGAAAGGCGGTATATAAATAAAGCTTACTTACTACTACTTACTTGTCAGTCATTTCAGAACATCAAATGAGGAATATACAAGGTTTTATTTCAATCAACTATATGTTTATCGTATTTTCATTGGGTTGGTCTGAAGGAGCGCCCCTGAGGAATCCAGCATCTGATCCACCTAAGCTTGATGTAAGGAGCAGCGACTATACTCCGAGCCCCGCCCCATCTCTAACTGAGCTGATCATTTGGACCTTTGGACTCGACTCCCTCTTCTCCTCAACACTTCAGTACGATGACTGCAGAGCCTGAGATACGGTCCTGTCCTCTGAAAAAGACCCTGGACCCTGACAACTGTTAAGGACCAGATGTAGCTGAGAATGTGTCAGAACAAAGTCACAAATGGAAGCACAATACTTTTTCTTCTCCATACATCAAGTCAACTGTACAATATATTGAGATTAAACATCAAGAGAATTCAGGCTCTGTTTGAATGTGGTCAGAAGATGGACGTCTTACCACTTGTTCTGCAAATGTAGCCCACTAAATGTCACTCTAATAGTAGCAGCATGTGAAAGGATGTCTGTGTGACTGTAGACAGGTTCATTGTGAAAGCTGACTAAAGTGCAGCTAAAAAAAACACAGCAGATTCAGTTTATTTGCCATTTGCAGTAAAAAAAAAAAAAAACCCACATTGGAATACATTAGCAAAAAGTCCCCAGTGTGCACAGACAAATACAGACATAAAACAACATTAAAAGACAGAAATAAAACAAATAAAACAGTAAACAAATATCACTGTGAAATCGATCGATTAAAACAGTTTCAAAACAAGTGCAAATCTTTAAAGTGCTCTGTTCACACTGATAACAGCCTGTGGATAAAAACTGTTAGCGTAACGAGATGTCCTGCATCTCAGAGAACGATATCTTCTGCCAGAGGGAAGCTGGAACATGTCTTTTCCAGGGTGGCCAGAAGAGTCATTAACAATCCTCATAGCTTTGTTTAAAAGTCTGGATTTATAAAGAACCTCCAGAACAGGAAGCTCACAGCCCACGGTCCTCTTTGCAGAGCGGAGCACCTTGTTTAAAGCTCTTTTCTTTATCTGTGACCGCACTCCAGTGACGTGAACTTTTCTCTATTCTAATTTCTATTCATTACAAAGTGCAAGAATGCTACAACTAAAGGTTTGGAAGGTAAAGGCAATTAGAAACACAAATACAATCGAACATTATAGAATGATCTCTGTCTCCTCTACTCCACCAGATACTTAAGTACGATTTGACAAAAACTCTATGCTAAACAAAATAAAATCTATAACTTCAGCATAATAAAGAAGAAAGTATAAACTGTTTAGCTTTAGCGTAGTAAGGAAGCAAAACTAAAATCTCTAACTTTGGCCCAATGTAAATGCACTTTATTGTCCCCGTAGGGTAATGTGTCCTCTGCATTTGACCCATTCTTACGTCAGGAGCAGTGGTCGGTGCAGTACAGCGCCCGGGAACCCATCTCCTGGTGTCGATGCTCAGCTTGGTCAGGACCAGAGCTGGAGGATTTTACCTAATGGAGCATATTTTATTTAGTGGTAGGGGAAACCGGAGCACCCGGAGGAAACCTATGTAGACACGGATAATAATGAACATGCAAACTCCACTCAGAAAGGCCCTGTTCTGACCGGAATTTGAAACCAGGACCTTCTTGCTGAGAGACAAGGGTGCTATCCACTCAGCCACTGTGCCGCCAAATGAAGATGCAAGAAGTAAATCACTGAGTTAAGCATTATAGAGAAGTAAATATAAAATACTGTATATTCTAGCGCAAGGAGTACATAGTTGTATTTAAACTTCTGTACATGTTAGCAGCATGAGGGAATGGGACAAAGCAAGTATGAATAAGTCTGTCCCTGAAGCTGCTCTCCAGAGCAGAGAGAGTGTCCTGCAGGGGGCGACAGTCCACCTGCTGCACTGTGTCCAGGGAACAGCCCAGGACTGAGCTGGACTTCCTGATGTTCCAGCTTCTTCCCTCTCTGTGATGCTGCTGCTCCAGCAGACCACACCGTACAGGAGGCTGATGCCAGGGGTAGGGGAAACGAAGCACCTGGAGGAACCTTTGCAGACACAGGGAGAACACGCAAATCCACATAAAGTAAGTAAGTAATCTTTATTTATATACCGCCTTTTCACTGCACATCGGAGTCTCAAAGCGGTTTACAATTGTTATTTTTGGGAGCGGGGTCGCCAGTACAGGAGGCACATGCCAGACCTATTGTACATATTTTTAGTGGTAGGGGAAACCGGAGCACCCGGAGGAAACCTACGCAGACACGGGGAGAACATGCAAACTCCACTCAGAAAGGCCCTGGTCCAACCGGGATTCGAACCCAGGACCTTCTTGCTGAGAGGCGAGAGTGCTATCCACTCAGCCACCGTGCCGGTCCCATCTGGAGAAGAATTGAACACAGTATGCAGCCGGTAAACACTGGTTTGTTTTGGGGTTGGTTGCCAGGATACGGTACCAGATACTAAAGCATAAAGGAAACTCAACCAGAGTCGAGTAGAGTTGAGCAGGAAGGAAAACTTATTTTTTTAACACAGCGAGTGTAGAAACATGACTCATCTCATATCTAACCATTTACCAATAAAGAAGCTATTTTTATGAAAGTGTGCAATTATTTGAATGCAGAAGTTTCATTCAAAACCAAACATAAATGACTAATAATGAAACGTCTCAAAGTAAATATTTATAGCATTGATGTAACAGTGAACACACTACGGGCTGTGCTGAGGAGCCGTGTGTAAACTCTCATCTGTCCTGTCGACTGAACAATCAGAAAATGTAGTAGTTTTAGCGTTTACAGTCAGGTTCAGTGCCACTCGAGTGCAGTCCGAGACACTGGTATGGCCTGGTCTTTTAAAGTCATGACTGTTATAGAGTCTGTTTGATACACACTCAAATCAGTGTCCTGTTTTAATACAAGCTTACTCGTTTTTGATTAAAGTTTTTAAACGTAATGCAGTAAATTGTGGTAAAGTTTAGGACTGGGTTGAGAATTCTTTACAGACTATGAAATAATTGAACATTTACAGGAATATGGCCTAAGATTAAAAGGTTCTACAGTTCATACTAGATCATATGTCTCTTTCACGAATGGCTGCCTGACTCGGAATGGAAAGTTACCCAGACGTGTCAGTCAAGAAAGGGATGTGCAACCAGAAGGTGTGAATTGGGTGTTCGGTCTCATAAGATATCTGCACAGAGCTGCTATCTTCAAGAACTCTGTCTTTGAAATAGCTGTACAGTGATGGGTCGAGCAGTACCAGCCTTCATGGTAGACCAGAAAGACCATGACATGTGGTTTTGGTGATGGTCTGACCAGTGGACCAGTTCCCAGTCTCCCACCCTGGACTGGTATTATGATAGATCTATGCCCTGGACTCCCTGGTCTAGACTTGTGGACCAATTTCAAATCGGTGCTGCCCTCTAGTGGAGAAGACATGCTTTCATTAGAAGAAAGAACAAACAGGATGAGACTTTTTTCAGATAAATATTGCGACTGTGTTTCATTTTGGATGTTTGTTGGTGAAATGCTCAAAGTTCATATTCTGTAGCTTTCATATGAGAGAAACTGGAAACATGGACTGTATTCATGCAAGAAGTCCTCCTAGTTCATTCATTCATAGTACTTTACTGTCAGAGCTGTGATATCTGCACTGTCAGGACTTTTTCACATCAGTAAAACAGCCAGTGGAGTGGGGACTTGTGGAGGTACGTGAGCCTTTTCAGGAGCATAAAATAGTGATCTCAGATTTAAATGGTTGAAGTGAGTGATTGAAAATATGTGATTTGAGGTCGATTGTGCACCTGGATAAGAAGCATGTTGCAAATACCCTTTTTTCTTCAATTTTTCTTAAACCTCAAGTGATAAAAACCCATTCTGGTCGTATCTATGTGTTCCATTTCACCAGTATTCTGTCAAGTCTAGTATGAAAAGTGATTAATTCCATTGCAAAGAACAGACAACACTGTGCCAGTCGCAAATAAATACCATTTAAACAAGAATATTCAGTAAAGAAGCCGGCTGTTGGATTATACATTTGTTTGTCTTGGTCCTTGATTGTTGATTTTCATAACATAATTAACAGTGTCATACAGTAGACTAACAACAACAAGAATGATGATCTTAATCTGCCCCTTATTTAGAGCCTGAGACTAAACTTCCTCCAGAGAGTTTCTGTGGACAACAGAGGCTGCACTAAGAGGATGTAGAACCCCATGAAATGTTAAAGTATGCATTTATAATTGTTGTAATATTTGTTTTATTCATAATTCAAATGTATGTTAATTTCTTAAAAGATAGCTAATTGGGAGAGGCTGAGGTATGTCTACAGTTTATACTAGACAAAACGGTTCAGAAAAGTTTATTGATCACCAACAAGCAATTCATTTGTAGCTAATGAGAACACAAAAGTCATTTAAAAAGGTAAATTGTGAGATAATGGATAAAGAGAACAACACAACCTGTAGTACTAATAGTTGTATTAATAGAATTTAATCATTTCTTTATCAATGGAATAAATGCCTCCCATAGTTTCCATCTGATTTGAAGGAGAGTCCTTGGTTTGTGTCGTTTGTTAGTGTAAAAATGTGCCCCGTCTGGTAGAACCTGCAGGGCAAACACATCCTGTTGTCCCACTGCTCTGGTCCCGGGGCAGACTGCCTCACCCTCAGCCCGACGATCCGGTCAGGCCGCCTCTGCTCCACGCCATCCGGACTGGAAATATACTCTGTGTCATAGACTGTGAAAGAGCAGCATGCAGTTATAACCGGATGACTTTACAAACACCTGCCTTTTATTTGTGTAATGTGGCACTTTTCCTTCATGAAGACAATCTGCTGAGACTTATGCAGATGGTTCTGAGAAGGAAAACGTGTGAAGAAATGGCAAAAATGCACTAAAAACATGTCATGTAGCCATTGGTTTGTCAAAGCCAGACCTTGTTATACCTCAGAATCTGTGGGTCAGGATCTGTTTAGGGGCAATCCTAAAATAATACAGTGTGATGATAGTAATTGATAATACTCTTACTAATGTTATATTTATTTTGCACCTGAACTCGGAGGTAGCAGTTTGTGACACACATTATAAGACAAAACGCCGGGAACCACTGCTGCATTGAGCTTCATGTCCTGCTCCTGATGAATAGTTGATAAAACGCTTTATCATCAACAATTATCAATGAGCTGTAGTCAATAATAACCACAATACACATGTTTTAATATATATATATATATATATATATATATATGTATACACATGCCTGTTTTAATATGGTGATTATTATATGTATAAGAGCAAGATTGTTTAAACAGAGACGAGGATGAGGATTAGATATGACATACCAGGTGGTCTACCAGGTGGACAAACGCAAGACTCTACAAGGACTCTGTGTATCCAACCAAATCTGAGAGAAATGAATCTACACTAGATTAAAACAGATTTTCTAATTCCCAAGGATTTGTCATTTTAATATGATTTAATTTCAACACTTTTTGCAGCTCTATTAAAGTCGTACACCCTTCCACCAGTTTATATATATAAAAGTAAAAGCTTGACATAATCTCAGAAGGCTTTAATCCAACAAAAATCTCCCACCCTCCTCTCTAATCCTCTCCTCCTCCATCACGGCAGAAAAAAGATTAAACTATAGCAGTTCAATAAGTCAATGGTAGTCTGATGTTGTGCTTGTATACTGTATGTTCCAGTGTATCCCCCTCTCTCCCCCTCCCTCTCTCTACCCCCCCCCCTCTCTCTCTATCCCTCTCTCTCAGCCCATGACGTCACCGCTGCCATCTGACGCAGACTTCACACATGACGCAGTCTCTTCTCTAGTCCACAAAACCATTTACGGTCCATGGTCCTCCCCATGGTCCTCCCTCGAACACACAACCTGCCCACGCAGCGGTGTCATGCGAAAGGGCACAAGACAAGACTTTTTCTGCCTCCCTCCGTCTCTCCTTCCGTCTCTTCTCTCTTCCCTCTGGCTCGCTGCACCTTGGGGGAGGACCTTAGCCCGCCCCGGTGAGTCCAGCTCCAGCTCCAACCTTCTTCCGATCAGCGGCTCTTCGCGTGGAATGAAGCCGAGCAAGCGATGCCACAGTCGGTCTGGCGTTTGACAAGCACACGGAGGATTACGCGGCCGCCCACCGGACTTATCCCGTGTTACTGACCTGCTTTCCCACGCGTTAACCCGGTGGATGATATCTTTAGGCGTGTGCAGTCGTCGTGAAGCGGTCTGAAGGATGAACACCTGGGTCCGGGGCCGAAGGAGCGAGCACAGCCTGGGAGCCGAGCGGGAGCACTTCGATAAGCAACAGGTGAGAGCCGTCAATAGCCGTCATTCACCAAGACAGTTTTTAAGGAGGTTTTTAGGCTTTGGGACGGCCCTGCTCCCACTGTGCGCACAGACCAGTGCAGTTCCATCTGTTAATATTAATATTAAATAATTTATGAAATGAAATGTGTTTTAACTCTTTGGCAGCCGTATTTAAAGCAGCATCCTCAGACTGCCAGAGAATATGTATGTGTTTAGTGTTTTTCCAAACCTTATATAAATGTGAGCCCTTGGTTGACACAAGTATAAAACACACCAAATGAAAGCTCTGTCTCTTGCTTTTCATTTTTTTAAAATAAGTTTCTACCCCTTTCAGTTTTTTTAGTAATTGAGAATGCAACATGGGTAACTTTTACACAAAATGCTGTTTCCAGACCAAGATATGGGGAAAACAGCCATTTTTTTTCTTTTTACTGATATTTTACAATGTATGACAGTATCTTATTATGACACAAAACGGAAACAATACTTTTATTTTTAATGTATAATTATTAAGAAATTAAACATGTACACACAATACACTCAAAGGATTGTCTATGTATACATAAAATATTCAACTTGTATACAATAAAAAGTGTTTACAGGTCTGAAATGTTGACACAGAATGCACAAGAGCCTCAACGAGCCACAGTAAGGAAAAAACCGAGCAATTGACGTTTATATACGTCAATGGCAGTGAATGACTTTTTTATTATTAGATAGAGATTTTATACTTTTGCTGATGTTAGAGATTTTGTTTTATTTTTATTAGTGTATTGTTTGCTTGTCTTGTGCCGTGTGCTCCTCATTCCTACTATAACTTGTGATGCAACACTGACATTTCCCACTGGGGGGCAGATAACGCGGAGGAGGAGAGGCTGCTGTGACTCTAGTGTTATCGCGATACTTCATCACAAACGCAATTTTGATCCTTGAACCTCAATGGATTTCGATTCACCTGGGGTTAAGATTGGGTCATCCTGTAGACGAACCACAGTGGGGAAATTTCAGTGTTGCATCACAAGTTACAGGGTAGTTGGAATGAACACAAAATAAGTGAAAATTAAGCTTAGCACATCTCTTTGGCGTAATTAAGAAACATGAATAAGTTATGAAGATACTATGAAGCTATCTGCTGTAAAATACATACGTTTTTATACAATATGGACAATATTTTTAAGATCGATTGAGTGATTTTGTTTTTTCTAAAATGTAATCCTAATTTGTTTCAGTACTTTTGTCTAGTTTGTATATGCTACTTTTAATATCAATGACTCATATGTTGGAGCTTATACAGATATACAACCATTATTAGATTATTTAAAAAGCACGACAATATAGAAAATCATTTTGCGGTTGGCGCTTTACAGCAAGATGGTCCTGGGTTCGATTCCACCTCCCAGATCGGGCCTTTCTGTATGGAGTTTGCATGTTCTCCTCATGTCTGTGTTGATGTCCTCTGGGTGCTCCTGTTTCCTCCGGGCTCTGGTTTCCCTCTCCCACTCAGCACAATAGGTCCGCCATCGGGATCAATGGTTGTGTGGACCACGAGGAACAATCCCCGCAACAATTTTGAGTTAACAGAGATTGATTACTTTCTTAACTGATTGACTGCCAGCCGTTTTTGATGATTTCACTGACTTTCAAGACCCACAGAATATTGTGTGCTATGGCTATGTGAAATATGAAAGCAGATTCTGAAAGCCTGAACTGTCTACTTTTATCAGCAAAAATAAGTTGGTTTCTAGCTAGTTTTGTTCTCCTGTAATCCCCAGTCGAATAGAGGGAAGTTTGACAGAAATCACCGGTCTCAGACAAATACAACCATGGCAGTCAATGATTTCATTTACTTTATGGAATTGGTTGATCCGTCGCTTTTCTACTAGCCTTACTTTAATGCTAGCTTTGGATGTTAGCTTCTTTGAGCTAGACTGCTTGCAAAACGCACACTGGGGTTATCCCTAATGCTGACCTGAGCTTGTCTCGTTATACAATTGGGTGATAAAAGCAGTGGTAAAAACAGTTTGAGAATCTCTTTTGTAGATCAGATTAACCACACAGAGTCATCACAAGTTTTAAGTAATGTAATTTTGCACTCTCCAATCGCTGTTTTTAGATAAAACTCTTATCATATGCACTCTGGTGTGACCTTAAGCTGTGTTTTAGTGCCCTCTTTAGACCTCTGCAGGGATCAGAAGCACTAAAACAAAGCCCAAGGCACTCAAAAAGGTGATTTAAAAGCCACATGAAAAATGGGGTTAAAATGCCAACTCGTTTTTATCCTATTTGCCGTGTGATTAAGTCGCTTGAGTGCTGGAGACTTAGCAGTATTAAGTATTTAGGTTTTCCAATGACAATAAAAGGTACTCTTTATTTATAGCAGTTCCTTGTGTCCCGGGTCACGTTCGGCTCGTTCTTCCTGTTTGACCGTCTTTTCTCTTTGCCACACATTCTTTAGTCTTTGACATTCAAGCTTAACGTCTGCCATAATGGGTACAGTTGCTTCATGGTGGCTTTTTGAGATTATAAATGACTTTACCCTAACAAAGCCAGCCCTCTTTGGTATCTGCTCTGAGAAATCCACCTGCGCCTGTTTGCCATAACACACAAACCCACATCACAGTAGACCTCGTGTTGGATCAGGACTGGTTTGAGGCCAGTGTTTTCCTTGTTCCTTTGACCCTCCCTCAGCACTGCCCGGGCGCTCACCCCTGTCCACTTTAGGAGGCAGGTTCTCAGTCAAGAGTTGATCACAAACTTTAACGTCCCACTTCAGTTTCTCTCATTTGCTTCTTTCTATTGTTATTTGTGTAAATGTGATTTTTATGATTTTTTTTTTATATATATAGATGCCAAGTCTATCTCTTTTTAACTACACAAAGATTCCTTGAACAGTGAATCTTTTTAAAATGGACCATATATTTTACTACTAAAAGGTTCATTTTCCTCAGACCAGAGTAGCTTTTTTGAACAGACCCAAGACACTCAAGATACAAGTCTGAATTACTGAATTATACATGTATTTCAAATGTATGTTTATGGCAATACAATACATATATTATTGCTCTGAACCAACAGTCGGAATAATTAAAGCCATCTAACTCCTCTTTTTAACTCCTGCACATTAGTTACATATCATTCAGACAAAAATAATCCCAAATATATCGTCCAACAAACAGTTAATCCTCAGTTCTCAGCGTAATTGTTGGAAATCATAGGGAGAGAATTCTGTCAGATATACGTATGTTATGAGTACTATTGTTAATCATAATTGATGTTTGAGTTAAACTGAGCTGTTTGTTCAGGCCCAGTTTATCAGCAGGCTGTGACACACACAGGGTTGCGCGCGCATGCAGACACACACACACACATACACACACCTCAGTCAGTGAATACATGACTGAGGGAGGAACCACGAGAGTCCAACACCGAATGTCACTTTTCTATTGGACACAAAAGAATGAAAATATTATCACCTAATTTCAATTATGTTCAAAGTTAAAGTTCAGATTACAAATGTGCTTTGTTTTGGTGAGACACTTTACACATTTACATACACGTGCCATCTCTGTGTGTTTTATAGAGACAGAGATGGACTTGTTGACACTAGCTAAAAATATAACCAGCAACTGAGCAAAACAAAGTCGACGGACGCAATGAGAGAATGTCGAGGTGTTTTGATGCACTGTTAACTCGAGATCATCAAAGCACTCCTGTCAATCCCAACGTGCGACCCGCCACTACTAAAACTTGGAGTCAAAATGATAAGGCAAGTTTATTTGTACAGCACAGTTCATACACAAGGCGACCATAAGGCATTAAAACTCAACAAAACCGTTGAAATCACCAACACAGATCAGAGAATCAAACAGTTCAAACACCAAAAGAGTTGACCAATGTCTAATAATGTTGATAAAGCCCATACATGTTGTAGAATGTTGATTGTCCTGGATCATCACCACAGTCGTTGTCAGAGACGATGCCTGTCTCACATTTTCAGGAAGACTGTTGCAGATTGTAGCTGCATGAATCTGAAATGCTGCCTCCCCATGTTTAGTTCTGACTCTGGGCACCAGCTGGAGGCCAGTCCATAAATGTCAGATGAGTCCATAAAAAAAAAAGAAAGTCCCTGTCAGGAAATTTGACCCATCCTCCTGTTATCACTGGGTCTGTCTCTGTCTCTGTCTCTGTCTCTGTCTCTGTCTCGGTCTCTGTCTGTCTCTCGGTCTCTGTCTGTCTCTCTGTCTCTGTCTATCTCTCTGTCTCGGTCTGTGTCTGTCTCTGTATGTCTCTTGTCTGTCTCTCTGTCTCGGTCTGTCTCTGTCTGTCTCTGTCTGTCTCTCTCTGTCTCTCTCTGTCTCTGTCTCTGTCTCTGTCTCTGTCTCTGTCTCTGTCTGTCTGTGTGTCTGTCTGTCGCAGGGGTCGCTGCAGATAGTGCTGCTCTGCTTGGTCAGGACCTTTCTGAACTTTGTCTCCTCAAGCGAGAAGCAGCAGATCACGTTCAGAATGTGTTTGAGTCTTGATTCATTCCAGGATCAGATACAGAGAAATGATGTGTGGAAGTGGTAAACGAGATTATAAATGACTCGAGCAGCTTCCATTTGGCCCATTAGAAGCTTCATTGATTGGCATAAATGCTTTAACTAACGATTATATTGATAATGGATTAGTTGGAATGCAGTTTCCATTTTGACCAAGCTAAAGCCACCAGAGACATTTCACCATCTCTCTCAATTTTAGTATAAGAAAGAAAATGCACGATTTCTAATACCTCTATCTTTGTCTGTTTAAAATAACGTAAAATTCTAGTTCAAAATATGTATTAATCGTTTGGAGCATAATTCCTTTATTAGGCTCTTCTTCAGTTCTCATCCATGTCTGTGTTCGCGTTGAGACAGCTTTTGCCGCCTCTTTTGCAAACAGCAGCTTGTTTTGTGGTTGTTCCGTGTTGCCAAATGCTGGAGGAAACAGAGGGTTTGAAGCACATTCTGCAGGAAGTGGGTC